CTCACCGTCTTTCTTTGTAAACTGCACAACTACCCAAGTTGGCCAACTACTTAGAAGAGACTAGCTAGGACCGGACCGGACTGGACTACGTGGGACTGGGACTGGGACTACTGTGCGGAGGAGAGTTAGATGCTAGACACGGGCTAATGCACACACTACGGGTATACTCGGCGGGGCCATGCTAGGTCTCGTAGTGTATTACTATGAGTTGAGTATGAGTATGGAGTATCCTACTTAACTTACAGGAGAGGAGTAAGAAAGTCCCATGGCATTTGGCAAGTATTTAGTCAATTACTTAATTACTTTACTTCGAGAACTGTGGGCTGGTAGGGCAGGGCTGAGTGTGTACCGTACGTCGCATATCGCCCACATCCGGGATCCCGCACTGCTCCGTGCCAGTGCTTATAGTAGACTTACGAGATCCTTCCTCGTAGGCAGACCATGCCAAAAGGGACTTACCCCGGATTGCGACTGAGATTGCGAATATCGGCATTTTAGCGAGAAGTTTAATCGGTCAAATCTTATTGCTTTGGGACGAGCACAGCCCCTAGTGTGCTGGTGCCGTGTGTGGCTAACGCAGACTTGGTTTGGCTTGACTTGGTTGACCTCGGTTTGGTCGGGACACACATGTGTATATGTAGTACTGTACCTAGTACGGAGTAACTAGCACCTGGGCAGTAATAATTATTGTACCTAGCTGATGGGATGGAGGTAAGGAATGGGATACTGGTACGAGTAGTATTAGTAGTAGTATATCGGAGATAGATTATGTACCATACCATAAATAACTGACGGTAAGATAGCAAAGAAAAGCAAGAGTAAGAGCAATCTCAGAAATCGAAATAATTCAATAATTCAATACAGTAAGTACATACTCGTAGTGTGGCTGCAACTTACCAAAACCAAAACCAAAACCAAAACCAACTGCAAAAAATCCCTAGACATTATGTTTGTTCCAAGGCTAAGGTTAATCGGAATGAAATATCCCACCGGCTACCGATATCGTACACTACGGCTACTCGTACACTGTACTGTACGGGGCTACCTCACTACGAGGCATTTTCATCAAACCAATTACAATGCTGCTAGACACCCCCGGCTCCGCAAATATTAAGCGGGAGTGCCACATGTCGATGTCGGATTCATGCGGGCAAGCCATTACCCACCCTTACCTCCATCACCATCACACTCTCATACTTGATGTTTCGGCACAGATACATACTGTGCATGTGTATACAGATCCTGATCCTGATCCTAATGCTAATACTAATGTCGATCCCGATGGCCTCCAGGGCTTACTTCTTAGCAACGGAGTACTTTAGCCCGGAGCTCGAGCTGCGCAGTGCAGTGCAGTGCAGTACAGTACAGCTTGGGTACATAATCATATGCAACTACCCCTCCCTAAAGTTCAAGTTCTCCCCTCCCCTCCCATTCCTGCCCCACAAGCGCGGGTGACACGCGCAGGCGGCAGATCAGTAAAAGCTTCCTTGGCTGAAGAGTCGTGCTGACCGCCAGTTTGTTTTTGTACTTGTACTTGTTCTTTGGTTGCATCGGATTAGAGTCTCCGCGGGAATACTTGTAGGAATGGGGACTGAAACTGGGACGGACTGGGATGTGAGAGGGCGTGGTGTGGTATGGTGTGGCGTGGGATGCACGAGACGAGGGTTCAAGTTGTAAGGCTGGTCCGAGCTGAAGCTAAACTGCATGTACTAGTACAGACTCCAGAGTAACTATGTACTGTCTGTCAGTCAGTCTCGTGTGTGGTGGATTGGGTTGGATTTGGATCTTCTGATTAGATCTACTGCACGGAGTATTGTTCCTAGGAACTTTCGTGGTTGGGTAGACATACACACACTCTCTCCCTGCGCTGGCATATACTCAAGAACTACTCTGTATACCAAGTACGATCTCGAAAGTGAGCAGACCCCCCCACAGCCCTTTGTTTATGTACGTAAATCCTCTAGTAGAGGTACAACCTCAAGTCAAGGTCACACAGATGGAGCCACCAGCTCGAGATAAGCAGTGGCACTGCCAAGAGCTGAGCTCGGCGTGCAGAAGAAGCTCGGACCCGGGTGTGCCTGGCGCTCATCAATCACAGCTCTGCTTCGACCGTGGAAATCCATGGTGGAGAGAGCGTGGGTGGCGGACTCGGATCAGTTTACCTTGAACTTCGTGCGTCTTGTTTTTTCTTTTCTTTGGTTTCAGCCAACACGTCAGATATGCAGATATTTTCTTTTTGCTTTTTGCTGAGGATGTGATGCCAATATCTGTTATGTTATACAATCATTCCCTGGACGATTGTGAGTGTGCGGGATTTGTTAGGGCCAAAGGATAATCTACCTATGAATGGCGATGTAAATGGTTTGTTTTGGACACTGTATTCTATGTATGAGTATGTTAGGGCCTTACAACACTCTTGTATTTGTACAAGGCTGCTTTTTTTGCATTGTATTGCATAGTATTTAGTGCTAGGCTGAGGTTGAGGCTGAGGCTGATCTGATGATGATGATGCTGACCCTATGCTTAGTGCTGAGAGGCGGGTGAAGATTTGAAATGACCCCCGCTGGGCAGGGGCGGCTTCCATTTCGTATTAGAAATAGAGATTGCAGTTTGAGAAGCCCTTGCTTAGCAGTAGTCCGCACTCTGTGTTCATGCCATGTACTTAACTCGACTCACTACCTTAAAGGGACATATGCCTAATGGGGCAGGCGAACAGCCCCAACTGCTGACCGTCTCAGATTAAGCTTCGGGATGACTGACGCAAAAGAACATACCCCGTACTCGTATGGACATATAGAAACTGTCATTAATATCTACCATAACTTGGATAGTATGATTTTGATTACATCTCGACCGCCCGCGAACGTCTTATACAGTTCCAACGTGAAGATTGGTGCTGCAGATCTCATGTGCGGCCGAAAAGCAAACATCTTCCCGAGCTCAGCCCTGCTGCATGAAACCCGCCTTATCTGTAGATTCAAGTTCGGCCTCGCAGGTGTGATTGGTCATTCTGCAGGTTGTGTGTATAATGTGCGATCGGTATGGATTGGCTGACGCAGGTTCATTACGAGGTAAGGGAGTCGAGTCGAGTCGAGTCACGGTAAGTGTAACCTTGGAACTACAAGTTTCAATTGGGTATGTAGATATACACCAGCGGTACCCAGATTTGCAATTCAAACAGTACAGCTAGTATCGGATATAAGTTACCCAGCATCTGCTCATTCGACAATGTCGGATATCATAACTACCCACGGGCACAGGCACGAGCACGGGGTAGATAGATCGACGTGACCTTGGGATAAACACTGCATGCTGCTGGCTACCCGACGGGCCGCTGCTAAGTAAATCCACACATTGCTAGCCAGTACGCTGGGATCACTCCACAGTATCAAGTATAGCTAGCCACCCATGAACCGCGTCAATTCGCCATCCTCCCGATCCGACTTCGTCCGCTCAAAAACGCATTGCCAAGCCTGGCCCTTGTCTGGAGGCCCGCGGTGATATTTATGCGAAATCTGCAGACTGCCGAATTGGTTCTCAGCGGCTTATCAAACCGCCCCAGCTCAAGCCAACATCCACGCCACGTGGGACACCGGCACCGGTGAGTGGTGGCCGGCTGAAAAGGCGGTATCGAGGGCCTTGGGGCCGGAGGCGCCGAAGTACATGTACCCCGATGCCACCAGTCGGGGGGGTTGGGGTTGCGGTGTACTAGTCGGTTCAATCCGGGCTAGCTATGGTGGGTCTGGTCTGGCTGGGTGTTGTGTAGGAAGGACCTGAGCATTTATAATGCTGAGTGATGGATATGGTTTTGCTCGGCTGCTTCGTTACATCGTTGTATCACGCAAGAACGCGAGTCTGCTGCCACATCAGAAAACAAGTCAACAAAAAGGGGCGAGCCAGCACTAGAGAAAAAAAAACATACCACGAACTGTTCCAATGACTCTTCGAAGAGCTCATTGTTTACGCCCACGCCGCCCGGGTGTTCGATCGGCGAGAGGGGATTTTTCACGACTATACAAGTGATGATGTTAGAGATGAAGGAGAAGTGCCAGAGCAAAGGCAAAGGCAAATTATAATATGCGACCGTGGACATACCGTATTCCACGAACAAGTTGATATAGATCTGTTGCAGGGCGATGCGCATGCTGGGACTCTTCAGGTCGGTCAACATGACGAATTTGATGTTTGTCGGCGTCTCGTAGTAGTGAAGCTTATACTGGCTGGTGGAGTAGGACACGAAGCTAGAACTGGTCAGTTTATGTCAAGGTATGTTTGACCTGCTGACCACCGGAGTCGTACTTGTCCTCTTCACCACCTAATTTGCGCACCATATTCCTCAGGGAGAAGACTGTGCCAAATACTAATTTCGCATCGTCGTCACCCGCATTGACGGTCTGTCCTAGTCCTGTTGGGCCCGCTTGGGCTTCCGTGGCGCGTGAGGATTTCCCCACGATGGAGGTTGGGCGAGGAAGCCAGCGGCGCTTGTAGATGCACTCCGCTAGATTGGGTCAGTGAGGAGACGGTGGAAAAGCAGAATACGGGATAGACATACCATGGCGGTCAAAGATGTAAAAAGAATAAACAGGCATTGTGGTAGTGGGGTGGTGGTAGTGAGAGGCTCGCCTGGGGAAACGAAACCCGATGTTGTTGATTCAGGAGCAACCCGCAGTCCAGTCCAGTCCATTAGGAGTCGGGCAGGCGGTGAAGATGGTGAAGATGGTGAAGGCGGTGAAGGCGGTGAAAGCGATAACGATAAACGTTCACCCAAAAAGGAAATCCAGAATAACGCTGCCTAAGACGTGAATCGTGAAACTAACTGCAACTGACAGCGCGCGCAGATTGGATCATCCGTGCAGGGGAAAAAAAGAAGCTCTTTCTTTTCTCGTAAGGCTGACAGCCCCAGCTGCGCTGTGTGGTGATCTCCCCCCGCTCCTCCTCCTTTTCCCCCTCCCCTCTCTACCCCACACCATTCAGCATTCCCAAAGGGACTCTCCCATCCAATGGAAGACTCAGTCGAGAATCCCTCCGATGTTTCAAAGAACACCTCGATCGACTCCCTAGAGAGTACAGGCCTTTCGCGGCCCGCTGTCGCGTAAGATTAACCTTTTTATATGGCCTAAGCCATTGGATATGGACATGGCTGACGCATACTATCCCAACCCTTCAGCTCATTTGGCTCTTTTGATAGTCCTCAGCGACATCGACGACGGAATCCCCGAGCAAGGCGTCCGGTGAAGGTAGCATTCCTCTGCCGTTCGTCATGAATCCCGACTGACCATACGGCTAGGAAACACTGGACGCCCGCTCCGAATATACCACCAGTCAGGACGATGGTACCGCCGAGCATCGTATCAACCAGTATATAATTAGACAAGAGATTGGTCGGGGGTCTTTCGGAGCTGTTCACCTCGCCGCGGACCAATTTGGCAATGAATATGTGCGAGTTCACTTCCCACGGAAATGAACATGGCCTGAATGGTTAAAAACTAACAATTATCACCAGGCCGTGAAAGAATTCTCAAAGTCCCGACTGCGGAAACGCGCACAATCGCATCTTCTGCGACGGCCTCGAGGACCCCGTCGCCCGGGCACTGGATTTAACTCTCCGCTTCATCGCCATCCGTCCGAGGACGATAATGAGAACGCGAAGAACCCGCTCTACCTGATCAAGGAAGAGATTGCCATCATGAAGAAATTGAATCACAATAACTTGGTCTCGCTGATCGAGGTACTGGATGATCCGACCGAGGACTCGCTATACATGGTCATGGAAATGTGTAAGAAGGGCGTCGTCATGAAAGTGGGGTTGGAAGAGCGAGCTGACCCATACGACGACGAGCATTGCCGCTGTTGGTTTCGCGATCTAATGCTGGGTATTGAATATCTTCATGCGCAGGGTATTGTGCATCGAGATATTAAACCCGATAACTGCTTGGTGACTAGCGATGATGTACTCAAGGTGGTCGATTTCGGCGTGTCGGAAATGTTTGCCAAGGAGTCGGATATGTTCACGGCTAAGTCTGCTGGATCACCTGCTTTTCTCCCGCCAGAGCTGTGTGTAGTGAAGCACGGCGATGTCTCCGGCAAGGCAGCGGATATCTGGTCCATGGGAGTCACTTTGTACTGTCTTCGGTATGGGCGCTTGCCATTTGAACAGCAGAGTATATTCGAGCTGTATGAGAGTATTCGCAGTGACGAGGTGGTATGTGAGGATGAACAAGATGAGCAGTTCAAGGATTTGATGGCCCGGCTCTTGGAGAAAGATCCCGCGAAGCGCATCAGAATGAGGGATTTACGGGTGAGTAGCCCCATAATTGGGATAAGTTGCAAACGCTCATGAATTGATGAGTACAGACACATCCCTGGGTCACCTTGAATGGGACCAATCCTCTTCTCTCGAAGGAGGAGAACACTGCTCAGATGATCGAGCCCCCAACCGAAGAGGAGATGAACATGGCTATTACAGGAAACTTTGGCCGCCTTATGACAGTGGTGAGTACAAGCGAAGGTAAATTTCCAAGCAGACGCTAATTTCATTAGATGAAAGCAGTCAAGAATTTCAAGCGGCTTGTCGACCCAGCCAAGGGAGGAGCAGGGCCGACCATGCAAAGTATTCTAGGTGGCGATGCTCAATTCGTTGCCCCGCCTATGGAAATGGACGAGAGTGAGGACTTCCCAGAAGTTGGACTTGGTCAAGGTCACGGTAGTCATGGCTTGAACGCAGGCGTCCGAAGGTTCTTGGGCAGATCTCCCATGTCTGCCTTGCGCCGAGACCACTCCGGTCCCAAACCCTGGGCCAGCGACTCAGCTAGCATGTCTTCCCGACCAGAATACAGCCCTGCGAGTAGCCGTTTGCCTAGCGGGGTCTTCGAACAGGAACGGAGAGAATCCGGCTCTATACGCAGCGGTCGGTCAGGGAGAGCGGATGAACGATCTCAGTCCCCAAAATTTCCACTCTCTAGAGCCAGCTCGGCAACCACCAAGCGCAGCATAGAGGGGACAAGAGGACACGCCCGAGACCCATTGGAGGAAAACTGGTCATATCTATCTATTGGACCGTCAACATACACCGGCACATCGCAGACAAAAGAGTTTTCCGTCAGCGATCCAGTCCCGATATTTGCAGAGCCAGACAGCACAGAAGACATCGACCTACCAGCTGTCGACGACCCTGTAATCGTCAGCGAATCCCCCGGCGCAGCAGACTTTGACATCTACGAAACCGCATATGGCAAAGAACTAGAGCGCATCCGATCAGAAACCACCCAACCCAGCGCTGGCGCTGGTGCCGGTTCTGGTACTGATGAAGGTGCAGTTGCCGGACCAAAGGTCTACCTAACACGCCGCGTGGAAGGTAGAGACGAAGTGATGAAGTTCGTGAAAGACAAAACCCTGAATCTACAAGTCGGGCAGAAATTCAGCTCGCCCATTCGCGGGCCGTCGACGGCATTCGGCGCTGCGGCGAGTATGCTTCGCAATCAGATTCAGCAGCAGAAAGAACAGGCTGGGCGTGAAGAACAGAGGCAGGCTTCGGAGCACAATCAGGCCCACCAGCAGGAAAGAAGAGGATCGCATCCGTATTCGTCTGCTTCTATACCCGAACCCGAACCCTCGGCCCTCGAGGCAACGGGTACACACACAGATGCGCCGGCGGGTGAGTCCACGGTTAAGTTGAGGCGGCTTCTTAATAGGGCGCGGGATAAATCTGGGGAGTGATTTAGTTGGGCTGAGATTTTAGAAGCATATTACATACCCCGGATGCAATGAAGAGGCGGGGAGGCGGGGGAGAGGAGGGGAGAGGATGGTGGTTACTTGCATATACATTCGTGCATTGCAGTGCAGCGCATCGCATAACGTCGTGTCCTACTTTCCATTTCCTTTTCAAGTTCATATACCTTGCCTCGCCTTACATTTAGCTTTTCATTTCATTTCATATCATATCAACTTTTACTCACCGTATCTGATACTGAAAGTTTTCGCGAACGAGTACACTGGGCAGACTACCTTAGGTGCCTCCTGGGCTTAGTCTAGTCTAGATTATAGTCTATCTGGCAAATCTAAAGGGAAACCATCCTATTGGATACTAAACAATATCCGTTCTTAAGCCAGGTCCCCGCCGAACCAAAGAATCAAATGCCAAGCTTTTCTCCGCTTTGGATTAAGCTTTACCGTATAATACCATTGCTGCCAAGGGTTGGTTCATTCAAGTTTGAATAGTAGTGCGGGTTATCTAGAATAGATTAGTGGCCTTTTGATTTACGGGCATTTGTACTACTAGTATACGATACCAGTAAGTGTCACTACTAGTAAGCTGTATACTCCATTATCACTGTGGTTCTCGCAATGGCCGAAGGGCCAGTGGGCATCTACTAGCATTAAATCTGAGCAAGCTATACAAATAGTACATATACATAATGGAGATCCTGGAGCATGCCTTCAAGTTGATTACAGCTAGGTTCAATTCAAGTTTGCATCATCAAATCAGATGTGCTTCCATGCTCGATTTGAGTCTGTAATGTATTAAGAGTTTCGTACTGCTAGGTATCGGGTGTCGAGAGTGAGAAGATGATGATACTAGACTGGCATTGAAGGACTCTCTAGCCAATACGAAGTAAAGAGGGTCGGTATCCTGCTGCGTGGCCTCGGGCGTGAGGATATAAGGAGTGGTTATATGCTGGCCATGCCGGGGACGGCCAGTATGCACACAGATTTCACAGCAGAGGTTTACATGCTGGAAATGGATGAAGGAGGTCGCGCCAGATCGTTCCCTAACCACTACCAGCCGAAGTTCTCCTTCCATAGGATGGACGTGAAAGGTTCCATCTCGTTTCCAGGGGAGTCGATACCGGGCGACAACCTGTCGATCACAGTCAAGCTAATCGTATGGACCGTGATTGAAGAAGGCCTGCACTTTACCATCCATGAGGGTGGTAATATCCTCGGCTTTGGTGTGGTTACTTCTATCCTCGAATAATCAAAGGGTCGCTATACTCCTTGCTCTCTCCTCACATACTTCCATGCTTTCTTCTTTCACACACACGTTTCACATTTTATCAAGACACTGTTTGATTCAGGCAAGGTCGATGTTTGCTCAAAAGATAACCTGGACCGGACGCCACTATTGCTGGCAATCCTAATTGGAGACGAGGCTATTCTCGACTTGCTTCTCGGCGAAGACAATATCGGCGTGGACTCGAAAAAGACTGGCTGGACGCCGTTGTCTAGGGACAACCAGGAACGAACACACTGCAGTTAAAATTCTTCTAGGGACGGGCAAAGTCGATTTTGACTTGAAGGAAAGATTCTACGCGGAGGTCCAATTTCATACTCGCCACCATGTGTCTTGATTCAGTTCACTTCAGTTCAAGTTTCTATTGACCTAGTGCAGCACAGCTTCAAACGCAATGTCCATGTAAACGTTTCCTTCGGCGGACACAAGGGCCTGTCAAACGCCACGGAGAGCGAGTAACGATTTACGGCTTGGCTCACCTTCTTCAAGTTTATATATCATTCATCCATGGGTTCACAGAAGTTACCTACCAAGACCAACATCGATGCTTCGATTCAAGTTGAAACTGAACTTGAATGGGTCGGTTGTTATTCCTGAGAGAGCTTTTACCTACTAGTAGGAAACGAGAGCTGGGACCTACAATTTTCCTCCCCAAGTTGGCCCCCGGGGGGAGTTCAAGTTACCGTCTAGTAACTAGTAGTAGGTACAGTTGTAAGAAATATATTCTACGCCCTCAAACTCCGACTCGGAAATATATGATCGCGGACAGAATAAGGGATACATATTTAATATTAAATAACTTGAAAAATAATGGATTGGTTTCCTACCATGCAGCTATTAGTCGGTAGGTGCTTACTGTCGACCAAGCCTCAGATAAACAGCTTTGACTCCGAGACTGCCTTATTAGGGAAGTGTGGCCCGACACCCAAGATAGATGAGACCGAGGCATTATCAACGTGCCGTCCTATATTCTGAATCTCTCTCGCGCACTTCGCATCCATCGCGGAGAATACCAGCCCACAATTTGGTACTACCTGGAAAAGAACTTGAATCGGGCGGTTCAAGTTTCAGGCTAATTGGTCTAAATTTAGCTAGTACATCCAAGTTATACCGGCGTTTGAGCCTGTCTTGCTTACTCGTATATTTGGGCTTCAAGTTGATCACGCGCGCGGACCCTACGGCTGGCCCGGGGAACACGAGTCATGAAGTACTAGCAGTAACTACTAGTAGTAATTAATCGATGCGACTAGTTACTCGATGTAGACTAGGTTCCGAGTGAGATACCAGGCTTAGTCTCACTCTGCGACCGTTCCCGCGCTCCTACACCGGGAGAGAAGTCAGTATAGTGGGGACAAGAGTTTACGGTGATAGATTTAGTTGCTGTTTTTGGGTAATTCGGAAAGGTTCCGGAAAGATCTTCGAAATCTCGATCCTGCCAAGGTTCAAGTTGGAAGATATTACCCGTGGACGGGCGGCATGGATGGATATGCCGTGTGAGAGGCTCCTGTCGATCTATCGGTAATTGTTGCCACTGATCATCCAATTACCGAAGTTATCCCGGCGAACCTTCATGACTTAGTACGCAAAATACTAACTAGTGCCAGATACGACTATTTAACAGTGCGCTGTGTCTGTGTCCTGGTACTAGTAATCTGTCATGCGTGATAGCGTTGTAAACTCTGTACATTAAATATGAATCCTAATCGTACATATCATAGCAACAACGAGGAAGAAATAGAAATAAAAAGAGGGAGTAAAGAGAAAAAAAGGCAATTGCCAGCATCAATAATTTCCCGCCGTGGGATGTAGTCGTGACTCGTAGGACTTGAATAAACTGGGGATATTCGAGGCAAAGTCCGAAGTTGAGTGAGTAGCTGGTAAGTTGGAAAGAATTGAATCCAAGGAAATAAACAGAAAGACAGAGGATTTGAAATAAAGCAGACAAGCGAAAAGCGAATAAATAAAATCAAGTCAAGTCATGAAGCGTTGCCGAACCATTTCTTTGCCATTGGCAGGTATGAAAGGTTTGAAAGAAGGAAGATATGATATCGAAGAATGGAAAGAAGAGAAAGGGAAGGTGGTTATTAGATGTACAAGAGACCAGAAGTGCAGTTCAGATCAGATCAGATCGGTTCGGTTCAGTCGTGGGCCGCGTGGACGGTAATTGGAATTGGAATTGGAAATGTAAAAGGCCGGTTTCATAAGTGCGTGTCGTATCGCGTCACGCTGGGTGATGAGTTGAACGGAGGTTCAAATCAGTAAGCAAAATTCTCAATAAATATTTGAAGGAAGACCGTGGGTTGACGAGGCGAGTAGTTCAGCTGGAAATGACTGAAAATATAAGAAGACGAAGGGCGATGGCTCAGAATTCGAAGTCGAAGTCGAGAATAAATGAATGATAAAAAAAACATTCATAGAATGAGCTCCGTAGAACAGAGCTTATGTAGACAGATGCAGACGTGCATTCATATCTTAGTCGTAGCCATCATCGAGAAAAAAGTGTCGCAGTGCAAAGCAGAACAGAGCAAAGCAAATCAGAGCAGAGTAACCATTGAAAGGCAGACAGACGTGAGGTCAGTAAAATCAGAGCAAACGGGTCGAAGAAAAGCGTTGCATTCTGAACGAAGTAAATGTAAAAGCCGAACTGTATGTCGTTGTTGTTTTGGCGTTAGCGCATGAACATGAACCAATTGGTTCAGATAAAGACGGAAGCGCAGATGAAGACGAAGACCAAGCGAAGCGGTCTAGTTCATGAGTCGTAATCATTCTCTCCTCCTAGAAAAAGACCACCACTACCACCACCAGTTAAATGAATACTACCACCCATCTCTCCATTACCGCGGCTCACCGGGTGTCGAACTATTCCTCAAATCCGAATAGCCCGCACCGGCACCAGCACCAGCACCAGACCCAGAACCAATCTCACGATCCCTCAACCCAGCGACAGGAGTACTCACACTCACACTCGCACCAGACCCCCGCCTATCCGGCGAAAAGCGATCCGAAGGACCCCCAGAAATAGACCCAGGCCCGGGACTCGATAAAGCATGTCCAGGCCCAAACATCCTCTCCCCAGCACTATTCAATCGCGGCCGAAACGAATCTGGCGGTCCAAGCTGCAAAGCATGAGGCGAAGGTAATGAATTATGAGACGAAGTCATCTCCAAAGGTCGCGGTAACTCGCGTAAACTCATAGCGCGGTTAGGGCGCGGGTCGTGCGGGCCAGAACCTGAAGAAGTTGAAACTGAGCTTGAAAGTGAACCATGGATGGGAACGGGGCTGGATAAAGAGCCTCCTATCCCCACTCCCACTCCCACTCCAACGCTAGAACCAACACCAACACCAACACCAACACCAGCACCAACGCCAACACCCATTCCTACGCCCGTCCTTGCGCGCGATACTTGCATATCGTACGGTACAGAGGCGGGCATTAGACCCGGTGGTGGGGCGGATGACGGCGTATGGCCATATCCGCCCATGGCAACAGAGACAGCGGCCGATGACCCAGCGGGAGCTGGAGCTGGAGGGAAAGCTGAGGCGCCGGGACTTGTTGGTGAAGGCGGGATACTGAAATGGATGTCGACGGGTCTGGCGCGACTGATTGGGCGACGTGGGGGAGGGTACGTTTCGCCGCGGGCTTGGGCGGCGGCGCGACGGCGTTCGGTTTCGGCTTTGCTGGGACGGCCGCGTTTGCGCGGGGGCTCGCCGCCTGGTCCGATGGTTGACCAGCGTGGGGAGAGCGGGGCGGGACTTTCGCTGCTGTAGGAGGCGTTGCTGGCGGGGGGTTTTGGTTGGATTAAGCGTGGTGTTGGCTGTGGGGGTTTCGGGTGGGCGTGGGAGTGGTGTGGGTGAGAATGAGAATGAGAGTCAAGAGGGCGTTTGCGGGGTTCGTGGAGGGGTGATTGGTGAGGTAACAGTGGACGAGGTGTTGTGGTGGTCATTGGTGGTGTTGGGGCTGGTGGTGGTACTGAGGCTGCACCAATAGTTGATGCTGATGCTGATACTGAGGCCGATGCTGATGTTGATGCCAGCGGCGATGGGTTCGGTGCTGGACCTGTACCTGGACCTCCGGGCGCATGAGGCTGGGTCATATGGAATAGGGCCATTTTGCAGGAATTGAGCGAGCGACCTGGTTAAAGTGAGCAAAGTTGGACTTATTCCAAGGTTGGCGCCATTGAGTGGTTGATACCGTGTGGGAGGGGAATATCATTCCAATTGGGTTCGATGCGATACTCATTGATAATGCGGACGAGATAGCTGGATGGAATGCCAGCCTTCTTGAGGATCTCGGAGAGTAGAACATACTGAGAAATCATTAGCTACAAGATTCTCAGAGTATACAGTCCGTCTAAGAGAGCCTGAGGGCTCTGGAATAAAATACCTTCTCGTCCTCCGACCAGGGCCTCTCGGGTTGATTCGACATATCCAACCATAGGAACGAAAAACAAACAGCCTCCGGTACGAGATGAATCGAGAGCGACGAAGAAGAAAGCCAATGCGCAAATGCGAAAAGCGAGGGAAAGATCCGGACATAAAAAGAAAAGCTTGGAAGAAATGAAACAAGAAATGAAAAATAGAAAAAAATAGAAAAAAAAAATTAAACGGAAAAGAGACGGTGGGAATTAAGTCATTTCCACGCGACGAGAGACGATAGGAGGCTAAGAAGAATGAGCGAACGAGAGTGAAGAAGAGAAATGAAACACAATGGAATGCACTGCTCAGTTGAGTAGAGCAGAGCCAGATCAGAAAAGCAGTGCGGTGCAGAGCAAGCAGATCAGAACGGAACCAAGCGAGGGACGAAAGTGAAGAAGAAACGATAGCCACAGAAAAGTCGACAAGAACAGAAAAGAACGCAGGCAAAGAGTCCGCCGAGGAAAGGATTGGTTCGGAATGGCACAGGACAGGGCAGCTGCAGGAAAAGGAGTGGCTAGGAGACTTTAGAAGGGAAAAGGGGGGGCAAGCAGAAGGGTTTCATCTTCCAGAACAAAAGCTCCAAACCTAGAGGGGCAAACAGGACACTACTGCAATGCTGTCTGCAGCAGGATGCCAGCGTGAAAAGCGGATCCCAACGGTAGGAATGGTTGGACCCAATTCTCAAATCGCGGTTTAAACTGACCCACTAATGGTTTGCCCCGCCGGGGTGAAACACGAGTCTGGGTACTTGGGAATGTACTTTCTCATTGTCCTGGCTGTACTAAAGTGACTAATACGCGCTATACTAGTTAGCGGTAAGTAGAGGAAGTGTAAGTACAGAGTAGTGTAAATGTAAGTGCACTAATAGTACCAGTAGGAAGACAAGAGAAACCGTTACTAGTATTCTTTATGGTTTGGTGCTTCCAAGTTTGAATATTTAATTACCCTCAAAGTCAAAAAGGATACATGCATGGTGTACATAAATGTACATGTCAGTGCCAGCGCCAGTGGTACTTACCTTCAACCCGGGGCGGGCTTACACTAGTGGAGGTGGTAACTTGAAGTTCCATTTTACCTAAGATCCCATGAGATCATAGATTTGTTCCGTCCATAGTACTAATTGAGAGTAGAAATCCCCAAAGTAGCCCTGGAGAACAGTAGTTAGGAACCTGAGTACTGGATCCAAGCCCTGGATAGTAAAGATCCACGCTAACACGGTAACTGCAAATCATTGTACTGCACATCAGATCGATTGGTGACGAGCAAAAGTTGGAGTCTGCCGCTGATTCGCTGCATTGTCATTATGCTTTGCACATTGCTGTATAAAATGATTGGGCGAGGGTTCATTCCGAGGCCGAGGTATCAGGTCATACTAGTATAGTGCCAGTGGTGTGCTATACTCGATACTAGTACTAGAGGTATATTCAGGAAGTATATTCTCCTAATAGAGGACTAGTAGCAGGAGATTACTGTGTAATTTCTAATTGCCAAAAGCCATACCAATAACTACCTAACTACCAACAGCTACTTGTTATGCTGCCCAGGTGCATGTTGTATACTTGCACGTGACAATCTACGATCTCGCTGGCCCGACTACTAGAAGATCTCGCAACATTAACACCCTACAACATCTACAACAGCATATCTTCAAAACCAATGTCGCAGAAAAATTGCAAACTATATTCAACAACCCCCAGCAAACCATTTCTCAATTGTCACCGAGGTAGCTCCCCTAGCCTCGACTCTCTACTTCATCGTGCATCTCCGCTGCCTCCTCGCCGCAGGCGGTGAGCGCGAGATAATCCTCGATGGATCAAATTAATCTCCCTATCTGCCATCACTTCGCGTCTAGGTCGTGACGACTGTCCAAGGGTCTGAATCTCATGACCAGGCATAGACCATGGACTCCCCCAATGGCCTGAGAAATGGCAAGTCCATCTCCCCCGACGCGATGGCAATTTCCACGCCCTCCGCGAATGACAACGCCAATTCCGCCCCAGATGCGATGAATGTCAAACCTGAGCCGTCTGGCGACATGAAGGTTCCTGCTTCGACTTCTGCCTCTGCCTCTCCTGTTGCCTTCACCTCCGCAACCTCCGATCAATCAAATTCAGAAGCACACTCAAACATGAAGGCCAGCCCCTCCGACGAGGAGACGGTCGGCGGCGACATCCTCCTCAAACAGGAGCCCGGCCAGCCTCCCAAGCTGTCGCGTAGCTCCTCGCAAAAGGTCGTGTCGCACCCACCGCAGCTCTTCGATCACCTACCCGACAGCACTCAAGATGCCCTCGCAACTTTCGAGCAGATCCAGGCTTGCTGGTACGCCAATAAATACATGGGCTACACGGAACACGCAATGGAGTGTGACTGCTCTGAGGAGTGGGGTAAGTTTGATCCCTGCACCTACAAGTGAGAGGAATCCGACGGACTTTGAACCCTTCTGCCGAGTCGGGTGTGACTCGGATCTCCGTTGGACCTCCTTGTACAATCTCCAACCTTCCGTTGATCGTCATACTTATTTCTTTTCTCTCAGATGCGAAACTCGGCCAGAATCAAGCCTGTGGCGACGACTCCGACTGCATCAACCGAGCAACCAAAATCGAATGCGTGGGCGACTGCGGCTGTGGCTCCGACTGCCGCAATCAACGATTCCAGAAAAAACAATATGCGCCGGTCTCGGTCATCAAGACAGAAAAGAAGGGCTTCGGGTTACGCGCCGAGACAAAACTCGAACCGCACCAGTTGATCTTCGAGTATGTCGGCGAAGTCGTGGGCGAGGCCCAATTCCGGCGCCGCATGAGACAATATGATGAAGAGGGCATCAAACATTTCTACTTCATGTCCCTCAATAAGGGCGAATTCGTGGACGCAACGAAACGTGGCAACCTTGGTCGGTTCTGCAACCACTCTTGTAACCCCAACTGCTATGTCGACAAGTGGGTGGTGGGCGAGAAACTGCGGATGGGAATTTTCGCCGAACGAGCTGTGGAAGCAGGTGAAGAGTTGGTCTTCAACTACAACGTCGATCGATATGGTGCCGATCCCCAGCCTTGCTACTGTGCCGAGCCGAACTGTACCGGGTTTATCGGTGGCCGTACCCAGACCGAACAAGCCACCAAGCTCTCGAATGCGACAATCGAGGCCCTTGGTATCGATGAGGAGGACGCTTGGGATACCGTGGTTGCCCGGAGGCCCAAGAAGAAGAAGACCGAAGAAAACGACGAGGAGTATGTGGACAGCGTGCAACCCAAGTCCCTTCAGGAGGATGGCGTCACCAAGGTCATGGCGGCTCTTATGCAGTGCCAGGAGAAATGGATTGCCGTCAAACTTTTGGGCCGCATCCAGCGTTGCGAGGACGAGAGGGTGTCCAACAGGGTGGTCAAGATGCACGGTTACCAGATTCTGAACTCCCAACTTGCGCAATGGAAAGAGGATCACAATGTCGTGCTGCAGATCCTGGACATCCTGGACAAGTTCCCACGAATGACTCGCAACAAAATCATCGACTCCAAGATCGAAACGAATATACAGCCTCTCACCACTTGCGGCGACGAACGTGTCGAGCAGAAAGCTATCGTTTTGTTGGCCGATTGGGCGGACTTGAAGGTGGGTTACCGCATTCCGCGTATGAAGCGGGACGAGCAAGCCAAGAAAGCAGTTAATCAATTCGAGCGCCGGGAATCCGGTCGCGAGCAGCGTCAACGCTCTGTCACACGATCACCCTCACCCACATACGAGGCCCGACAACGCCCGACTCAACCACGGCGAGAGAGAATTCAGCATCAACAGAACCAGCGGCCTCGACCGAATCGTCGTCGCCAGCTCCCGGACCGTCAGCTCCCAGAGGGATGGTTCCAGGCAGAGGACGAGTCAGGTCGCTTCTACTACTATACAGCCGATGGCAAACCTACATGGCAGAAGCCGACGGCTCCTGCGACTCCTGCTGCACCAACAGTACAGAAGAAGAACTTGGCTTTGCAAAGCATTATCGACGGCATTGTCAATTCGCAAGAAAAGACGCCAACCTCGGAGCACAAGATTGATACCCCCGACACCCCGCAACCGGCATCTGACCATCAAGAGAAGAAGCGAGAGGATAAAGGATGGAGGAAGCTTCCTATAGAGAAGCAGAAAAAGCTTTACGAGAACACTGTACGTCTGATCACCCCAACATCCCAGGCCATGGCTAACAAACTCTCCTAGCTATTCCCCCACATCAAGCCATTCGTCGATAAATACAAAAATAAGATCCCAAAGGACGATCTCAAACGCTTTGCGAAAGAGGTATGCTCTTCCCCGAAGACCCAAAAGACCCCAATGCTAGTCCCAGAAGGTGCATGCTTGGGCTTGCATACTCTACCCCGTATAACCCGCTAACAATTATTCTAGACGGCCACCAAACTCGTGAATAGCGACTATAAAGCCAACCGCGTAACCGACCCCACAAAAATCAGCGACAAACACCAACAAAAAGTCAAAAGCTTCTGCAAAGACTACTTCGACAAAGCCTACAAAAAACACAAAGAGCGCATGGAACGACGGTCCAAATCCGCCGCCAACACAACAACAAAACTCACCATCCAACCCACAGAAGCAGAAGCAAATTCCACACCCGCAGACGCAGACGAGGACGTCACAAAGCTCTCCGACGACGAAGCAGGTGGTGATGGTGATGGTACTACATTGACCTCACCAATGGACGACGACGCCTCGGTCTCAGCCTCGCTGAAGCGCAAACGTCCCGAGGAAATTGATGCCGAGAATTTGCTTAATGGTTCCGCAGCAGAGGCTGGCTCAGCTTCTCCTTCCAAACGACAGAAATCTACACCTCCGCCGCCACCTCCGCCCCCCGATGCCGACGCCGATGCTGACGCCGATGTCGATGCTGATGCCGATATTGGCGATGAGACGCCGAAAATTGATGACGAGGATGATGAATCCGCTCCACCTCCACCTCCGCCCCCACCGCCTAAGGACGAGCATTCAAATTCTCCTGATGAATATCCCGTTGAGATGGAGGGTGTTCAGCAACAGCAGCAACAAAATGGTGTTCAGGTGCAGGGGGTATAGCACTCGCCACTTTCATTTCATTATTACTATTTTTTCTCTGGAATTCCTTTTCCCTTTCTTTTTTTAATTTGGGTTTATTTATTCTTCTTTTTCTTTCTTTTTACTCCCTCTTACCCTATCATCGAATTGTGTAAATGAGGTGATTTGGTTCGGTGAAAAGATGGATAAGGAGGACTCAGTCGGTTGACTCCGCAATGTTACGCAATGCAATGCAATGCAACGCGACGCGGAGAGGAGAGGAGAGGAGGATTGGGCATGGAGTGGGTGTTGAGTGCATTTTTCTTTTGCATTTTTCTTCCCTTGGCTTTTTCTGGCAGCTTTTTGTAAAAAAAAAAGAATAGCGTGATGGTGATACGATGCGGTGGGATAGGCGAGGGCGAGGGCGAGGCCAGAGCCAGCGAGGCGATATTCGATTCTTTTTTTGTCTTTTTCATCACCATCATCACACCCCTTTTTGCAGTTTAGTTTCAGGATGTATTTGGCAATACCCCGATCATAGTCAATATGGAGTTGGATTCTTTCTTTTTCTTCGTTTCTCTTAATTGGGATTTTTTGGAGTTATCTTTATGATTGCTTTGTTGTCGGGCTCGTTGCTTTTTTGCGTGGGGTTTGGTTTCTTCGCTTTTGCGGTTTATAGTTGACTTGTATTAGGAGATTTGGGGACCTTTGTGGGTTCCTTCGTGCAGTAGTAGTGATTGCTTGCTCTTTTTGATGATATCGTGCCAATGGTATGATTTTATTGACGCCAAAACATTCGTGGTCAGCCCTGGAGTTCCTCTCTCTTGGATTTGGATTTGGATCTATCATGACTTTGCACAAAGCTCCTACTACACTTCGTACCGGATTTTCTCGGGCAGTATCGTTTTTCTGAGAAAGCAATGGAATCACTTTAAATACTACTCTAGGGTAAAAAGCTCTAAGCTTTGGAAGCAATTTCAAGCAGGGAAGTCTGATTATCTAGGCTAGCGCTGGATGTGGTCTTTGAGCTTCCAAGTCAGGCATCCTTTTCTTGCCTTGCCAAATATCTTTCGAAAGCGATTTGGCTCGCCTGCCAAAAGCGATCAAAGGAAAGCAAACATAGGTTTATAGTCAAGTTGGCGCCCCACAACCTGGTGCAGTTCTGAGTCTTCTGCTGCCACAGGAGAAGCAGCGCCATCGACTCTGGTAAATGTCTCGGGTGGCTTTCTTGGTAGAAAATTATATGGTGACTATAGAGTTTCTTCTCTTCTTCTGAATGTTCTTCCAAGGTTGTACATTCAAAACTTTTCATTATGTCTCGTTATCCTCTTCGACCTCGCTTTCGGACTCCATTTCATCCTCTTCCTCGTCGTCAAAAACCTCCGTTGCATGACTGAGAGCATCGGCGTCCCACCACAAAATCCGCTCTTTTAGAAACTTCACTATGGGGAAGTGCCCTTTCTTACCGGCTAGCTTGATAGCCCTGATATATTGTCTCCGATTTGGTCCTTCTGGGGCTGCCCCTTGGCTCAAAAGAAGTTGCAATGTATCGATACGACCCCACTCCGCAGCGCCCTCAATTGCTGTTCTTCCAAATAAGGTCGAACCCAATGCATCTACAGCAGCCCCGGCCTCAATCAATGCTCTTGCAATTCCTATAAATCCTCTGATAGCTGCAAATTGCAATGCAGTTCCCCCTGATCGATAAGCGGGCTCTTGGTTGACATCTGCTCCTTTTGCGAGAAGTAAATCCACCAGTTCGATGTTCCCTTGCCCAGCAGCGATTTGTAAGGCAGTCTTTCCAAAATTAACAGCTGGGGGCGCATTTATGTCTGCGCCTTTCTCGATCAAGAGGTTTATCAATGTGATTTTCTCTTGTTCAACAGCGAGCTGTAATGCGGTTTTCCCTTCGTATAGATCCGGGGTTGTGTTTAAATCTGCCCCGGCTTGTATGAGACGGTTTATCATGAACATATCCCGTGTTTTGATTCCTATCTGGAGGGAATGTCTCGGCAACTTACTTTGGTCTGATTGAGGCTCACGACTCAGACCAACCCTGACAGAAGAAGAAGATCCATGGCTTTGACATCCCCAGCGCGTATTACCTGTAGGATAGTTGATTCTCTGCAGCCACCGGAGTAGAGAAGGGCAGTAAAGTGCAAAATTGTAGGATCTATGAAAGCTTCCAAAGCTTCCTCGTCGCCGTTTTGGAATACATTCTTCAATGCAGATTTTGCTTGGAATAATCCTTCTGAAGACGGTAGCTGGTCCATTGCATAATAAGACAGAAGGGTTCTTGCAAACCATTTCCCGCAAAAGGTCGAAAAGTAGAGTGCAGTGTAACCAAATCTAAGATCTGCATTGACATTGCATCCGCCTCTGATGATTTCGAATGTGACATCCCTCCGACCTTTATCCATGGCTATAACGAGGGCATTAAGCATCGGAATCTCTGGTTGTTGCAAGCTGCACGATGAACATTTTAAAAATTGGCATCTGAACCGCGAACATTCTAGCAATAGACATTCTGGTGCTTGACATCTTGCTAGGGGATCCTTGAGCGATGGGTATTGAATTCTGATGGGCCGGTATTGAGAACCATCAATCATTTGGTTGGCATCTGCACCGGAAGCTAACAAGTCTCGCACAAGATCTCGCTCATTGAATTGAATGCTCATGATCAATGCTTTACCCTTCTCTTCGGGTGTCCATATATCCAATTTCAGCAGAATCTCCATGATGGTGCGATTGCCTTTCTGGGCTGCCACTTGTAAAACTGAATCAAGCTTCAATGTCTCCTCTGAGTCAAAGGGATGGGGTGCTTCGCTATTATCACTCCACCAGAGTCTGCTTGAAAAATCCTCACTATGCCAATCCTTTTTGGGAGGAGGCTTTGCGCGCACCTTGCGCAGATCGAAGATAACTTGTGGTTTTCCACGCGGATTGAATCCAAATCTGAGAAGACTTTCGATCAGAAAAGTTCCGTTGTGCATAATAGCTATTCCAAACGCAGTGGGTATTGCTATCCCCGGGTTTGGAATCATTCTCAAGAGATTTGACAATCCACCAACATCGTAGCCCTGCAAGAGCCGAGAAACAATGACGTTCATGTCCGAATCATTGATTAGAGATCCGCGCTGAATGAGAAATTGAGCCAACCTCCATGAATGGGTGTATATTGCGGCCCCAAGAGGAGACGCCTTGGTTTCGTACGAGTTGCAATGCAGCTCAACAATAGAACTGTTGCCTTGGTCCGCCTTGTTCTCAAGAAGAAAGCTGATGAGGGGCCTATTGCATCGAAGTATGGCAGAAGCTAATATTCGAGGGCCACTAAAAGACAAGATCTCAAAAAGCCAACCTGAATATTTCAAAGAGTCGGCCGTCCGAATACTTCCAAAGCGAAGTACTGGGATGTTGAAAATCGATGCACCTGAAGCTTTTAGCAGAACAAGCATGTTAGTATTCTCGCTCTGTACGGCCCATGCGAGAGCATGAGGCGGAGAAAACTGTGGACAGTAAGGATTGACTGGCCCTTTAAGGGCAATCAACCAAGATGCCCTCTCGACATCATTTTTCAACACAGCTTCAAACATGGCTGAACTAAGCATCGACTGTCGCTCCTCTGGACTGGCATATGCACCTGCATCCAAAAGAGCTAGAACCAAGTCGGATCTAGGTGCAGCTCTTTGTACAAGTGTCTTTCCCACGGGCTCGTGAAGCATTTTGCATTGATCTGCAGCTTTAACGTTTGCTCCAGCCCGAAGAAGAAGCATAACAGAGCCAAGCTGCTTGCTGTGTGCTGCAAGCGCGAGTGGAGAAATAGCCCCCTTTAGACCAGTTGGTAGATTGAGATTGGCGCCAGTTTCAATCAGTACGCGCATGCACGCCATATTTCCGGCTGCCGCAGCAGACCCCAAAAGGCTGGTTGTTTGTTCAAACCTCTCTCCGTTTTCATCTGTAACCGGATATTTTTGAGGAGCTTCCAGGTCCAAACCGCCACGTATGAACCAGTTTACTAGCCCAGCTTTCGCGCGACCAAAGAATAATGTAGCTTCCTCTGTCATGCAGTTTGGATTCACCGCGACATCCACGAACATTTCAACAAAATCTTCAAGGTTGCATCCCTTGTATCTCGTCTTGATGCTGAAATTATGAGAAGAATGTGTTTCATGCAGATGCAGGAGCAGCAACTTGAATATTCGTTTATTGCGACGCTCCATGGCTTTTGTGATAGCGGGCTTACTGTCATTTCTAGGGTCAAGAGATGCCCCATGTGACAGCAGTAGATGAACAAGCTGAATAGACAAAAAGCACTCTTTCGTTTCGGATAAATATTGTAATGGTGTTTCATGTGATTTGTCAAAGACCATTGGTGTGTCTGGATGCATTCCAGCCAGAAGCATAATTTGAACCATTTCGAAGTCATAGATCATGATCGAACTTTGGAAGATTTTGCGGGAAATAACTTCAGCAGTAAGACCGTCGACAGAGATGAGGTTTTTCATGCTCTGGATGTTGTCAAGTTTTGCTAGTCCCAGAATGTACCGTATTATTCTGGATATACGGGACTCATCGACCGAAGAGTCGACTAAAATTTGTCCCATGTTAAGACAAATGCTATTTGAAAGCATGTAAAAAGCCAAAGAAAGAACATGGGAATCTAGGTCACCATGTATGAGAGATTTTGCAGTGTCAAGATGTTCTCCTTCATGGCCTTCAGGCATGATAATCCTCAGCATCTCAGCCACTGCTGGGGTACTTCCTTTGAAGAGAAAGTCTTGCCTTAAACTGAAAGTAGCGGAGGAGCTCAAACAATAGAGAATGTTCTTTATTCGAGTCCTAGCCGATTTCTCGATATTGACACATTCCCCTGAAGAATGAATCGATTCGGCATCCACATCTTGCGCGCGGAATTAGCAAAGGATAGAAGTCTTCTACCACGAATGTTTTCTTACCAACCATCTTCCTGGACTCAATTTGTTGGAGGAATGTAAGCCAAGGGAGGTTCGAAGGCGATTTTAGTTCCCCATTGCTATCAGAAATTGGGGACCATACAGTCACTTCTTCCGGGGTTGGGGGCAAAGGAGCTATGAATATTAGCAACAAACCTCCAAGTTGGAAAAGAAGCCAAATTATACTTGATTTGTGTCTTTCGACTGTTGGTTCATATGCGTTCCGACGTATCCCAGTCAATATATTACCGGCGGATTGAATTACCCCGTTGATGGCAAATATACCATCTGGCTTTCCCTCGATTTTTCTCTTTTTCATCATCTCCCGTATATAGATCCAGACCACCTTCCCACCATGGTTCTTTTTGAACCTCCACTTCTTGAATTGATTTTCATACTGCCATTTTCTAAATCTGAAATTAGAACCTTTTGGAACGGAATCTAGAAATGGGTGGTGGATAAGGTGACGTACGATGCGCTAAACCCATACTTTAATCTCATGATCTTCATCACGTGGGCCTGAGACTTTCTTTCTTCCATGTATAGGCGTTCGATTTCGGGCTTATAAGCCTCCCAGCCTTCATCCATAATGGCGGGGCTGGAGTCAAGATAACGAGGATAGAAGGTCAGCCAGCCTTGGTAGCGATGGAAAATAAGATAGATGACATGGGCGAGTGGCAGTTGAAAAATTGGAATAGGGAGGAAGGAAAATTGAACAAAAAGCTAGGATGATCCAGGTGACTTGTTCTTTTGTGGTTCAGCGTTTTATGAATAGCCCGGGATCATGGTACAGGACCAATCACGACTCTGTATCGTCCCAACGAGCGATGGGCAACTAAGAAAGTAAAATTGAAATCCCATGGATAAAACGGAACGTGCAGAAATTGCGGAACGAATGTAGGTCAATAGAGCCTCGTTTACTCAAACGTACCTAAGCACATATGACATGTCGACTGGTGTGATTGCGGCTGATGTACTGCCCTCTGGCGGAATTCCAGGGTTGTGGAGACCGCCTCCTACGGCACTCCATGCCTCCCAATAGGAGCTTCGAGTTGCTTCAGGGGTACCTGCAGCAGTCTTGGCGTAAAGGATGCGTCGAGTGGGAGTTTGGACACCGCTCGGTCACACTCACTTAGCCATTTTTTCCTCGAGCAAGTACATTGTTCAAAGATGACCTAGGTGAGGTTCAAAGCATAGCAGGTGCCAAAACCAACCGGTAGTTTGATCTGTGTACTATATAGTTCGGCGGCGCCGAAAAAGCCGGCGGCTTATGTGTGCCTGGGATTACATGTCGGGTTATGTCTTCTGTTGATTGGGTGATGATCCTTTCTGGTGGAGTTAGGCGCATCCATATCCTTCTAAATTCGCGGGGATGCGATGACGGGTTAGCCGAGAGAAATGCTCCTTGGCCATTGGTCTGTCTCCTTTTCTGGTGGGGGCCCCCATGGTGTTCGTGTACTAGCATAAGGCACAGCCTGCTGTGTGGGCCTGGACTTGATCCAGGGAAGACAAGCCGATAGAAGCGGGCTAACGCATTAGTTGCGCCTCTCATGCATGCTCCAGCGTCGTTGGCGACGTGGGCATGGGCGGCGTGCAGATCACCCTTGTCATTTCCGTCATGGTCTTTCCCCCTGGAGAAATATCTCGAGTGCCAACGGTTTTCCTTCTTCATTCATTGGTCTGTGACCCTTTCTGAGGGATCCCAAGTGATCACCATGCAGACGCACCTCGTCATTTAATCCTCCTCGGATCTCTCTCCACCTTTCCCCGAGTCCTCGTCCCTCCCTATACGAAGTCTGGCCCCGACGGAAGCAGGCTTTTCCTTTTCCATTGATTGGGTAGTGACTTTTCACGGTTACCCAGGAACTACCAGCGGCGAGTGGACCCTTGTAATATTTCTCTCTTTGGCCTAGCTCCAGACATATATGTCTATGTAGGTGTTGAATCTGATCGACCGGGCTATCTCTAGACAGACCGCTATGTTACACGTCCGTGTCGCGTCCTTCGCCGATCCAAATAGGACAACGCGCGAAGATCTTATTACAAGGCTTTTAGATTTTTAGATCTTTCGTCCAAGTTAAGTTACTGCAGGTCCACGTATTTATGGACTTGCAGTTTATTGGAGCAGAGATGCCTCCAAGGAGCCTTATCCAGAAGCGGAATGGACGCAGTGTTCAAGGGAAGGTTAAGAGATACCCGTAGGGCAAACACCTACAGTGAGCCCCGGAGCCCTACAATTGATTATAAGTAGCCTTTCTCTTACTCTTCATAGACAGCAAGCTCCTCTCAGGTTTTGACACACCATCGACAGGTCTCTTACCAGTGACGACTCTCGAGTCAGAGCCGACCACAGCATGGGTTGGGACAATGCCAATTTTCATCTCCAGCGCGAGGTTCAGGGTCAATTTCAGATCACAATGGCCCCCAACTCAGTTCTTGTTCCGTTTAATACGGCACAGCGACCTCATTTCCAAAGCCTACAGCTTATTCCTTTCAGCCATGGGCTGAACGCGTATGATATTTATCATGGCCTCAATCATGGCATCGCTACCTCCTCGGTATCGGGAAACATAGCTTCTGATGTTGGAAGTATTATCGAGGAAGGTCAAGCAAACGAAGGGCATATAATCACTCAGAATCAGGATAGCTCAAGTAACGCTAAGTAAATACCACACTCCTGTGCAGAATATCTCATGAATCACATACTAACTATGATTCACTATAGCACGAGCCCTCCTCCCTTACTATGCGAGTGGCCGGACTGCAAGCGGCCTGGTCCATTCTCCAGCAAGGGGACTCTTAGGCGCCATGTCAACACTCAGCACCTTGCTCCGCGGTCCTTCAAATGTCCTCATCGTGAATGTACCATGACCTTCAATCGAAAGGACAACCTAGATCAGCACTTGCGATCCGATGTTCATTGGAAGAAGATCTGAGAAGCCTGTATCTACTCTGGCGCTAGTGGATTACCGACCATATTCGAGTACTCTGAGGGATTTCAGCGATTGGCATTGCCAACAAATGGGGCGCGGTGAGACTAAGGAAAATCGAATGCTTGGGGATCGAATTTGGGTACGGTAATTGGTTGAACCTTTTAATTGTGCCGCTTAGGCTTGAATAGAATGGTTTTACTTCTCAATGGCCCTCTAGTAGATCGTATAGTTTCATCTTGTCCTTATTCAGCGTGTGTTGGTCAAGCCAAATTTGAGAACCACCGCCCGTATCACTCTACTTCAGGCAGATTTCAGCTTTCTCAATTCACCTATCAAGCTTCTTGACCACCCATCTGACCCCAAATAGCCCATGCAAACCACAAAATCACCGTCCTCTGCGACACGAGACACTAGGTTAGGCAACTGGGTTGAGTCATCCATCGAAGTCACTTCTGAGTGCCCAAAGTTGCGAAGCGACTGAACTAGGGTATCCTGGCCCTGTGCAGCCTGGATCTCCTCCACCCCTTCGGCTCGACCGACTATGATATGTGCTGTTCCCTCAAAGGCACTGGCGTATCCATCAGCGACCCAATCTTCTGCCATAGAAGCCCGGCTGCACGACTGATGAACGGCAATAATCCTCTTGGCCCCGGCTTGCTTTGCCATATTCAATGTTGCTCGTATTTCGGCAGTATGAGAAGCATGGTCATTGATGATGGTGATTCCATTGATAACTCCGATATGCTCGAACCGCTGCTGCAGACCGGGAAACGTACTCAGTGCTTGACTTAATATCGGTACTTCGATACCAATCTCGATGCCAATTGCAAGCGCTGCGAGTGCATTCTGAACATTCGCCACTCCAAGGGCATTCAAAGTAATGCGACCGATTGTCGTACGGCACTCGCTTTGTCGGTCACGAACGGAGATAACGAAAGAGCAGCTATCGGGTGAGTATATGGGATCCTCTGCACGGACATCTGCCTCTTCGGATAGCCCGTACGTCACGATATTTTGATCCTGCACCGAAGGCATGATTTGTTTGACGCCTGAGTCGTCGATACAAAGAACTCCGAGTCCAAAGAAGGGCACATTATGAATAAATTTGGAGAACGCCTCTCGGGTGTGCCTTTCTTCCTTCCAAAAGTTGATATGGTCACTGTCAATGTTCGTCACAACCGTCACCAGATGAGGCAAGTCCAGGAAAGACCCATCACTTTCGTCCGCTTCAACTATCATCCACTCTCCTGTTCCAAGGTAGGCGTTGCTGTCGTACAGACTCATAGTTGCGCCAGTTATAACCGTGGGATCCAAATCAGCAGCCCGCATAATTGCCGCCAGCATGCTCGTGGTGGTGCTTTTGCCGTGGCTGCCCCCGACGGCAATTGCCTTCTTATTCCGCATAATCTCACCCAGCATCTTAGCTCGGTGTATGACTGGGATTCCATTTGCTCTGGCGGCTTCGACCTCAATATTTTCTTTGGTTCGCCATTTAATCGCCAAGGCTTGTCCTGACGAAACCACCAGTTTAGCAGAGCGCACATAGGCGGTGTCATGGCCAATAAACACAGTCAGACCAGCGGCCCGGAGTCTTCGTGTGTTATCACTTTCTTTAATATCGCTACCTTGCACTTGGTATCCCAGCTGGTGGAGAATCAAAGCTATTCCTGACATTCCATGCCCACCGATGCAGACAAAGTGGATAAGGCCAATGGAAGGAGGGAAGCCGAGCATCGAAGGCGTCCGCTCATCTAGTAGCCTATCTTTGAGGCTTAAGAATTTCATTTTGTCTTCTTTTATCCTGGTATATAGCAGGGTGGCGTTGGAAGAAAATAGATCGCGATGATTATGTATTGGACATCGCCCCGCAGTTGGATTGCAGTTCGCTTCTGCTACGTCTCTCGCCAATAGAAGCGCTAACTGGCCAATCCTCCCTTGGGTGGAACCTGACTACGGAGTATCTTATGAAAACTTACGCAACTCAAACTGATTTTTCTGGTGGATCGATGGATCTATCTGATAATGTTTACTTCAGGGATCAACTGGAAGCCTAGTTTAGCCTGAACATCTTTTATAATTGAATCCGCCAGGAGCACTATTTCTCGGCCTCTTGCTCCTCCATAGTTGACGAGTACTAGAGCATGGCTGGGAGAGACCCCTACTTCCCCTATTTGCTTTCCCTTCCAGCCACAATTCTCGATCAACCATGCTGCCGGTATGATATGGAAGCTATCTGGCCCAGGAAATGATGGTATTTCTGGGTGGGCCTTCATGATGGACTTGCAGAGCAACGTATCACAAGTCGCATTCTTAAAAAAGCTCCCCGCATTTCCCAATATTTTTGGATCAGGCAGTTTGCGTCTACGGAGCAGACAGATTGCCTGACTAACCGATCGTATGGTTGGCGTCACAACACCTTGTTGCTGTAGAACATCCTGAACAGAGGAATATTGTGTGTTTAAGCAGTGGAATTGCGCTTTGGATACCCTGATGGTGACCGAAGAGATAAAAGCATATTTCAAGGCATGTTTGAAGATGCTGTCGTGATATTTCAAGGCGCATTCATCTTTCGACATGGTTCTTGTTTCGCCGGTCTCCAGGTTGCACACTTCCACGCTCAACATCACATCGCTGAGCTCAGCTCCATATGCACCAATATTTTGTATTGGAGCTGCGCCGACCGTGCCAGGTATCAAGGATAAATTCTCTAATCCGCCGAGGTCATGATCAATGCAATATGTCACCAGCGACATCCATTCCACTCCCCCGCCAACTCTGAGGACTGTGTTATTTTCATTTTCGGATACGACTTCAATGCCGCAAATCTCGTTTTTCAGGATGACGCCGTCAAAGTTCTCTGCAGCAAATAGAATATTACTACCGCCGCCGATCACCAAATGCCGAAAGTCGCGGAACCGGGGTGAAGCCAGGAGATCTTTGAGGTCGTGAATACTGCGGATCCGCACAAGGTAGCGGGCAATTGAGTCAACATTGAAAGTGTTATACTCCCGCAGATTTACATCTTCTTCCCAACAGAGGGGCGACATGATGTGTACGAGTAGCAGTATCGAATTTGCTCGACACTCGCGGGGCAGTTGCCCCACACAATTCGATTTTGGCGAACGCACAATCGATCGAGAGGAATTCGATGCATCTGACTATCATCGCTCAGTCGACCCACTTGTTGCCGTATGGAGTACATAGTCGAGATTCCAACGCCGTAGAACCGACGGCGATTGGTCGATACAGCCCAAGTACAGATCTTGGCTCCATGAAGCTACACCGCATCTAGTATCGTACATCCAGCGGCACACCGCTGGGGTTCGAGGAAAGAAACGGGTGAACTGAACGGAACAACATGAAAATTGATATCTAAGGGATCAGGCAAAATCAGGCCAAGATCAGGGTGTCTGTCCCACTATCCAAAGGGGCGTGTTTCACTATCCATATCCAAAATCCACTCCAGTCAAAATCAGATCACATCCCTTCTTCATGCAATGACGGGCGCTATTGTCATTCAGGGCGGCTACGATGTCGCCGGAGATATCCACGTCTCAGGCTCAAAGAACGCCGGACTAGCGCTGATGGCAGCAACAGTGCTCGCGTGCGGAAATAGTACCTTGCAGGGAGTTCCACCGGTATCAGACATCCACAACATGGCTCGAAATCTCCAGTATCTTGGTGCGAGCATCAAACGCCTTGATGGAAGCCTCCGTATTGATACGACAAAATTAATATCTCTCTATGTACCCGATCACCTGGCGGGCTGTTTACGGGCGTCCATTTTGTTGCTGGGTCCTCTTGTTGCACAATATGGATATGCCAAGTTGAGCCTTCCGGGGGGTTGCACGATTGGCGACCGCCCAATTGAGGAACACGTTAGAGGACTCGAGGCTTTAGGGGCTCGTGTCAAAGTGACCGACGACTATATCGAAGCACATGCCACTCGGCTCCAGGGCGCTTCTTTAAATTTGCAGACTCCGTCTGTAACCGGGACAATGAACTTGATAATGGCAGCTTGTTTGGCACATGGGACCACGCATATACACAATGCAGCCCGTGAGCCGGACGTGGTCGACTTGATCATGTGTCTCATCAAGATGGGTGCTCAGATCGAAGGGGCTGGAAGCGATCATCTCATCATTTCTGGTCATGGCCGGCCGCTATCTCCATACCAGTACAAAGTTATGGAAGACCGGATTGAGGCAGGCACCTTCTTGATCCTTGGAGCAATAGCGGGGAATCCGCTCACCATTCACGGCTGTCAAGTTGAGTATCATATAGCACTCATCATTAAGCTTCGGGCTGTTGGAGCTATCATCGATGTCTCCGGAAATTCAGTGACTATATGCAAGGCCAAGCAACCATCATCCACCGACATCCAAACTGGGCCATATCCCGGCTTCCCAACAGACCTGCAGCCGCAGTTCATGGTATTACTCTCCCTGGCACAAGGTATTAGTGAAATTACAGAGACGGTTTATGAGAGCCGGTTCAGTCAGGCTGTAGGCCTCCGAGCTATGGGTGCAGATATTGAAATCTGCGGGCAGATTGCCACAATTTCTGGCATATCGAGTCTTTCTGGTACAGATGTCTCTGGATCTGACTTGAGGGCTACTGCTAGCCTCGTTATTGCCGCTATTGCTGCGAGAGGGGCTTCCGTTATCCGAGGTGTGAAATACATCGATCGTGGGTATCATGATATGGAAAGGAAGTTGCAAAATATAGGCGTAAAGATCACACGGGTCCATGGACTTGATTCAACAAAGAATATTGACATATGAATGGATGTTTCCTTTTGCTTAAGTTGTGCCTGAGCCGATGAGTAACATGGGTAGATAAGGGCCTGGCGGAGCTCAGAGCTCAGTGATCTGAATCAATAGCAATATTAGGAATATAGAAGCGTGGGAAAAGAATATCCACTACCGCGAGTGGAGCGGTGGAGCACTGATCTCTTAAGAGCAAGAATAGGTAAACAGCACACTCCTATTCATAATCCTGAAAGATTATGCTCATAATCCTGAAAGATTATGATAGTCCATTACATACTATTTCATACTATTTACGTATGAAACGATGACATTCAAAACCGCTTTGTTGTGCAAATGGCCAGACTGTAAGCCTTCCAGGCCTTTCTCCAAGAGCGAAACTTTGAAGCCCCATGTCAATACTCAGCATCATAACCGGCGTTCGTTCAAATGTCCTCGGCATGGATGCCCGAGGTTCTTCAATCGAAAAGATGTACTTGATCGAAACCTGCAATCTAGTACTCATTTGAATTATTGTGTGTTTGTTTCGGCAAGAAACTTCTTTAACATGCCTGAAGACTGTGGTGGGCGCGATCGGCATGACGGTAAAGGGCACACGACGGGAAAAAGGAGTCGGGAACTTTGAGGTCAAATGAATGGAATGATTTTGGTAAAATTTTCAAGCTGTGAGATTGGTTTGACTTCAAAAAGCGTTTTTTGTACATCGTATGGAGAGAGGTTGTAGAGAATAGATAAATCAACTGACTGTAGTATGAATACAGAATTAGGCGAGCGTACTCCATCCCTAAATAACCACGCTACTATATCGCAGTAGTGGATCAAGAGTATTGGATATCTATTTAATGGCTAAAATGTAGTCAGTATAATTACCAGTAACCCTTGGGACAATTGGAACTACATCCACTCAACACCATAGTCACAATAACGATTACCAATTGACATTTCAGTGGCCCGAATTACGAAAGAATATCACGGTTATTGCTCATAAATGAGAACTACCCAGCGGAACATGCGAATATTAGAAAGAGTAAACAAAATAATGAGCACGAGACCTAGAATGCCAAGAAATAAGCGACCGTGAAAAGCAGCGCCATTTGACTACCTTTAGATGATCTGGCTCGCCAATCAGAGCTCTGTTATCTCCAAGGAAGATAGGGGGGTTCATTAGAAAAAACATATGGGAGAATTGGAATGATTGAAGATGAAAAATCTTCTGGGTGATTTTGCAGGGATCCCACAACTCTAATGGAAGTACGAGTATATCTGTATACGAATAGGGGTCGGGGCCCGGGAGAGGAGGGGGGACCAGCAAAAAGAGAGGGGACCAGCAAAAAGAGAGGGGACCAGCAAAAAGAGAGGGGACCAGCAAAAAGAGAGGGGGTCATAAATCGCTAGGGGGTCGCAAATCACTAGGGGGTCACAAATCACTAGGGGGTCGTAAATCGCTGAGCGGTCTCTGTTCAAAAGGAGGCACGGAATAAGCGCCAAGTAACTATTTTACCCAGGAGCACAGAGTGATGGGGAACTCTTCGCTCCCAATAACAGGGTATCGTCATCGACAGGGATATTCATTGGTAGCACTTGCAAGATACAACGGGCAACCCGATGGGCAGAGCTGTATTTTTCAATGCTGAAAGGTTCCCGGAAGCAAACGTGTTGGGGGCGAAATCCCAATCCATGATACATCATCAAATACTAGTACCATTTCCTAGCACCTGGGGTCCTGCAAAGCAGAATTGCAATAGTCCTAGTAGTAGGGCTACGGCAAATCTTTGGGTACCAATAACTGGCCATGTGTACTAGTAGGCGTCTTGCCTGTTCGCTGATTTTTATTTATGTTTATTTTCAAACGTGATAGGCAAAGGCTCGCGGACTTATCCCGAGGTCGAGAGTAAATGCGTCATTAATATGCAGGAACTTGAGATCAACAATACCTTAACGGGCGTAGCGGCGGTGGGAATAAATGAATTGCGTACGGTTCGCGAAATGGGATGAGTATTTAAGGTACAGAAGGGGAAATGGCAGAGAAGTGCCAGGGAAGATGGAAAGCACCGTGAGATCGACCGTGCAGGTGCAGGATGGGCGGCACGTGGATTGGCGAAGAGGAACTATCACAATTGAATATACCAGCTCTACAGTATCGAACCGTATTTTTAGCCCAGTCGCGCATTTTGGCGGTTGTTTTGTGGCATTTTTGCTGTTTCGATAGGTATGGACAGGTCACCAAAACGCGGAGCGGTCAATTCGATGGATCACGCAAAGCGGCGGGCACACCCACGTAAGGTGGAATAAGCCATGCCCTAAACCATGCCCGGCCTTCATTGGCTATGTTAATGCCCGTGCGACTCAGAGGACTTGTAAGGCACGCAGGAGTCGCAGCTGTACCCTCAGACGTATCGCTCTTGATGTGTAAAATGATGATGGGTCTGCCGTGTTTACTACTGGTGCGGCTCAGTACCGCACCAGTAGTATTGTGATCGGTTTCGACATGCGGGAACATGAAAGGGTTTAATGAGGGAGTTGGAACCCTGAACTTTCTATAAATTGCCTGTCTTTTCCGTCTCTGTATGATTACAATTCACTTCAAGTTTTCCCCTTTCTCTAGATACAGAACATTCGAGTTCATTCGTATTGTTCTTGATCTGATCCTCGCGAGACGCCATACAATTACCATGTCTTGGCATCTTGCCAACGCAAACCTCTTGAGCGCCCAGGAACAAATTCGAAGACCATTCGAGGAGCCAAGCAACAGAGGGACCCAAAACATTAGTGGCATATCCGACTCGGAATGCGTAGAGTTGGGTCCATTGTTCGAGGATCCGAGGCCCTTCACCTCCAACTACTGGCAGACCTTCGACTTTCTCTGTCGATACTGGCCACCCAACACTACGACTTCCAGCTCGAACAACACACCTCAAAACTTGCAAACATCTCTTGGAGAAAAGAATTCAGGCAATCGCCAATCATTCAATTGTCGCGATGATAATAAAAAGAAGAACAAGGACAGGTAAACAGGAAACTCCTACGCCGATAATAACTATAACCCATCATATACTAATACATAATATAAACATTATAGAACAATGCCTTTCGAATCCCCTTTTATATGCCGCTGGCCAGGCTGCAAGCGTCCCGGGCCATTCTCAAGGAAGGGAGTTTTGAAACGCCATGTCAATACTCAGCATCTTGATCCGCGGTCCTTCAAATGCCCTCATCGCGGATGTACCATGTTCTTCAATCGAAAGGACAACCTAGATCAGCACCTAAGATCCGATATTCATTGGAAGAAAATCTGAGAATTCTGTATCTGCTCTGACGCTAGAGGTTTATTGGCCATCTTCAAGGTCTTTCAGAAATTTCAGCGATTGGAATAGCGGGTTCACGCGCGGCGAGAACAAGGAACCAGCTCCTTGGGGATCCATTTTATGTATGGTAAATAGTTAAATCTGGAATATGCTACCTAGGGGATTGAATGAACAGAACGGGTTCACACCAACAAAGTGGTTTGGCAGATCGAGACAAGCCTTGGCGAGTAGTGAAGCTTAGAAAGTCTAGAGGAGTTGAGCCTTAGATGTCCTAGACATCCTAGATCAGTTCCTTCCTTGCTGCTTTTCTCTCATAAATCTCTATTCATCTCGCATACATCACAATTTCCATGGTTGTGAGCTTCTGTCAGAAGGTATAGAGCACGGTGAGGTAGTCGAATGAGCGTGTGCCCCGGATCGACTTCGACCAGAAGGGCTTAGTGGCTTAGTATTTCCCGAAGCGGGGAGGGGTGGACCCGATATGGGTCAATCATGAGTTTCACCCAAAATAAGCTGGGACCAGCGGTCAGAACCTGCAGTAGTTGCGGTATTCGTGCGTAGAGAAACACCTGCACAAATAGCGCATCTTCACCACACACAGTAGAGACTCCTATTATGGTTGTTCATTCAGGGTTGAAAGGGGTTGAGGGGGTGTTGGACCCTCAGGATCATAAATTGCTTGTTCTTTCTTACTCTACATGCTACCAATTCACTTCAAGTTTTATTTCTCTAATTGCAGCATATCGCTTCATATTGTTATTGATCTGATCCCCGAGACTCTATACAACTATCATCATGTCTTGGCATTCCCACAACATGAATCTCTCAAGCACCCAGGGACAAAATCAGGAACCTCTCAAGGCAGCAACCAGTACAATGGCTTCTAACACCGACAACATATCGGAATACGCCGAGCCAGACCCTTTATTCGAGGACCTGGAACATTTCACCGCCGATCATTTACTTGACTTTCTTTTCCGATACGGTCCATCTGATACCACATCTCCAAACCCGGGCAACGCACCTTCAACCTTGAACTGGCAAACAGCCGTTGGAGAAAACAATCCAGACAATTCCCAACCATACAATGGTGGCAGCAATCGTCCGAACAACGATAGGTAAAAAACTCACTCCCACATGGTATATCCAATCACGCGTTAATGTATACCTATCTACAAAGTAAATCAACCACCTCCGAGTCTTCCTTGCTATGCCCATGGCCAGCCTGCGAGCATCGCAAACCATTCTCCAACAAGGCAACTTTAAAACGCCATTACAATACTCTGCATGTTGCTCCGGGTTCGTTCGAGTGCGACAAGTGTTCTTCGGTCTTCAACCGGAAGGATAACCTGAACCAGCATCTGCAATCTGTTCATGAGGAGAAGAAGAGCTGATCAATGCGGCAATTCTTTGAGTGTTATGCTCTTCTTGAATCTTCTGATGTGATAATGGATTATGTATGCATGGATGTTGGATAAAGCGAGCATGTGGCGTACGAGGCGCACAATATGGTACCTAGAAGTATACGCACTAGAGAGTACAGGGAAAAGGCCATGGTTTCTTTGGGAATAAATAGTTCAAGTTTCATGTTTGATATGGTAATAGCAGGATTTCGGGGCCATTTTAGAGCTAGTTAATTTGAATGTTTCTTGGATATTTCTTGGATACAGTGCCTCAGCGAGACAGACAAGTAATAGAGAACAATCATTGTATGTTAACTATAGATCTTAGCAACTTGAAAGAAGCTACCTGGTCCGGACCGCCCACAGACATGTAGCAAGCCCTACTAAATAAATAAAATAAACTTCAGCTAAGTATACTAGCAGACTCCCGAACCACTGCTCTATCAACCCAGCACCATGGGCCTGGGCATTTTAATCGGATCTGGCAGTGGCATAGGGTCACGTTGTATCTGCGTCTCCAGTGTATCTGCATCTGAATTCCGATCTGAATTCCGATTTCACCCATTCACTACATCCCATGGATCTACAACTACGACTATAACAGCAATACCAAAACCAAAACTCAAGCACAGCACAGCACAAATCATCAGATCACGGTCATAAATCATAATTGCGACAGGACAACTTCCAAACCACAACAAGAAATGCACACCATCGTGAATAATAAAAAAAGGAGAAGATAGAGAACAATAATACCAATATCATCAAAAGCCACGGACCCCATTTTATCGCCTAAAACCAGAATCTCGTCCTATCACCTCATTTCCCACACTTTCATCTCATGCGATCAGACCAGTCTAGTCTAGCACAAGCCTTTCCGAAGAGCGCGAAGCGTGAAGAAATGAGCGACCAAGCAGAGAGAAGGAAAGCTTCTACCAGTTTAGTAGAAACTCTCAACAATACTCTCCTTATTAGGACCCGCCGCACCAGTACCACCAGGCGCCATCTCACCGAGACGGAAAACAGACTCGATAACACTCAGTTCCGTGGCAGTAGTATCGAGACCGGTAACAGCGAGCCAATCATTAACAACCATACCCGCACCAACAACCGGCGAACCACGATTCACACTACCCGCGACAAGGGGAACCTGCAAGAGACTGGACAGTTCATCTTGGTCCCGGATTGAGGTCTTGGGATGCACGATTCCACCTTGGTTGGAAAGGGCCATGTATGAGCCTGTCAGGACGTTGTCGGCGACTGTTTGGCGGAATACTTCTACGCCGAGGACGTCGGCGATGCTGTACACAGACAAACAGGTTAGATCAAATCGAATCAAACAAGGGAGTTTGAAGGAGTGTTGGGTAAATTTGGGGTGAGGGAAGTCCTACATCTCTTCAGTCTCGCGCTCCAAATCCGGATGAACAATGGCAACATGATCATTGCAGCAAATGACGTTTCCAAGCGCAGAAAGGCGCTCTTCTATACGTTGGATTTTTACAGCGTCCGGAAGCGTGTTGCGGAGGTGCTGCAGTTCCTGGTCTGTGGTGGTTGTGGGCACGAGGAGACCGTTCTTGTTTCCGACGGTTAAACGGCCGACGATTCGGGTTCCTGCGATCGTGGCGTGGCAGATGGGGATGACGTCCTGGAGTTCGGATTCAAAGACACTGGAGTCGAGGTGGTTAGCTTGCGCTTCGCTTCGCTTTCTTGCCCCTCTGTTTTGCTCTGGAATGGATGGGCTGGGCTGGGTTGGGACCAGTTGGATTGGTCGGTCTGGGTACGACTGGGATTGCATCCATCCATCATATCATATTATATCACACCCTAACTCAACCCATTGCCGGCCGGGTCTTGGGTTCAATGCAGTCGAGTGCAATGCAATCCGCCAACTCCGCCCAGCCCAGCCCATTCAGCCCCGCCCATCCAGCCCATCAACCTGTGCAATATCAACACAAACGCACCTGTAAAAGTTCTCCGAAGCACCGACAGCAACGATAGCGTAGGAGTTCGTCAGACGGGCGAAAACGCCGACCCTGCGGAGAAAGAAAAGAAAGTATTAGCATGGTGTTCTGGTCTGATCTGGCCTCGTAACCTCGAAGTGTGAACCAAGTCCAGTCCAGTCCGGTGCAGTCAAGTCAAGTGAAGTCCAGTCAAGTCCTAGACCTTGACTACCTTGACTATCTTGACATCCTGACCTAGCTGCCTTGGATTTCTGCTTCGTTTCTGCCGGGCGTGGGTATCTTACTCGTTGGAGTTCTCGAATTGCGCGCGCACAGCCATGAGGGGTGGTAGTGAAGGATCTGCGGGGTCGTTCGGAGGGAGAATGGTGGGTAAAAAAAAAACGAGAATGCGAAAATGCGAAAGAACAAAAAAGGCTTTCTTTTTTTGTCTAGGCAGGAAGAAGTGTAGGAAATGATCAAAGCAAAAGCGAGATCCAAGCTCCGTTATGAAGACGGAAACCGAAAGTGAAAAAGTGCAAAGCTGCAATCGCATTTTCTTGGCGGGTCCGCTTGGTGGGGGGGCGCAGTTGGTATTGATTTGTACTGGTACTTACTAATGCATACATTTTTGCTGTGCGGATATGTACCGGTACCGGTACACGGGTGTTGAGTCATCCTGTCTCATGTTGACGGTGATTCATACTGCGGGCAATACGGACTAACTAGTGCAAGGCAATGACTAGTGATTAAGTGATTGCGGTGTGGCGCAGGGGCGAATTACTAGTAGTTATGTAGATGTATGTATGCCTAGTCTAGGTGTAGGTATGACTGCCTGTGACTTGACTGGAAGGAAGGAAGGCTGTGCTAGCTTGTAGGGTGAATTATAACGGTGGGATAGCAGCGTAGGTAGTAGACTAGGAATTATGTGAATCCAGACACAGGGAAGGGAATGTAGTAGTTTTGAATGTTAAATGAATTGAATTTGGGTTTTGATTCGACCAAACAAAAGAAATAAGTCCAAGAAATAAAATAGGGGGTGGTCATGTAAAACAAAATCAGAATCAGAATCAGAAAACAGAATCAAGGATCCTCGGGGAATAGGAGGAGAAAAAAAGGAGTAAAGTAAATAAGATAAGGTAAGTAAACGCCACGCTCAAAGACAAAGGATAAAGTACACGGGGTTCCAATCGTTGATGTTGATGGTACATCCGCTGCCGGTGCCACTGCCCACTGCCACACATCAGGGTAGCTGCATATCATAGCATACGGAGGTGATGATGATGGTGATGGTGATGGTATGATTATGATGATACACTTTTTGTTTTCTTTCTTTTTTGCTCGCTCGCCTCACACTACACTTCCCTCAGTAGCGACGTGGCTGCGGCGGCGGTGGTCCATGCGGAGAATGATGGGGCGAGGGAAATACATTCCTGGTCCTGGTCCTGGTCCTGGTCCCTGCCCCGGTCCCCCCGGTCCCCCGGGTCCTGGAGCTGATCCCGGCGCAGGTCCGGACCCCGGATGTCCTGGTCCTGGAGGACCGGGAAAGTAATTCGGGAGCGGGGGTAAACGCTGGAAGTTCGAACCTGGTGGGGGTGGGAGTTGAGGAGGGCCGTTCATTGAGAATGGATCTGGTAGACCCAATTGACCTCGTGCGGGGAGGATACGGCGCGGTTGTTGTGTTGGTGTTGGACGGGGGAGGATGAAGGAGCGTGGATCTGTCGGTCCGTGGGCATGGCTATGGGGGTGGCCGTGAGGGTGACCCTGCCCTTGCCCAGGACCAGGACCGTGGCTATGGCCGTGACCCAGAGTTGGAGGTGGTGGGACGCCAGATGTTGGGATGAGATGTCGGCTAGCCGGGGACATGTTTGGATCCATTCGGGGCAGGTGTGGTGGCATTGGCTCCGAGAGCGCGGTGTCCGCTAGCATAGACAAGGCCTGGGGCGTTGGCCAGTCAACGACACCGTCGAGGCCTCCTCCCTCTGCAACAACTTGCGCCGCTTGGAGGAGGTTTGTCAGTGTTCGCGTGACGTGGTCTTGGACTGTTGGGTCCGTGATCGAGTCGAGGGCTTGCATCTGCGGATTCAAGTCTTCGCCTAGTCGGACCTTTTGCACGAAGTCGTCCCATGTTCGTCGGCCGCGGTCGTAGGCGGCTGCACCGTCTGGTTCTCGGACGGCGTCGGCGAAGAAGCCGCGCTCGACTTCGCGGGTGCCGGCCTTTCCAATTCGGAAGAGGTAGTGTGGTTCCTCGGCGTCAGGGTCAGATCCGTCAGTCTGTAATGAGTTAGATTCTGCGTTGAGTGTATAGATTTGATGGGTATCTGTCTGTGGGTTCCTTACCTCTGTATGTTCATCATCCTCTGCGGCTCGGCGGCCCAAGACCAATTCCATATATTTGCCTCGAGCCGCAAGGAACATTTCATCCTGGATATTCTCGAGTTGTTTCTATAATCACGATCAGCGTACCATTCTTTCCTTCTTCAAAGGAAACACCCGGAAAAAGGGAAAAGGAAAACCCACATTCGCCCTCGTCTCAATGAGATGAATCTCCCCAGCATAAACCTTATTCTCCGCCTCAACCTTGAAATCATAATCATCGCGAAACCTCGTCAAAGCCTTACGCTCATACTCAGCCAAATCCCGCTGCACCTGCTCAAACTCCGGACACTCCTTATGAGCCATTTTCTCCCTGGCAATCTTGGCCATGGAATGATCAGCCAAAACACTGAGAGCAACCTGTTGCGCCTGTCCCACTTTCTTAAAGAGGAGCGCCAGTTCCTCCTGTCGATCTTTAATAGGTTTCGTCGCGGGGATTGGCGACGGCGAACGTCGCCGACTCTCGCTATCCCAAATCTCGTCCTCGATTCGCTTACCACCGCGGCCCTTCGCTGCGGCAGATGCACGCGCACGACCGCGTCCGCGCCCACGAGCTCGTACAACGGTCGACGATCGAATGGGTCCTATTGCGCCGCCGCGACTACCGCGTCCTCGACCCCGACCTCGGCCCCGGCCCCGATAACCACCGCGACTTCCACGGCCGCCACGGCCCCCGCGGCCCCCACGGATGGGCGCAGCTTGGACGGGGGCTGGATCTTGGTCCGCGGTTTCGTCGGGTGAAGAGTTAGCGTGCTGAGAATCGAGCTCTGTTCCATTTGCCAGAGCGTCGGCTGGCTTCTCGTCATCTTCCAGTTTCGGTTTCTTGGTTGCAGGTTCCGAGACGGCGCGGGACTCGACGTCTGCGCTTTCATCTTTCGTCTCGGTTGATGTGCGCTTGCGCGAGGGCCGGGGCGATGACATTCCGCGTGATTGGGGCTGCGACTGTGACTGCTGCTGCAACTGCGACTGCTGCATGGGGCTATCGGCTTCTTGCGAGTAAGTCGGTGCGGACGCTGAATATGCCGAGTCGGGACGCAGATTCAATTCGTGATCTTGTAGTTTTGTCGTCGCGAGGCGTGTTTCCCGCTCCGCGATTGCCGGCGATGGCCGGGTAGATGCAGGATCATGCAGATTTTCCGCCGTAGAGGTAGAGAGTTGAAGTTTGATACGTTGCTGCGGCTTAAAGTCCTCATCATACTCCTCCTTTTGAGGCGAGGCGTCGTCACCAAAATCATCTTCGTCCTCGTGCTCGCTGGGCTCTGATTCGCCTGCTTTACTGGGCGTTTCGTGCTCATATGAGGACTCGCCGGGCTTGAGTCGCGATGGTTGGCGACCTGGACCTGATTGGCGCGCTGATTGTCTCGTTGTCCGAGATGATTCGGGGACAGCGAGTGCGCGTTTGGAGCGCCGCCGCAAGGGAGTCTCCGGGTTTTGCGATTGCGAACCGGTAGGAGTACTCGATTGCGCGGTGGATGGCTCGAGGTGGTGATCCTCTTGATTTTGGTTGCCATGACCAGGACCAGAACCAGGGCCATGTATGGTAGACCGTAAGAGATGCGGGGGTACCTTTAGAGTGACGATGCGCGAACGAGGAGGCTCTTCCAACTCGCTATCGCTGTCCAGATTATGTTCATCGTCAATGTCATTTACTGGCGACGATGCGCGCGCTGCACGCGCCGGGGCAGTTCTGGTAGCCCAGTGATTTGCCCATCGGCCTCCTCTAGCGCGGCCACCGCGACTACCTCGACCACCTGGGCAAAGTTTAGTAATTGTCGAGTCAAATCCGAGATCAATGGAATCGATTATACATACCGCGACCACGGGTCGGGGTGGGAGCGACCATGCGCGCGGTGACACGATTTTTTCTTCTTCCCACCATCGTCCCTGGTGGAGTCAGTAAGGGCGGAAGCAAGAATGACGGGGTGGAGCAGGGAGTAGCGGAGTAGCGTCAGACTTTTGAAGTCAAAACACAAAGTACCGCATTGAAGGGAGAAAGACTGTGTCGCCACGATTGTACCAAGGGGGACGGATGAAAACGGATGGGGTGGGATGAGGTGGGATGAGATGGGAAATAGAGAGTAAAATAGGCGACGGAGAGTGGAAGAGAAGGGAAGAGAATGCGATGATGGGGGTGAAGATATCTTGAAGGTAGAAGGGAAATGATGAAGGATAAAGAACGATGAGGAGAGATGACAAAGGATGAAATGGAAATGGAAAAAAGCAATGGAATAGAAGCAGCAGAGAAATGGAATGGGGATGGGGATAAAAAGAGGCTTTAGGGTAGATTGGGGTGAGTAGGAATACGATGAAGCGATTCAAGACACGCGGGCACAGAGGTAGGGTAGGGCAGAGAGAACAGATGAAAAAGAGTAGCAGGGAGAAACAGGGTAGATCGACCGAGAAAGAGTACAAGTAGAGTAGGGCAGAGTAGTGTAGAATAGAGCGGAGAAGAAGAAAGAAGAACGCGACTTACCAGGGGCAGAAGGATCTACTGAAGCAGGATTGGGGGACTGAACATGGGGAATTAAATAAAGGGAGGAGAGAAGAAGAGCGGAGCGGAGTGGGTAGAGTGGAGGAGAGGAGGAGAGGAATTAAAAGAGGATTATAGGGAGGGGAGAGTAGAGCAGAGCAGAGTAGAACAGAGAGAGTCCCGTTCTGGTCGTAAAAGATGAAAGTGAAAGTGAAAGTGTAAAGGAAGGGATTGCCGTTTTTCCGCGCGGCTCGGCCCAGCCTCCGGGGAGTGTGAGCAGTTAACACTTTATGCGGTAGATACACTTGGGTAGTGGTGATGGAGATAATAATAAAGATAAACGAGTACAGCTATCCTAGGATTACTCAAATACTCCCTCGATCGACATAATACTCAAGCTATCCACTGCTCGAGATTTCTCTCGCCGAACGCGGATCAGGACACCTGGCGCGCGGCTGCGATTCTGCCAAGGTGGAGCCTGGAGTATAAGCAGAGCGACGGAGTAGAGGGAACATAACAGGGACTCGGAATTGTTGAATAATATTTTATTATTCAAAGATCCAAGTTCAAAATGAAATAGAATATTATCCGATCCCTGTACTTCAATTGCCAGACCATGCATATTACACCTGGTCAAGTCATAATGATTCGGCTATGATAATTTGAATACGAGGGTACGTACAATACAGTATGGAAGTATCTAGTAGACCAGGGACAGGGACAGGGACAGGGTACATCAGTCTTAGTACTAGGATCCCTTAAACCAGCAATGTCAGCAGTAACCAGGAACATATACAAAGACGATGATATTAATGCAATTCAGTCATAATCATTCCTGCCAGGTACATTCGCTAAAACGAAAACACTCATACCGACGCCAATATCAATACTAACACCAATCACCCAGTCCATCCATCACATTATCCCATTTATACAAAATCAGCATCAATATCAACATAACCCAAGCAAAACAAAACAAATATACAAAACCACAAAAAAAATTCAACTATCTCTCATAAGGTGATTCATTCAATTCATCCCGTCTCCGACCCCTCCCGCTCCCACTCCCACTCCTTCCCGACATAAAAGCCAAAACCCTCTCCTCCCTCTCCTCCTCCGGCGACAAAGACAACGACGACGCCAACGAATAAGACGACCCCGTCGGCGAAGGCAAAGGCGACGGAATTCGCTCCCGCTCCCGCAGAGACCGCGCAGAGCGCATCCTCGTCAGCGTCTGCTTCGTTATCGTCTGGCCTGCAGACGGCGATGCTTTGACTGATGTCCCCAGTCCCGGCGTCGGTGAGGGCGAGGGACTATTGCTGCGGAAGAGGGGGTGAATGTTTGACTCGCCGGGAAAGGAGCCGGTTGGGAAGTTGGGCGTGTGTGGTGAGTCTGGGTGGAGGTATGTTGATGATGATGTTGGGGCTGGGGCTATTGGTGAGATTGGGGCAGGAGCAGGGGCAGGTCGGACGAGGCTGTTTAGTGATGCGTGAATGTGTTGTTCTCGGCGGAGACTGGGCATGCTCCGGATGCTGGTGCGGAGGAGGGGGCGTGTGTCTTGTTGGAAGGTTGGGGTTGGTGGTTCTGTTGGTGTTTGCGGGGTGATTGTTGAGATTGATGAGGTTGTTTCGAAGGAGTTTGGGCGGGTCTCTTTATTTGTGCTTGTGTTGTTTGTATTTGTATCCGCGGTGGTGGTAGTTGTATTGGTCAACGACTTCTGTAGGCAAAGGGTTCCTCCCGAGAACCGGTGCGAACGTCGTGGATACTTTCGTAGCGAGGAGCGACGAGTGTCGAATTTGAATTCTTCTGGATCACAGATTCGGCTCGAGGGTGTGAGGGTGGCAGGACTATCCGGGAATGTCTCCAGCTTCATATCTTGGGAGTATGGGTGTGGCCATGTGGAAGTTGTTTGGTTTTTTTGGACTAGGGCTACAATCAGGTAGCCGTAGTATAGACCCTGCGTGAAGACGGAGAAAGACCAGAAGACTGAGCGGGCGATGAAGAGCCCTTGTTGATTTGCTGTTGATCGCAGCTCGTCTTTGGCCATTGTGCCAGTGATGGACGCCGCGGCGATGAGGAGGTATGCACCGGTGAAGTAGAAGACGCATTGTTTCCACTTTGGCCACTGTTGGCCGCTTCGGACGTCTTTGTGTAAGATCACGTTCAGTCCGATTAGTGCCGCGCAGGTGAGGACCCCCAGGGCGACTGGTGCAAGCCCTGCGGCTGGGGCGTGGGGTGCGGACTGCAAGGCTGCATAGGCGAGGCCATTGAGAACGGTGACAATCATAGCGGCGAGGAGAGATACCCCTGCCAAGGTATATTGCAGAATTGCAGACATTGTGGGCAACAGAAAAGAATGTGGTCAAAGTCACGATATAGAAGAGGATGAAATGAAAGAATGATCAGATCAAAAGTAAAGAATGACTTGATCTGATCCAATCTGATACAACCCCCCAGGTCAAGGAAAGTGTCCAGGGCGGGTGTCGAGTCCACGCAGAGTCCCCGGGGAATGCTTCATATTTAAAAAAGGATTCTCGCGTGCAACGGGACGGGGCGTGTCTCGCAAAGCATATCGGACCATGCAGGTCAAGCAACATGTCGAATTTACATGAGAGATCAAAGTGACCCATCAACCCGGCATGCTGGTTAGAGTGCGGAGGGACGGGACGGCTGGATGAAGATTCCGCAGAGCCGGAGACCCGTGAGTAGCAATTGGCAAGTTGGATTGGTTGGATCGAACAATACGCATGGGATTCATGGATCAATCAATTGCTGATTCCAGCGGTGGACCGGGGGAGAACTACTGTGGCACCGGGGAAGGTGAGGCCAGGCCAGCGCCGGCTCACATAGTGCTGTCCATCAGACCGCTAGTCAGGGAACTATTTAAGTGACAGATCATTGTGAGGACTGAGCGAGCCACTGATCTGGCCTTCCTGGTTGTCGGGATCGCGTGGCGATCGATCCGATGCGGATGTGATATGTCGAATCTGCAGTGCCGCAGGGAACAGGATCTGTCAGTGTAGGTGTAGGTTCAGGACAGGAACAGGTCCGTAGCGAGGCTCAGCTGAGATTTGTCTATATGGCTTTAATTTCCACATACGAGTAAGATGGCTCTGGCGTATCAACAAAAATGGACAGCGAGAGTATCAACTATCCCCAGGCGGAGGTGCGGTGGATCTACCTGGATCTACGGAGTAATCCGCAGCATTGGAGACATCACTTACAGAGGAGTCTCCGATCCACTTGTATTTGTCAATTGGATTGTTGGCTTTGATTATTTCTTCTTCTCGGGCCCGGCGGTTCATGCAGGTAAGTCCTGGTGGATAGTACCGAGTATACCGAGTACGGAGTAGTACGTGCACTTCCGGAGTACGAGTACTTTGTCGAGGACCTGCGTGGATCCACAGACCGAATACGAAGTACCTGCCGGGATGAAGGGATTACCCTGTGTGGCCTCACTGGCCTGGACTGGCCAATCAAGTCCTTTTTGTTCTGGGGTATACGGTAAGGGTTTATATGCACGATCGCCTCATGGAAGTAGGACGGAGTAGGAGTAGTAGGACCTTGGGGCGGGGGGCTCAATATCCACACCTGCAAAGGTCAGCATCGGGTAACGTGCATGTCAAAGAAAGAAGATTTCAAGATAATTTATAAAATTGCAGTCTAAATCAAGATGAATCTCTGAATTGATGCAAGCTATCAAATATGTTCTAATATAAGTGGTGGTCAACCCTTCTGCTGTGCCTGTGCGGGCGGTGAGTTCCTCGCCTGAGGCATCTCGGCTGCTGCTTCTCCATCGTCGTCACTCTTCAGCGCCCCTCTTGACCTTGACTTTTCGGGAACTGCCCTCTTCTCTATATCTCCTCTCTTACTCTCCCCCTTACCCTCCATCGTCCCTTCAGTTCCCGACAAGATGAAGCTCACCTTCAAGGTCCGTCTTTCTTTCTGCCTTCCCCATCTAATTTGCCCATGCTGACCTTGCCCCTCCATACAGGACCTGAAGCAGGAGAAGTTCGTTATCGAGGTCGAACCCTCTGAGACCGTATGTCCTTCCATACCTTTCGCCAACGAGATTCGCCTGTTGCACCCGTGCAGTCTTCAGCTGTAATCTCACAGCTCACCCCAGCTCCATGCTGACCATATTTCTAGGTCCGCGAAGTCAAGCAGAAGATCGCCCAAGAAAAAGGCGAATATGAAGCAGAGCGGATGAAGGTTATTTATTCCGGTATGTCGTGTTGAGATGGTCCATCATCTGTCTAGGAGGCAGGCTATTGATACAAAGCTCTTTCAACGCAGAGCTGTTGATGGGCCCGGAGCTAACAACCTTGCAGGCAAGATCCTCCAGGATGACAAGACCGTCGAATCGTATAGCATCCAAGAGAAGGATTTCCTAGTGTGCTTGCCTTCGAAGGTATGATGATTCCCAGCTATCCCAAGCTTCGCCCCCGTTGCTTCGAGGTCTAATTCGTCTTTGTCTACAGGGTCCCAAGCCCGCTGCCTCCTCCGCTTCTGCCGCTGCCTCCCAGGCACCCGCCACTCCGGCTCCCAGAGCTCCTGTTGCGACCCCTGCTGCGCCCGCCCCCGCTGCTCCTGCACCTGCTAGCTCGACTCCTGCTGTTCCCGCGACTCCTTCGCCAGCTGGCGCTGGTGCTGGCGCTGGTGCTGGTGCTGGTGCCGAGGGTGGCCCGACCTTCAATGATCCCTCTGCGTTGACTATGGGCTCTGCGGCCGAGGGTGCCGTCACTCAAATGGAAGCAATGGGATTTGCCAGAAGCGATATTGATCGGGCCATGCGGGCCGCATTCTTCAACCCTGACCGTGCTGTCGATTATCTTTTGAACGTGAGTCTTGCAAACAAGTTGCGGCAGCGCTGGCCTCTCACTTTTCACACAACCGCTAATACAAGCATTTTCTTTCTAGGGCATCCCCCAGGAAGTCCAACAGGAACAACAGCAACGCCAACAAGAGCAACAAGAGGAGAGCGCCGCTCCAGCCCCCGAGCCCTCTGCCGAAGACGCTGCTGCCGCCGCCGCTCTGGGTGGCGACGAGGGTTTCAACATGTTCGAGGCTGCGGCTCAGGCTGGCGATGGCAGTGGTCGTGGTGGTGCTCGGTCCGGAGGCCAAGCTGGTGGCGAGTCCCTTGCTAACCTGGATTTCCTCCGCCAAAACCCCCATTTCCAGCAACTGCGCCAACTCGTGCAGCAGCAGCCGCACATGCTCGAGCCCATCCTGCAGCAAGTTGCGGCCGGAAACCCTCAGATTGCCCAGATCATCGGTCAGAACTCCGAACAGTTTCTCCAGCTATTGAGTGAGGAGGGCGATGAGGAGGATGCGGCCCTGCCGCCGGGTACACAAGCCATCTCCGTTACGGAGGAGGAGAGGGATGCCATTGAGAGGGTAAGTCAAGTCGCCATGTTAACGGAAGAGAGATAAAGAATATTCTGCCGCTCTTGTCTTGTATGTACTAACCTGGCCGCCCATTCTAGCTCTGCCGTCTCGGTTTCCCCCGCGACTCCGTCATCCAGGCTTACTTCGCCTGTGACAAGAACGAAGAGCTGGCAGCGAACTTCCTCTTCGACCAACCCGACGAGGACGAAGAATAAGCGAGTGAGCGAAATCGAGTCGCATCGTATCGTTCCGCACCACACCGCACCGCACCGAACCCGAACCGAACCTCGTGATTCTCCTTCCAACCTCTCGTCTTATTTCCTTTGCTCTTTTTACGTTCTGATGAATACCAAGCATGCCTGTTGATTCTCCATATTTGGCAGAGCTCCGCTCCTCCCTCCTATCCTCCTATCCTATTCTATCCAATCTCATTTCCTTTCTCTTTTCCTCTTCCTTTCCCTTCATCCCCCTCTATTCTATTCGGTTCGCCCGAGGATCGAATAGACTCGACTCGAATCCATTTGCTAGCTAGGCTTGGACTTGGATCTTGTCTGGTCTGGTCTGGTCTGGTCTAGTTTGGGCTGGTCTAAATTTGATCTGATCTGATCTGATCTGGACTAGACCAGTGAGGAAACAGTTCCGATCCAGAAACGACTTTCATGTATTTAACCTCTAATGGGCAAAATGGGACGTTTTCGCTGAATGAATTCCTCCATGGATTAGATTAGATGGTGTTAGTCTACACATGCTACCACTACTAGTAGGAGTAGCAGCAGTACCCTAGGGTAGTTATTCAGCTGCTTATCTTGATCTGTCTATTTAAAGTTCTCAGTAATGTATCCAAGGCCCTCCTCAAGTTGGACCTCATAGTATTGGGCTAAAAATAGTAACTGTACTAGTGACCAACTAAAGCTAACTGCATTTAACTAGTAGCACAGCGACTGCAACTGCGACTTCGCAATCCTTTATCAGATCCCTCAATTTGGGCCGCATATATATTTTCGCACGTACTATTGCATTGCGACCAGCTGAAATGGACTCGGACTGTTCAACCTTGGAACTGTTTGAAAACGCTACGCTACAGGGTTCCGGCGCCGGGAGTCAAGCAAACTTGAACTTGCTTGAGACTGACAAAGAAAGGCCAAGAGGATGATAACGAAGAAGATCGTGCCGGACCTGATTTCGATTTTAGTTGGAGGGCCGAGGCTTTGACTACGAGTAGAGCCCGTATAGGAGATTGTAGGTTTACATCAGGGATATCTGAGTCGAGGAACTTGAACTAGAACTAGAAGGAAGGATTTACCAATGATTGGAGAAATAAGTAGCTAGCCATCTACTACATATGTACCCACGCACAGTAAAGCATAGCATAGCACACATAGCACAGCCACAGCACAGGGCAGAGGTGAGGGCAGAGGTGAGGGGGTGGGTGAGGAGAGAAGAGACAGAGCAAGAGATTTATTTCAGATTTCCATGACCGACCAGTCATCGATCGGGCAGTGAAGCAAGCAAAGAAAAACAAGGAATGAAAGAAAAAAAAAGAAAAAAAAAAATAACGACCGCTAACCGAAACCGAACTCCGTTGAGACAAAGAGGGCGCACATACCGGGCCACAGCACAGTGTAGCCCAGCTCAGCCCAGCACAGGCCTAGCGCCCAATCTGGAAGAGGCGGGGATTCGATCCAAGATATTTGAGCGAAACATGAGGGTCATAACGTAAAGTTTTTGAAGATTTAGCGGCTGTAAGAGAGAGAAAGGACCGTTAGCAGGGTTCACAGAGTACACAGCACACATTAACAGCGGTGCTGGATGAAAGAAAGAAAGAAAAACTCAAACTCACTCCTCGGCCCACTCGTTCTCGCGGCGAATCTGATCCTCCTCCTCGGGAGTGAAATCGTTCTGAATGTTGAATGTCTTGCGGATTTCCTCGGGAGACTTGCCCTTGATCATATTGGCGACAGTCTTGCAGCCGACGTCCAGTAGAGCCTTGATGTCGAGGTAATTGGCAGCCTGAAGAAAAGAAGAAAAGAACAAGGTTAGTGAACGGTTGTGTTGATTTTCACTTCCGCGGCGGGCGCGGGAGCAAGCAAGCAAACAAGCGTCCGAGTTACTCACCAGAATGATCTCGAAAAGCATCTCCTGGTCGACCTGCATGAACTTCTGGTCCCACTCTTCGATATCGCTGGTCTTGCGGCGGTTGTCGTCCTCGTCACCGGCGGTGGGGGGGTCGTTCTTGTGGTGCTCGCACCACTCGATGACCTTGCGGAGGACGGCCTCGTTGACCTGCGGGGTGGGGTATCGGGGTTAGCTTAGCTCTGCGACCGGTCTCGTCTGCGCTGCTGTGCTGCATTGTGCTTTTTTCTGTGCCAGCTTTGCTTCGCAGATTTGACAGGAGCTTTTGGATGTAAGTGACTTACGTTGGGAATGGGGATGGCCTCGCCGGAGTCACCGAGATCCTCGAGCATGTTCTTGATCAGGACGGATCGCTCAGCGACGGTGCGCTCTGTGGAGGGGGTTAGTGGGTGGCGCGGTCACTGGGAGATGGAATCTTGTACGTACCCACGGTGACATCGACACCATCGGAGCTGGTGAGGGTGATCTGGGGGGTGGCCATTGTGAAAGTGGTTATGGTGGAGTGGCGGAGAGATGGTTTTGGTGACGTCTGGAGCGAGAGTTAGATTTGCGGAATGGTGATGGGTGGCAGATGCAGGTGGTAGCTGTTCGCTGCAGAAATGAGGGTGAAACTGACTTTGGGATGTTTGAGAGTGGGTGAGTTGATGAGCAGTTGAGAGAGAGAGAGAAGAGGAAGAGGAAGTCGGAGGTTGAAAACGGAGGGGCGCCTTTTGTTTTAGTCCTCCGCGGCTCCTTTGAGGGGCGGCCCCCACAGTTAGACTGGTTCGACTAGGCTGTGACTAGGTAACTGTGAGGCTGTTTTAGGCGGAAGTCTTTGTCCAGAGTGTAAATTCGATAATCGAATTACTTACAAAGATACAAAGATACAAAGAATAGAAGATTCTATTCTATTCGAGAGGTGTGACTTGAACAGCATAGTTCGTAGTTACTTGGTGGTATTACTAGTACTATACTTAGAACACAGCAATTACTATGCTTTAGGGTATGGTTATAATAATTCATTCCTATGTCATTATACTGATAATCATGACAGCATAATCAAATCTACCAGTTATCAGTATAAATATTGCCAAAGTACGAGAATATACAATATACAGGTCTAGAGTGTAACTATACCCAATCCCACGTGACTCATATTTACTTCCAAGGTTGTAGTATCAGAATGAACTCCGAGTCTTCAACCAATCCCTTCTCAACACTCTTCTCTTGATACCAACCAACCATCTCAGACATTTTTCCCTTCTCCCAATTGTTCGTGTTTTATCACGTAGATCCTCAAACCTACACCGGTCATCACTAACATCACTAACACCACTCCTCGGCTTACCCCACGAGTGAGGATTGCAAATTATCGAATCCTCCAAGGCCATCTTACTCAAATCTTCTTCGTCCCTGGACCCTCTTGACAAAATAGATTCGATGAATGACTTACTCGAGAAGTCACCCGCAAATCCCCCCTGTCAAATCTCCCATATCTCCCGCAATATCTCCCGCCAAAGCTCCCGCCGAAAGTTCCAGTACCCCTACAGTGAGATGATCCCTAGATCTATCAAGAAATCATGTTCCTGATACTAATATTATCTTAGAATTTCAATAAACTTCCAGCTTGGACAGATTGTGATATTCATATAGACTGGAAAGATGCTGGAATCGGTGCAGACATCACATCCGCTTATGGTCTTGGTCCAGGAACACCGATCTTGGAGCATGAAAATGGGTTGACACAAATCTTTGAGTCAGGAAATATCTCTGTTATGACGGTTGATGATGTCTACGAGACAGATTGTCGGGATAAACATGATCTCTATGATCGTCTATGGCGGGGAGGAATGAAGTTCATAGAGACGCGGCCTCTGAGGGAACTGCACCCTTTTGCGCGTTAGGAGGAACTTCACGGCCTTGTGCGTTAGGTTAAGTCAAAATAGCTACATTGCTAAATTCTATCTCGAGTTACTAGATACCCTGTCACAATTATATCATACTGATAATTACAGTACTGTAGAGTATACTACTGGTCTCTACTGGTCTCTACTGGTCTACTACTAGTAAGTGGGAGTGTAAACTATCGAGTGCGGCTGATATCATCCACTTCCCACTTCCCCCTTGTCCAGCATTTTCAACTTTTCAACTTTTCACTTTTCACTTTTCACTACTTTTTCCCTTTCACCTTGACTTCCCCCTGTCTCTTTCTCTTTCTCTTTCTCCCTTTCTCCTTTCACTCCCCTTCAGCATGTCCATATGAACCATGTGGAGACGAACCTACTTGCTCTTACTGCTCATCCGTGTTTACTTCGCCCTGTCGCCAAGCTACCTCCACCCGGATGAGCATTTCCAGGGTCCAGAGGTCTTTGCAGGTATGATTCCACCCCCACCATCGCCTTCCCCCGATTTAATCATCGCTGCGACGCGTTGAACGCGCCAATCGACACGCGCAAAGGCGCAGCATTACTTGTCATGGCGGTCGCAATCGCGTCGCATCCCATCCCGGAGCAGCGCATCCGCGCAATCCATCGCAATCGCATCACCACCGCAATTCAAGCAACGCGCTAACTCCCACCTCTACAGGCCGCGTCCTAGCATATCCCTCGCAGCTACCATGGGAATTCACCACTTCCCTCCCCATCCGCAGCGTCTTCCCGCTATGGCCCATTTACGAGGTGCCCATGAGCCTACTGAAATGGTTCTACACGGAGATCGGATCGGGGAGCCCGCCGCCACAGTTGGTCTATTATGCGCTGCGCGCCGGAATGTTCCTGCTCAGTTTTGTGCTGGAAGACTGGGCTATCTATGAGTTGGTACCTTCGCCGCGTCACCGGCGCGCGACCGTCGTGCTGGTTGCCTCATCATATGTCACCTGGACATATCAGACGCACACCTTCTCCAACTCCCTCGAGACTCTGTTGGTAGCCTGGGGACTGGTTCTGATTCGGCGCATCGTCGAGAATAAGGTTCGTGCCGTCTACCCTCTACACTCTATCCCAGTGTTGCTACCCTGCGCGACTCTGGGCTGCGCTGGGCCGCGTACTGACCAACTCCAGCAACGCTCCTCCTACTTCTCCTACGCCGTCTTCTCCTTCATCGCGGTGGTCGGTGTCTTCAACCGTATCACTTTCCCAGCTTTCCTCCTATTCCCAGGTCTCCAATTACTGCCATACTTCCAACGCAAGTCAGTATACCACACACACTAAATCCATCCCACCACCATCCCACTCTAACACCACCTAGACCCGCCTCACTAGCAGCAATCATCGGCTTCGGACTCCTCTTCTCCTTGACGGCAATCTATATAGACACGAGCTTCTACCGACCCACCGCATCCATCCTCTCCATCATCCGCGATCCGATAATAACACCACTAAACAACATCCTCTACAACACCGACAAGAACAATCTCGCAATCCATGGCCTCCACCCGCACCACCAACACTTCCTCGCAAACTTAACCCAGCTCCTCGGCCCAGCATACATAGTCATGATCCTCTCCCTCTTCAGCCGACCAATCGTCCCCTTCGCAATGCGAAACGCCCGCGCTCTCTCAGCCGTCAGCGCAACATTCATTCTCTCAATCTTCCCGCACCAAGAACCACGCTTCCTCCTCCCCTGCGTGCCTTTACTTCTAAGCTGCGTGCGCATGCACCGCAACCGCCTGTTCCTCGCAACATGGATCATCTTCAACGCAGCCATGGGCTTCTTAATGGGCGTCTACCACCAAGGTGGAATCGTTCCAGCCCAGTTAGCCATGCGCGACATAATAAACACCAACACCGTTGCGCAGGGCATTAAATCTGCCCCCGATGCTACGGTCTTTTGGTGGAAGACTTACTCCCCACCGCTGTGGCTTCTGGGCGCGGATGGTGATCATGCGAGTGCAGATGCAAGTGCAAGCTCATACGCAGACGCCGGAGCAAACACAGCGCTAAACAAAACAACCTCAATCTCAACCTTCGACCTAATGGGCATCCCAGGTCCCGAAATGATAACCCGCCTCGACTCATCAGTCCCAACTTGCGGATCTTCTTCCCCGGTTTATCTGGTCGCGCCTACATCCGCCACATTCCTCGACAGTTACATCCCAGACTCGTCCGAAACCGAACGAGCCGCGAATCTCCAACTCTACCGCCTCTGGTCGTACCGTCAACACCTTAACCTTGACGATATGGATTTCGGCGAGGACGGGGTTAAGGAGACGCTTGGGAGGGTTATTGGGAGGAGGGGGTTGGGTGTTTGGTCTGTTAGAAGGAGGTGTAAATAAAATTCTTTTCATTCTGCTTACCTTGCCTTGCCTTGCATCTTCGCACCTTCTCGGATCTTGTCTTGTCTTGTCTTGTCTTCCTGGATGGAGTGGCTGGACTGGACTGAACTGGACTGGAAAGATATCCATTCCATCTACATACATTCTTGTTTTAATTCGCCTTGCAAGGGCTCATCTGATGTAATTTATTTCAATTTACCGTTCCGATATGGGCGTTGATGGCCCGGGTCTTGGAAATATTTTTCTTTTATTGAGGTCTTTGAGGGTTTGAGTTGAGTTTCTTGTATATATCTTACTATACTAGTAGTAGAGTAGTACTAGTATGGATCCTTTCCGGGCCGAAGGCGGAAACCTCAAGTTGATGATCAGCATGGATACTACTAGTACTAGTAGATAACTATATATCGGGTCATGAATTCGGTCACTAAATGCCAGTGGTAACACTAGTAATATTCAAGTTAGTACTAGAAGTAGTATGTCGGCGCTAGTGACCTCCAGGGCTGAAGCATGACCTACCCAGGTGCCAGGCTAAAAATGCTCACGCGTATCGGTCTGTGACCCGTAGGATGACCGATATATATCGGGCCCGCTACTACCACAGCCCTGATTCGATGACCTCCGACTCCTGAGCAGGGCTGTCTATCCATACCTATAGTAGTAGGTAAAGGGATTTGCATGTCTACGACCGCAGGAGGGACTCGGGTCGGGTCTACGACTCGGACTCGGACCGCTTCAAGTTCAATTCCAAGGGTTGGAACTTGGATTGGCCTGAGGGGCATGTCTCTTGAAGTTTCAAGTTGACCCTCAAATACCTAGGTACGAAAGGAAATGCCACAGCTCGGCCTGGACCTGGATCCATGAGTACTAGTAGTAACTACTACCTAGGTAGTAGTATCGAAGACACCAGACCAGACCAGACAAGATCCAAGTCCCACTACAAATCCAAGTTGAATCCATACCAAACTACGCAATACGAAAGAGTCAAATCCATCAAGAAAGGGAGACATCAATTGATTCCATCATTTTTGTAATAAGAAAAAACCCGCCCGCCGGAACCATTTCACCGGACGGCCGGGTACCCGAAGCCATCCATCAACATCATGGTAGTGCGAGCATCACCGCGCTGCTGCGATGCTTTCAGTTGTCGTATCGGGTTGGGTCATTGTCGTCACTGTAAAATATTGAACCCGATGATGGCACTGGACGTAGTTCAAGACTATCGCAATCCAAGTGTATGAATGGTTTCAGTTGATGATGATGGTAGAGTAAGGGGCCGGCACGTCTTCGAATTCGAATTCGAAACAAAACAAGTTATCGAGTACAGGGCATCGTATCGGTGTCGTGATTGAGGCGTGGTCGGGTATATCCACTCCGGTCCAAGTCGTAACCCGAACTTAAACGTTCAGGCAAGACTTACGCCAGTGACGGCGCTTGGCGTTGTATCTGAGTGGTTTGTTAGTTGTGGTCTGGGTATGATATGCAGATGTTCATGTCTCTGCTCTGCTTCAATTTCGTCTGTTCTGGTCCGTTCTGTTCTGTCATGTCATGTCGGGTTTGTTATGGCGAAAATGGTGGCACGGCGATGATTGAGAGTTGTCGTCGATGATGCTGGGATCCGTATATTCATTCCCTTCTCTTCTTTCCTTCTCGCTGAACAGTCGTATATTTCTCGACACCGGGACATTGAACTCGAACGGAACGAAACTGAAGCTGAGCTGAGCGGAACTAAACAGGATCGCGCGTACCTGATGGTGTTGCCAGTGCGCAGGCGAATCCACTGAGGGATGGGGCGGTTCTGGCGCTGAGCCTTAGCAAGCTTTTGCTTGGTGCGGAAGGTCTTGTGGCTCTGTTGGTGCGAAGAAAAAGGATTAGTTATCGGTCGAAATTTCGAGGCGATGGCGAGGGACGGTGGCGAGAAGAAAAAGATCAAGGGTTCAGGTAGGATATGTCGTATAGGTGGATGGTTTTACTGACCGGCATCTTGAAGGCTTGAACGCGATGAGCTGGATGAGTTGGGCAAGATTCCTCGAGTGCGGATGATTTGTGTGCGGCAGGGCTTGGCCAAGCCCTTCGCTTGTGCGTCATGTGACTGGTGGATTATGTCAGGTAGATGATGTAATCATGGCACGGGTATGGGCGGTGGTGGTGGGCAGTACTATGACACGTGACCGTGACCAGCCCAGCGATACCAGCACTGTCCATACCCTTGTACATACTCCGTACATGCTTCACAATGCGAGACCGGAACACAATCTATCCGGTGAGATCAGAGAAATCACTCCCATTTGACTCGGGATGAGTAGATTAGCCTTTAGGCCACCCACAATGGAGACCGTAAGCACCTACGAGTATGCATCCCCTACCCCGGGCTACGAGTACGGAGTCGGAGTCTCAAAGCAGGTTGAATCCTGCTGAATGCAATGGAGGCAAATCCTGATGGAATCCGAGAACGCGAACACGAGTCAGATACGACGAATGACGGAGATTGAGTCACCGGCCCCAATCCTAAACGACAACGGGATGAATCACTGATGTTCCATTCGGCAAGCAGTTTGATCCACCAGCTCGATCCACCAATCACAACAAGACCAAAGCGATCTGTCCCGGCTGTGTCAGGTGGGTTCATTGGAAGGGGAAATCTTGGACAGCTGCTTGCCTGAGAACAGCTGGATCTGCGTACGATATTCGCATATCTACATTTCATGCATGCTCCGAACTCCGAGTCCGTAGATGCAGTGCGAAGCAGAGCATACCTCACTCGTACATAGCATGGTGGTCCGAGTTAGGGTTAGGTTTGAGCACTGGCACAGTTAGGCGATAGCATTATACACCCACAACGCACGTCTCTTATATGACTGCGTTGAATATATGGGGTACTCTAGGCCACATAATACTTGTAATGAATTAGGCATCGGGGCTTGGAGTACGGAGTATTATCGATATATATGGTCCTACTGCCGACAGTTAATTACAGGGATTCATCTAGCCGCATTCAGGCATCGCTGGATACCGAAACAGGCGAATTCCAGCGGCTCCCAGCGACTCAGCAACTCGTATATGACTCCACGGACGCGCGGGTGCGCGGACGCGTGGGCCCGAAAGGCAGAACCATGAATGAAGCCATTCTCGGGATCAGGACGAAAATTCGGTCGGAGTGTGCGGAGGAGATAAAGCGGTGGTACAGTGTAGTAATGAAATGTTACAGGGTATACGGAGTATATTACTAGTTCATGTTTAACAGGGGTTCCTATGCCATTCGCTTATAATCATAAACTATTCCAAGGTTATAACCCTGGTAGTAGAGTAAGTAATGTATACACAAGTAATATTATTATGCAAAACCGGAGAGTGGCATCTCCGGCCCACCGAGGACCCACCACTAGTTAGTGTATTCCCCCATTTCCCATTTCCTTTTTGGTCCTTGAATACGCAAAATCTAGACTCTTTGCTATCCTTTATCTTTATATATTCAGCTAGCCCGAGCTCGTGCCCATTTACGAGTCCGACCCATTCTTTTTCCATTCTTTCAATCTTCCTTCTCTTCTCCTTCCATTTATACCCACCTCTCTCCCTTACGCCACCCTTCAAGTTCAAAGTTCTTTTCACCTACCGCCGTCTATAATCAATCCAACACCTGGGCACACTGAATTCCCCGACCCCTTGCATCTTGCACCTTGCACCTTGCACCTTGCACCAATCTGTTCCAACTCCGAGTCCGCTCCAACCTGCGCCAATCTCGTGCCCCTGCCAATCTCGTGTTCGGCTCCTGAATGGCCTAGCTACTAGCTCCATCAAAGAAAAAAAATTAGTGGGCCTCGCAAATAACTAGTTGCAGCCATGCAACAACCCGAGGAGGGCGTGGCCGCCGTCGAAAAGGTCCCCAGTCAGGTCGCCGCACCAGACAACTTGAACCTCGAGAAACAACCACTTGAAGATGCTACTTCGACTACCTCCACCTCAAAGAATGGCTCCAAAAACGGTTCAAATGGCTCCAAGGGTACACCCAGTTCTGCCGCCCCCGCAGATGACGAGGATGCACTCTTCGCCCACCTCCCACCACACGAGCAAGAAATCCTCAAACTACAGCTCCATGCACCCCCAGTGACGGTCTCCTGGTTTGGTCTGTACCGATATGCATCGCGCAACGATCTACTGATCCTAGTCGTCAGCGGTCTCTGCGCCATTGTCGCCGGTGCCGCCATGCCTCTCTTCACCATCCTCTTCGGCGCATTGGCTACGGCTTTCCAGCAGATTACTCTGGCCAACAACGGCATCGGCAATTACACTTATGATGAATTCTACCACGAGCTTACCAAGAACGTCCTGTATTTTGTGTACCTCGGTATCGCCGAGTTCGTCACCGTTTACATCAGCACTATCGGCTTCATCTATACCGGCGAACACATCACCCAGAAAATCCGCGAACACTACCTCGAGGCCATCCTGCGCCAGAATATCGCCTACTTTGATAAGCTTGGCGCGGGTGAGGTCACTACTCGCATCACGGCTGATACCAACCTTATCCAGGACGGTGTCTCTGAAAAGGTCGGCCTCACTCTAACCGCTCTCGCGACCTTTGTGACGGCCTTTATCGTGGCTTACATCAAATATGCCCGTCTCGCGGGTATCTGTACCTCGACTATCGTGGCCTTGGTGCTGGTTATGGGCGGAGGATCCCGTTTCATCATCAAGTTTAGTAAACTCTCGCTGGAAAGCTACGGTGCTGGCGGTACCGTCGCGGAAGAAGTCATCAGTTCAATTCGCAACGCGACTGCTTTCGGTACCCAGGACAAACTGGCCAAGCAATACGAGGTGCACCTGCGTGTTGCGGAACGCTGGGGTACGCGCCTGCAGATGGCGCTTGGCGTCATGGTCGGCGCTATGTTCGGTGTCATGTTCCTCAACTACGGTCTCGGTTTCTGGATGGGATCGCGCTATCTCGTTGCCGGTGACGTGAATGTCGGCCAGGTTCTTACTATTCTGATGGCTATCTTGATTGGTTCTTTCAGTTTGGGCAATGTCGCTCCTAACGCTCAAGCGTTCACTAATGGTGTCGCGGCTGCGACGAAGATCTTCGGTACTATTGACCGTGTCTCGCCTGTGGATCCCACAAGCGATGAGGGATTGACTCTCGATCACGTCGATGGTGATATTGAGTTCCGCCACGTTAGGCACATCTACCCCTCTCGCCCCGAGGTGACTGTCATGCAAGATGTTTCCCTGAAGATCCCCGCTGGTAAGACCACTGCGCTGGTCGGTCCCTCTGGCTCGGGAAAGAGTACCATTGTCGGCCTTGTGGAGCGCTTCTACCTCCCCGTCGGCGGTAATGTCTATCTTGACGGCCATGATATTCAAGAATTGAACTTGCGTTGGTTGCGTCAGCAGATCTCGCTGGTCAGCCAAGAGCCTATTCTCTTTGGCACGACTATCTACGAGAACATTCGCCACGGCCTCATTGGAACTCGTTTCGAGAATGAATCCGAGGAAAAGATTCAGAACCTTATTGAAGATGCTGCCAAGATGGCTAATGCCCACGACTTCATCATGGCTCTGCCCGAGGCTTATGAGACTAATGTTGGCCAGCGCGGTTTCTTGCTCTCTGGTGGTCAGAAGCAGCGTATTGCCATTGCCCGTGCTGTTGTTTCCGACCCGAAGATCCTGCTGCTGGACGAGGCGACTTCCGCCCTGGATACCAAGTCTGAAGGTGTAGTTCAAGCAGCTCTTGACCGCGCTGCTGAAGGCCGCACCACCATCGTCATTGCCCACCGCTTGTCTACCATCAAAACCGCGCATAACATTGTTGTCTTCGTCAATGGATCGATCGTCGAGCAGGGAACTCACGACGATCTCCTGGAACTGGATGGCCCCTACTTCAAGCTCGTCGAGGCGCAACGCATCAACGAAGAGAAAGAAGCCGACGCACTGGCCGATGTGGAAGACGAAGACGAAGACTCCGACGAACCATACGAGAAACAAGAAATCGCCCGCATCAAGTCCTACGCCAGCGCATCATCCAGCGGCAAGACTAGGGGACGAAGTCCAACCGACGAAAACCCTTACCAACGAAAACTCCATCCAACGCGCCGACACCCGCAAATCCGTATCCAGCATGGTCCTCGCCAAAACCGGCACCGAGGGCGTAGGAAAATACTCTCTCTGGACCTTGATCAAATTCATCGCCTCCTTCAACAAAGCCGAATGGAAATTCCTCGTTGTCGGCCTTTTCTTCTCCATCCTCGGTGGCGGCGGCCAACCAACCCAAGCCTTCCTGTACGCCAAAGCCATCACCGCTCTATCCAAGGGCCCAAGCGAATACGCCGAGCTACGCAAGGAAGCAAACTTTTGGTCTCTAATGTTCTTCGTCGTCGGAATCGCGCAATTCATCACTCTATCCATTCACGGCGTCGCATTCGCATACTGCTCCGAGCGTCTCATCTGCAAAGCCCGCTCAAAGGCCTTCCGCATCATGCTCCGCCAAGACATCAATTTCTTCGACAAAGAAGAGAATTCCACCGGTGCCTTGACTTCCTTCCTCTCAACCGAAACCAAACACCTCTCCGGTATCAGCGGAACGACCCTCGGAACGATCCTCATGACCTCCACCACCCTCCTCGCCGCAATCGTCATCTCCCTCTCCTTCGGTTGGAAACTAGCTCTAGTCTGTATCTCCGTCGTACCCGTCCTACTAGCCTGCGGCTTCTACCGTTTCTACATGCTCGCCGCATTCCAGCAGCGCTCAAAGACAGCATACGAGGGTTCAGCCAGCTACGCCTGTGAAGCTACATCCGCCATCCGAACCGTCGCATCGCTAACGCGCGAGTCAGACGTGTGGTCCATTTACCACGGCCAACTCGAGGCCCAGGGCCGCGCTAGTCTAATTTCCATCTTCAAGTCTTCCCTACTCTACGCCGCGTCCCAGGCCCTGGTCTTCTTCTGCGTCGCGCTGGGCTTCTGGTACGGCGGTTCGTTACTGGGTAAGGGAGAATACACGACGTTCCAGTTCTTCGTCTGTTTCAGCGAAATTCTTTTCGGCGCTCAGTCCGCTGGAACGGTATTCAGTTTCTCGCCTGATATGGGTAAAGCGAAGAACGCCGCGTATGAGTTTCGGAAACTCTTCGACCGGAGACCTGTTATTGATACATGGTCCGAAGAAGGTGAGGCGTTGGAGAAATGCGATGGAACGATTGAATTCCGCGATGTTCATTTCCGATACCCGACTCGTCCGGAACAACCTGTTCTGCGGGGTCTGAATTTGAGCGTTTCGCCCGGTCAATATATTGCGCTTGTTGGACCGAGTGGTTGTGGAAAGAGTACGACAATTGCACTATTGGAACGATTCTACGACGCTCTTTCCGGAGGCATTTTTGTCGATGGAAAGAATATCGCCGATCTTAATGTTAATTCTTACCGGGAACATTTGGCTCTTGTTTCTCAGGAACCGACGCTGTACCAGGGCTCTATCAAGGATAATATTCTCCTTGGTATTGAGGCTGATGATATTGAGGAGGAATTACTCATCAAGGCTTGCAAGGATGCTAATATTTATGACTTTATCATGTCTCTTCCGTGAGTTTCCCTTACCCACCCTGCCCCCTCCTTGCTGCACAATGCAATATCTAACCCACCCTCCTCCAGTGACGGCTTCGCAACAATAGTCGGAAGCAAAGGCGGAATGTTATCAGGAGGCCAAAAGCAACGCGTAGCAATCGCCCGTGCTCTCCTCCGAAACCCGAAAATCCTCCTCCTGGACGAAGCGACCTCAGCGCTGGACTCCGAGTCCGAGAAGGTCGTGCAAGCTGCGCTGGATGCGGCGGCGAAGGGTCGGACGACGATTGCGGTTGCGCATCGACTCAGTACGATCCAGAAGGCAGATATCATTTATGTCTTTGATCAGGGACGTATTGTTGAGAGTGGGACGCATTCTGAATTGTTGAGGAATAAGGGGAGGTATTATGAATTGGTTAATCTTCAGAGTTTGGGGAAGACTCATTGAACTCGTTGAGAATTCCCAATTCCGAGTCTCTTTCGTTTCGCTTCCCTTTGCTTCACTTTTGATTCCCTTCTTGCGCTCTGCGAGACTCTTTTGGTTTGGTCTGTTTGGGCTACTTTACCCGGACTTGACTGACTTCGACTTCGACTTTCAGTCCCCTTTCATTTCTTGTTCATCTGTTTCATTCTACATATCTCCATCTCTTTGTACTTAATTTCCCCCTCTCCCTCCCCCCCTCCTCATTTATCCCATCTCTACGATGACTGGGTTTTCCTCTCATAGATCTGCACGGAGCTGGTGGCGTCGAAAATCTCGAATTAATTTTAATTAAATCATATATCATTTCAAAGGATCATGATCAATACTGGTGGTACTACTAGGCATTGGAAATTCTTTAAACAGAAACCATAATTCATTCCAGTTCATAACAGTACTAGTATTGCAAGAAAAAAACAGAAACTTTGTCAATATCAAATAACTTGAGTATCCAAAGGGCAAATCGCGAAAGTCGACAAGTTACTACTAATTACGCCAAATCCTATCAATACCCAATTGAAACATAACCTAACTAAACTCACCTAAATAAACTAAACTAGAATCCACCGCGCTGATCACGAGAAATACTTTCCTGCTGAGCCGGACGATTGGCGTCGGCATTGAATTTCTGACGTGGAGTCGTATACTCTCCCTGTCCTTGTCCGTGTCCTAGTCCTTGTCCTTGTCCTTGTCCTAGTGCTTGTGCTTTTCCTTGTAGATCTTGCGGCGCGCCCGCGCCCGCGCCCATGTTCAAATTACTACTACCGCCAGCTGCTGCATTACCACCAAAACCGGAATTGTCGAGAGGCTGAGCGGTATTGGCAGTGTTCTGAGCCATCGGCTCACCAGCACCAGCACCAGCGCCTCCCGCGGTTGTGCAGGGAGCGACGTGGCTAGTGGATTTATGGGACTTATTTTCCTGGGTTGAGGTGCTGAAATTTTCTTCCTGGTTTTCACCCATCTGGCCAAGGTTGGGATTGCTATTGAAGCCAGGTTGACGCTGCTGGGAATGATGTTCCTGCGTTGATTTGTTGAAATTGTCTTCGGTTGAGGTATGGTTGTCCAGACCTTGGCCTTGGCCTTGGCCTTGGGTGAAAGGTTGCTGTTGCTGCTGAGCTGGCATGTTGCTTGGATTCATGCCCTGATTCTGGAATTGCTGCTTTTGAGCTGGCATGTTGCTTGGATTCATGCCCTGATTCTGGGATTGCTGCTTTTGAGCTTGCATGTTACTCGGATTCAGGTTCTGGGTGCCTGTGCCAGTGCCTCTCTGGGAGCCGATGGGGGGGTTGATTAGGATTAGCACGGTTGTCTGGAGTATTTGTAACTTGAGTTAGCCGGATTACTTGGTTTGCTTTCGAACCTGATATGCTGCTTCATATGGAAAACAAATTGAATCATCCATCCACAGCTACTACAAGTCCTAGAGCAGTATGATGTGCAAGGTAGAGCATCAACATAACATACCTAAATCACTATCAACGCGCGGATCCAATTTATTGGCAACCTTTGAACTGTGAGGACCGGCGTTTATGTCGTCAGAGCTAGCACTGGAGGAGCTATCTTCAGGCACCGAGGAGGAAGTGTTGCGATTATAAGAGCTGGGCTGGCTCTCCGTTACAGTACTGGTTGGATAGTTTGTGTACTGATTATCTGCTTATCCCATAGGATAGGTTGAGCATATGATAACGAAGTGATACAAACGAACTTTATGAAAACGTACCCTGGCTCTTGGGATTGGAAGCAAGACTACCACTACCATCATCCGTGCGGTTGAAGTTAGGGTCCCTATTAACAGGGTTGTCCATTCTGGGAGCGTTCTGGCGATTGTTGTAGCTGGGTGTGAAAGGGTTTCCTGCGCTGTGGGTACGATCGTCGGAGGGATGAGCCTGACTGCGAGTCACGGGTTTATCGTGGTCAGTTATGGCGTCCTTGACTTTGTGTACGAAGTTCGACATAATAGATTCAAGTTTGGATCAGTAGATTGGAAAGTCTCAGTAGTTCAAGTTTTGAGAAGCTAATCGTGGTATACTAGTTTATCAGTTGGAAGTGGATAAATCAAGCTATTTTATAGTAGATCTCATACTAATTACATAGTAAGGATTCTGAGCAATAGCTCCACGATATCCATGGATTTACTAGTACGTGTGACGACATGTGTGCGGTCATGCAGAATAATAAAACAGGGAATAGTAATAGGACCTCGCTGATTCTATCCAATCTTTCTCTATCATGACGTCGTCCAGATACATTCCAGGATGAGAAGTGAACGGGGGGCTTCAAAGTCAACGCAAAGCTCAACACCATATTGGGACGACATTAAATCAGACCCAGCAAATAGATGACCTGAATTCAGAGAGTCGTGGCTTGTGACCATCTTTCCCCGGCCTAGTTATCCATGGGTCGAGCGCCACCATGGTTCTTGATTCAGGTATTTGGCGAAAAGTATATGGCGACCCACGGATATAGCTGCTTAAAACTTGAAATGACCTAATTATCCTTAGACTTTCTTTGTTCATAATGAAGGCATAGCTAAGGTATAGTACCGATTTGGGAGGAGCAGAAAAGGAGGTGATGTAGGCAGTAACTATATCAACTATGTATGGGTGTGGTGGTACAGCCTTAAAGGCGGTCCCATTTTCTGCCCGCATAACTGCCCCACCAGACGATGCACCCGCTGCGGCTATCGTCTATGTAGAGCCTCATACATTGACCGTGACCTTGATCAGAACGCTGGTGCAGAGGTAAAGTATATTGAATAATAAAAATATCTGCACTCAAATCCACCCACCCATCCATCCATTCCCCCATAAAGTCAAACCCATAACACCATAGCCGTAACTGCAGTAAAAAAGACATTCGCAATCCACACACATAGATAATATGACTCTTGACGCATTAACCCTTGACACCTTGACGATTAACCATTACTCGGAATGCATTGAATCACCCGGGCAATGAGTCAATCCTTCTCCAACATCCCAAAACTCCTACTCACGTCCCCAATTCTCTCCCCTCGACTCTCGGCCAGTAGTCCCATCAATCCCTGCGCCACATCCTTGATCTCATTGTAAGAGTGCAGGAGGTGAATGTGTTGCTTGACTGTTTTGTTGGGATCGTTGCTGTAGAAGTTCAGTGTCAGTATTGGCAGCTTATATATGCATGTAACTATGTGTATGGATGGGAGATGGTATGCTGGTGGACTGATGGATTGGAGAGGGAGACGAACTGTAGCTTGGGGAGAATTTCGTTTAGATCGGATTGGATTGAATCGATCTGGGATTGGAGGGTTGTGACTGATTTCTGGAGGGTGGTCTGTTGGTTGTTAGTGATTGCTGGTGCTAGTGCTGGTGCTGTGCTGCTTGGTTTGGCTTACTATTTTGGCTGATTGTTTGTGGCTGTGGGCCACCTCTGGATTTGGAGTGGTTAGTTTCATTTCGATGTCTGTATCTCTCGGGTCCATGTTGGGGTGTAGCGCAGGGTGAGAGAGAGTGTGAGTGTGTGTGAGTGAGTGAGTGTATACTATTGTACAGTTGTATGTGCATGGCATGGCTGGCCAATCAGATACCTCGCTGAATCAGCCGTGCCTGGCCGCGTCAAGTGGAGCTCAAAGGAGAATTAGGAGAATTGTTATGCAAATACTCCATAGTCAGAGGAGAAATCAGGAGTAAATATTGGAAAAATAGTAGAATATTACAGAATACTCTATTCTAATTAAGGTAAGCCCCCTTTACCCCCCTAATCTACTGTATAAACATACTCCGTACTAGACAGTGTGGACCTCCGCGTAATCGGGTCCTCCGGATTGGGGCGACCCTCCCACGCCTTCCGCTTTTCCCCCTCGACTTCAAGTCGGACTCTCCTCCAACTCACCCCCTTCTCCTCCACCACATCATGTCGTTCCTTCGGTCGACGTCTCTCGTCGCCTTATTCGCGGCGACTGCCCTGGCCCACGGCGGCCATGAGGCTGTCCCCGATGGCGAGGCCATCTCGCTCGAGCCCATTGTATGATCATACCATCTATCTATCTGCCTTGTGCTGTACGAAGCAGAGAGGCAGACCACCTAGGTCAATACACTTCTCACGAACCATGCTAATCACTCAACCCTTTTCCTCTCTAGGACTCCACGCTATGGGTTCATATGATTCTTATGGGCTTTGCTTTCGGCATTATCTTCCCCTTGGGCATGGTCCTGGGTGTATGTTATTATCTTTTCTTTTCTCTCAGCTTGCATCAGCCTGCCCACCTCCTCCAGATCCATCCGACTAACCCAATCGTCTCCGCCGTCTTAGATCGTTCGTTCCCGCTGGCACGTACCCGTCCAAATCGTCGGAACCATAATCGCCGTCCTAGCCTACTTCCTCGGCCACGCGCACCATGGCCGCCAATTCGGAAAAAACGCCCACGCCTCCTTCGCAAACTGGCTCATGCTGATCCTAGTCGCGCAAGTCGTGCTAGGCGTCTATCTAAAACTACACCTCGTGAAAGCCGGCCAGGCCCGCATCCGCTGGATCTTCGTCCTAGCCCACGGAATCCTGGGCAAGATCATGCCCGTGATTTCCTGGGCCCAGATGCTCTTCGGTGGCATTGCGGCGCTAGGCTTCTGTCAAGATGACCACATGGGACAATGTCTAGCGCACTTCATTATGGGATCTGCATTCATTGGATACGGAATCTGTCTGACGATCCTGCTTCTCGTTGGCCAGTTCTGGCTGCGCCGCACAGGTCGGAGTCAAGAATTCTTCGACTCGCTCATCATCGCGGCCTGGGGTTGCGTGAATACTTTCACCGAGCATCGCTGGGGCCAAGAGTGGGGCCATAACGATCTTCAGCACACTACTATGGGAATTGTTTGGTGGTGCGCGGGTCTGTTGGGTATGTGGCTCAGTCGCAATCGGTACGGTCGACCTAAGCGCAATCTCATCCCGGCTATTGTCATCCTCATGACGGGTTATGCTATGTCGGCGCATCCCCAGTCTCTCATGATCAGTACCATGATCCACTCTATCTTCGGCTATACACTCATGGCGGCTGGTTTGACCCGCATTATTGAGATCTCGTTTGTCTTGCGCGATCAGAGCGCCGTGAGCATGAACGGTACTGAACCGAATAGCTTCCAATATCTGACTCCATTCGTATGTACCCTTTCCCCCGACTGCTATCGTGCGAATGATTCATCTAACCTGGCGGCAGTTGCTTTACGCGTCCGGATTTCTCTTCCTCGGCGCCACGGAAGAACAAATGAAACTCCTCAGCGACGCGGGCGTTACTCACGTCTCCTACATTCTGATTCTATACAGCATCGCATTCATCCTATTCCTCTGTACGTTTGCCCTCTTCCTTCCAGTTTCCCCGTACCCACACCCACACCCATACCCATTCTATCACATATATGCATATGATGATACTAACCCAACCCAGTCGTCAACGTCCTCCTCCACATCTACGCTGTCCACACCTGGCCCAGAGAAGAAGACGCCATCGACCCCGAAGAAGCAGAAGCACAGAGCCGCGGCAAATACGCCACCGCGAACGGGGGCTTTACGAACGGCCGCGCACGATCAAACTCCGAAGCCCAGCGTATCCAGGACGCGGAGGGTTTCGAGTTGCAGGGTCTTATCAGTGATGAGGAGGATGAGCCGACTTCGTCTATGGCTTCGAAGAGAAAACATGATCAGGTTGATGTTGATAAGGAGGAACGTTAAAATGGGGTTTGTTTTTCTATTACCTTTGGACTTTTTGACCCCCTTTCTCATCTGTCGCTGTCGCCGTCTCCTTGATTATTCTCCATCTGCAATTCGTTTGAGTGGATGGGGGTGTGTGGGCGTGAGAGGGTTGATTGATTGATTGTCTTACCATTCTACTACTACTATTACTGCATCGTTTCTGAGGCGTTGGGGCTGTTGAATAATTTGTGAACATATATACATCTAAACTTGAAGATCTTCATATTTCTCGAATCCACTAGAGTAACACCACGATAGACATGATAGTAGTACAAAGAGCACTTGGGCGAAGGGAACTTGAATTTACTACGAATCTTGGAACGAGTCCAAATACTATGCGGCTTACTAGTATACTAGTACTAGTATCTACTCCCGATAGTTACTACCTACACTACTAGTTGTGCCTTTCAAGGTAAGTAGTGTCTTCAACCAATCCAATCATCAACATTGAGGGTATATCAAGAGTTACCTAGTACCCTAGGTACCTACTTTATTAGTAATCAACTCAAACGCCCAGCCGAAACTGCCCCGACCTCTTTACCCTACCTATCTCTAGGCAAGGGCAAAAAAAACTTGAAAGTAAACGCCAACCTTGGAACTAAACCAAAGAAAAAAAAGAAATTAGGAACAGAACAGCACTCCCGAATTAACCTTAAAACTCAATTCAATTCAATTCCCTTCCCAGATCATGATTTCATTCCTGTCGTAACATTCCGTCATAAACTAGGGCCAATTACCTCGCTGGGCTGAGGTGAGCAAGGTACTAGGCCGTTCGTTTACCGTAGCAAATAGCAAGCAAAAAAAGCAGAGAGCAGAGGAGAAAATAGTAGAGAGCAAAGTAGTTCAAGTTCAAGTTCTTGGAACTAAAACCTGGCCCTAGCCCTTGCCCAGCCTTAGGCCTAACCTAGCGGAACCCGCCGCTGGGAAAGAATCGTGGTCCAGCGTACCCGTGCGCTATGATACTTTGGATATCAATGTTGTCGGCGTTGCGTGGACTCCAGAGTTTGATTAGGATGAAGCGGCCGGACCTACATATCGATATCGATACAGAACAGGTTAGTCAAATGCTCTGCTCCGCTTTTCACTGCTCTGCACTGAGAGAGGAGGAATAACATACGGCGGAGGATCAAATTTGATGCTAACCATACTCTTCTCCCTCTCAATAAAGAATCGTGCATGAGGCTTCATTACTTCGGCCCCGCCTGCCCCGCTAGGACCAGGCCCAGACCCAGACCCAGACCCAGATCCAACAGGCGGGGGCGGGATCGGGTCGATGAGGCTAGGTTGGCCTTGGCGTCGCGGTTCGGACCCGGACCAGCCTCGTCGCATAAAGCCGGCGCGGCGCGATAGTTCGCGGAGGCGGCGGTTGCTATCGGTCAGGCCGGTTCTCTCTTCTTCCTCTTCTTCGTCGTCATCTTCACTGACGCTCTCGTCGCTGTCGGAGCAGAGGGGGTCTTCTTCGTTTTCCAGTCGCTGTAGTTCGGCGATGTCCTCGTTGGAGTCTTCTTGGTCGTGGAAGACGCTGTCTTCGGAGTTCTCGTGGTAATCTGTTGTTATGCGAAACTCGGATTGTGGGGTTGTGGTGCGAGGTTCTGGTGTTTCGTAGTTTGTGGTGGGGAGGGCATTTGGCCCTGTTAGGACGGTGCGTTCTAGAGATTGCAAGGGTGCGCGGTAGGAATTGAGGTACTCTTGTGAGGGCAAGACACGCATTCGGCGGCGGTGTTGGCGCCGGTGGACGCTTGAATATTGAATTTGGTATTGGGCTGTGCGGGCGAGTTGTTCGTCCGATGTCATCGAGACGAAAACCATGCCTTCTTGGATACTAGATGGTGTCAGCGGTGATTTGGTCATAGGGCGGGTACCCGTGCTCTGCGAAAAACATACGGAGAATCATATCCATTCCGAGGAGCTTTAATGACAAGCTTCTTCAGGCAGAAGGGCGCCTCGCCTTGATGTCGTAGAACCAGGTTGCAGCGATCGGACTTGGTACAGTAGACCGAATTGTCATTCCGGAGAATATTCTCCGGGAACGAGCAGTCGCCGTCCGGGTCATAAATGCCACCATCACAGCTGGCAAGTTCCATCTTCAGTGGCCCGGGAACTACTTGGCCATACTGTCCGTAGTTAAAGCCCCGGATTCCCTCACGGTTGTCGTCGGTGTCCAACTTTCGTCGCTTCAACCTCGCCCGGCCATCACGGCCATCACGATGTGTCTGCGCAGGCTGCGGCATGAGGGACGGTGTAGGAACTGGTGCTGTGAGATTGCTCGGATCAATCCCTCGGAAATCAGATCTGAACGAGCGGCGTCTTATCAGTCTGTTTGTTGAGCGGGGCTCCTGGGTTAACGAAGCGGGACTCAAAGTTGACGGTGGCCGCTCGGGACGGAGTCGATCCAAAATTCCCCTACCGGGTGTATGTCTGCGAGAAGGGCTCGTCACGTCTGATGTTATCTGCTGAAGCTGTTGCTGGACTGTGGCCCGGGATTGTTCGGCGTGGGTGAGTTGGCGGACTGTATCGAGCCGATGGTCTTCAATCTCCTGGTTCAGTGTTTGCAATGCACGATCGGTATCGCCAGGATTTGAGTGATTACTCTCTGAGTGGATCAAATTTCGGAGGTAGAGCAGGCTATCTCGTGAAGGCCGGGGTGGTGGAGTGGAATGACTTTCGCGCGGGGTCTCTAAACCCTCATGTATGCTCTGGGCACTAAGATCGGGTGCCAAATCATCAAGAATCTGATGCAGACTAGTTCGGAAGACACCATGCGAGTTGTTCTGCTCCGAGTCTAGTTCTGGTTCGTCGTTACGCTCGCTGAGGGCGTCGATAATTCGTTGGACACGTTGAGGGAGGGATTCGGGGATAGGCGGTTCGGGGCCACCGGGGCGAGATGAGCGGCGGGAAGAGGCAGGTGGGTAGTCGTAATTCCCTGACTATTCAACGATGAGCCACTGGCTGCTCGGGGCATATGGAGCGTTGGGCCGAATATCGGTGGAAACATACCATCCTGGAGGTTGACTGGGTGGGGGACCGCGCGGACGAGGGGGGGGGGGGGGATAAGACCTGGAGGCTAATCTCAGGTGTACTTCACTCGGATTTCAAGAAGGCATGGAATCAGACAGAAGGCAGCAGCCCATACGGGCCAGCAGAGAAATTCAAAAGGTGGTGGCAGTTGAGAAGATGCGGTGCTTGCCTGCTGTTTGGTTATCGGGGGTGCACGTGATGACATTATATCATCGTGGGGAGAGCTTGAGCTTCTTTCCTTTCTCTTCAATTCACCTTTCACCCCCTTCACTCGCTCATTTACCAACTCACGATGGCTGAAACGGAGAACGGTCAGCAGATAAGCGCTGGTATGTGCCAATAGTCTTGTTTTTACAATCCATCCACTGACTCTTCTAGACGAGATCGCGCTCTATGATCGACAGATTCGCCTGTGGGGTGTCCAGGCACAGGAAAAGTAACCCTCCCTTTTCGATACAGTGACAACCGGGTGTGAGACTAATACGATAAATAAAGGATCCGATCGGCAAATATTCTCCTGATTACTGTGAAAGCCCTAGCCAACGAAGTGGCCAAGAACCTCGTCCTTGCTGGCATCGGCTCTCTGACGATTCTCGACCATGAACCTGTCACGGAAGCAGACCTGGATGCACAGTTCTTCCTGGAGGAAGCGCATAAGGATCCGAGCATTTTAGCTGAGGGGAAAAAAGTGCGGCTCTTTTATTAAATACATCAGTCCGCTCGTTACCCTATACTAACTACAATTCCAGCGAGCCGAGATCGCTGGTCCTCAAATCCACCGCATGAATCCCCGCGTCAAGCTGCACATCGATACCGATGACGTTCGAACAAAACAACCCGATTTCTTTGCCCAGTTTGATGTGACAATTGCGACAGAGCTGGACTTTGCAACCAACAACACTATCAACGCCGCCTGCCGTCTGGCCAATCGCCCTTTCTACGCAGCAGGTCTACATGGGTTCTACGGCTACGTGTTTGCCGACTTGATCTCCCACGATTTCGTTATCGAGCGCGCCAAATCGAATGTTCCTTCGCAACAGCATGAAACGCCGACTCGGAGTATTGTCAAGGTCACCACCAAGAAAGAAGGTGACAAGACGATCGAACTCGTCACCAAGCGCGAGACTTACTCCCCACTCCTCCTTGCCAATACCTCTCCTCTACCGGATGATTTTACCCGCCTACCTCGCCGCCGCAAGCAAGTCACCCCTCTGCTCAGCTGTCTTCGCGCTCTGTGGGAATTCGAGAAGCTCTCCGGCGGCCGTCGCCCAACGTTCCAGCACGCAGACTTAGAGTTATTCACAAAGCTCTCTCGAGAAGTCCACCAGGAACTCAAATTAGATTTGAATACGCTAGACTCGACCTTCCTCCGCGCATTCCTTCAGAATCTGGGCTGCGAGTTGAGTCCCGTGGCTGCGTTCTTGGGCGGTTCGCTCGCGCAGGATGTGATCAATGTTCTGTCGGCGAGAGAACAGCCCCTTCAGAATATGCTGCTCTTTGACGGAGAGAAATCCCAGGGCCCCATTTACCCGCTTCATCCTTTCTTCCCTGCGGAGTTGGGGATGCAGTCGCTTGCTGCTGTGCCGCCTGTAAGCAACGCTGTTCCTGTGGATCCTGCGCCACCGACGACCATTTCATAGGAGTATCACTTTGTATGGGTGTTATGTGATATCTAGAAATGACTTAGACGAATCTCATTATGTTAGGCTTCTCATAGACAGGAGCAAGTCTTATGTTTGTACAATAGTAAGAATCCATTTCGGTAAAGACGCTACAGTTCGTTCACGGCTAGTTAGGAAGTCATAGACTATGGAGTGCCTTAGGTATTGGAGAATGTGGGAGACTATGTTGGATGATCCGTTGCCCCCAATACTAATATGTACACTGTCCACGATGGAATAAAAATTCATTTTTTGAATGATGGCAAGTTACTCCCTGTCTCGATACCGGGCAGTTGAATATGCAAAGTACCTCCCGTCCCGCTTTCGGAACTCGATATCAACTTTCATCGCTTCGCTCAGTCTCCGTAGCTGTCTGAGATATCTGTAGGTTTGTTCGTCTAGATGTCCCGGAATAAACCCCCAATCGCAAGGGAAGAAGATAACGCGGAGACGTCAGGGCATGGGGAATTCTTCTCGATGCTTTGTCAAGAACTCGAAGCGAAGAAAAAGGTAGACTCTGATGTAGAGTAAGAAACTTTAAAGTCGAATTTGCGTAGGGTGGATTTGATGGCACTCAATCCCGTAATGATGTCCTCTTTGCTGGGCCATTCACCTTTTCCATCAGATGCCGAAACGAGATGAAGATCTTCTAGGGATACCACCTCTTTGAGGAGCTTCCCAATATTGCTAGTCTCGGTTAGAGTTGTGCCACAACACAGAAGGCAAGGAGCGAGAGAATTAAGCTGACGGAAAGCCGCCTACCACCGAACCGTGACAAAGTGGAAATGGACATGACAGCGAATCAGAACACAGCGCAATTTCTCAAGGGCGAGGGATTACGATGTAGTACTGGAGGAACTTACCAGAACAGCATGATTTAATGTTGAGCGGCCGCTGGACTGACAGCAAATTATTCATTTAGGGCAAGAGGGTAATGGGAAAGTCATGTACTAATTGTTGGAAAGCTGTACGGATAAAAACAGGAATTTTGATATTCTGAAGGTATTCTTAATCGGATAGTGAATAACCGCTAGCTAGAATTCCAATATTTATGCAGCAACACCTTGGATTATACTTTGATATAAGATACGCCAAGCAGCAAAAATCAAGATACTAGTAAGATATTTGAAACATGAGGATGCAAAAAGACAATGCTCACGTCCAGATTTGAACTGAAGACCTCGGCATTACTAGTGCCGCGCTCTACCAACTGAGCTACGCGAGCTTGTTGATGGACTGTCTTCAAGCCTTTGCCATCATGATTGGAAGGCAGATTTTGAGGGCAAAGTGGAAGCAAGGCAACCATTGCAGACCCTCTTCCCAACAACCACGGCCAACCTTGGAAGAGCAAACAACCAAACCTTAGTTTACCCTTAACTTCCAGTAAGCCATTTCCATGGTCGGAAAAGTTTCAATCAGCACGGCTTTTCTTACTTAGGGGAAAATTCAGAATATGAAGAAAAAGAAATTGAAGAAAAGGAAAGAAATTATCTTTCATGAAGATCTTAGCATAGATGCCGTGTTCAATTAATCAAGTAAGCCGGGTGGCAGCACCGCCCATCAGGCAAGCGGTACATCGTGGCTTTATGGCAGCTTCAATTACTGAAGCAAAAGGATAAGCAAAAAGAGAATGCCCCCATCCAGGATCGAACTGGAGACCTCGGGATTGCAATTCTGTTACCAGAATCGTCATAAGATGAGATATGAGACCCACGTCATAGCCAACTAGACCATAGAGGCAATTCATGAGTGATATGGCTGATATAGTGTAATAGAAGTCTAAACTATCATTCTTGGAATCATGTCATTGATTCTTACCATGGTTCTTCGTCGTCTGGTTATATACCCTAATTTGAAAGCTACGGTATAGAGATAATAAATATTGTGTAGATCATCCTTCCTGGATATTAATAAGCCCTCCAGGCCTGATTATTTTATGGTATTTATTTTGAATAAATTATGCTCTGATCAGACTATGATATATATTATTTATTATAGGCAGTATATTCGATAAAAGCCACAGTCTACTAATGTTTGGACCTACTACGATCATGAACAGAATTTTTGCGGAAATGCTGCTCTCATCCACTAGCATGGATGCCAATTATTTTATGCTGAATAAAGCACGAAAATTACTATAAAGTGCCAATGCAGGTGGTGTTTGTTTAAGATTTTCCCTGCGGCCAGATGTGTGGAATAGTGCAGTAGCAACTTGAACGCATTCCACACCCGTCCAATCGGATTAAAACCTTCCAGTTTACATCTCTCCTGACTCGCCGAAGAAATATCGTCTATGCCAATAATTGTCGGAGAATAATCGGCTACATAGTCGTAATTTAATAATGAAAACTCCGCGACCTAAATTGCACTATGTTCTAGGGAAAAGGCGATGGTCTCGTCAAATTCACTGGGGTAACCCACAGGCCGTCCCGGACTTCCGGCATGTCCGTGCTTGTTCCTGAGAAATTTCCATTAGAATTCTAAAAACAACTACTAGTACAACTTAATACCACCTAAGTATGCCAAAGAAATCATGTTCGCTGAGGGATTAGCACCATAGCCTCAAGTATAGAAGAAACTGCAATCAAAATATTGAAAATAGCAAAATTTTTAGAAGCCATTACTTTATTCGACAGTCTATTTCAAGGATTAAGCTGCAGGCTTCTAACTACACGACGGAAGGCAAGATTCATAAGATCATGAGGAAAAGTGTAGTAAATATTGAAAAATCTCCAAAGGAAACAGGAGTTAATCTCAAATCTAAGCTAGGGTATCTTTCTTGACAGGGCATGCAAGGACAGTCACAACTCTAGTACTGGTGACATACACGGGGGGAATATTAGGGTTCGCAGTTGCAATTTCGGTCACCTTGGGCCCGGGGGCATTTCCATTGCTGTCTTGGCCTGGAGCAGGCTTTTGACCTGCACTCACTCCGGTAGCAGTGGGGGTAACTTCGTACACGGTGGTCCCAGCAACGACAGTCTCGGTAGCGACGGAGGTAGTCTTATCACGGGCAGGGCAGTTTGTGACGGTGGATGGGCAAGCGGTCACGGTGATGGTACGAGTGGACAAAATAGTCTCAGTGGTGTAGTGATGGCCACCAGCATTTCCGGGGGCAGCAGGGGATCCGGTGATGATAGCCCCGCCGGGGTTTGTGGTAGTACTGGCTTCAACGGGGCAGATGGTAGTCGAGACAATGATAGTTTCAGTGGTCACATAGGTGCTTCGAGCAGGGCAGTTGGTAACAGTGGCAGCGCAAGCGGTGATTGTAGAAGTGCGAGTGGTGAAAACAGTGGAAGTTGTCAGCTGGGGAGCTGTGGGTGCTGAAGTAGTCACTCTGACAGAGCCAGAACCTCCGTTGCCTGAGCCTCCGTTGCCAGAGCCTCCGTTGCCTGAGCCTCCGTTGCCTGAGCCTCCGTTGCCTGAGCCTCCGTTGCCTGAGCCTCCGTTGCCTGAGCCTCCGTTGCCTGAGCCTCCGTTGCCTGAGCCTCCGTTGCCTGAGCCTCCGTTGCCTGAGCCTCCGTTGCCAGAACCTCCGTTACCTGAGCCATTACCTGAGCCCGTCGCAGGCACGCTGCTAGGAAGGGAGGTTGGGATATCGGATGGACCAGTCGGTGTGTCAGTTGTAGGGGCAGTCTCAAGTGGAATAGAAACCGACGGCGAAACAATAGGGACGGAGCTTGATGCAATTGGGCGAGGCGTAGGGCGCGAAGAAGGATGTGGGCGCGAGGAGATGGTTACTCGGATGAGGGAAGACGAAGTTGGGATGCTCGAGTGAGAGATGGAGCTGGCGGGATGAGAGGAAGTGATAGATCCAGAGTCAGTGATTGGTGCAGAAGATGGCTGAACGGAAGCAATCTGAGACGGGATAACTGGATTGCCTGAGGATGAGTCAATTGAGGGCAGAGTTGGGACAGAAACCGCAGGTGTAGATGTTGGTGAAGTGGCCGCAGTGACGCATGTGGTTGTTGTTTCTCCACTCAGTAGTTTGATATTATCCAAATCCGCCTTTGCCTGGTGACGCCTCACCACCGGGCAAAACAAGTAAATATATAGGGTTCCACTTGTACTCTTAGCGGTAAACTCCGCCGAGACGGTTTTCCAAGCAGTGTTCTCAGGTGTTGCCCGCAAGTTTTCGTAGCCTCCGATGTAGGATGTCGATCTGCCACCAACCATATAGAAGGCAAGGTCACAAGCGGCCTTTCCATCAGCAACCGGTTTCTGGATTCGCCATTGAGCCGAGACAGTGTAGGTAGATCCCTTTACCAACCCGGAAACTTCTTGATAAACTCCAGAAAGGGGTGCATTGGACTTTGATGACCGCTCACTATGGTTTTTCGCGATTAGAAATGTTCATACGTCCGCGGGAGAGAGTCTTACAGATGGCAATCACCATGAGCAGCCTTGTGCCCAGTGGCCAAATGCATGTTATCCCCAACCAATTCCCACCCGGAAAGGCTACCTGATTCAAAAGAGGGATTTTGAACCAGATTGACCTCATTGGTAGTGCAAGTAACATCTTTCTCGGCCGTTGCCGAGCTAGCAAGCAGCAGAGGCAGGAAAGCCTGCCACATCAATTGTTTGACTGAGGAATAGTTAGTACATATGAGAATCGAATGTTAGCGTTATACTGACACTGCATGATTATTATGTGATTAAGTGAGCCGAAGCAGATTTAAAGATTAGAAGACAGATGAAGTCCGAAAAAAATGAGTGTACGGAGTAAAGTTGGTATAGAAAGAGTGGACCCAGTAACAACTGGAATAAAGAACGACAGTAGCACACAACCAAAAAAAACTTCCTCCAAGCCCAGAAGAGCAGCACGGCAATTTATAAAATGTCTATACTATCTCTCGTAGCTACCCATCGTATGGTGTTCGCGGAGGGAGGCTGAGACTTTAAGATTAAGGATCCACCTGTCGGCCAAAATTACCTCCAGCAGATCGTCAGCGGCGCTATCACTCTTGGCCAAGAACAGCTAAGGATGGCCACCCCGCGAGTTCCGTCCACTCGCATAAGCAGATCGATCTTCGCTTAGGGGTTACGGCTAAATCAGTCAAATTATACAGGTTCCCAGACCCTGGGCTTTAAGCCGCAAATCAATAGTTCGCCCAAAGTGCAGCGCTAGCACGAGCGTTCCTGAACGGCTGCGGGGCTTCGGGCGAAGTACATACACAAAGGATTTGCCCCGGACATCACCGGGCAAACGAGAGGCGATTGTAGTGTTTCTAACTGAGAACGAGAGAGATAATGGTAAATTATTTGCAGGATGGAAGACGCGCTGAGGCTATCAAAGAACTAGATATAGCGGTGTAAACCGACTAAGTCCATGCCTGAGGCCCCTGGTCTGAGAGGTATTTGTGGTCTTTCGGAAAATCCTCGGATTTTACGCTGGCTAAAATAATCCCCGGTCTTGGAGCCGCATCCGAGGATACTAGTAAATTTCCAGCTTCGCCAAGACATGTCTGAGTCGTACGCGAGGTAACCATAATATATGCAGATGTCGAATACGTTATGTCTACGCGCAGGCGGCACAACCTTGGAAATGCTGTATTTTTGCCATGCAGCGGCCCATTCTGTACCGTCTGTCCATAAGGTCATATGTCTTTCATCAAACTATCCAAGCAAGCCAAGTCGAGATCTTGAAATGGGTCATCCTCAATTCTGGCCGTGACCCCCAGGGTACTCAAACTGCTGCATGGGATAATCTGATAACCCCCCCGAGATTAGCGGCGCAAAGAGAGCAGTAACGTCATTTTTGCTACTGTAGCGGTGTACCTTGTTACAATGATAGTTAAAATGAGGGTCTGGAGGTATTGAAGTTACGAGAGAGTTCGGCTGTGCTTGCGTCTCAGCCTCCTTTCCGGATTGCATGACGACCAGTGATTGGCTCTGTCTCGGTCCAAGATATTTCGGACCATGCTACGTTCATATAAGATACTTCGATAATTCCGGTTGACTAAAACTAGAAAATTGTACCCTTGATTGCATAATAAGCCCAAGTTGCGATACGGAGTCCACGGGCTAGATATAGAGCGATGTAGATATCAAGAATGCATATAAACACTTCCTCAGCTTCAAAAACCTGGCCCATTTTTCCCTTTGCACAATACCAGGATATTGATCGTAATCGAAATTCTCCCGCTTCAATTACGGGCTCTTCGGCTACTTCTTGGCCGCTGCCGCGGCTGCAGCCTCTTCTTCGGGGAAGGGCTTGCGAGCCCATACTCGTTTACTTTGAAACAGTTAGTAAGTGGATGCGAGCCAGAAAAGGTATATGAATCACATACGCTTCGTGATAGATATGGAAACGAGGATTTTTAAGCTCATTTCTCAACTTGGCAGTGTAGACCTGCACCTCCTCCTTCGACCACGGGACTGGGTCCCCAAACTTCGTGAATAGAAACATTCCATAGCCTTCCATTCCAACCGACCAGTGCTCATGGTTGACAATGCCTGCCTCCTTGAGCCGTTTATCTCGAGGCCAAGGACCCAAAGGCCATTTAGCGAGGTAGATCTGCCTATCGACAAATCCGGCTTCCTTGATGTGGTCTTGGCATGTGTCGAAAAGATTGAATGGTCGGCCAGACTTGTTACCAGCATTTATAAGCGTTTGTCCCCAATTGGCGAGGATGTTGTCAGGAGGAAGACTACCGTCGTCAGTGACAAAATAGGGAGTTAGTTCAAGTTGCTCGATCCATCCTCCAGGGCGGATATTCCTGTGCGATAGTCAGCACTGGAAAAATGACCAGATAGAAAGCGTGCAACAAACTTATAGATCTCCGCGTAGAGCCTCTTCTGCTCCTCGGGGGTGAACGATCCTTCGAGAATTCGGAGATGAACTAGATCAAAGGGTTTCTGCCAGGTCCAGGCCTGCAACACGTCGTCGACCTCTAGAATACAGTTCGGAGGCAGCCACTCGATGGGAGGTGGGAAAAGGTCCACACCGCGGACGGTCGCTGTTTTAGTCAGTTATGCCATAGCGCAATGTATTGGACGATGGCTGGTAGCTTACCATTTGGAAATGTATCGGCCACATCGCTGATAAAGAATTAGAGTGGGCTGAGGGACTCGGAGGGCAGGAGGGCCTCTTACATTGCCCAAGAGCCTCGACCAGTTCCAATATCCAGAATGTGCTGAAGAATGTTAAAAAACCTTTCGGCTCTCACGGATTTGGCATCAAACATACCTTTGGGTTCTTTATGGGAGCCCGAAAGAGCGGATTTTCACGGTCGGCCTCCATGACAAGGGCCGTGATATGGCTATTAGAAGCCATGAGTATGGTGATATTTACTTCGACAAAGATTCAAACATACCCGGCTTCATAAGACTCAAATTGCTTTTCATCCGAAGGCGTACTATTTATGTCAGTACTAATTCAACCGCGATGTCAAGTGTGTTTGCCTACAAGGAATCGGTCGCTTTTAGCGTTTGATATCTGCTCCCCGTTAGCGGGGTTGCACCTATGTGTATGCTCCGTACTGCACGGTACTGACTTTCGACCATTTTCCTCTAGCCCCCGGTACAAGGACGAGCCGATAGAGGTAGTCTCACTGCGTTTATCACATTAAAAACGATATATCGCCAGCATGTGGTGTGCAACCTACGACTGCCAGTCATCGATTTCGTACGAGCCGGTCGCCTCGTACAAGTTCGGGTCCTGTGGGCCATCGGGTTAGAACAAGAGTCGAACCCCGTGGGTACATAGCAACCTACAGGCACAATGGTTTCGTTCATGTCCGCCATTATTACTGGTCACGCGAAAGCAGCGCGTCAGCAAGAAAGAGACAAGGATATGAGAAGGAAGGCGCTGCAGTGATGAGACCCTTGAGGAATGCTGGGTGAGGGGGAAGAAGAATTGACAGCTCTCGGTATTCACCTGCGGCTGCAGTTAGTGCTCTTGGCGGTCACTGAGCACATCTGAGCACGGCTGGAGCGGGCAGCTGCTTGACTGGCCAAGCTGTTAGCCCGCGGCGCACTATGGAGTACCTGAGCTGTCAATGTCTACGAATAGACTCTTGGTACCCACTTCTGGGCCGTTCCGTCAGGATGGTTAGACCCGCACCAGATAAAAAGGGGTCGAGTCAATTACGAGTCTGGTTTGAGAAGAGATACTATTGACATGAGCTTAGGACTATGAAAGTGGCGATTATTTGCGAATGTATAGAGATCTCAGGTGTGGGGGGGGGAGAGAGAGAGTGTGTGAAGCAGCGACAATGTGATCTTGGATGCCTGAGGTATATAATCCTCAACATGTCCATTCATAAGACTGAGGATAGTCTAGCCATGTGCTTTCAGTCTCGATTAATCAATCAATAAACTATCATTTACCAAGTATATAGCTCACAATGACTTAGCCTTGGGAGCCAACTTCCTCATTGCCTTGGTCAGAGCCGATTTCGACAATCCCATAATGACTTAGCAGGCTCATTACCCCGTCAAATGCAGCCATGCCAGTCATACCATCTCCCCCACTCGAACGTGATCCAGAGCAATTAATAAACTCATACCAGATATTTTGACTATCGAGAAAAGCCCAATGTTGAAGTACAGTGTATGATCCGGGTGATTTGATCAATTCGTCGAAGATATTGACCCAGCAAGTATGCAAGTCTCCATGATATGATGGCAGTCCGGGGGTATTGCCATGCCCTATCATGCAGTTGGAGATACTCATAACAGCTGATTTGATTATGACATAGATAGCTCCCCGCTGATGCTAATGCAAGAGGTAGCCCGTCAAGCTGGGTAACAAGGTCTCCGAGGTAAGGATCTGCAATGAGGTATTAGCTAAATTAACACATCCTTTTGGTAATATGACGAGACCTAAAGAGAGATCCTGGCGCTGCGATGTCTGAGATAAAATTTTGATCGCTTCCCCATCTTGCTTCATCATTCGAAGTGGAATCAAGGGCCATTCCGTAAAAGGCGACTGCGTTGTTATCACTATAGAACCCTGTCGTGCCATAGGGAAAAAAAAATTCAATCATTGGCCCTCCTTCGTTGATACTGAGATTCACCGGTGAGCGATAGTTGTCGAATATCAACAGCCATCTCTTTCTCCTGTTGAGCCAGCTCTGAACGCCCTTGACATCTTTACTGGCTGCGCAGGCTTTCCAAACTTCGTCAGACTGATCTTCTTCAGAGTAGCGTTTATGAAGGCTTTTGAGAGAAAAATGACCAGTGTGAGCCATTTCAATCAGATCCGTAGAGGGACTTCTCGATTTTTTTTCTCTTGTGCTCAAGAAACTGGATGCCAGAAGAAATGGATGGGAGGCATCGAGCCAGAATATGGAATCGTATTTATCGCAAAACTCTTCAACGTATTTGACTACCAGTGAAGATTTCCCAATACCAGGTGGACCCTGCAAGAGGACAGTATGGCCTCCATAGAGGGCTCCCAAGGTGAGCGCGTATATGATTGCAATCGTGAATTCATGTCTTTCCTTAGGCTGCATTGTGAGATTTGTCGATGGCTGTGTTAAAGTGTCCTGATTAGCCTATGTAACGTAGACTGAAGGGTGGGGGACTACCGGTTAGTTCGCCTCGCGATCTCCAGATAAATCGGCGGTGAGGTTAGGAAGAAAGCTGAGAGTTACTGGTAGCTTGAGGGGACATTAGGCAAACAAATATCATCAGATGACTGATAGTTCCGTTTGAGACTTTTGCCCCATTTTCTGCCCATTCCTCCTGTGTCAAACTATGCATTTCCTCTATCAAAGCTCGTCAACCAATTTTCTTATCCCACACTATGACTCCTCACATTTTTCAACACTTCATTGACATTATGACTAAAAGCCCTTACTATGATAATTCTTGCCCCTCTTTAGCCTTGTTGATTAAATATCAAAATAGGCTGGGATAATTCGTGAGATCTTCGAGTTGAAAAGTGCAGGATGCGGCTGAAGATCAGCCATTAGCGCCAAGAACCGCCCCTTCAAATCAGGGGTAAAGTACTCGTAAAGAAGGCCCTTCGAAGCACCCCCAGGTACTCTGTGCTGCAAAACAAAAAGCCATTTTCGAGTACAGAATGCTCTCGAACCCAGCATTGTTCTGGTTCATTGTAAAGAAGAAGGTCTCCAAGCTGTCCCATCTGATACTCGCAAAACTACGCGATAACAGTGATCTCTTACAAATTGTGGGCCGATATTTACCCCGCAACACTGGGTCTTTACAACAGTGTAAAAATAGCTTGTCTTTCACCCAAGAGAATGCATTTCACGAAAGTATTGAAGTTAGAGAAGAAACTATAGCTCTTCCAGATGAAATTGCTTAGGCAATGTGCTGATAGAAACGACGCGCGAGAAAACCAAATATACGTTCTAAAAGGGGGGGGATATATTGGAGATATATTGGAGGAGAATTAAACTCATCAAAATTCCATTAAGATAAAATACATAATTTCCCATAGATTGTTTCGCTGGATAAACAACCAATCCGTACAAGGATATCATTAAAATGCCTGTCCAATTAACAAAGCCACACCGATAGCCAATGGGCTGGAGAGCGAAAGGCCGGTAGGCGCAGAGTTCTTGCTGGTGGTAGTTGCGGCGGCAGCAGCGCTAGTAGTTGTGTTCGTAGTATTTCCTGGGACTACAAGGCCACTAGCGTATTGCTTCAAAGCAGATGTTGAAACGGAAGACGATGACGGCTTGGGGCACGGGTTTTTATACACATACTGCTCAGCATCGTCGCTGCACTTGGTCGCATCCGCAGCGTTGTATGTACCATTCGGATACATCCAGCAGCTACCCGAGCCATACTGTGTATTGCCTTCGTTATGCGGATTAAAGACGACATAGTTGCAAGAATCGGCCTCGACACACTGGCTCAAGCAGTTCACTGCACCCGAGCTAGCAGTGCAAGTGTAAAAACAGTTGTCATCAGGGGTTGGGTACCCGCAGACCGAGGCAATAGCAGTGGGAGTCTCGGTGGCGGCGCAGGCGCCAGCAGTGGTGGTGGTTGGGCTAGCACACTCAGGCTTGTCATAGACGGATAGGACGGAGCAATCCTTAGTACCTTTGCTCTCATCGAAGGTTTGTCCCGGGTACAGCCAGCACGTACCGGTGCCTAGGTAAGGGTTTCCGGCGCTGAAGATAACAAAGTCGCAAGGAGGGTGGGCGTTACAATAGTCCCAGCAGTCGGGCCTGCCGCCCGAGGCGACGGCAGAGATAGGTGATGGATAGTCACAGAGCTCCGTGATGAGGGAGGCTGTACAGCTTGGCGCCGCGGAGGTAGTAGAGGTAGTAGTGGACGTAGTAGTTGTCGCTGTGGATTCAGTGGCTGCTAGAGCCACTGGTAGGGCTGATAGGGCGATAGAGGCCCAGAAAGGAGTGATCTTCATGGTAACGAGCGTAGGTAAGGAAATAAACGTGCACAGGGGTCTAAAACTGGGGAAGAACTTCGTATTCATATTTAAACTAGAGTGGTCACTAGTACGAATAACTAGTCCTGTATAATACTAGTTAACCCCTTAGGCAGAAATGGGTAACAAGCCCTGTTGCCACAAACAAAATACAGTCCACGGGTGTAAACCCGGAACAGGATTAACTAGCACTGTGCGTGGGCGCAGTTTTTGACCGAATCGCGTTAGGTATTTTGTCTTGGAATTTTGCCCTGAATCTCCGTTCGATACTAACTAGTACATACTAGAATACTAAATTGTGGAGTCAGACCTGGCGAACGGGCGAACATCCAACCGAGCCGAACCTTGGAACCCTTTGAAGATAGAATAATAAACTCGATATTTTCCCAAGTTGCACCTCAATATATCAATGACCACTAGGACTTCCCGGTATGCAATTGTCGAGTTCCAAGATTTACTATGATGCTGCCAAAGGATTCACCTCGCTTGGATATGCGGCTCACCTGTGACTCATAAGTATTACTAGCGGTAGAAAAACGTATCCCCAATCCTGGTGAAATTGGAGGTTCCAAGCTTTTAGCGTGTTTTTTGATCACACCCAAGACGCGCCGAGTATTGAATATTTCCGAGCTAGTACTATAATGGGAAAATTATATGCAAAGATACGTGGGGGCCGTATTTCGAAGTGGGGCATCCATACAATTTTTCATTTGGAACTGGTCTGACCGGCAGCGGCTCTGCCGATGCCCCCCACAGGAAGTAGAATATTCTCAGCCGTGATCGGCAGAAGGCGAGGAGGAGGAGTTCAGATGAACGCATGGCTTGGAGATAGGGTTAAAGAGACGACTGTTTGCTTTAGAGGAGCTCTACAAGAAAGTAAACCTAAATCTCTACGCAGAAAGCTATCTCAGTAAAAAAGGTCTGGGATCAGAAAGTCACCTGGATTAACTCGAATACTGTCAGAAAGCGACGAGATTTTGATTAAGTTGAAGGTTAATATTTATAAAACTGGAGCCGCATTATGCATAATATATGCATAAGCCAAGGTTACACATGGATTTGAAGGTTTCAGCGGCGACTGCTAGGTGATAAACGGGGAAATTGATGATATTGGTAGTTAGTGGGTGGTGGTCAAGAGAGCGAAGCTATCCACATACAGGATGGAAGGACGGCACAGTGACCTGGATGCCCGAGGTCTCTCAGCCTAAATAAATCTGGTACTTCTCCATCTCTCCCTTTGCAACTGTGGCAATAGTATGCCAGTGGTTAACCGCCCTGGTAATTTGATCCAGGGTGTCAGCGTCGAGGAAGCAGAATTACCCTCCACTGTTTGATACATGCACTGGGCAAGGTGGAGGCAGTGTAGGACCTGGAATTAGTGAGCTCGGGCATCTAGAGACAGCTTTTGTACTTCCAAGTCGTAGGCACGAGACAATGCCTTCATCTATCTGGCCCCAAGGTGAGAATTGTAGTCGGTACGCCCTTGCTTGGAGCAAGCAATTCTCTGTCTCTTTTGCTCTTTTCTGCAGACCGGACATATGAGAAAGGACGAGGAACTTACCTGTCATACTATCCGTATTATCTGGAAATGGGCGAAATTTGGTTTTCGATGTATACGCTGTTGGAAAATTGAGTGGCACAATGCAAGGGAATTTGATAAGCGGCCCTGGGGGGAGAAACGGCGCGTGACGACCCTAAAAGACAAAGACTAACATGAAAGTGAATAGGGAGAGCCTTGCAGGTGGAGGAAATGGAATATCGAATGGCGAGAAGGGTGAATGTTTGCAGGAACCTTGGAGATACATGGGACAGAAGGTGCGTTAGACTCGGAGCATGTAGAGCACCGCAGTAGTATAAAATTTACTATATAATAGTATAGAATAGTATAAACAGATGATTCAATGTGGTAGTAAAGAACAAGGGAGCTCTTAATAGAGCTTGTTAGAATGAGTGCATAAAGGTGCCAGAACGTATGGAGGATGAGGGGATTATGATATATGATAGTATGGAATGGATACTGGTTCAAGAAAAGAGCAAATTAGCCAGGAAGTCAAATTATTACATAGAAATATGGCACGGTGGACAAAAGATAGCACCATTATAGCAAATAGCAAACACTTCCAAGTTCTAAGGTTATCTAGTTTCCTTAAGACTTTCATCCCCAACTGGTCAACAAATGCCCGTACCTTTTTATTTGTTTGTCTCTTCTCCTTTCATCTCCACTCGTGTCGTACCACCCGACTTTTCTATCAACACGTACATCAGGAACGGAATTTGTTCTATCCTCGGTACAGCTAGTTTGGCAGTAAATATGGCATTATCGATCAAATATACTATATATTCCCCTTTCCAGCTGTGTATAGCACATACGACCATAGGGTGTGGAGAACAGGGCTTCCCGTCCGCTCAGCCGTACTTAAGCCATATACTAAACGCGGTCAGTAACCAAAGAGCCCTGGATCTCAAAATGGTGTTAGGTTTTGTGTTAGGGTGAGTGCGGATGATATGGGTGAGAATTCTGGAGACTGGGGTAAGAGAGGTGAGAACGGGGTGAGAGCGGGTGAGAACAGGTTGAGAAGGGGTGAGAATATCCGCTGCGATGCGTGGCTCTTTTCCAATATGCAGTAGTCGATGAACAAAAGTCCGAGGGTGCAAGTATAGTCTGCCATTTTTGAAAATATTCTTTTTCATTTTGTTAGTCGATACAAGATACTCTCTGAAGAAATACAAAAGCAAGTAGATGAGAGAAAGATATACACTGTATTATATGGTTTTATTTATGAGTACCAGAATACACAGAAACAAAAGAATAATACTATCTACTATAAACAGCTTGTCTCAGCTATATTCTGAAACTATAAGAACACAGTATTGAATTGGATACTGTTGGTAAATTCTATATCTGTTTAAAATTATTGAGATTTATAAATATCCGACAGATAGAGACTCTCTTGCAATAAAATAGCCAACACAAATTTCTCCAAAGAGAAGTCTGATTCTATTTCCCAGCTGTTGAAATCTTTTGCAGAAACCTATATATCTGAATTTTATCAATTGTATATCGAGATAGAAACAAGAAATGTTTTGTTTTCTACCAGATCCAGTCAAAAAAGATATTCTCAATATATAGCAGATATAAACGATTATGCAAATATTCACTGCCAAGTTTTAGTATATAAAACAAAATCTGACTGTCAAATATAAGCTGGCAATAAAGTTACAGAAACGGTATATAGTTATGGCTAAAAATATAGACTACTTTTTTTGTAGACTGTTTGAAAATAATTGGTATAACTACAGATATAAACGGGCTCGGATACAGGCTGACAGTACTCTAGCAGTTTTTGTTGGCTCAGAATCTAGAACGGATACTGTTGTAGAGTCCAGTAATTATTGTAACACCAACAAATATTTTTATTAAAAAGTTTGTTTTGATCTCTCTCTCTCTCTGTAGATCTCTCTTTACTGTAAAATCCAGAACTATTACTGATAATAAATTTTTAGTATCTTATTTTCAATATAAGATAGAGCTCAAAAAAGAGCTCAATAAAATATTGGATAACAATTCACTTGCTTCCCAACTTTATCAAGACGGGACTTATTATGCAGTTTATCTCAATACTTTATTTGAAGCACATAAGGATGGCCGTGATCAACCTGAAATAGAGGCGCTTTCAGATACTGTTTTCAAGATGCTCACAGTACAGAGAAAGATCTTTATTATTCTGGACGCCTTAGATGAGTCAAAAACAAGATGTATCCTTCACCTAATCACCCGGCGCCATCCAACCTGGTATTCTCTTACAGATAGATAGCAGCCTACGGTTTTTCTACACACGCGAGACTAATACACATACCGCCAGCCCCGCTCGACCACGCAATCCCTGGACCATCCCTCTGCCGCATCTAATCTTCGATTGAGGACCTTGGCCCGGTATTTAATTGCCCAACACAACACCACAGTGCATATGCACCCGAACAGGATTAAACCACCTCCCATGCGATAGAACGGCTCCTGTGACGTGGGGAAGAAGTAGGGGCTGAACCAATGACTGATTTGGCTGATACAATTGGCAATGGCAATCAAGGCGGCCTTTTTGCTTCGTGGCGAGGGCACAAGCGTCGTCTCCCACGACAGCTGAAGATTGAGGCCCGAATAAGTCCCACTGATTAGGAGAATCATGCCAAAATAGCGAGCACCCACGTTCAGGGTCGATATAAGCACCGCTGTTCCTATTGCACCTAGCACAATCGGCACGATAATGTGGTAGCACGATTCTTGGTATTTTCCGGACGAGTATGCAATCGCAAGGGCCGATATATACGCGATGATATATGGAGGGGCCTGAACCAGGTATGTGGTCAGCTCGGAGAACCCGAACGTTGCAAGAATCTATGTCAGATCGATCAGCGTTCGGAAATGCACTGCACCATGAGGTCAAAAAGTCGTACCGATGGGAAAAAGTCCTTGAAGCTTTGCGCATTCACGAGGGAGAAATGAAGACCGCAGAACATCCATGTGAAGGGCTCTTTGATGGCGGCTTTGACTCCATCCCACGTGCCCCCCTGAGTCTCTTCGTACCCACCATTGGAAAGCAGAATTCGATACTGGGCTATCTCCCGTTCTTGCTCGGTAAGCCACTTGGTATTATGGGGCCAGTTGGGGAGCAGAAAGAAGGCAGCAATAGCAACCAGTATAGAAACTGCTCCCTCGATAAGAAAGAACCATTGCCAGGCGTGCAATTGAAGGATTCCGTCCATATTGTAAAGGATGCCTGCGGCGAGGAATCCTGAGATGACATTGGAAATGGTGTTGCCTGCATGCCAGATGGCCATTCGCGTGGGACTTTCTTTCTTGTTATACCAAGAAGATGTCACTGGCGACAGTAAGTGGGAGTAAATCAAATGGGTTCGATTATCTTACAGAGAGCGATTCCGGGAAAGAATGGGGCTTCGGTCAAACCCACAAAGAATCGACAGATGCAGAATCCTACCCCGCTGGAGACCGTTAGTCTTAGCTTTCGATGACCCCACTCGGAGAAGCTTTACCTTTTCATGATCGGCATGCATATAGTACAGATGCTCCATGACAACATCATAACGGAGAGCCCCGTCCGAGGATTAGACCTTGCTAGCCACATATTCCCAGGAAGCTGGCCGATGAGGTAGCCAACATAAAACATCGATATGCCTGTATTCCACACCGTGTCTGACATCCCAAGGTCCTCCTGCAGGCCAGCCAGCCGTGCATTGGAGACGTTGATGCGGTCGAGATAGCTGTATCGAGTTAGTGAGGAATTCCTTCCAGCAACAGCATAAGCCTACCTCATGAGAAACATGACGGTGATTGTAGGCATCATACGCCAATCCACCTTACGCACTAAGTGCTTCTCTAATGCGTCTAGATTATCCCTGCTTAGACCCCGCAAGGTGTCAAAGGAAGCCTGGATAATCGAAGGGTCAGCCCCGTTGACATAGTCAATATGGTCACAAACGCCTTTGGGTGCCGATAGTTCAGTCATTTTGGCGAAGATTGAAAAGGTGATTTATTGCAGAAGTGCCTTGAAATTTTGACCTCCAAGGAAGACTTCAGCCCCCGGACTGGTATAATTATATATTGCCAAACTCCGCATTCCCCAGATAGTCCCCCAACCCGGCGGAGCCTTGGCGGCAACCCGCAAAAGCTCAGCCAAGATATAGTTATAGCGGGGTAAAGATGTAGTTTTCTATGGAATGGAGCGGCAATTGCTATGATTGATTGATATTCCAGCACTTAGTAAATATGCCAATCCTGCCCAGAGTTTGGTGGCGCTCTCGACGGCTTCTATCTTGCCGCGGACCAAAACCACCCATGGAATTGATACATACTAAATACCTGTAAGTTTAACAAAGTTGGGTCTCTTGGGTAAGGCCTGGAATGAACGAGGGGTTTGAACCCGAGTCTGTGCTTTGTAGGGTACCCACTCTTCATGTCTCAATAATCAGGCATCTAACATCGCGGAAATTGTAGGCGCACCATAGACTCCCAGTTGAATTGGAAGAGGGTGGTGAGGATATTTATCTCAAGTCGCCCCAATCCAGATATCGAAAGTCTGCTCGAACGCCGCGCGGATATTAACATCCAAGCCAACGACAGCCAGGGTGATCACGAGAAATTCCTTAATACTGAAGTCGATAAATTTACTAAGACTTCGCCGCTCCTGAAGCGCATAAAACCAAAAATCATTGCCAAATTATTGGAGCGTTGTCAGGGAATGTTTCAGTGGGCTTCGCTGCAAGTCCACCAAATTTCAAGGTGTAAATCTCCTGCAGCTATTGGGGAGCGTCTGGAGAAGCTCCCGAAGACTCTACAGGATGCATACGACGAAGTTTGGTGACAAATCCAGGACCAAGAACAGTCCGACCGAATAATTACAGAGCGTGCTCTCCGATGGGTGATGTTTGCATCTCACCCTTTAGATAGTGTCGAAATCCTAGCCGCAATCCGTATGGATTCGAACGCAGATTTACTCCCCTTGGACTATACAGTGGATGAGCAAGGGCTCTTGTCCCTCTGTAACAATTTCCTTGTTCTAGATTCTCAGCTGGAGGTATGGCGGTTCCCGCATCTTTCAGTCAGAGAATATCTGGAATCCAAGGAAGGATGGTCCACTCCTCATGCTTATCATTATGCGGCCAGTGCTTGTCTTTCCTATTTCGTCAAGATGTATGAGCACGACGATTCGGAGTTTGATGCCAAGTTGGAAGCCAAGCTGGATATTGAGTTGAAGAAAGCAAAACACACAGATGACACACTTGGACCTAAGAAGCCATTGCAATCAGACGATGGCTTTCATACAAGTCATCCATTTCACATGTACATGAGGTTCTGTTGGTCTTACCATGTCAACGAATCGAAGGAGATTGAGATCACTAAGTTAGGCTCTCTTCTGAAAGCCTTCCTCGGGCCATCTAGTGCAAGCAGCGCGCAATACCAGAGATGGCATAAAAAACTGAACTCTGATCACTATGAAACACCATCATCCTGTGTCCCTTATATGCCTCATTATGTGGGTTTGGATGAATATTGTGGGCTCATCGCTTGCCCAGAAAATACTGCTATCTTTGTCATGTGTGTTCTCTTGTCAGCTCTCAAAGTGTGGGACTGGGAGAACGAGGGAATAGATATTTTTTGTGAAAATATGTTTGAACAAACCCCTCTTGAATTCGCTGCGCAGGACGGCTGTCTTCCCGTATGCCGAAAGCCAGTGCAGTTTCTGGCTGATCAGGGGGCTACTTCGAATTGAGCACGCAACATGGCTATCTTAATCTGCCATTACAAGCCGCGTCATCACAGGGACATAAAGATATCGTGGAAATGTTTCTAGATCGAGGTATCAGTATCGATGCCCAAGGAAGACAAAACGACACTGCACTTGCGCTCGTGTCATTTATGGTATATGAAAAAATCGTGAAAATGCTCCTAGATCATGGTGCTGATACCAGTATCAAAGGGTGGTGGATTGGCACCGCGCTCATTGGTGCATCGGCAGGAGGCAATGAAACAACAGTGCAGATGTTACTAGAACACGGTGCCGACATCAACGCCCAAGGAGGACGTGGCGGTACTGCACTTATAGCTGTATTGAGCAAATGCAGTGACGGATTAGTTAAGATGCTACTTGATCGAGGTATTGACCCCAAACTCCAGGGAGGAGTATGGGGCACTTCACTCAATACCGCATTGAGCCGGGGCAGTGAAAAATTAGCGCAGAGGATGCTAGATCGAGGAGTGGATATTAACTTCCCAGTAGAATCCTGCACTGCGCTCATTTTGCGTCTTCCCGGGGCTATAAAGAGATGGTGGAGCGACTGCTCGATCAAGGTGCCCACGTAACCGGTCGACCTAGTAGAGACAAACAGACTGCACTCAAAGCCACTGAAGGCAAAGAAAAGATAGTCCAGATGCTCTTGGATCATGGTGCTACGGAGATGGGCATTGAGGAAGAATAACTCATTGCGCCTTGGTATATGGATCAAATCTGACCACTTACGTGAGACGGTCAGAAAATAAGATATAGTATTCAAAGGGTTTATTCAATTGTACTCCAGCACTTTTGCATGCATTCATACTAGACTGTTGTGTAGGTATGTTGTATTTTAATGGGGTAGGCTATACACCTGAGCGGTAACGATTCTGCCGGGATTAGCTGCACGGCAAATACAATACCCTCGAGCTACAAGAAAGTATTCAGTATATTTGAAGCTCACAAAGATAAGATTAGCTGTTAACATTTTGAAAGCTATATTCGACCAGCACTTTTACTCTGTGCATTTGTACTGGTTTTTGAAACTGCTATATACATTACATTATCCTTACGTAGAATACATTCTTTCGCTCTTTATCCTATCTGGCTTGAACGGCGTGGCAGCTTTCACCCAAAAAATGTGGAAGATAGCTTTTCCGCTGGCTTTTGTATTACAGGCCATTGACTGGACCTATATCAAGCACTCGGCTCAAACTTCTGCTGAAAGCTTCGTTGGTGACTGCGGTATCTTTACCCAGCTCACTAATTCCATTTCCGCAGATATCAGAGTATAAGTTGCAGCTGTGCCGACCTTGTTTCATTCCGATCTATATAAACGAAACATCTTTGTGTCAGATGATCCCTCGATAAGAACCGGTATTACTGACTGGCAGTCACCTAGCATAGAACCAGCTTTTCGGTATGCAGATGAAGTTCCCGACTTCGCGACTTGTCCATCTTCGTCGGGATCTTCTGCCCATGGTGTAGATGACGATTTATATACACAAGCCTACGAAATCTTTTACTCAACTTCTGACACTAAGGCTCGCTTGTCCTCCGTTAATGAACGAGGGCTTATTTTGTCCATTTAGGTACTGCTATAGAACATGGAAAGATAAAGCTGTTGCTTTTCAACGTGAGCTTATCCAGACCTCAAAAGAGTGGGAGGCACTCGGATTTCCGGCTCGTGTCCATTTTCCTTGCCGATTCAAGAAGGAGGAGATCTACATCAGAAGAAACACAGACAATTTGAAGCGTTCCAGAATCTGAAGCGTGATTTGTCACTTGTTTGACAGTGTATCTGATGGATGGGTTCCTCTGGACGGCTGGGAAGCGGCAAAAGCAGGAAATAGGACAATGTTCAAGGAGATTTTGCAGGCGGTATTGGAGAACCAAAATCCGGATGACGATTAACCAATTAGGAATCAAGGAGATTTGAGAGAAATATAGCCTTCTATTCCAACCATCGATACACTGGCACAAAAGGAGACGAATGAGGATTTGGCCCACACGGGGCACCTGCGGTCTGAACCCTGGTGATGTAGGCCTCGTTGTGAGGGCTACAGCTCCGTGAGAGCCGCAGGCAGGCCTGTGGCACTCCATATATTCATAGGGAGGAAAGTGGGTATGCGGGAGCATACATGGTATATACATGAGAAGGGGCCGCGGTGGGCGGGAAGAAATCGGAGCGGAGAGAGGGGTGTCCGGACGATATATGTGCGATATCCCGTATGGAATATCGTGAGACACGCCGGCAGGTTAGTAGTATGGTGGGTGACCACTTGCGAATCTCTGCTGTTGTATGTTTTTTTTTTTTTTTTTTCCATTTGTTGGGATAATTTCCTTGCCGCTTTTCTTCAGCCCTGAAGAGCAGACGTGGTCCTTCGGCTACACTTTCCCACCCTTCTTTCCGCTTGTCTCTCAGCCCCCATGATAGCCTTCTATGTCTTTATTTACATTAGGATCTTCTTTCCAATATTTTAAAATTCGGAACTGGTAGCTGTGCATGGAATTACTACTGTCGCTTTGTCCTGAATAAGGAAGGCGAGAAAAACCGAGTCTTGGTAGTACGTTGCCGGCGAGAGGTCGTGTTCAGCTAGAGAAGAAGGAGGAACAGGATAGAGACCGATACATGAAGGTGTTAGCTTATTTGTTTAGTGTGAATGTTCTCTCGTTCTGGACTGACCAATCAGAATTCGCCAACCAGCCTGACGATACCGAAATTATCATTTTGCAACTTTCTGAATACTATTTCTTCGTTTCAACTTTCAATCAGGTTGCATACTAGGCTGCGGTGCTTGGAAATCCCAGCAAGCAAGCACATTAGAAAGGCGCACAGGGCCTGCATAGTCGGAGCGCCCTCCGCCTGGCGTTGCTCCCCTGCATCTTGCAGAAATGTGACGAACCTAACTGCGGCAAAACTCAACCTCCGCAATCTATGATCTATCCGGTTCTATAATCAGATTATTCTCAACCGTGCAAGTTCTAGTATTCTTGCCCGATCAAGATGCTGATCGCTCCTGGCTTTGACCTGGTTTCCCCGCATGAATAGGGGGGGAAGTGAGGTGACACCGGTGCCCCGCTCATCTTGCAACAAACTAAATCATGGTTTTCTCGACAGGCTCGATGATAAGCTTTCCACTCAAGCCATATTGCCCGTTTTGGTCCGGATATCTCTCCATATAACCCGTCGTCAAAATCTGAACTTGTTTTCTAGTGCACTCGAAAGGCCCTGCATACTTCCCTACTCATCTCCGATGTCAAGCGTTACACAGATTTTCCTATGCCGTGCCGAATGCCGTGTCCAATCTAGCCATTGCCAATCTGCACGGCCTTTTTTTTTCTTAGTACGGGGGTTTATTTCCCTTCTGGCTTCTTCAGAATGAGTTAACTAGACTAGGTGAACGATCCAGAAACCTTGTTCTGGATAGGAACCCCTGCAGCACTGTCGATTTTGAAGAACTTACTCCGGGGGAAAAGGAGCGATGCGGCTGCATTACCGCGGAGGAAAAGGCCATTGCCGATAGCCCCGCAAATATGGGTTCTCCACTGCATATAAATTGCCTTGGGATAATCCTTTCATGGAGTTCAATACTCCCGAGCCGTCAAACATCAAAATTCGACTTTCAACAGCATGAGATACACTCTGTTCCTCTTAGCCAGCGCTGCCCTGGCTCTGGCAGTGCCCCAAGGCCACTCCAAGCGGGCATCGTCCTTTGTTTGTGTGTACAGGACCTCCCAAGACTGAGCCGAAACTGATCATTTCCCGTAGGGTTTGGTGCGAGCGAATCTGGAGCGGAGTTTGGCAATCAGAATATTCCGGGTGTATTGGGGACTGACTACATCTGGCCGGACACTTCGGCCATTCAAACGCTACGCAATGCGGGTATGAATATTTTTCGGGTGCCTTTCTTGATGGAGAGATTGGTTCCCAATACGTTGACCTCAACTCCGAACGCAGCCTACCTGCAAAGCCTGAAGAGTGTAAGTTGTCCTCGTTCACAATGAAATCTATACTTATCTATTTCCAGACGGTGGATTACATCACTTCTACTGGCGCGTATGCTATTGTTGACCCACACAATTACGGGCGATAGTCAGTTGGCATTCATCGCTCCCACACCTGAATCTTTACTTACTGGTGAACTAGCTATGGCAACATTATCACCTCCACGAGTGACTTTGCTGCGTTCTGGACTACAGTGGCAACGGAGTTTGCATCGAATGACAAGGTCATCTTTGACACGAGTAAGCCTTCACAATTGAACTTGCTCTCTTCCTCTTACTGATATTTTCAGACAACGAATTCAACACGGAGGACCAAACAGTAGTGCTGGATCTCAATCAGGCAGCCATTAACGCCATTCGGGCTGCTGGAGCCACCTCGCAGTATATTTTCGTGGAAGGAAATTCGTGGAGTGGTGCCTGGACGTGGACATCAGTCAATAGCAACCTGGTCAACTTGACGGACCCCCAAAACAAAATCGTCTACGAGATGCACCAGTATCTCGACTCGGACGGCTCTGGCACATCCGACACATGCGTCAGTACGACAATCGGTCAGGAGCGTATGCAGTCGGCGACACAATGGCTGCAAAGCAATGGCAAACTTGGGTTCTTGGGCGAATTTGCCGGTGGTGCCAACTCAGTCTGTCAGAGCGCCGTGACCGGAATGCTGAGCTACATGCAAGAAAACAGTGACGTCTGGCTCGGAGCATCATGGTGGGCCGCAGGGCCATGGTGGAGTACCTATATATTCTCCATGGAGCCTCCCTCGGGAACTGCTTATACTTACTACCTTAACCTCTTGTCTGCCTACTTTCCATCCAACTCAGGCAGTTCGGGCGGCTCTACAACCACTTCCGCTACCACCCACTCTACATCGACGACCACCACTACATCCACGACTAAATCCACTACTAAGTCCACCACTAAGTCCACCACTAGCACAGGATCTACTGCTACTGCAACGGCATCCCACTGGGCGCAGTGTGGCGGCGCTGGCTGGACGGGGGCCACAGCATGTGCCAGCCCGTATACCTGCCAGGTGCAAAATTCGTACTATTCGCAGTGTCTTTAAACAAGAAGTATCACGAATATAACGAAGATTTCAAGTTGTGTATGAATTGCTGAATAGAGGTATTAAGTAAAAGCATAGTTGCTAATCCCAAGCTATGCTTTTAGGGGATAAATATGAGGATGCTCAGATACTCACAGGGTTGGCACAGGCGCTCCTTCCTATTTAAGGGCACCGTTGGACGTCGCACCCAGTGATGAGTCATGACCATTGTAGAAAAGAAAAAAAAAACAAAGAGCTTGTAGTATTTCTCACCTTTCAATCTCAGAAGTTAAGCACAAATACGCGTCAAAACACTATACCACGAGTCTTTTACAACGAAAGCAGGCGCCAGAACGGCCGACCACGACCCCAGAAGGGTCTGAGAACCCTAACCCACCTCCTACCTCCCACCTCCTGCGACGCAAACCACCAGCAGCAAGTCAGCAGACCTTGCTTGACATGTTGGACCTCCAATCATCGCGGCCTTTGTCAACCCAAACCTGTCCGAATAGGTGAAGAAATCCCTGCTGCTTGCCCCAACGAACAGGACGTTGGCCGACATCAAGAAGAACGTGGATGAAATTCGCAAGTTCTACCCCTACAACGACAATGTCTCCCTTGCGCAACAAAACTTTGACGCCGTAATAGAGTTCTTACAGGGAGCTTTACAAGAAAAGAAAAATTGGACCCAGCGGCTCGTTACTCAATTGCTTGAAGCCAATAGCACCAATCAAATGCTCACTGAGCAATTGGAGGCACAACTACGCAACCAGAAACCCCAAGACGGCTGGAATGACAAGGCTGAGACCTCAAGGATGCTGATTGCGATTGTTGACGAGGAACGAGTGAGAAGCCTGGATCTCATGCGGGAATTGGCCCGCAAAGAAGAGGAGATGGAAGAAGCCTGAAAATCCATGCTCGAATTGAGCGAAATGGTGAAGGCGGCACTCGGAGCTGCAGACGAGAATGTATAAGACAGGAAGGACTTGGCACATGGAACCCTGGAGTTTGGGAACAAAAATTGTTGTACAATTATAACCGTTAGAACTAGAGTTGTTACCATTGTTGTGGCTGCCTTCCACCTGTGGAACCTGCCTACACCTGTATCTAGCTTCCGTCTCAGCTTCCTTCTTTCTCTCCTCGAGCTATTACTTTCGTCGAACCGCTACTACTTACTTCCTTTGCCCGATATCGCTACGTCGAATCCTGATCCCACTCTACAAGTACGAAACACGGCGGTGAACGACATTGTGAACTCATACTCATTGAATTCAATAGGAATAAAAATTTATTTATTCCTATTATTCGAAGGCTAGAGAAGAAAAAAACAAAAACATACAACAGCAGGGATTCGCATGTGGTCACCCACCATACTACTAACCTGCCGGCGTGTGGCTTAAGTACGGCTGAGCGGACGGGAAGCCCTGTTCTCCACACCCTATGGTCGTATGTGCTAGATAGTTACTGTTCTTGCTCTATATGGTGCCACGGTACAACTCCACGCGAATCCATAGAATATCCATGTTTCAAGCGATTACTCTTCTAATTCAATCAAATTATGGCTATTCGCGCCTGTTATAGCGCGTTGTGTAGTGACTGCAGGCCGGCGGGATAGCGTTACATATGGAACGTCAAATAACCGTGCAGCAGTGCGAATACTGCTAATTCCGCCATTCTTAATGGTTTGGATAGCAAAGTAGGATATGGCCTTCTTGATGCTTCGGCTTGGACGCGTTTTGGGTGCGAATTGGTGGCATGGTTGGGGGTTGAAAAATTGACGCGTACTGGCATCCGCGTCGGTGTTCCACCCACTTACCGATTACGTTATTTTTTACTACTGTAATCTGGTATAAGCTCTACAAACGCGGTCAACTTTCTTTTCCCCTAGGGTATGGTAGTTTAGTGCTTACTTCTCTGCGCAGGGCCGTCGCTACTGCTTCTCGCGCCGACTCATACAACCATTCGGAGCCTAAGCGGTAAAGGTGTTATCATAGTGTCCGGAAAATTCGCCATCCAGCGTGATTGAACACTTTTGGATTTGTAATGCCGTCTCTCGTATAGGATTGCCTTTATATGCAGCTTGGACACCACTTACTACCCCCCTCTGGGCAGCACAGGGCTGGATTGAAACCAAACAAACGCAACCCCCCAAGCTTAACCTTAACCCCCGTGTGTTCCTTACTGCAATAACCCCTCTGACCACCGTTGCATCCGATGCACTTTCCCCAAGCACCCGCCGTTCTAACACAAGCCATAACATATACGCCCTCTCATCCTTCTCCGCATGACCCCACCCACCCTTCCAGGAACCCTCCAACGCATCCTTTGTTCTGGAAGATAGCCTAACAGATCGACATCACAATATCTGCAAACTGGCACCCTCTGCGGCCATTTTGATCACACACGACTTGACTGCTAAAGCACCGGTAGCAACTACTGTATCGCTGGATACATCCGCCCCGGCTTTGGCCAGCCGACTGCGTTTCCTTCTTCGCATCAAAAAAATCATACCGACGCACATTCGGACAGCTCACCAGCGAATGTCGCACATGTACAGAAACCCTGGATACCACACGGGGTAGATGGTAGCAGGTCATACACACCCGTTATAGGTAATCTTTGCCCTTGGTCTACTCATCAGCCAAACATATGCTGGAGATCCCGGTTGATCTGAGCCTGAATGAACTTTGCCTCGGAAACTGTACCAGCTAGCCATTATCGCCTGATCGGAGACGGTGCGATTACACTCACGAAACTGCTGCCTAATCCAGTTACAAAGAATCGCTGGCAGCTCACTTATCCTGCAGCGGCAGCCACTTCAGACTTATTTTTACAAGCGCGACCATGTGGTTGCCGGGTCTTCGGATGTACGTGTGCTAGATAGGTACGTATTGTCGCTAATGCGCGCGCGCCACATATGTGCACCGGGGGCAGCATAGACCAGGATAAACAGGAAGACCGGGAATGGGCGCGGGCGCGGATCGAGTGGAGGGAACTTGCACGGCTGCTGTATCGGCTCCAGCCAGGGTCTTTTCAACATCTCGGTCAATGCAGCTTGAAGAAGGTCTGCAATTCTAGCGGCTGGATGGCGACGGTAAAGGCTGAAGAGATGGGCATCGTGTTGATGGGGAGAGACAGCATAACGACAATCGATACAGATCCAGATCTGGTATGTTCCGTTATATCTGAAAAGATCCATATCAGGATACCGAGCCGTCTGAGCTTCGCGCGGACAGGGTTCATGATGCGAGAAAGTAAATTTGTCTGGGGCTTCAACGGAAAAACATGAGGAGCGAAAAAACGCAAGTGCGTTGGACGCGGAGTGCTGAAGTACGCCGCCACTACTCCTACCCAGGCCATGAATAGAAGCAATTACGATAATATATGAGCAGATGCTACTTTACTATAGATTTACCAGACACGCACTTCAGGAGCACGAATGACGCAAGCAGGTCTGCCAATCAGCCGACAATTAATTTGAGTGAGGGCTAATCTGTCAATGTACTAGGGTATTGGCCCCAGGAAGTACGGCGAGACTTGAGTGTGCGAAGTGAGATCTTGACGCCGTGGCTTTGTAAGATGGTCTGGATATTGGCAATCGGTACATTTTGAGAGTATAGGGAGTAATCTCGCCCTGTAAGTCTCTAGGCTAAATAGAGAGCCTGGCATAGTAAAACTAGAGGCTACCCTGCTAGCCCAAATGAGAAGGAATTATGTTGTGTTAAACTTAAAATCAACTGAAAGGAATGTCTGCTGCTGGGTCATACGTTCTTACATACAATACACTAGCGTACTGAATTAGAGATTCAGTAATATAATCCACGAGCGAGTGAAATACCCAAAAAATACTATGCTATTTGAATGCCTTAGATACTCTTCTTTCAGACAGAATATGGGGCTTATATAACCTAAATAGTACACAAGAAACGGGTGGAAAAGCAGACGGTATACAGATTGTCCAATTATATTTGGATTCTGGGTTATTATAATCGTGATCCCTAATAACCTTTGGAGTGTGGGGCCGCTCCTCGTTTGGGTGTGAGACCCCTAACGAGGATCCTTGTAAAACATTACCAAATTTACTTGGGCCGGGTTACTTATGAAACTTCCCAAAGAAAAATCAAGATTTTTAAGGAGGGTGTTGGGGACCCACCCTTTTTAAGACTTTACAACGCGGAAACCCCACCCCCTCTCTCTCCCACCACATTAATATCTCCACTGTGCTGCCTAGTCTTGGCAATTAATAGTAGTGCACTCCAAGGATAGAAGCTGGATGTAAGCTATTGTAGTAAGACACATTAGGAAATTTACTCTCTTTCGCACATTTTACCGTATGTTAGGCCGAGGCAGAATTAAACATTTATAAGCCCAGCTGCCGTGTTCTAGACAGTTTTCTCTAGAATTCCCTTACAAAGACGTCAGTATCCAGCATACCAGCCTTTGTCAGTGGCTTTCAACCACATACAATTCTACTAAAGGCCAGAAAAATACATTCAGCCACCCGCCAAACGCACAAGTCGCTGTGGACGTCATCAAAATTCCTCAGGCTGAACGAAAATCCATCAGAAAGATGCCTGTCAAATTCCAGAACGTTGATATGGATATCACCACCTCTTACACCTCTTCCACAGCCGACTGGCGGCTATGGATCCAGCGGCTTCAACGCTTAGCAGATACCCACGAGGTTTGGGAGTATCTGGATATCGATACCGAAGAAATGCCTCAGACGCCTCTGAAGCCCGAGAGGTCTACGCTGCAGACGCTGCAGAGTATCGTCCGCTCTCAGCAAGCGATGTTAGCGACACCCTTTCGCACAGTTCACCATATGTTAGGCCTGATTACGCGCCCCGAAGTGGTCTTCGGTTGGCCGAGTCTACACTGTCTCTACTTGGGTTAGCTTTGATAAGTGGATCTGGCTGTTACTGATACAAATCAATGACACAATATTATATCTTATTATATTTTTGAATGACTTGTTTATCTCTTTTCTTATCTGGAATTTATGTACTAAGATAAATCGATAATAATTGGCTATTACTGTGTTCTCTGAATCTGTTCTTCGAGATACGTATCCTGTATATCATGAAGTAGTTGTTTCATAAATCCCTCCATATAGCTGCGAACACGTCAGGGATAGTTTATATTTCACATCTCATACTTTATCTGCGGGGAATTTTCATGCAGCCCCTATCTTGATTTATTCTAGGTTGTTTGTTGAGTGGAAAGAAATAATTGGTCGAATGATTCCACACAACAAGAAGCAGAAGCTTCTGCATTCATTCCTCCATCGATGTGTATAAAGCTCCATGATCGTGTCTACTGCCCATCTCAAATCCTCCGATAGGAGACTGGACCGCTTCAATATACCTTTTAATTTCCCCAGGATGGATATAATTCAATATCGCACACGATATGAGAATCACAACCGCATCGAATACATACAAAAGCCACTCGTGCCTGCTTAGCGGGCCATCTGTGCTCTCCACAAACTCGATGAGTCGAAAAATCGATCGGATCAAAATCAATAACCCAGTGCTATATAGCGCGACGATGTGCTTCTTCCAGGGCACAATGTGCTTTGTCCTCGAGCCTTGTTTAGACAGCCGCATGTTGAAAACGATGATCGTGGCGATGAAGACGCCAAAAAATAAAAGCTGGACAACGACGCCGACCTTCATGATGCTTTGTCCTTTGCTGGCAGTAGCATCGTTCGCGAGCATTGCGCCACCTGTTATTGTCAGCAAATCTTTTGTTCAAGAGCCACAATAGAAACTTGGAGTTTTGCGCACCACTGAACTGCGCCAAAAATGATACGATATCGCCGATGACGAAGATCTTAGTGAGCCACGTTCGGCGAATGAAGCATAACCTGTCTCCGTCGGTCATGATGACCAAGCGACCAAATTCCATGTAAATACTGGCAGCGAGTAAAGCAGGGGCAACAAGGATCAGGATGTATTGAATGACTTCAGGACCGAGATCGTAATCAGGATACTGCGTTGCGGACTTCGCTCTCTAATTATTTTCGTGTCAGTACTTTCTGTGAGAACCTCCAGATCACAACGTACCGTCATGTATCCGATGACTTCGACTATAAGGCAACAATTAGCATAACAATCACCTGCATCGTCTGGGCTGATAATCAAATCTTACATAAACATCCAATGAAGAATGGGATGTAGAACCATATCCTTTTGTGGATGAGCTGGAAAAGGTGAAGTAGCGTAGTTATGAGAAACAATATTGCAAACACAATTGCCACTGCTTTGGAAGGCACGAAATCGTACATGCCCATGTATTTCACAGTTGGCGCCATGGTTGGTTTTTAGACGAAAGATGATTGCCGCCGAGCTGATTCCGGGCCAAGTTTGGAATATTTTTTGCAAGGCGTCTGTATAGAAATTAAACATGCGATCTCTATATCAGAAGGACGGAGACTTTATAGGTGATACGAGAAGCTAAGCCAAGTGAAAAGCTAAGCGAATCGAGAAGAAAAGTGAAGCAAGAGGCCCCTTTTACGATCAGCACTCGTTTGTAGGTCTAGATGAATTCTACCAATAAAGCATTAGTGGACCGAAACTATTTCTAGGCAGTCCCGTTCTGCTTTGAGAGACCCAGACGCAGTTTTTACGAAAGACATCCTGATTGGTTCCTGATTTAGAGTCAAAAAATATATTATTTGCATGAAGAGTATGCAATTTCACTGTTGAGTACCTAATGTCCACTCTATAACCCTATAGAGGAGCTGAATATAATATTTACCGTAATAAAGCAGGCCTTGAAACTTACTACCTGGATAGCAAAGTTTAGGTGGAGCCATTAGATCATCTCTTCAGGGACCCTACAGTACAAATGGGTCGGGATTCTACCAATAATAAAGCATTAAATCCCAGGGGTGTAAAGCTACAGCTAGGCAGCCTCTCTACTACCTTAAGAGGCTGACATATACTTTATATCCAAAAAACATATGAATAATTGCCAAATATAGAGTCTGAAAATACATCCTTTGCATCGAGATTACTATGTTGTTTACTACCCTGTGCACGCCCCACCTGGCCGAAAGGGTGCCCGTATGCCCGTATGCCCGTATGCTCGTATGCTCGTATGCCCGTATACCCGTATACCCGTACGCCTCCATGCTCGTATGCCCGTATCTGTAGAAGTTCCGCGCTGCCAGCGGGTACAGTGGCGTTGCAAAAGTTTGAAACCCCATGTTGACTGTTCTTGTCTCCGCCTTCTGATCGCGGACTAGTAGCTACTTGAGATGGTATAGGTTGGCCTATCTATTCCATCTCAGGTAGCTACTAGTTTTCCATTAGAAGGCGGTAAATCATGGTGGGCAATATGGGGTATAAATTAACGGAAAATCGTACCGGGCACAAAAGACGTACGGCGTCAACTCGGTGCTTCGTCGTCGTCCCTGTAAGAAAAGTATAGTGATCAGTAAACATCATGATCCGTGTATCGTTGTGATGTCCTGTCCAATCTTACAAGCGTGGATCCACGAATGTGGGAGACCACGGGTCCACTAGAACACTCGTATCATTCTTACCAATACCAACTCAAATTTGCAATTATGGGCTAGTGGCAATCAGTGTCTTTGTCAATTTATGCAAATTTTGCAGGGAAAATAAATGTTGCCATATCAATAAATTGAGTGCCTTGATTGTACTCTTCTCAGTCTTGAGTCTACAAGGTACAGTGGGGTTGCAAAAATTTTGGAACTGGGTTGTATTTTTTCAGAATTTTCAACATAGACATCATAGGAATAACACAGGCGTAAATCAGGCGGCCTGCGCGGCTATGTGTAATGAAAGTAATGTTCGCATTTCTCGTCGCTTTATTATTCCATAACGCGAAGAAATGGAGTCGATGTGCTGCCTGAAAATCGTTTGATATGCCCCCTCATCTTATGTGTAACTTCTGAAGGGGATAGAGAATGACGGCGACATATCTTTCAGGCATGAGTCGCGCTATGGCCGAGGCTAGTTGCACACCCCAGTTCAAACACCACCATCGCGAGTTGCATTGTCCTAGTATTACAGCATAATGGGCTAAAATGGCCAGTGACGCGGTATTTCTCTCCCGCAGTAGATCCATATAGTCAGTATGGACAATATTTGGCCATGCCAACGGTCTCAAATGTCTCTTCAGACGAAAACCAAGGCTGTCTTGAAAAGATTGAAGGGCTCTAGTGTTGATACCACGAACAACCGGAGAATCATCGGAGAGGTCGATCCAATGCTGTAGCTCTGCGACGGCAAAGTCCAGATCGTTTTCCTCTGAAAGGAGCTCTGAATCATCGAAAATATCACTGTCTTCAAGCCATGGTTTGAGATTTCGTGCTTTTCTCCAAGGCTTGGTAGTTTCATGCATAGTGCCGTTTCCCTTGATTAGAAGCATGATATGAATCATGTCGTCTAACACCACATCTTCGCTTTTATCTCCTCCTTGTAGCAACGGAAGTCCGAAAGCGTAAATAGACAAGAGAAATGGAAATTTTCCAACTGCGTGGCAATTGGCATCGCCGACGTACTCAGCTTCTCTTCGAAACGATGCCATTGCATCCGAGCATCCGCTTACTATGAAGGTATAGTGACTCTCACTGAAAGATGGGGACTTAGTAATTCCTAGATGGAGGGCCGACAGGATGAGGACCATATGTAGTATGAATGGGTACCGCATGGCCTCCCGAACCCCCCTGGTCCTGCCAGTTACGACGAAAGCCATGACTGACAGCAAAAGTATCGGTGACATTGATGATCCAGTGATGAATTAACTCAAATTCCCACATAGTGAGAACCGATTTGAGCGGCTGATGATCTGCACCAGCCGAAGGTATTTCTGAGGTTAAATCCCCATACGGAGCCTCCACTTCGGAAGAGTCAGGACAGCTTCGGGGGATTGAAGCCGCGGAAGTAGTGCCATGCCCATTGGTGAACTCAGCACGCTGCATACTATTAGATCTAGTAGTCTTCGCAGGCTTCAAAATACATGGCTGGTTGTATTTCGCACAGGCCCCACAGGTCGGGCGGACTTCGTCGCATTTGAGGTGCTTGTCTCTGCATCGGAGACAGCCTAGGCGGGATTTAGTGTGTCGTCGCCGGGTGGCCATAAGGGAAAGAGAGAGCCCGAATCACGCTACAACATGAGACCTGTTATGTGATAATAGTTTCGGAGCCCTGATGGACAGTACAATCACCATTGAAAGCTATAAAGGATTCATCATAATGGATGAATTAATATGAATTTGCGGCTAGATCGGGCCGACATTCATCCGCAACCAAAACGACCAAAAGGGTCCTCTGACTCTCTGAGTAAGGTATATCTCAGGCTGTTAACCTGTATTACAGTAGAGCGGGTGTAGAAAAATGTGACTTTCGCCCTACTTTCGGTCTTTTGTTGTTCTGCGGTTTAAACACCCTGTGTCAATCAATTAGTATCAGGTGTGGTAATTTTCTACACCCAGAGGGGCCAATCCTAGTATTTTGATTAGTCGTAAGCAAGTACTCTAAATATATACTAACTAACGTGTTTTATGGGTCGGAGGGCCACCCGGGCAAGCGGGCCACCCAAGAACACCAAATTAAAAGCGATGTATATCTTCGGAGATGTTTTAGTGACCTATCAAAGTAATTTAACAAATATTCTAATTTTGACATCTAGATACTAATGTAATGGTTATACTATTACAGATTAGGAGCGAAGGCAACGTATTGCGGGGGGTATTCTCATCCTTCTCATCCTGTTCTCACCCGCTCTCACCCCGTTCTCACCTTTCCCACCCTCAGTCTCCTAAGAATTTTCGCCCATATCACTCGCACTCAATCTAACCCTAACAGACAAAAAGCGACGCTAGTTTAAGATTCAGGGCTCTCTGAGTATTAACTGCGTTTAGTATGTGGCTTAAGTACGGCTGAGCCGACGGGAAGTCCTGTTCTCCACACCCTATGGCCGTATGTACCAGACATCCCTTGATAGGGTCATATATAGTATATTTGATCGATAATAAGCCATATTTACTGCCAAACTATCTAGAAGACAGTGCAAAGGAAGATATTCAGAGGTCCCTTATAGAAGATAACTATGGACTATGGGCCTTTATGTGTCTAATCGCTAACCCCTGCCCAGGTGATTACCATGACGCAAACACTAGAACAGTCAGTGTAGCACTACTCATGCTCTGAAGGTATATCTTTCACTCAGAAATTCACTGACATATTAGTAGTCCTATATTATAGACAATCTCCTAAAACAAATCAAGTTATTTAGTAAGAAGCAAGTAGGCAAAGAACTTGAATGTTGATAGAGAGACATCTCCCAAGGTTTATTGTAGGAAACTAGTAGGTCGTCATCATTGTTGTGGATGCCTACCCCTGTATCTACTAGTAGTAGCTTCCTTCTCGGCTTCCTTCTTATCTCTCCCCTCAAGCTATCATTTTCGTTGGATCGCTACTACTACATTTGCCTGACCGCTACATTGTTTCTTGATCGCTACGTTGTTTCTTGATCTCTATGAGAATCTGAGCACCCTCACAACTATATTTACATAGTATTATTACTTTAATCAACCTATTGGAAAGGTTGAAAATGGACTTGCAGATGCCAACTTATGCCATATACCGAAGCTTCAGGAAGCTGCCCACTAATCAAAGCAAACGCTCTGTGCTGTATTACAGGCTGCTAATGTTGATGAGTTGTCCAATTTAGGAGGGAGATGGCCCCTCTCATTCGAGACATACACAAAGTGTCTGGTATTGCTCTTGTGTGTTGTCACTTGCTTTATCTCACTTCATTCCTTTTGCGACCAGGGTTTTGTGGCGCTGGGCTAGATCGCTACCGAAGCCCATAACGGTGCGCTGATCATCCACACGTGGCCACCTCGCATACCATTGACCACAATACCCGCCGCTTGAACGCTCATTCGTGGGCTTTCAGTTTCATAGGGGAGCAGTTATAATGACAGTTCATGATAAGTGCCCCGGGGGGGGGTTTATCGGCTCACCCTCTCACAGTTCCCGAAATGGCATGTAAGGAACGGTGTTAGTATAAAGTTTTGTCATCCACGGTTTATCAGCGTCAGGTCTTCATTATTCTAAGCTCGAGAAATGCCGCATCTGTTAGACTAATAATACGTCATTCCGCTATTAATTTTCCAAAAAAAGGATGTTTTTCTAGCCATCGGGGCTTTTCCCTTGTGTAATAATCACCCTTCCTGTTGTCCTCTCTCGACAATATGACGACAGTTCGGATCGCAGATTCTGTGTCTCAGGGCGATGGTCTGGGACGGACGACGGCCCAAGACGACGGCAACTCGGCAACTGGGGTTTAGAATGTCCCGCACGCGGTCTGTCGCGCGATCCGACGTGGCCGAAAATGACGATAACATATACAATATTCGTTCCCGACCGGCGCTACCTGAACGGTTCGGTGGCAGATCCACAGTGCCAGAGCAAGCAGATGAGAACCCCAGTTTGCAACAACCCGGCGACTTCAAAGAGAAGCAGGTGTGTAAACTGCTGGAAAGACAACTTGGGGACATTCTAGCTTACAATCGATAGATTTTCAAAGGCAGAGTACTTCTATGGCTGTCTTATCAATCGATTGGCGTCATCTACGGTGATATCGGAACCAGTCCGCTCTATGTCTACTCATCAACGTTCAGTTCGGCACCATCAAAACGGGACCTCGTGGGCGTACTGTCGATAATTATCTGGACCCTATTTATCATGGTGACTGTGAAATACGTGCTTGTTATTCTTCGCGCAGATAATGATGGCGAAGGGGGTACATTCAGCACATACGCTCTTCTCAGCCGCTATGCAAGTACACCTCTGGGGGCTCCGTATAATCAGGGATGGCAACTGACTGACTTCTAGATGAATATCACGCACCGCGATCCGAGGGAAGCCTCACTAGTCCGGATGAAACGATACTTATCAGGCGACCTCGAACGTGCCGGTCAAAGAGTACGACATCGTATCGAAACTAGCAAGTTTGCCAAAGAGCTATTGAAGGTTGTGGGAGTATTGGCAGTGACGATGGTTCTTTCCGACGGCCTACTTACCCCAGCACAGTCAGTATTAGGAGCCGTTCAAGGTATTAAAGTTGTACAGCCTAACATCTCCAAAGGCACCGTGATTGGTGTCACTGATGCTATTTTGGTTTTGTTATTTTCCATTCAGCCGCTCGGAATAACAAAGATTTCCTATGCATTCTCGCCAATCATTATCATCTGGCTCGGCTTTAATGCAGTTTTTGGTATCTACAATATTGTCCGGTACGATGCAAGCGTTTTTCAAGCGTTCAACCCCGCTCTTGCGTTTGATTTCTTAGCCCGTCATGGTGAGCAGGGATGGAGAATGCTTGGCGGTGTTCTCCTGGCGTTCACTGGTGTGGAGGCCCTCTTTGCAGATCTTGGAGCTTTTAGCCGAAGGGCCATCCAGATAAGCTGGCTATGCTACACGTTCCCATGCATTTTGTTGGCATATATTGGGCAAGCAGCATATATCAGTGTCCACCCCGATGCATATTCGAATCCTTTTTTCAATGCCGTTCCATCCGGCACAATCTACCCGTCCCTGGTGATTGCAATTCTTGCTGCCATTGTTGCGTCGCAGGCCATCATAACAGCAACTTTTCAAGTGAGTCAAAACAATCCTGAGAGATATTATCTAATTGTGTCGGTAGCTGCTCGCACAGGTGATGAAACTTTCGTACTTCCCTCAGATCAAAGTCGTCCACACTTCCCGCATCTTCCATGGGCAACTTTATATTCCAATCGCGAACTGGCTGCTGATGATTGGAACGATTTTGGTGGCATCAATCTATAATAACGTAAGCCATGGAGCTGAACATTCCACTAAGCATATAATATTCCAATTCTCATTCTTCCGGCAGACGACGTCGCTTGGAAATGCATATGGAGTCTGTGTCATGTTCGTGACGTTCTTTGACACGTGCATGGTCTCCCTAGCAGCTATGTTTGTGTGGCGAATTAGCCCCTATCTCGTCTTTCTCCCGTGGCTTATAATCGCATGTTTGGATGGCACCTATCTATCCTCAGCGCTCACCAAAGTCCCTTCAGGTGCCTGGTTCACTATCGTACTCAGCTCATTACTTGCTATGGTCTTTCTTTTGTGGCGATATGGCAAAGAGCAGCAATGGTTTGCTGAATCCGAGGATCGTTTTCCTACGTCACACTTCGTGACAACTGATTCGGACGGTCAAATGCGACTCAGTAACCAATATGGCAGCAGTCCCATCAATTCCAGCCGCGGCCTCGGAATTTTCTTTGATAAGGCTGGCGAGACTACCCCGATAGTATTCAGCCAGTTCGTCCTCAAGCTTACGTCAATACCGGAAGTTACTGTATTCTTTCACTTGCGACCCCTTGAGATGCCTTCAGTGGCCCCTGAAAACCGACATTCGGTTTCTCGACTTTCTATCCCAAATTGCTATCGGCTTGTTGTCCGATATGGATACAATGACGTGATCATCGCACCCAATCTGGCAAGCATCATTGTTGATCAAATCCGGAGACATTTATCATCGGAGGAGGCGTCACAACAGCCGGTTCCGTCATTGCCTATCGAGGCAGTCACAGATGAGAATTCCAATCGTCGCCCCTCAGAGGATCATTCCAATAACATTCCCGCGACGAACGATGGCGGAAATGGTATTAAGCAATTGAATCATCAGTTAGCCAGATTGGAGGAAGCGTGTGCACACAAAGTTCTATATATCATAGGCAAGGAGGAGATGAAGATCAAAACTGAGGCTTCGTATGTTAGGAAGACGTTGCTGTACTTGTTTTTATGGATCAGGGATAATACACGAAATAAGATGGCTAATCTTCAAGTGCCTACGGACAAGGTGATTGAAGTGGGGTTTTTGAAGGAGATATAATCTTGCAAGTTCACACCCTTTCACAAGGTTCGGGTTGAATGGGCGAGAAGAAGACATGAAGAATCCTACGATGTGTCTTTAATTTCTCCATCGCAACCATTTTCCGTTTTTCAAGATATGGTACATGTTCCAAAATACATATTATAAAGATAGCGAAAATGAGGACTGGATCTTAGCCGGTGACAGGATATCTGAGGTACTCCTAATAAGGCGCAAGGCAACGTTCAATCGAAGCTTTCAAAACTATCTGGTTGATATGACATTCTGCCAGAGTATAGAATAGAAAAGAAGTATCGTGCAGAATACTCAAAAGCAAACAATACTATTAGCCTTTCCGACGTAGAGCCTAGTAAGCAAGAAAAGATCACGAAGCCAGAAGTCCTACTTGAAACCAAGAACTCGCCCTTTGGGGATATACCTCCAAGATCCCGCGCAAAGGCGACGGGACCGGCTGTCATCAAACTTGAGTGTTCTCACCATTCATTGCCGTAGCAGTTCCATTGGTGGCACCATGAGCCGTTGTATTCATCTTTTCGTGATGGACGGTAACTGCTGGCTTATCGAGATAGAGATTGGCGATTTCCAAGCACAAGCCACAGAGCGTCCAAAAGCTTTGAGAAGAAATTAAAATGTGTGCTCACATATAGAAAGGGAAAGGAGGCTCGTTTTAGCGTATCAACTCACAATGTCAGGAAAGTGAATGCTTCAATGGAATTCCTTCTCCTGCAGGAATTATTGTTCCAACTAAAGTAGTGGCACGTGGCTCCATTCGTAGAGCCATCAGTTTGTGCAACGAATATGAATGCTGATAGCCATCTATGTAGTCAGAGAATTAGCTTCGCGTAGTTTGATAGGGTAGTCGCGTCATTCCAGCAATGTCGAAGGTAGAAGGGAGAATGATTTGGCCTACAGGGCATAGAAGATTATGTCTAATGGAAGCATATAACCACGGTTGCGATGCATGAATGCGGTGAAGAGAGAGGGAATGTAGAAAACTGCAGCGAGCACCGACTGCGCGAACAAGTTAGTACTAGGTACATGAGCAGTTGGAAATATCGAAGAGGCTCAAATGCTCACAATAACAAGGGTGAAGATGACCCGGTAGCCCTTCAGGTGATCGGCAACCCATGCAGTAAGGCCCAAGGTGATTACTGCACAGATCCATAGGAGCAGGCGAACCCCAAATAGAACCGGTCGAATAACGTCTGCGTGATCACTCATAATTGAGAATGTTGGATTTCGTAGTTGGGATGATTATTTGTTCCGATTAAATAATTGCCTTCGACAACAGACGCTGCGAGATGAGGAATTTGAAGTCAATGACGCTACTGAGAAGCTATATAACTGAGAGAAGAGCTAGTAGAACTGTTGCTAATTTTTCAGCTATCAGGTGATAAGCCGCTGATAGCCGGAATCTTCATACAATCTGTAGTTGATCAAGCTCAATGTGGCGTAGTGGTATGGCAAGTCGGCTGATCGATCGCTTCCGTAAATGGAAATATTGGGTGACTGTCTTTGGCTAACTAAAATCTAAAATGGGTTTGTGGCTTAAAGAGCGCAAGAAAACAAATATGATTCTCCTCAGCATCGACTTTGATTCCAATTTGCAAGCCAGAGGCTATCATTCGGAAAAAGATAATATTCGTAGCCCGTCAGAACGGACTCACTGGGATACATATTGAGCGGGAGGAAGGGATGCATCACCAAAACCTACGCAATTCCACCGACCCATCAGAACAAGATTACCACTGAGGTAATTTTGGGTGTTATAAGGCGTTGCGAATCCTTAGTCGTTAAAGATTAAAATTACCAAATACTATAGCGAACTGACTTGTATTCGTGATGCTACAAGTCTAAGTATCGTATACCTATTAAACTGGAGCATTGTTGGAAGAGGTCCACAGATTTGATTGACAACGTCAACTGTACCTTATGCCTTGGCTAGACTCTCATCGACCTTATGTAAACGCATGATCGATCACCTGCACGACTCAAATATCTATTAGCGGATTTGGCTACCAAGGTTCCAAGGTACCAAGGTACCGTAGCGACCAATAATACCAATAAGCATAACAATGGTGATTCAGCGACGTGAATTTCGTTACTTAGCTCTTCTAACTATTTCAACTTTCGAAGATGGTTACTACATGCGATTGGCTCTGTGGACTGGGTTGAGCTCAGCTTTCGATCTCTGATTCCTTTGGTACGGGCAAGTCGCGAAGGCGATTCCGACCAATCGGTTGTTTCACCGGGAGAGTCGGAAACATGTACACTAGTGTAGGTCGATCATCAACGTTCCGCCATTGAACAAAAGGTGCTAGTGAGAAGAGGATACAGATTGGAGAGAGACCCGATAATAGATAATAGGTGGTGATCGGATGAGAGGCGAGAGCGAAGCTAACTAGAAATGGAAGGAACCGCATGGCTGCCTGAATGCCTGAGGCAGCAGTGGCACCGCACCTCAACAAACTCAACAAGCGGCATAAAACGAAAGTCAGAATTTAGAGAACAGCACTTTCAAATTGAACATCAAGCTCATATCACCACTGTTTCAATAAGTTCTGCTGCCTTTGACCGCTGTCTCAAGACGCACAGCTTATCACCGTTAACGGCCAGCTCAGCAACACCTTTGCACGTTTTGCATACTATCGCTATTACAACCGCCTGGTCCGATCTTGATCATCTGGTCTCAAAGAACGCAGTGAAGATTCTGAACAAATCAGAGATGCAGAACGAATCGCTCAATAGAGGTTTGCCATACGTTGTTATAGAGGCCTTCAGCCAATTTCTAAGAAGTTCTTTACCCAACCGATAGTTGGATTTCTGCACGGGTCCCGGGCGTCCTGCAGCCTGGAAGTGATACACATGCATGTGCGTGTAGGAAATTTAATAATACCTTGAATTTATTGAATTATCACATCCTGGTTGCACGCGCCGCAGACGTTGATCTGTGATTATTGAGCATCACTCAGTGATATATTTGACAGGTTCGTTGCGGCTCTTACATCTGCGTTAGGTATGCGCTTAACACAACGCACAAATAGTACTTGAGATAAAGCAAAGCGACCTCTCCGAATTTTGGTTATGCCTTATTTATCTCACCCATATTCGCCACGATGATGAACCCATATGAAGCAGACCCAAAGAAAATCCCCACAACTGATATGTATGCGGATGTGCCCCTTTATGGTCGATATGGCCCGAAACCAAATGACTTCCGCGTTGAATTTCAGTATATCAATTCCCAAACCACAGACTCCGTGAGATAACTTAGATTTTGTACCGAGGAGATCTAAATCCACCCTGCTGACGAGGTTGGCTGCGATGTTTTTGCTCTTGGGAGCGTGATCGTGAAATCTAGCCATCTCCACGCGCGTGATGGTGCTATATGTACGGAGATCGACTTCTCGTACGCGGATACAAATTAAACTCAGGTAATTGCTATAGCAAAGACGGCTCTGGGGTGTATCAGAGTTCTGGAGATCTACTTTGCTGGCAAGTTATCTACTCCTGCCTTTTATTGTCAGCCTTGTGACTCACTTCTACATATATTAATGGCCGCTAAGTGCTCGTCCAAGAAAGACTTCCAGGCATCAGGTTATGTGTTGCATAGCCATATCTCTCAGAGGACCAGAGGAAGTCCTATAAAGAATAGGCCAGAGAGATATTTATCAGCTTCATACACTTAAACCTACAGAGAACCTCCAAACTCGCTGCCATGTGGTACCGGACCCCAACGTACTTTTGAAATGGTCGAATCAATCCATTAGAAGGGAAAATCCTTTTCTTCAGCAACAATCATGATCCAGATATGAGCTTTATGCATAACGACTTTAGTATATCTATTGTATTGTTGACAGTGGCAAAGTTGTGGGGCTGTTTGACTGGGAAATGGTCGGGTACTTTGGTTGGAAAACCGCGGGAGATGTACATTGTCGGATCAGAACTCCACAACGAGAGCATATCGTGAATGCTAATTTGAGAGAGGATGAGCTTCAGTATATCATGTTCTGGAATGATTTGTATGATGTGGGTAAATCGGAAAATTGAAGGAGCGGATCCTTGGATTTTCAGGAGTTTGAAAATATCAAGTAGGGAAAGGGCATCTATCAAGAATCGAGATCCAGATAACATAATAGATCAACTAGATGGCTATATTTTGGGATCTACCTTTGAGACCAGAAACCTTTTCATATTAGCGACGATACTATCTAGGCAATTTGCGCGCAACGCCAATTTAACTCAAAACCTTCGAACAACACAATCTTCTCTGAGAACTTGAAATAGACCCGAGCGAGCAGTCAAGTGCTGGATAATTGAGAGTGACCCGGTTGATACCTCTTGTCATGAAGCATTCCAGTACCAAGAATATTAGCATTGGCTAGTAGCAAAATTCATGTTCCTGACTCCTAGTAGCGAAGTGTACAATCTTAACAAGTATAGACAGCAAGCTGAATACATCAAGCAAATGAATATCGTTCTCATCGATATGGCCGCCAGGAACTACAAGCCTATTTGTGAGTCGGCATTCTTCATGATTGGTAGGAGCTTACACAATACCTTTCCCATCTATAATCTGAGAATGTGTCCTGAGAGTAGCATTCGTGAAGATCATACCTGTATTTGTCAAAATTTCTTGTGTATTGAATCAAATATTTCCCAGGATTTTCTGACATGCTTATCGAAAGCTTTATGCCGCATGTACTGCAGCTTAAAAATTGAGGCAGTGGGCGAGTATGTACACTTAAGTGTCGGAGGGCATCTCTGTGGGGGCAAAGCATAATTCTTCTTTTGCCAATGTAGGGCCATTTGAAAGAGATAGAGTATTTGAAATGAAACACAAGAGCACCGCTCTCCTCAAGAGAAACAGATATCACCAGTGAATATGCTAGCTCGTCCGATAAGCTACTAGAGTATTCACAACGGTGCCAATTTGGGAAATACTTTGTAATTTCCGGGCTTATTCCGTTCGAATTGTTTGAATTCTGCAGTTCGCGAAAGAGTTGTGTAATTCTTTTCGGGGTAAACTTCACACATGGACAGAGTACGATAATACCTGGCCATTTGCAGTATTCCTTGCGTGGTCTCCCAGTCGGCCATTCAGCGTAGTCCTCAAGCTCGAATTCACTCCGTGGGTGTAGTTTGATACAGGCAACACAGTATTTCCAATTGTGCCCCGTCCAACCGTTGGACTCTAGTCTCATAAGAAGTTGCTTCCGGGCGAAGTAATCAGTAGTGGAATCCAGTCCATCAGAATAGGGATACCGGAAATCAGGAAATTTTAGAACATATCCAAATTGATGATAGAATATTTTGCAGCTTAGAACCAAGCAAGCTTGTTGGATAACCGAGAGGAAGTCTAAAATGATTAGCATCAACTCTGGAGGGAGATCAAGAATTGTGCGTTTTTTCTTTTCTGGAATAAACTTCCGATAAACGAAATCATTGTTTCGCTGTGACACCCAGGAAATAGATCGCCGCTTCGAGGCCTATATTTTGTTGTTTAAAGGTTCGATACTGAGAAACTGCATACTATTACGGAGAGTATAGCCAGACAGATAGGAACCTTATAGAGGGGATATAAGTCAATATTGGAGAAATATGATGGAGATGAATGTCGGGTAGGCTATTGTTACATCTGGAGCGAGTTTAAGTAATAATGACCTGAATACATAATTAATCGTAATTGATGTGACCCAGATTTCAATTTTAATGACCAAAAGCGGATCGGGGCAGAATGTGGCCTAGTACTAACCAACGTGATCTAATGACTTGGTACTTCTACGGGACAATGTTCAAATTTTATGCTGGACCGTGGTTCTCAGATATCCAGGTCTTAAAAGACGTCGTAGGCTACGGCGCTCCATAGCGGCAACCGGTTCAGTAGTAATATTTACGGACTTCAAGCAAAAGGTTTGTGGCCTAGGGTACTATCTCAATACACATCTCATTAATCTTCGACTCCATTCCGTTCCCAAACCTTGGAATATTCTCTGGTACCTATCCGAGTACACTTACTGGTAGCTGGCGTGGATTATGTGTAAAATTGAAAGACTATCTGAGCTCCAAGGAACTAGATATAGCGGTGTAGACTGACTAAGCTTGTGCGACACGAGGCTCTGGCCTTTGTCCGGCCTCAGTAGTGGACCCTGGCGCAGGCGGGTTTCGCCGGGTCTCTTCTTTCTTCCATTCGTCACCTCTCGTTGCTATCGTGGTCGTCTTTCATCGCTTTTTTGGAGTCTGAGACTCCCATGGCTGCTGAGTCCCGCACCACATCACTTAGTGTAGATATTGTCACTAGATAGAATAGCTTCATCCAATACCATCCATCTATTGCATCTGGTTCATCCCATATGGTAGCATCCATAGCCTCCCAGGAGAATCGGTGGTCGATGGCCGGAGATTGGTGGTCGAGGATCGGCAATCGAAGTTACGTCTCTCAGGCGACTTCGGCTCTTACATGATTCAGTTCTTAGTCTCCGGTCCTCAGACTACAGAAAATACCGCTCGCATATATTGGAGTGAAACCATAAATTGGAATACAAGAATATATCAAAAATGCAACAACATATCGAAACAGGATATTAATTACAATAACAAGAATCTAAAAATACCCTAGCCTACCACCGATAAACAGATTTCAAGACCAAACGCCGTTCAACATTTTTTTGTTCTTGTGCTCCCGGAAGAAATCTTCAACCTTAGTCCAGGTCAGATCAGGGTATCTGTTGTTGTCCAGCGGCTCAAGCTTTCCAGCACCAGAGAACATATTCACCATATACTGCATGCCCTGCCAGGCCGGGAAAACATCATTCTCGCCACCAAAGAATCTCATCAGGCGAATCATGAGCTCCGTCGAGCCCACTGTGCCCATCCACGAGGGATTGCATGTCACACCCTCGACATTGCTCTGTGCTTGGGCGATGTCCTCCACATTGACGGTATGACTGGCGATGCGAAGAAATTTAGGCGTGGGGTTTGTATCAATAGCCACCTCTGCTGTATACGCAGCTGTGTCGACCATAGTGGTGAAATCGAGGGGTTGCGTTGTCGACCCGATATACGCAACCTTGTGGGTCTTATGATTGATCATAGGAGAATTACCGACCAGGAGATCCATAAAGCCACCATTGAGGATACTAGTCCATGCGATGCCAGACTTTTTCAGCTCATTGTGGAATTCGCGACGCAGATCCAAGTTGCGATTAGATCCGATCTTTGTCTTGGTGAAATCTAGTGCGAAATCTGACGGAATGAATCGAGGCACTTTGGCGGCTATGGAGGCTTCAAGGAGCTTTCCCTGGGCAGTATGAATAACATCTCCTAATCCTTGGAGGGTGGAGACGACACAAATTGCTCCGGATAACTCGCCAGTGAGGGCTGGTGTCGCAAAGAGGTCGACAGGGGCGATGGTGACGCCGGAATTGCGAAGCTTCTCGGTGCGCAATGGGTCGGTGTTAGGACGTACGATGGCCTTGACGGGCATGCCCCGTTTCACTAGCTCCATTGCAACTAGCCGACCCAGGCCACCTGTGGCACCAACCACAGCGACGAACTTTGAAGCCATTGGTAGGGTATCTGACGATGGTGGGGTGAAAAAAGGATTCTAGGATAATAGTAGAACGTCGAACTATTCGTTTAAATTTATTATTGAAATAAAACCCTCGATTCATATATATTCTGAAATTTCTTGACACGGCTGGTTGAAAAGAAAAAAGGCTTCTAGGATGACTGATCATCCACTGCATTGTCGATTTTCAAATTTGTCATTTCGGGGTTGAACTCGCTCCCGGAACCCCGAGATAATTTGCCCCCTTCCCAAGGGTTGGCGAGCCCCCTTTTTTCCACGAAAATCTAATTGCCAAATTAATATGACTGGCCCTTTTGTGTGATGTGCGAATAGCGTTGAATAATTTTGATTATCTCTTTAGTTACCTAATGTTTTCATACATCTTTGTACGAGGTTGAATAGCGAAAATGTATGCCGCTTTCTATGTTGAGGCCTTCGGGTTCCGATAACGAATTGCACAAAAATATAGAATTTTATTGACACTTTTCATCGAACGGCTTGTTAAATCAACTCCCAGGCCGATATTGGTGGTATGATCAAGGTGATGGGTATTTAGAGAATTATTGGAAACTGTGAGATATATGTGTAAAAATAGCTTTAGGGTATCTACAGAGGCGCCGCAAAAGTTTCCAGTCCCTTGTTGACCTTCCTAGTCTTCGCCTTCCCATGGTGGACTAGCAGTAGCTACCTAAGAAGAAATAGATAAGCCAATATATTCCATCTTAGGTAGGTAATAGTCTGCTATTAGAAGGTGGCAAATAATGATGGGCAATAGGGAGTTGGAAACATTTGCGGCGCCACTGTAAGCTCATGTATGAGATTTTAGATGATTCAGTACTACTGATTTGAAAAATCCCATATACCTCAAGATATATCAAGATCAGGAATTTCTGAAATATTTCCTCACCACTTCTCTACATAGGGTCTGAGGTCAATCTCCTGGGTAAATGCACTCCTAGGCTGGGTGTGCAAGAACCAGTAAGATTCCGCAATCTGATATCGACTATTAGAGCAACACACGAGTCTGAAAAGTTTCCATTGACTTACTCCTTCGGGATCAATTTTAGAATCTGGAATATCCTGGCCGTAGCCTTTCGTCTTTTCCGTGTTGATGATTCCGTCGATGATGGCATGGGAAACATGAACCCCCTTGGGGCCAAATTCACGCGCAAGAGATTGGGACAAGGCGCGAGTTCCGAACTTGCTCATGGCAAATGCCGAGAGACCTGATCCACCTTTAAGTGCAGCCGTGGCACCTGCTATCATTAGTTCAGAATGATCTGTTAAATCAGAAGGCTTCATACCAGTAAAAATAAGCGTAGGCGGGAACTGGCCCTTACCCTCCCCCTTCAACATCAAGGGGAGCGTAGCATGGGCAAAATTGAATGCACCCCTGTTCGAAGGCTCCAAGCTCCCAAAGAACTCATCCGGAGATTGATCCAAGAATGGTTTCATTAGGAACTTGCTGGCAACATTGTAGATTGCTGCGGCGACCGTGATATCACTTCCGAATTTGGCCTTGATTTGATCAATTGTTGAGTCCATCGAGGACGCGTTTGTAACGTCAGTAGGAAACCCTGTCGCTGACCCTCCACTCTGTGTGATTTCTTTGATCAACGGATCAAGGGACCCTTGCGATCGAGCAAGTAAAATAACGGGGTAATATTGGGCAAAGCGCCGCGCAACAGCGCTGCCTGTTCCGGGACCTACACCGGCGACGATTGCTATCGGCTTGGACATTTTGAAGTGAAATAAAAAGAAATATTATTGCCGTTGCCGTCAGGGGAAACAAGTCTACCTTCTTATCATTTTTCTACTGCGACATGACGTCATCACTACTGATTTGACACATTCCCAATCGCTTGCCTGTCTTCTAATTACATCAACAGATTCAACACCATCATTGAAATAATAATCTTCAATAATCTTCAATGTTATGTCGTAACTCAAGTGGCTGTCAAAACAAATGCAGTGTGTCAGCCTTAGGCTTAAGGCATCGATTCGATATCCCTCAGGCGACCATTAGGTACAATTCTGCACTCATTCGGATTCCTCAACTTCCGTCACAACATGGCTCAAGATCCGGCCAGTACAAATACACATTTCTCACGTGGAGGAGGATCAACACTACTCCAACGGAGCTGTCACGATTGCAACCGCAGAAAGGTACGGTGTAGCAAGTCCTGGCCTTGCGATAATTGTGTGCGTTTAGGCGTCGAGTGCTCGTATCCACCGCCTGGCCGTAAGCCCCGGAAGATAACCAAAAGACCAACCAACAAGAATGAATTGATTTCCAGATTGAGCCTTCTTGAAGCTCAAATCAAAAATCTCGGTAGCAAAAATGTTGCTGAAGAGGCCTCTCCGGATTTCCCACCAGAGCGGGACAATGATGACAGCCTGCAGGGCAGCCGCACTATGCGCCCATGGCTAGCCAAGCATAGCCCGAGCAATGGAGTAATTGATCAGCCGAGAGAGGTTGAGAGCGATGAAATCTGGATGAGCAAAGGCTCTGTCTCACCCAAGGCGACTTCCAGTACACTGGAGGATCAATTTGGACGCCTTGTTGTGGATAGAAATAGTGGAACGAGCCGCTATGTGAATCATCAAGTTTTGACGGAGCTTGCAGATCAGGTATATTTTACCCCTCCGTAGCATTTCCATTGTGAGTATAGAACAAATTACTGAGGCTGTGGTTGAAGATCAAAGAAGTTCGAGATCTTTTTGATTCACCGGAGTCACCAACATTATCCGAGGAAGATTCCTCAGTACCAATGCCAACAGCAGCACAGTCTGAGATATCGAGTCCCTTTATATTCGGTTACCATTCTGTGGCTCATTCACTCAACAATTTTCATCCATCGCCAATTATCAGCCATCTTCTTTTCAACGCCTTTGAAGAGAATGTGGCACCCATCATCCTGATCATACATAAGCCCATGTTGAAAGATCTGCTCCAAACAGCAACCACAAATCCCAAGAATCTTGATAAGGGGTCGGAGGCTTTGGTGTTTGCAATCTATCTAGCTGCAATCTACAGCATGTCGCCAGAAGTATGTCTTGCACAGCTAGGGACAGACCACACTTCCTTGACCAAACGATACCGGTTCGCAGTCGAGCAAGCGTTGGTGCGGGCAGGATTCCTTCATACCCGCAAGTTAATTGTGTTACAAGCAGCGGTTCTTTTCTTGAGCTGTGCCTGTGACCCTCAGGATGCACACTTTGTCTGGACCATGATCGCTGTGGTAACTCGTCTTGCCTTGAGTCTGGGGCTGCATCGGGATAGTAGTCACTTCGGGCTAGGCCCATTCGAAACAGAGATGCGGCGACGATTGTGGTGGTATATATACCTACTGGATGTCCGATCATCTGACTCTCAAGCCACGAGCCCTCAGATCCGAGAAGGGGACTACGATACTCTTTTGCCATTGAATATCAATGATGATGATTTGTCGCCTGACATGGTTGAGACCCCGCCGGAACGAACTGGATTTACAGAGATGACATTGACCTTGGTCAGATGTGAAATCCTCATATTGCATCGTAAATTGATGCAACTCAGCAGCTTCGGGGCTGATAATGATGGACATAACGTGTTATTTCAGAACCGCCTCGACGCAATAGAAGAGACTCGGACCACCCTCGACGAGCGATATCTCAAATTCTGTGACCTTGAAATCGCGATCCATTGGGTAACCGCGACCATTGCCCGCGTTGCTCTGGCACGCTCGTGGCTTGTGTCGCACTTCTCGCTGATGAGCGCCGAAGGATTCCAACCAGACCTGTTCCCCGAAAGATGTGATCTCCTCATCCTCACCGCGATCGAGGTACTTGAATTTGGTTATCTACTTGAAGCCCACGAAAATACCACGAAATGGTCCTGGCTGTTCCAGGGATATGTACAGTGGCAGGCTTTTGCATTTCTTCTGTCGGATCTCTGCGTGCGCCCGGTCGCCCCTTTATCAGATCGTGCATGGGTGGCCGTCGATCGGGTTTATGAACGATGGGCTGGACCAGCGGGCAACCGACTTGGGTTGATGATGCGACCGTTGGAACGTCTCCGGAACCGGGCTGCTAGAATTCGAGCTCAGCAGTCTATGCCACTTTCAAACAACTTGAATTTAGCTGATGCGGGTGATACGGTCCCGGATATGGCCAATTCTGTGGAAGAACTCCAAGGAGATTTAGGGTCCCTTGATATTTTTATGGACGTAGTCAATACTATGGGGCTATAGCAACATCTAGTGATGGCTGTGAATATAAATTTTTACTTATCAGGTCCTACTAGTACTTTTTGTGTTCCAAGGTTGAGTTTCTACAGAACGGAGGCAAATATGAGCCAAAATAATATCCCCACCTACGGCGCTCGATAAGCGCAGGGTGGTCAGTAGTTGCATATCGGGGTATTTAGGCCGGTAGAAAAGGGTGCGTATAGCATAGTAGCACAGCAAAAGTTTTCAACTCCTTGTTGACCGTCCTAGTCTCCGTCTTCCTAATGGCGGACTAGTAGCTACCTAAAATGGATTGGGGTTGCTAATCTATTCCATCTCAGGTAGCTACTAGCCCACCATTAGAAGAGAGTAAATAATGGTCGGCACTAGTGGGTTTCAAACCTTTACAACGCCATTGTAAAGGCCTCGAGGGCAGTCAGGTAAAATACCCCGATATACAACTACTGACCACCCTGCGCTTACCCACCGCTCGGGGCTCGGCTCGGGGCTCGGGCTTCGGCGGCTAGTTTTCATGACATTCATGATATATCATGACTACTCCGATCAAAATTCAACAAATAGACCGCTGCACCAGTGAGTTAGTAGGCTCCACGGATCCAGCCCGAAATCGATCAGTCACTGCCGGTGTCTTTGCAATGGATGTGGCTTCGGTCGGCCATTGAAGCCCGATCACCAGACAGAGTGACGAAATCGACGGCGGATCGGTCTTAGCGCTTACACCATGACCCCGAAGCTTATTCATTGAATTCCACCATAGCTTCCCAAGCTCGTATTTTTCTATCCATGCTAAACAGTGTTATAAAATATTCATCTGTTGCTGGTTATTATCTACCATTATTCACACAACTTTTAGTCTTCGAAGATTATCATATCTTGATCTTGCGTTCTCGCCTACCATCAAAAATATTCACCATGTCCAAATTGATCACTGTCTTTGGTGCCACCGGCAACCAGGGCGGCTCCGTCATTGAGGCCATCCTCGCCGATTCTAAGCTCTCTAAGGAGTTCAAGATTCGCGGTATTACTCGCGATACCACGAAGAAGTCCGCTCAGGATCTCGCTAAGAAAGGTGTTGAGGTTGTCACGGTAAGACTGACCTTTACCTATTAAAATTCAACTATAAACTAACGGTCTGTATATTAGGCGAATCTGGACTCTGTCGATTCCCTGACTTCTGCCCTTGAGGGTTCCCACACTGTCTTCCTGGTCACTAACTACTGGGAGGCTATGAATGCCGATATCGAATTCTCACAGGGCAAGAATGTTGCAGATGTTTCCAAGGCTCTCGGTGTTTCCCACCTTATCTTCTCTTCGCTCCACAACGTGACAGAGAAGACCAACAAGGACGTCTATCCCATGTGCCTCATTTTGACAGCAAGGCCAATATTGAGAAGTATATCCGGGGTTCTGGTGTTGGATGCAGTTTTGTGCTCCCTGGATACTATATGAGCAACTTCATTCAGATGCTTAAGCGTGCTGAGGATGGATCGTACCAGCTGTTCTATCCTGTTGGTAACGAGGCTAAGTTTCCTCTCTTTGATGCTGTCCAGGATACTGGTAAGACATGCGCTATTATATCATTGAATTGTTGGGACAATCTGCTAAATGTTACTCTAGGTCTTTTTGTGAAGGTTGCCCTGAAGCACGCAGACCAATTAAAGAACAAACAGGTTTTAGCTGCTGCGGACTACTACACTCCTCAAGAGATTGTGGACACATTTTCCAAGGTTTCAGGCAAGAAGGCTGTCTTTATCCAGATTAGCTCTGAGCAATACAAGGCATCTTTGCCTACCGCTGTTGCTACCGAGTTCCTCGAGAATCAGCTCTTTGTGGAGGACCCTGGCTACTATCTGGGCGAGTCGCTTGAACCCACCCTGAAGCTTGTTGATTCTAAGCCTACTACCTGGGAGGAATTTGTTAAGAAGAATGTTTCGGCCTGGCAATAAGTAATTCACGTATCTACGGATGATTATGCCTGAGCAAGAGCGTTGGATTAAATTCTATTCTTTCCATCACAATGAACCATGTCATACACTTCAATAATCTTTGTCCATTTCCAATAATCAAAAATAACAAACGTTTCAGCACCTATCTAGGGAATAAAAGTATCTTAGGCGCTCATGCTGGGAAATGTTAGGATGTTTCGGTCTCGCAAATTAAGCAACTTACTTTATCAAAATAGTCTTCGGCTCAGTAAATGCCCGTAGAGCCTGATAAGAATCAATTAGTATCTCATGAACCTTAAAAAGTTTAAGTGCTTGAAATACTTACATATTCCTCAAATTCTCTTCTGAGATCTTTCATCCCAGAAGACAATGCCAAGAAAAACAAGGGGATCAAGAACAAGACTCTTAATAACAAGTTCGATCGATCATAACTAGATCAATACCTTCAGAATCATGTTTGAAGGAGACACGGTCACAGACAGCAAAGTTCAGACCAAAATAAAGATGAGCATACAATATGGTCAATTCGCATGAAAGCATTCTCAATTAGATGATAATAATGATATAAAGAGGCTGAGGGTTTTGGCCAAATTTATGTTGAATATACAGTGTTCTAGGCTAGCCTATTATTGTGTAATAACTGGTAATTCTCTCCAAATTGCCTAGTTATTGTACAATAATTCATCTTAGTCACATAATTATTATTCAATTATTTGGAATTGTTTGATATTTTCCATTCAGGAGAGGTAGCTTTTCCCTTCTCTACTATCCTTAACACAGGATCATATAGCCAAGACTGGGCCTTCGTATATCAATTGCCCGGGTGGTCTAGTGGTATGATTCGCGCTTAGGGTTCACCCAAAGCAAGCTTGCGCGAGGTCCCCGGTTCGATCCCGGGCTCGGGCCAATTCCTTTTTTGCTCCTCGTTTCTGTCATCTCTTACTCCGAAGGTTTTTTTCCATCGAGCGAAGGATTTTTTTTATTTACAGACAAAACCTAAGCGAGCGCCTCTCGCAACACAATCAACATCCAGCATCATTATTCCTCTACAATATGAACACAAGAATGAATTATCTGACAACTTCTGCATTTGTCATAAGCGTTTAATCCAACCCACAATTCCATATTCCATATTTACGGGTCCTTGGGAATTCCAAGGCCAGATTCATAGCAACAGTTCAAGCTAGGTCGGGAACCGTAGCAGTCAAAAAAGTCACCATTACACACCTCCTCCCCATCAGAATACTCATTAGTGAGAAAAAATTCAGGAAAGATATTCATATCTTCGAACAAAGTCCCCATCCCTGTCCCCGCCGTTGGTGAGCCAGCCCACATCTGCTGGTTCGATATATTTCCCATACTAGTACCAGCAGGTACCACCATCAAGCATATGGTACGGAGTAGGAGTAGGAACATTCGATCCTGGCAAATCAGTCTGTGGCACCAGTAATTCGTCCATGCTTGTATTCGTACTCGTGCTTGTGGCGAGGCGAGGACTTTGCTGAGAGTTATAGTTAGAGTTGGAGTTAGAGCGGCGCCCTAACCTCGGTCTCGACGTGTTTGGTCGAGCTTTCAACCGTTCCATACTAGTATAAACGAAAAGCCGCAGAATCCACCCACTAACAGGCCACGATTCTTGCAAAGACATCAAACCAAGCATGCATGTTCGGGCCCGGTTTTCAGCCAATTGGCGTCCAATGGTGTCATATGTGCATATTGTGAAAACATGCATTGCGAGAGAATTGAATAGCGCGGGTATGCTGCCTTAAATGTTAGCTTTGGAGATATTTTCTTTTGTAATCAAAACGACGGTCAACCGCGTAGAGTGCTTACGTGAATTTGGCACATCCGCCCCATCGAGACTGAAAGGATATCCTCTATTACTCGAGTAGTTTCATTTGCTGCGGCCAGGGCTTTTGAATGGTTTCCCCACGATTGGGGTGTATCTAATGACCCGCTTGCATGCAGGGGACGACTAAGTAGAATGACTCCGAAGCTGTGTTTAGAAGTTAGCATAATCGATGGGTATCTCAAGCGTTGGGAAGGAACTAACTCGTATGCCATTAACAGCATCGCTGCCCACAGATTTATATCGCCTTCTTCCTTGACTCCGGTATATCTCAGATGATCGGGCATTCGCATGCGGAAATCGTCGGGTTCTTTTTCAAGTTGCATTCGTTTCTGCGCAGGGTTGTTTGGTTTAACTGCTGCATAGTGTGAGGAATTATATCACTGACTATCATTTATAAAAGAATTTGGGCTAACTTGATCTAGCTCGAATCAGGCCAACGGGGGGAGAAACCTACATGTACTGCAAGGTGAGCCATCTGACAAGCGTACTGAGCTTCAGGCTCACTTTGAAACTCGCCTTCCAAGTCGTGGGGCGAGAGCATTTCCACGTCACTGTCATAAATTGAAAAATGCTGTGGCCAGCCAATCGAACTACTAACCAGGGCATCTCTTATCTGAACGGCGAATTTTAGAGAGCTACAGGCACAGTTGGGAAGTATAGGTGAATAGAGGTGGCTTACTCGTATACACCACCATATGCGCCTCCACATTTTGACTCGATGTTTGGACATATAAGATCCTGCCGTCCTGAGTCGAAGACATTAGTCAGTCCAGAACAAATACTGAACATATTGACAAAAGGTATTTTCGTGCCGGAGGCCCCTTACGAATGTACCTAAGGGTCTGAAAATCAGCCATATATTACCAATTATGTCTGATGGTCATTTTCAGATGGATAAGTACCGCCCTCGCTGTGATTCTGTGCGCACGCAATCCGTATTGGTCGATATGCATCCCGTACATGGGGCCTCGCGCTCTGCATTGCATTTGATCTTCTTGGAATGACATCTACGGCAAGCTACATTTGTACGTCTTTGGCCCGAGACAACAGAATCGAGAGGCTGAATATTCATGACTAGCGTTGAATCAAAATAACGAACAACGAATGACTGGTGAGTTCTTAGGACGAATCGCCTCGGCGGTTATTAGCCAATGACTTATTAAATATACGAAGAAGCTGAGTTCCAACTGCCTGGCCTGAGCAGACCAGAACTTAAGAAGACCAAAACAGTTCGAGTATACAGAACACATTGATTCGAGCAACAACTAAGTAACGAAAAATCTTCAAACCGACAGAATCCCTTTTGACCCAAAGACTCCGGATAAAAATCAAAATATGGTACAGGAAATAGACCACAGCCGTGGGTGGGGTCCACTCTTCCTGGCCTTCTCTATTCGCTGTCAGAGCTGTCCTCGGCCTGCTTGGACTTCCGGCGCTCCTTCTTCTCCTTCTTCTCCTTCTTCTTCTTCTTGCGCTCGGCCTTCTCCTCGGCGGTCTCGCCGTCGTGCTTGCGCTTCTTCTTATCGCTGTCGTCAGCGGCAGGGGAAGACTCCTCAGCCTTGGACTCCTCAACCTTGGGAGTGTCGGGGATGTGAGCGACGGGCTGCTCGCCGTCCTCAAGGGGAGCGTTGTAGTCCTTGTAGTCGGACTTCCACTTGGAGGGGGTCTCCTCGTTGGCGCGGCCGAACTTGTCCAGCTTGCCGGCGGACTTGAGCTTCTTCTTCTCAAGGGCGACGGGGCCCAGACCCCAGCGGCGGGGGTACAGGTCGCGCTCCATGATGCAGCGCTTGACCTTGGCGACGACACCGTGGTCGCAGGTGGTGAGCTCGACGGTGGACATCTGGGAGATACCAATGGCGATGGCCTCACCCTTGGTGGTCATGAGGACGACCTCCTCGCCAACCTCGATACCAGCCTCTGTGAAGGATAATTAGCATTGGGTTCATTTTAAAACAAAGATTGAACATAACGAACCGTGGCGGAGGAGACCAGGAATCATCAGCTTAGCACCGTAGGTGATAGCGTTGACGGCGCTGTCCTTGACGACAATACGCTTGTAGCTGGTGAGCAGAGACTCCAGGGGCTTGATGACGCGGCGGAGGTAAGACTCGTCACGCTGGTTGTCATAAACCCACTGGGCATCCATGACATCGTGCAGAGTAACCATACCGCTCTCCTCGTTCATGGCACCGGAGCGAACACGACGCAGCTCCTGCATGTGAGCGCCAACACCGAGCAGAAGACCCAGGTGGACACAGAGGGTACGGATGTAGGTACCAGCCTCACAGCTGACCCAGAAGACACCGAGGTGGCGGTCATTGTCAAACTCGTAGAGGTTGCTCTCGTGGACGGTACGGATACGGAGCTGACGCTTGACGGCCGAGATCAGGGGAGGACGCTGGAAGAGAGCACCGGTGAGGGTCTCCAGAGCGCGGCGGAACTGAGCCTCACCACCGGGAATCTTGTCGTGGAAGCGGACGACAGCAACGTACTCCTTACCGGCACCCTGCTGGGACTTAACGAGACGGGTGGCACGGTCAATGCAGACGATCAGACAGCCAGTGACCTTGGGGTCAAGAGTACCGGAGTGACCAGTCTTCTCGGATCTAAAGGGTAATAGGCGAGTCAGAATTGGCTGAATACAATTGATATCGAGTCTTCTGGGGGTTGGGGGTGGGAAGACTCGAAGGGTGTGGAGGTTGGATTTTACCTGAGGATCCGCTTCATCCAAGCCACGACTTCGTGACTGGAGGGGTTGGAGGGCTTGTCCAGGTTGATGACACCAGAGCTGACGTAGGACTTAAGGTCACGCTTAAGAGGGGAGGCACCAGCAGGGATCGGGGTGAAGTGACCGGTGCGAACGAGCACTGCGCAGAGAAAAGATTAGCCATGGCTCCCGAGAAGGCAAGAAGAACCCCGGAAAAGAAGAAAAAGACGCACACTTCTCGTAATTCTTGAGCAGAAGAGGCCAATCTTCCGTAGAGACGGTCGGCGTAACCGCCTCAGGCTTGATGGAGTAGTCCATCTCTTGGTTATTGACGGCGGCCATCGTGGTTGTTGGTTGTCGTTGGAGGCCAAAAAATTGTTCGGGAAGAAACCAAATTTTGCGGTGCGCCAGCTCCAACGCCAAATTGGGTTAGCGTCCGTTGGTCACGTGAGTATCAAAAAGCAGAGTCTTTACAGACAGATACAGCAAGCAGTATACACGAGAGTGTGTACTAATTACTACAGATTTTTACTATAATTATGTAATTACTACAACTGACATATTGCCTCTTAGCCTAAGCATATGGTTGATTGTTGATGCCACTTTATGTGCCAGCTAATTTACGGAAATTAGTGCGACTTCGCCACCTATGGGACACTGTAGTATGGTGCCCATAACTATTGAATGAAACGCTTAATACATGTAATTCATGCAATTGATTCACTTTCACGCGTTCCCCTGCAATCATATCCCACCACATCTCTTAAATTCAGCCAAGTCGTCGTCCAGCACCCCGACCACTCCAAGAATCCGGGGTCCGCTGGAACGCCGAGGCCCATCCACCACCAGAGGACGACGACGACGCCGCCGCCGTCGACGGCTCAGGCTGCGATGCAGGCTGACGGAAAGCTGTCCCATATGGGCGAACGGTGGGGTTCGAGGTGACCCCGCGGAAGTATCGACGCACAAAGCCCGGGGGTTTGATCCAGTTACGGCCGCCTCCGAAGGTGGGATAGATGCGCGTGATGAAGTCGTAGAGATGAGCGGCGAAAATACCCATGCCCTCAGCTAATGCTGCAGGCAGGCCATACATAACCAAAGTGAACGCAAGCATCGCGAAGGGCAGATACTCGACAGGCATTGGAATGATGATGAACGTCGCCCTCTTGCCGCGGTTATCCTGGGAGTAGGTGTAGACCATCGCCATGATGAGAGCTAAGACATCCTGGTCTTAGTATTCGAGAGCTTCGAGGGGGGTAGAACTGGCGGCTTGAGAGCTGAAAGAGGCGTAAAAGCTTACCGGAAGTGAAGAGCACATTGCCGAGGAGACAGCCTGAAGTGAGCTGGGAAAGGTCAGCATGCTGTTATAGAAATTGCATTGCAAAGGGCTACCGCGGTGGGAGATTGGATGAAGAATAGAATGAATGGTATTGGGAATGAATAATAGATAGATGAATATGTAGAATGTAGGGCACCCCAAAAACCGGCATGAACTTATAGGATCACGACAGCTATCTCAAGGTAATCCCACCAATCCCACACCGCATGCAGTACCATTTTTATTTTGCGAATGCGGTACTGCACGGGATGCAGGGGTAATCTTCCTCGATTTCAGGAACCGCTTCAGCTAGTTTTTGGCTGGGCGGGCAGATAATGCGAGGTGTTTGAATGAAAAGGAAAGGCAAGCAATAAAACAGAAAACGAAAACCAGACTCTCTCGAGATAAATCCCGGTTCAAGCGAGTCACTTACCAAGATCACAGAGGCTACAAAGACCAGATAGGTGAAGAAATCTTCTGGCTGGGTGAACCGAGGCGACGCGGTTTCCAGAGAACTGCCATAATAGTACACTGTGTCGGCCGGGTTAGCAGTTGGGTCAATTGACACCAATGCGATACCGAGGCACCATACTGAAATAGAGATCAAAGATGAACGCGATATTGCCGCCGGTTAGCATGAACGATGAGACCAGACGCCAGATCTGGGGAGGTAGCTTCCACAGCAGCCTTGGCAGAAAGACAACATAATATCCACTGAGAAGGCCGCCATGAACCAGAACCGATTGAACGAGAGTCAAGGCCGTGATCGTTCTGGAATATGAAAAAGACACGTAAGTCTTTGCGGGATCGAGCGGGTGAGCAAAGGCATTGCCACATACCGAGACACCGGAGGTGCCGCCCAGAAAGCATCCATCTCGAATGAGAGGTGAGTGAAAGAGAAGCTGGAAGGGTTAGAAGGAGTTCAGATCATGTCATTACAACCGAAGCAGTGAAGCACAGTAAGAATGGGAGTGAAAAAGAAAGGAAGGAAGAGCTTGAAAGAAGCGAGCGGAAAATAAGTACCGTGCGCCTTCGGGTTGGGTTTTTCCGGTTCCGGCCCCCGCCAAGACCGCGGCTCTTAGAATAGCTTGACTGAGTAGACTGGCAGTAAGTACCATTCTGCCTAGTGTTATAGAGTAGGGAAAGAAGAGTTCAATATACTAGTAGAGCTTGAACTACTAGTATACTAGTCTATCTAGTCTAACTGTCTAAGGCGTGCAGTATTTATCCATCGATCTAGACAAAGAGCATAGTACTAGTTAGCAGTATATATATTAGTTACCTAGTAGTGTAGTATAACAGAGTACAAGCCCGACCCGAGAACTTCAAGTTGAAGAGAACCTGACGATAGTCTGGATCATATTTGTCAATAAATGCATATGTACAACTCGCTACTCAAAATACTAGTAATCATTCATTCATTCAGCACAAGCAAGCAACAGCCCGAGCTCATGCTATCTCACAAGTTCTCGCCGTCCCCCTCACAGCCAACCCACCATCAGGACCCTCAATCCAAACATCCCAAGCCCCATTCTCATTCTTAGGCTTACCACAGACAGTCAACTCTTCCTCAACAAAAAGAGGCGCCAGATTTTTGTATTCGAAATCGCTGACTTGGAGGTTGACTTGTTTAAGTTGGCGCTGCAGCACGCTAAGCAGCAGGGTCAGAGTCAACGGGCCATGCACTAGACAGTTCCGATACCCTTCTTGGTTCTGCGTATAGTCCTTGTCGAGATGGATCGAGTGCGCGTTGAATGTTAGTGCCGAGAATCGGAATAGGAGGGCCTTTGTTGGGAGAATTGAATGGCGGAATGTTGCATTAGATGGCGCTGTGGTTGCGTTAGTGTCATTTCATTTCATTTCCCCTGGCCTCAGATCTAGATCTGCCATTTCCCGAGGAAAGGAGCGGAGTGGTGTGGTTTATGTATGTACTAGTTAGTACTCACATTTGACAATCCGACCAGGCCTCCCAAATGACTCCCGGTCCGCCTGAATCTCATCCGCACTCTTGACCCGCATAAAGATCAAATCTCGATTCTCAATAAGATTCGACTCCCCAGGCAAAGTCTCATCTTCCGTCCAAATGCGCCGCCAACTCTCCGCCTCCCCCTCGTCCTCGGGTACTGTGCCCACCCGTCGTTCAATAGTGACAATCACCTTCTCCTCCCCCTCGCGTCCCTTGACGGTCACATTGCGGATCGATTCGATACAAACAGCCCGACTCCCGTCGAGAAGGGGGTCTGGCCGCGGAAATCGGATATTACCACCTGCCCAGAGCCGTCGGTTAAATGGATCGCCAGGGGTATGGAGGATATCAGTGCCGTCGGGAAGTAATTGCGACAGGGATACCTGGGGCGGGAAATAGATCAAGTGGTGGGCGATCGGGAGCGGCGAGGGGCGTTGGATTGAAGGGAGGACTGGGACTGGGACTGTCTGTGCTTGAGTCTGTGTTTCGCTTGGATCTGATCGCGATCGCGCTAGTAGGTCGGCGAGGGTGAGGTTGAGAAGATGGGAGGGTTGAGGGTGTAGGTAGTCGTAGGTTAGTGGGAGCTTTCGCGTCGTGAGCTCATCGTGCAGTCTGACGGCGAGTGGAGTAGTCGAGTAGACAGCTCGACGTGTATATGCCGAAGCTAACGCTGATGCTGGTCCTCGCCCGAGCAAGGGTCGCCAGAAAGTCAACCCCATCGGAATTAAAACAGAAAATTGGGGGTCAATTGACTCCGGAGACTCCGACAGGCGAAGAAATGACGCGCATGGCCCTAGCTTTAAGCTTTCTCCGAAGTTCTGATTGGCCTTGTTCCTCAGGTTTCAATGCGGGCGAATTGAAGATGAGATGAGTAAAAGGATGAAAGGTTACCCACACCGCTCGGTGGACATCGCAAGCATTCATGTTCATGTTTATGTGCAAGATTCCTCCTCGATTCTTCTCCAGATTCCTTTCTTCTGCAAATATGTCGGAAAAGTTAAAGGTGGCCTTTCTAGGCCCGCTGGCCTCCTTCTCGCACCAGGTATGCAATCATCCTTGGGTTTTCTGGTCCTTTTGCCCTTTTCCTCCTTCCCACCCCCGCATCGCAGTACATGCATTAACGCCGACCCCCCGGTCTATTGCCAATCTATTGATAATCTTCATACGGCTGGCCTTATGCTTATGTGAACACTAACACTGATACTGACTAGGCTGCCGCCGAATCCTTTGCTAAAACATCAGCCGAGTTATTCCCCCACGTTTGCTTCGCCGATGCCTTCGCCGCAGTACAACAACAAGAAGCCGATTACGCCGTGATCCCCTGCGAAAACTCCACCAATGGCTCCGTCGTACAAACCCTAGACCTCCTCGCCGACCGATCAGACTTGTATAAAGATGTCAAAGTATGCGGCGAATACTACTTAACCGTACACCACTGCCTACTAGTCCACAAGGGCTCATATCCGGGGGGGACTCCCGAGCTACGACGGGAAAATCACAAAGCTATACACACACCCGCAAGCCTGGGGCCAATGTGACAAATTCCTAGCCAAATATTTCAAGGGAGTCGAGCGACAGGATGTATCATCTACATCTAAAGGAGCGGAGATCGTGTCCAAGGAGACCGAGGCCGACGAGCGCGGCGGTGCTATCGCGAGTCGATTCGCGGCTGAGTATCACGGCGTCGATGCTTTAGAAGAAAATATCGAGGACCGCGCGGATAATACTACCCGCTTCCTCATTCTGAGGAATATCCTCGCAGACCGGACGGCGGGGCTTCAATTTGAACAGCCCAATGTTCCCAATGGAGGAGATGCGCAGCCCCATCACGAAGCTACACACAAGACTCTCGTCTCCTTCTCGATCGACCACTCTTCACCAGGAGCTCTGGCAAATGCACTGCTCATTTTCAAAGCCCATGGCTTGAATTTGACTAGTATCAACACAAGACCTAGTTTGAAACGGGCCTGGCAGTATATTTTCTTCGTCGAGTGCAGTCGGACACCGTGTGCTGAGAACAATGATGCTGTATTGAAGGCTTTGAATGATCTCAGAGGTGTTACTGAGTCATGTAGAGATCTGGGGACTTGGAAAGATCAGTTGGGCGTGAGCATTATTTAGATTGGTGTGGTCTATACTCGTCTCGCATTCATATATTTGATACCTAAATTCATCCTTGAGCTCAGGTTCCAACCATCGGACCAGGTTCAAGTTGCTACAGTTGTCCAAGACCCACTCTACAAAGAGAATATTTGGTAAAAACATTGATGGAAAAAAGGCTGAATTTAATTCCTGTCCCGTGCTATAGGATCCAAGAAAGAAGATAGATAGAGCAAATAAAGGCCCTGTCCAAATAGTCCCAGAAAGAATCCATATAGAACAAGAAACAAGGTCACAAAATAAAGCATGGGAAATCTGATCCGATCCGCATAACAACAATAAAGTAAAAGAAAAATCATAAAAAAGCCAATGGTCCAATCTGGGAGAAAGATTTCTTATTTCTTTTCATCACACTTTTTGTGCAGAAGAAAAGAAAAAAAGGAAATGGGGGCCCTAAATCGAGACCGAGACCGAGAGCAAAGGGAAAAAGAAACAGCCAGTTCCCACTTCCACCACCCCGTGCCCTTTTTTCTCTATTTTTCGTATGGGCAATACACAAAACACAAAACACAAGGAGTTTTGTGGTGATTCGCTCAATAAGGCAGGGGTGGAAAGGTCGTGGAAGGGGTGGACATAAATGTTGCAGAGAATCGCATCCAACCTTTTTAATTCGCAAACTACACCTCCATGTTCATTCGACACTGAGGTAGACTCAGTGTGCGTACATCTTAGAGCTTGGATGACCCTGTGTTTGAAACAGTTAGGAATAGCTCGAGGTAGAAGGTAAGACGGCAAGGAAGAAAGGGAGGGGAGAAGAAACACACCTCTGAGCAGCATGCCAGAGTTTGGAACGAGCCTGTTGATGGATTCCTTTACGGATTCCTGGGTTCCATTCTCGGAGCCGCCTTTATGTCCGACGCGGCGAGCCGTCAGAAGGCTTGCCGCGGGAGCTTCTGGCCGTTCATCCTCGCTCTCTGCGAGGTTGCTAAACCGTCAATCTGTGGGGATGGTCAGTAAACGGATGCCCTGGGTGTTGGTTCAGAGATTAAATTGGTTCAGAACATACCGTCGTAGAACTCGTCGTCATCGCTATAATCAGCAAGCTGTTCAAAGTTGACCTTGTATCGGAGCATGGCACCAATACCACCGAAGCCCTTCACGAACTGGTTACCTTCACTGGATCGGTCCGAAACGAACTCCAGGTTGGCACCGAATTCCTTGTAGTTCTCGGCCAGCCACTCGAGGAAAGAGCTCGAGTCCACGACCTCCATCTCCAGACCAGTCTCCTTGTCCTGGAAGAGCTCGCGGTTCTCCTCCTGCTGCTTGGTGGTGTGGATAACGGTCTCCGTGCCAGCGGCATCCTTCAGCACCCAGCGGGTAACGTCCAGGTTCTCGTAAACGATGAGAATCTCAGCCGCACCCAGCTCCATAGCCTTGAGGGTATCCTCAACACCGTAGCAGACCTTGCCAGTATCCTGACTGATTTGCTCGAAGTAGGCGCCAATAAGCTTCTTCTCCTGGATGAACTTGACGTTGCTGAGGGTCTCGGCGGCCAGCTCGATGGCCTGGTTGAAGCCGTTCTCACCACCGTATGACACATCGACGACCTTGATGACCTTGGCTGCCAGACGTCCGTCGAACAGATCGGACTGGTTGAGGTCGTTCTTGAAATCGGCGGAACCGGCCAGGACGATACCGGCGACGTTGACCTTGTCGTTGGTGATGTAGTTCTGAACAGCCAATTCGGCGATCTTGCGGACGTAGTTGTGACGCTTTTCCTCACGGAGACGGGCGAAACGCAGCGCGGATTGACCACCACGGCCCTGGAGACAAAAAACAGTGAGCATGAGGTAGAGTGGGGTGGAAAAAGACGCATGATCATGCCGATTGTACTTACGTGCTTCTTGGGCAGATCGACTTGCAGGCGCTGGAGAATCTCACGGGTGTTTCCACTCAGAGTACCGAATAGCGCACCGTTACCGTCCATGATGATGAAACCGAACTTCTGGTCGGACTCGAGCAACTCGCTCAGGGCCTCGGTGTGGAACTTGTTGTCACAAAGGTAGAGTGAGGTGTTGATGGGCTTGAAGGGCTCGAAATCGATGTTAATCTTACGCTCCTTTCCCTCGGAGGTGATAATTTCACCACAGTACACGACCAGTCCATTTGGAGGAACCTTGTTGTACAACTTGAGACGTTGCTGGGTGGAGGTAATGGCCGACAGAACGGAAAGACGGTTGACACGAGACTTGATGTTGGAGGCAGTACCCTGTGGTGTCACATATATATTAGCACCGAGAAATGTGGAGGGGGAGGAGATGAAAGGAAAGACTGAATGGCGGGGCAACATACATATTCTTCAGCCAACATTCGTGCCGCTTGAGAGACCTGAGACTTGGGGGCTGTATTTGAGTTAGCCAGTGTCGAGTGTGAAGATATATTTCAACCTAAAAAAATAGCGAGGGGTGTGCGAGGGGTATGCGAGGTGGACACACGGATAATGAGAGAAATCATAGAAGTTCCATTGCCACGAGCGGATTCAAGACGCTTGATCAGCTTCTTGACCTTCCAGATCTCAATGTTCTTCTCGGCCTCTCCCTGCTGCTGTTGCTGCTGGGAGCTCATCTTGGGCGAAGCGCAGGTGATCCGCAATCGATCGAAAGAGTATCAATGGCTTTTCCTGTAAACGCCCGACAAAACGAGAAACCCACAACGGACAAAGATTGAGGTTTTGGCTAACACCTGGGCGGAGACGAAAAAAGGTGTTAGTGAGTTGATCGAGGAGTATAAGGGGGAGAATAGGAATACTCAGAGAGTATCAGAGAGTAAAGGATGAGAGATAGGGGGGGGGGAATAGACACACCTGTACTTTACACCTTTGACGTAGAGTCCGACGGCAAAAATCCTCAGGCACCGTGGGGTTCGAGGGGTGAGTGGGCTGAGGTAAGCAGTGGAATGGGTGAAGTGGGTAGTACCGGTACTTCTCATATAGTGTTAAACCCCACTGTTAAAGAAGTACCAATACTTATACCCGCCACCTCGTGCAAATTCGTCGGTGGCTATAAACTGCGGGTTGGATTGACGTGCAGTGCAGCCCGGTTTCAGCTTGGTTTTGGGCGTGATTTTGTCTGATTTTTCTGATTTTACTATATATATTTTTTTCCTTTTTTCTCTCGGGCGGCGCATCTCCGATGTCGTCTTATAGGGCCGAGAATATGGAAAAGTGGTACCCTATGGTACCTGAAAGTGGATTTGGATACAGTGAATGATATGCCCCAAATGTGTATACATACTCATATTCATACTACTAGTATACTACTAGAGAATAACCTATTTCCACCATGTTAATCACCTCCACAGTGTACCTATGAGTAATGACCGTGTCTGGCCGCTTATCAGCTACGCTATCAAACTTATCACCCCACACTTCCTAAGGTTGGTTAGCAGGGCACTCTAACCTTAGGGAAGCTTCCTGTCCCCGTGCCACTTACCCTAGTCTCCATTTCTTATCTCTCCTCTCCTCTTCTCGTTCTTCTCGCTCTTCTCCTATAAAAGGGCGCCTACCTCCCCCCTCCGTCGGAACCCGCCCGTCTTCTGGTCTAGCAAAATCCAAATGGCTGCCAGGAACGACGACGAGGCTACCTTCGGCCCACTGAGGATCCCCAACTCGTACGACTACGGTAACCTCAATCGAGACACGGTAACTGAGGCTGAGACGTGGGGCCGACGAAGGTGAGCCACCGCTGGACCAAATGAAATTGAAAGTCTTGATTCCTAACGATAAATCCAGATCATCCTCCTTCTCGCGGATTCGCCAGGTCGGCGGCCCGAACAGCATCGACAATTTCGCCCGCTCTTGGCAACGAGCCGCCTGTTTCCCAGAGGTACTACCGCGACGCTCGTCCTTCGTCGACGCAGAATCAGACGATGATATTGCCATTGCGACGGGTCAGGATTATGACTATGGCTATGCACCCCGGAGCTCTTTCCCATCCATTGGTCGGAATTCCGATATAGAGCGCCCTCTTCTCTCCGAAGACTCTGACGACGCTAATGATCACGACGATGAGCCCGACAGACAGAACAGAGGGGTTTCCAGCGCGGGACTCCTGGCTTCTTCTCTGGATCGAAGCTTCGCCGCCTCTTACGGCACGATCTCTTCACGGGTGAGCGAGTCCGCGCGACGAAATGCAATTAAATTCCACCAGGAGCAGCAGATCGGTGATGGGCTGGGAGATCCGGACCGGGAGCCTTTACTTCTGAAGCATGTTCAGCACGATGACGGGACGCAGGAGGATATCGTGGTCGGGCAATCGACTCTGCCTCAGACGGTTTTCAACTCGGTCAATGTGCTGATTGGTATCGGGCTGCTGAGTCTTCCCTTGGCGATGAAGCAAGCTGGCTGGCTACTGGGACTAAGCTTTCTGGTGTACTCTGCCCTGACTACCTCTTATACGGCTAAGATTCTGGCCAAGTGTCTCGATGTCGATCGCACTCTTGTCACATATGCGGATCTGGCGTATATCAGTTTTGGTCAACAGGCTCGTTTGCTCACTAGCTTTCTTTTCTGTTTGGAATTGCTAGGCGCCTGTGTTGCTTTAGCTGTGCTCTTTGCGGACAGTCTGTATGCCTTGATTCCGGGTCTCAGTATTCTGCAATGGAAGATTGTTTGCGGGTTTGTTCTGATCCCGCTTAACTTTCTGCCGCTGCGGTTTCTCAGCGTGACCAGCATTTTGGGCATCATTTCTTGCACATCAAGTGAGTGGGCATTGTTATCCTTTCAAGCTAGGCTTTTCAAAACTAACCAGGGTTACCTAGTCGTACTCCTCATCTGCGTTGATGGTTTGATCAAACCCGATTCTCCGGGTTCCCTGCGCCAGCCAGCCAAAACAACTCTCTTCCCTGAGAACTGGGCCACTTTGCCTCTGAGCTTTGGTCTAATTATGTGTATGTTGCAAAAGGTCGTCTTCCGGTCTGCTTTCAAGTGACTAATCATTCTCTAGCTCCCTGGGGTGGACATGGTGTCTTTCCCAATATCTACCGTGACATGCGCCATCCCCGAAAGTATGGAAAGAGCTTGCGGGCCACTTATCTATTTACAGTAAGAATAACACAGACAGATGCATACATATTCAAACTTGAACCACATGACTAATAGAAACCAGTTCTCCCTTGACTGCTCCATGGCCATCATCGGATGGCTGATGTTTGGAGATAGCGTCCACGACGAAGTCACCGCCAACATCCTCGGCTTGGATGAGTATCCGAAAGCCATATCCATCTGTATAATAATATTCATCGCCATTATTCCGCTCACCAAAGTGCCATTAAAGTGAGTTGACCTTGACAATCCGGAATTTGAATTTGAAAACACCACCCCGCTAACGTACGACACTAGTGCTCGGCCATTGGTGGCAACCTTTGAAGTCCTCTGCGGCGTGAAAGTCCCGGGACATGGACAATCGGGAGAGAATGAACAGAAATTTCTCCGGATTGCAGTTCGAATTTTCACCGTCGCTCTCATCGTCGTTTTGTCCATTATTTTCCCGTCATTTGACAGAATCATGGCGTTCCTGGGATCGTTCTTGTGCTTTACCATTTGCATCATATTCCCACTTGCATTTTATTTGAAGATCTTCGGTAAGGAGATCAGTCGGCGTGAGCGAATTTTCGATTGGTTCCTGTTGATCACATCCACCATCTTGGCGGCTGTTGGGACCGTTTGGGCATTCTTGCCCCGCGAGTTGATTGCTGGCAATTAGGCCAGCGGCCCGGTCCTTTGCTTTGTTTTTATGCTTCTTCTTCGTCTTCTCAGTGATGAATTATAAGACCGTTTCTCTCACTCTCATCTCATCCCTTTTTCAGAATGATAGAGAAGTTGTTCCGAGTGTGGCCAGGGTTGAGCATTTCCTTTTTGAAGGACTTCGTCGGTACCTTGGAACCAGTATGATTCCATAGCTGATAAATCAACTTGGAAGTCCGCTTGCTCTGCGCGAGCTCGAACCCCAAACTAGACAGGATATCGAGCAGGCGCTTTTCAGTCACATAACGAGAATTGTCAACGCACGCGACAGGCAGAACAAGGAAGAGAGTAGGAGGGAGCGAGATAGGACAATTTGAAGTTAGAAACTTCACGCAGCGCTTGAGCATTTCACCACGTCCTGTCGCGTCCGGAACGTAGTTTAGCACCAATGACAAACTGATCAAATGAAAGCGCTCCTTATCCCCATCCGTATCTGCAGGTGGTAAAGGCCGCTCCATAAAATCCTGTTTAAGAATGCCAGGCTCTTGAGAATTCAAATCAATGCGCGAAACTTCCAATGAAGGCGTTCTAGAAATGACATTCTTCGTACTCAGAGCCCCGACTTCCAGAACGCGGAGCTTGGGAAGACTTGCGTTCCACTCGTTGAGTTGCGGCTTGATCCAATCTAGGAGAAGTTTGCTGGAATCACCGCCTCGCTCGAGAGATTGGCCGATTTTGCTGGCGGTCTGGTAGCTTTCCAGACCTCCGTTAGCCTGGATTTGAGCGTCGATACTGCTTATGCGGGCTTCATCGCCTGAACGTTCAGCTTGGGCTCGCGCTTTCAGGAGCTGGTGGTGAGATCGAATCAAAGTTCGCGTGGCCTTGGATGATAATGCCGCATGTTGTGATTTGATCGTAGGAGGTCGAGTACTCGACAAAGAGCCTAATTTCTTGGATCGCTTGCTGGGAGCCATTATGTCTCAAAAGTCAAGACTCCGGGAAGTAGATAGAATTGTGTTCAGCGGTCCAAGCGGATCAGCATGACTTGGAGGTGGTGAAACTCGTTGCCGTAGCAAAATAGTCACTGTAAAATGATCAAGCCTAATTAAACGGCGAGACAAATAAATCCCAATCTTGACAATTTCCAGGCCAATCTAGCGGCATCAAAAAAAAAACAGCCGCAATAAAGTGCTGAGTCAGCTATGGCGGATGACTAAGGCGGGTTTGGCCACAGATCACCTGACCCACACAGCGCTAGGGTTTTCGCTTAGCGAAGTCACCCGCAAATTGTTCGACAATCGACACAGCGACAATCATCACGACAAGCGGACGACGACAGCCATGGCCCCTACCAGCAAGACAGGTACGTTGGCTTGCATCGAATACTCTATACACTGTTCCCTTTCAATTGCGAATTGTGCGAGAATGTGCTCTGGGTGGAAGGAGGAAATCGATGTCGAAATCGAAATCGAAATTGTTGGATCTCAAAATTCCACACTTTGAAGAACGAACACACAGACGATCAAAGCAACGACAACACACTGGCACCAACTCGCTCTCGAAGATATCAACATTAGAAACGAAACTCGCACCGTCTCGACTCTTTTTTTTCCGGATCCTAGGGCACATTTTGACATCGCATGATTCGCAATTTCTTCCTTGGAGAAATTAATCACCATTTACACCACACGAATACTAACATGCATTCTTATAGCCAACGCTGCCGCCAAGGCGGTCGTTAAGGGATCTTCCGTACGTTCCTGTCCATGATTTATCTCCCCAAGAGGCCCGATTTACCGATTTGCCCGCAAAATCGGGGAATCCGGGATCTTTCGCCAGCAAGAAAAAAAAATACTAACGACTCGACCAATAGCTTCACAAGTCCCGCAAGGTTCGCACCTCGACCACCTTCCACCGCCCCAAGACCCTGCAGCTCTCGCGGTCTCCCAAGTACCCCCGCGTCTCCATCCCCGTCAGCCCCAGCTCGACGCTCAGAAGATCATTCTGTACCCTCTCAACACTGAGAGCGCCATGAAGAAGATCGAGGAGAACAACACCCTGGTCTTCATCGTCGATATCAAGTCCAACAAGCGCCAGATCAAGGCTGCTCTTAAGAAGCTGTACGACGTTGACACCGTCAAGGTCAACACCCTGATCCGGTATGTGCCCCTCACCTGACACGGGGTCGGAAATTCCGCCCGCCACCAAGAGAGCGTATTGCTAACAATCACACTCCAGCCCCGACGGCTCCAAGAAGGCTTTCGCCCGCTTGACCCCCGATGTCGATGCTCTGGACATCGCCGCCACCAAGCTGGCCATCGTCTAAAAAGGAAAGGAAATGGATTTCTTAGGGTTTGGGCGAAAGTTGTTTTCCACCGCGGTGATTCTCAATACCAGCCAGTTCCTTGGCTGTATCAGCGGCATCAAGGGCTGAATGATTAAAAAAGAAACATTTCTTGACACGATTCTAAATGAATCAGATCCGTCGTAGCTGTGCCCGTAGCTTGTTATCTTGTTCCCGTACGTATTATTGCTGGGGTTCGACAATCCTTGGGGGTCTGGCAGGTAGCCAGTGGTTATATCTGCCCATCTCTCAGAGACATAGACATAGGTTATCGGTGTCTTACCGGATCTCAATGCCCTAGCCACAAGGCTCAATGTCCACGAGAGCGTCGAGCCATTCCGAGCATCACTCATACGCTTATTAGTACCCCAAAGATGCCCCGGTTTCTCCGAGTTTACACATACACCTACGTATACAGAAGAGACGGAGATAAAGTAAAAAGCAAAGCATTCTATACAAGGGAAATCATTCATTTGTCTCTAGTATACAAGCGACCCATAAAGTCGAAGAGTCTCATCTCATCCCCAGACTCCAAAAAGCAACGGTCCAGACCAAAAGGTGTCTCACCAACACCAAGGAACTCGAGATTTATACCCTCAAAGTCCCAGTGATAACTAGTGTTGACCAAGTAACTTCTTTCCAAAGCCACTGCTCATCGGGACCGAAGACAAGACCATGCGGAAATCCGATCGATCTATCATCGAATCCAATCCAATTATCCAATTCCGCATATATCACATCACATCACGCCCAGCGAAAGGGAATCGACAATCTATCGCATGTTTTGCAACTTGGTGATGACGGCACTCTGAGTATCCATCCATCGCTGAACACAGTTCTCAGCACAGGACTCCTCGTCCCGAGACAGAGCGCCGGAGGTAATAGGGCGGCCGGTGATGCACTTCTTAAAGCAGATGTCGCCGAGCTGGTGGACGGCTAAATAGAAAAGTAAATAATTAGCGACGGGACGAGGTAACGCGACGACTCAATCTTGCGACAAGCTAAGCTAGGGCCAACTCACCCTGCTGGATGGTATTCTTCTGCGACTCGTTCTGCAGGATCTGGCTCAGATCCTTCTTGTCGGCCTCGCTGAGGTTGGAGATATCCATCTGAGTCTGGGGATCCATTTTGAAATAATAATATGCGGAAATCCGTAGCGTAAACCGGGTGGGGAGGAGAAATAAGAGATGGAGATAGGTTGGTTCGTTCAATTGGTGTACTCGTAGTTTAAATCAGGTTGCAGCTGTGACCGCACCGAAGCTTCGCCCGCAAAATCGTAGGCGGTATAATGTGGCAGAATGATGCGGGCGAATCTCCGAGAAATTAGATTCGCCATTAGCTATCTTACCTTGTCTCTGATATCTATCATCTGCCTTCGTCTTTCTCCCCCCGCCTCGTCTTTCGTTTGAGGCTGAGGCTTAGTCTTAGGCTTATACGAGTGTCATTTGCGCCTCATCGAAAGAATCGAATCCCACCCAAGCAAGACAGCCGCAGTCATGCCTCCCATTCGCACCTCCCGCAATCGCAAACCGCCACCCGCTGGCTTCGACGACTTGGAAGATACCCTGCTGGAGTTCAGCAATAAGATGAAAGATGCGGAGAATGCATCACACGAGGGAAAGAAGAAATACGAGGTTCTCTGGCCTATTTTCCAGATCAGTCATCAGCGTATGTATCACCCCCGAACCTTTGAGTTGAGGTTGAGGAATGGGACTTGCTCGAGTCCAGTCTGCCCACATACACATACACATGCACATACACCTACCTTCTGAGAGTCCTTCACACACATACTCTGCTGTGCACCCTTTCCTCTTCCTCTATCCCTACCCGAAAGGTGTCTCCAAGCTCCAAGTCCTCGAAGAATACACCCCACCCACCAAATACCCCATTCCACTAGAGCCCATCCTAATCCTAATTCTCATTCTAAATCTGATTCTAACTCTCCTCGCTCATTCCAGGCTCCCGATATATCTACGACCTGTATTACGAAAAAGAGGCCATCTCCAAACAACTATACGACTGGCTTTTAAAGAATAACTACGCCGACGCGAATCTAATCGCAAAGTGGAAAAAACAGGGTTATGAAAAGGTATGTTTGAACACCTTTGCTTTGCTTTGAAATATACTATCCCTTGACCCTTGTCCCTCCTATTCCTCCTGTTCGTTTGGTTTCATCGCTAACTCAATTTATTTTTATTCAGCTCTGCTGTCTCCGCTGCGTCCAATCAAAGGAAACAAATTTCAACGCAACTTGCATCTGCCGCGTACCAAAGGCCCAACTGAAAGAAGATCAGTCGATTCAGTGCGTTAGCTGTGGGTGTCGTGGTTGTGCTAGTAGTGATTAGATTAGGTACCCTACCCTACTCTACTCTACTCGGTTGGGTTGGGTTGGGTTGGGCTGCTTGCACTACCCACCTACCGGAGAAAAATCAAATCATGGAATGGACTGGAATGGACTTTGGGCGTTTTGGGTTGCTTGCATCTAGTTGTGATGTTTATCATGGGCTCGATTCGATTCGATTCGATGTTGTTTTCATTGTTAGTATATGGGGCTTTGGTTGGATGGTTAATCAGATATGATACCCTTTACATTTGAGAGTTGTGTCGATGGAGGTCTTCTAGTAGTAGTAGTAGTAGTATTAGTATCTCCAGGGCTGGGGTATGTAAAGAGAGTAGTACATATTCCGTACATACCTAGCCAGTACTACACCCAGTCTAGTCCTTCGGCAAAAAAACCATACAACTTGAAGGATGATACCTAGTCAGTCAAATCGCTTACGCTCGGTACATAAGTAGTACTAGTACCAGCTTAGAGTACTGCTATGTATATATATATCTACAAGACTACTATACTAGATCCATACCTAAAGTAAAGTTACAACTTAAAACCAAGCTCAATGCCCAGGCTAGGTGGCAATCCACAAATAACTTGAAAGAAAGACTCAATAATCATCATGAATTCAAATTGCTACATAATCAATAGCGCCTTCATGTATCCATCCCATCCCATTCCTTCCATTCCATCCAGTCAATCCCTAACTAAAACAATCCATAGCACCCATACCAGTAAAAAAGAATAGAAAACGATAAATCCGTGACAACCCAACCCCAAATCCCAAATCATGAAAGCATCGCTTTGCTCATGTACATCTTAAGCATCGTCATTAAGGTCGTAACCAGACCAGGCCAGGCCATCCCGGGCTCGGCGCGGGGAGAGATAGAGAGATAAAAATCGGAGAGAATGCAGAAACCACCCTAGAGCGGCGCGGTGCTCTGCACTGCAGTGCAACGCTCCCAAGAACTCCCAAAAAAAGAATGTGTACCGCCCAATCGAAAAAAACCTGGTGACAATCCAATTCCAACTCCTCAAACGCAAACGCATACCCAAACGCAGGGAAATAAAAGCAGTAGACAAGCGGGCGCTTGTGTGTGGCAATCGCAGGAAGTAAAAAACAAGAACAAGAACAGCCGTGGGGGAGTAGAATATCTCGAATAGCGCCAGTGCAGTGTGGGAAAAAAGGACAAAGTCATGTCAAGTCAAAAAGCGGAGCAGAGTATCAGCGTGTATCAGCGTATGTTATGTCCTTGGTCCCATGGATCCAACACAGACCATGATCAAAGCAAAACAAATCAGAACGGGTGAATTTTTTTTTAGAACAAGGTGGTGTTGCTGCGACTAGTGAGTTGAGGTCGCGGATACAAAGACTTCGGCTTAAGCGAATCGTCCTTTGTAGTGCCTCCGATCTTTTGGAAACCCTGAAGTAGATCGACGCCGTCAACCTCATCAGGACTGTTATTGCTCTCGTCAAAGAGGTGGAAGGAGAAGAAGTCGTCTTGGCTTGTTTCGCCCAGTCGTCCAGTCTCCGGGAGCTTTGAAGGAGATTCCGGGAAGATAGCTGATTTAGATCGCGCAAGGGAAGGCATGCCGAGTCGGGTATTGACATTCACCGAGGTGATATCAGTTAATGCTGGATTGCTATTATCGGTACGCTGTCGCTTGACGGAGCGTTTTTCCGGTGAGCCACAGGCAGCTGGGGAAACATGCAGTGTATGGGCGTCGGCGAAGACGTCAAAGGTAGTGTGGAAGTGGTCATGTGGAGTATAGCTGTCATCATGGAGGTTGAAGGCCGGGCTCCAGGGGAGGTCATCTTCAGCAAGACCCAGATGCTTAATCGGGGAGTTGACCATCTGCTGAATTTTGCGTCGGTGGTTTCGAAGATTGGTATTAGGAGACACCGACGGTGGGGGCTTCGCCGGTTTCTTGAATTTGATTATGGGTGTTAATGGCGGAGGAAGCATGCTGACGTATCCACCACGCAGAGGTGAAGATCCAACAATGGCGCTGGCATCCTTCCGGGCAGGAGGTTGTCCAGGACTAATATCATGCGACGAGCTGCGTATCCGAGCAATCTCTTCTTCGGCGCGACCACGCTTAATGCGTGGCGGCTCGATGTCAAGATCAGAGGTAAGGATGTGGCCAGCCTTGTTAGGACGCATGGCGGAGGATTCAAGGGAGGAGAAGTAGCCACTGTCATTCATGGTGATGGACTTGCGCTTGCGAGGACGTTGAGCAGGGGTAGGGCCAGGTTGATGAGTTGGTGTGGGAGGAGTGCCTTGACGGGAGAACCGAGGAGGAGCGATGGGAGGAGAGGATCGAATGGCCTGTGGGGGGGGATGAACGCAGGGGGGCGGTGTGGTGTGGAGGTGCATGAATAACCTCGTCACTTGCGTCCTCCTGCAAGGCAGGATCGGATGCAGGCAAGGTGGCATCGGACGAAAGATCGTCGTTGCGCGAGGCTTTTGATGGTGGTGGAAGTTGTCGCGCCGGAGGTGGTGGTACCATCCACGTCGTCGTACTTGCACTCTGCGGTTGAGGGGCGAGATCTCTCTGGGGTACTGCGGGGAGGGGTAGGCTAGACATCGTGGCACGACGAACTTGCTTGTCCTTTAAGAATTGCAATTCCATCCCTGGCTCAATGACCCAGTAGTTGCCCTTGCCCGGATCATCCTTCGGTCGTTCTTGTTTGATGAATGCCTTGTTCAGACTGAGGTTATGCCGAATGCTATTCTGCCAGCCCGGATCGCTGTGCTTGTAGTAAGAAAACGTATCGGAAATCCATTTATAGATCTGGGCCAGAGTCAGACGGCGATTGGGCGCGCGCAGAATCGACATGCCGATCAGAGTCGCATAACTGTAAGGCGGCTTCGTGCCGTCGTCCTCGATTGGCGGCATATCATGAGGTTCAGGGAGGTGATGGAGCGGCGCGTCTTCGCGTTTTTGCTTCTTGACTGAGCGTTCCTTGAGCGGGGCAGCGTCCATCAGTGTGCGCTTCATGGGAAGCTTGGAATCATAGGACGGTTCAGGGAAGTCGGCAAAGCTGCCATTGAGAGAATCTTCCGGGCGGACGTTCTCCTTTGATGATTCGGTGTTGACACTGGAAAACGTAGTGAAGAGAGCCGACTGCGGCGGCATAGAGGACTGGGCGTATATGGGGAAAGGCGGTTTCTTGGCCGGGGAGTCGGTGGTGAACATGGGAGGAGCGGGAGCGGAGATGGGAACAAAACCGAGTTTACGTCCCGGATGCGCGCCGTGGACAGGAAATCCTTTTGTCGGCGATGGCCTGTGCGGGCCAGATGGATGGAATGAGTTTTCAATGGGTTGCAGTGGTAGCGGTGAGGGTTGGAGTCGGGGCTGCGATTTGATGGGTTCCTGTGCAGATGGGGCCAGCGCCGGGGAATTGTGCGCGCCGAGCGCTGGACGCGTCGATCCCATAATCCAAAGGGTAGGGAACGATGCGGAATCGTCAGCAGTCACCAATAGGGACCATATGACGCGTCGAAATCAACAATTGCCGGCGTGATGGGGGAAGGCGTGGGCAGGCGGGTTCAGCAGCGCCGAGTCCAACGGGTGATTGAAGGTGAAGAGAATTCGCGTCGAGCCAATAATGAGCCAGAACGGATGTGATAGTCAGCAACCTCAGGCCGTCATGCAGCGAGACTAGTCGTGATTGCAAGCGTTGGGCCACAAGGCGCTAGGACCGGGTGATACGTCCAATATGGGCCAGTCGAATCAGCGACGGATGAAGATGGAGAACTCGATAATTTGTGGAAATCACCACGAGCGAAGATGCTGTAAAGTAGGGGAAATCCCCGAAATTCTGTTCAGACGGATGCAATTTGTTCTATTTTCGAGGTCTTCGTAAGAGAAGCAGAGTAAAGTGAGATGGAAGGGGGTGGAAAGTGAAGTGCGTTGGGGAAGAAGAGGGGAATTGGGTAGATGAGGGAAGGCAGCAGAGCACAAAGCAGATGTGAAGGAGGCCTGGAAGTCGCGTCCCTTTTGTCTTCGGTACGTTCCCCTCTTTTTCTTAAGATCCCTTTGAACGCGAGTCAAGATGAGAGTTCAAGACGGGGAGGGGGGAGGTGGGGGGGAGGAGTGAGATGAGATGATAGTAGAAGTACGAAGTACAGTAGAGTATAACTGGTTTACTTACATACGAGTAGATGGAGAGATGATGTGAGGGCCATGATGGTGTACCACGATGGGACAATACCGGTATGGTATGGTAAGCATGCAGACGCGTCACGCGACTTAATATGAGGCTTGGCACCATCAATACCAGATTACACTGTATTCAATGACAATACCTCTGTTCCGCCGGTGTATGAAGGGATTGCTCCTTGCTTGGCATGCGGATCGGACCAACACAAAGTATGTGCTTAGATGCTCCACCCTGAGATCATATCCTACAGTAGCGTACTAGTATACTTTGTGTGAGGATCCGAGGTTATCTGCTACTAGTACGACTATCCGATCTCCCAGCGGTCCAGACTCGACTCGGCTTTGACTCCACGAGTCCCCCTACCGCCCACAACCTATCGGCTACCCCTAACCCTACATCCTCACCCAATATCATGCCATTCTCTTGGCTTCCCTCTTTCTATAATTAAATAATTAAATCCCCTTCCTCCCTTGTCCCCGCCTCCCTATTGGTACACGTCAGGAATGCGTATGTAACTCTGAGACAGCCGTCGCGTCGGATCATCCCTTGCTCTCTCCAGCCATTGGCCATGATCGACGGGGGATCTCCTTCCTGCAGGACCCTTGACTCAGATCACACAGTACATACTGTCTGTCTCGATGTCAGTAGTCAATGGGACGGGACGAGGCCCTCGAGGGTTCACTTTCGTGCGTGCGCTGCAGTAGCCAAAAGCCAACCCTAATCTATGTAAATCGTAGTTGGCCTGGGGTAGTAGCACGACTACTACTCGTATGTACCTAAGTGCTAAGTACCTATGCGAGGATTCAAAGTACCTTTGGTACCTACATTTATTCTGCATTGCGTACATTAGTACTCCGTACCTGCTTTGCTTTATGCACGTAAACTACGCAGAACCTTCCTTACAGTATTGACACCGCAATCATTGGAAACTTCTAATAAATATTTCATTCATATCCAATATACAGCGTATAGCTTATATTATTCTCCATTAAACCACCAGAAAGGGCTGCCAGTGGCTTACCCCCTTCATCATGAAACAGGGATCTTTCGAAATTCTATCTGCAGGAAACCCACAAAACGCCACATCCATGCATCGCAAAGAAGAAAAGAACACGATGCTGAATGACCTCACGGATATCTCTCTTCTCTTCTTTTTCATTTTCATAGAGAGAAGAAAGAGACTGAGAAGGAGAAACTCTCACAGGGAGCCTCCCTCCCTCCGAGGTAGATGCACGCCAACTTTTCTCTAAAATAAAACAAATGGCAAAAGCACAAGCAGAAGCAGAAGCAGAAGCAGAGCAGAACCGGCCCATGGGATATCTCAAACGTCAATGACTCGTTACCCACCCGCCATGGACATCTAGTCCAAGAAGGTGAACATGCTGGTGTGGATGATATTGAGAGCGCGGTCGGCGTCGCGCTCTTCGATGACGCAGGAGATGTTGATTTCACTTGCACCTGCAGGGGGGAAAGAAAAAAAGAAGTCAGCCTTTTAAAATTCAGGGGTAATTGACGGGGATAAAAAACGTGAGGGGCAACGTCGGGATCCACCATCGCCTCAGTCAGACTCAAACTCACCTTGCGAAATCATCTCAATGTTCACATTGTTCTCCCCAAGTGTGGTGAACATCCGCCCCGCCACACCGATCATGTTCTTCATCTGCTTGCCGACCAAACTCAGAATGGCCATTTCGGGAATAATATCGACCGTTCCATATTTGCCCAGATCATTCAGGGCCCCCTTTAGATCATCATCAATGACCTGGTATTCATCCCTTCCGTTACCATTCAGCAGGGGCGCCTCCGAGTGTAATGCCATCGACACGTGGACCTCGCTCGTCGAAATCAGGTCAATTGACAGGCGCCACTTATCCAATACGGAAAATATCCCGGCAAAGAAGCCGTGCGACAGCGATCGCTTATTCGAGTGAACATTGATGACCAAAATCTTATGTTTGATCGTGACGGCGGTAGGCCGTTTCGGCTTCTGCGCCAGACTCGAGCTCCGCGTGCGGAACAATCGCGGGTCGTGGCCAGGTGTACGACGCTCCAACTCAGCCGGGGAATCGGGGAAAATAACCGTGCCCTTGTTTCGGGGGTTCATGACGTTCTTAATGCGAATCGGGATCCGGGCGCGAATCACCTGCTCCATGGTAAATGGATGAATGACTTCTGATCCGTAAAAGGTCAACTCCGCCGCTTCGGACGGGGTAATCGCAGGCAAGAGTCGAGCCGTTGGCACTTTCCGCGGATCAGCCGTGAAAATACCATCGACCTCTTTCCAAACTTGAAGCTCCTTGGCATGCGTGCCAACGGCCACAAGCGCAGCGCACAAATCTGTATAACCACGTCCAACCTGGTCCAAGAGTCCGCCGGGGATGGTACCGAAGTAACCAGTGATGACGGGGACCCGGTGACCGCACTCGGCGACTTTCTTCCCCAGCGCCGCGGCGAGGGAGTTATAAAATGTCTGGTCCAGACCGTGGGTGCCGATGGGGAAGTCGATTATTTCGGAGAGATCGACATATTGTGAATCGACGCCGCGATCTTGCAGAAATGCGGCCATTAGGCGACAGCTCAGTTTTTCGCCTGTGCTGATCACTTTGTCCACGCATCGTGCGCTAATTTCGCCGAGGGTCTGGGCAGCTTCGAGGACTTTGAGGACTCGCTCGCATTCGCCGTTGATGTCTGCTACCACTTGCTCTTTCAGATCCACTGATTTCAACTGTTCCTGTGCCACTTGGGTATGCTCCAGGCGAACGGCCTCGACTAATACTTCATATTGCCGCGAATGGGAGTTCTCCGCATCCCGGGCTGCCCGCAGTAACCTGTCAGGTGAGAGAAAGGTTAGAATGGATCTAGCCGGTGATTGCGAGTGGTTCGGAAGTGGATTGTGAGGGGCTTCGTATATCGCAGGGCCGAGGATGGTGTTTCGATTTGGGGAATGCTTTAAAAGAGCCATGACTCACCGGTTTGTGGTGCCTTCGGCCTTGGTAGAGCTGCTTCGGGCTGAGCAGACGACAGCAACACGGTTGTCAATGAGACTGGGTCTGTAGTTGGGGGATCAAAATTAGTATGAATGTTGGCGAGGGTGACGGGGTCAAGTCATGGCCATCGTCATCGTCATTCAAGGGGACGAGGGGTATCAACATACTCGACGACCTGCTGGATAATATTCAAAGCGAACTTGCCAACACTGGTGCCGCCAAACTTTTGGACGACCCAATTGCTATGCAAGGCGGCGGGTGCCGGATGGTCTGCTTGAAAGGAAGCCATAACCACAAAACCACGAAATGCGAAACGAAAGATGAAGAGGAGCAAAAGCAAAGGGAACAGCGAAAGCGGAGGAGTGGGCCGGCAAAGCGGCCTTACAATGTCAAGCCGAACCCGAATATTTTTTCAGGTGAGTCAGTCAATTGAGTTTTTCCGCCTTCCCCTCCAGGAACGCGATGTCGGAGATGCCCCGCCAATCACGCCATCGTTATTCCCTCCCCGCGATGACGCAGTGGCAGAGTACGATGTGTATACAGGATAGTGTATGGATGATATTTAGTTATATTTATTGACATTAATATTGTATAGAATATATACATATATGTATATATATACTATCATCTATATTTATTTGTGTTACTAGGAGTTACACTATTGCCACCCTTCCGCATCCGCACCCATGGATCTACCCTATACATTCCTCGCCGGATTAGGCATCGCGCCGCCTCCGGTTTATGCCTGATAGTATGAGTACTACTAGTATAATATATGAGCGGTTTTAACAAGGCAACTCAAAAGTGATTCTTATCATGCAGTAGCTCTGATCATTTTCGATTTATGACATTTTGGTCTCTTCATCTCCGATTGCTACCCTAGAATCGGGGTAGTTCTAGGTTGTCTTATCGACTCCTGATTGGATGACAAATTCGATATATAATGTGTCTTACTGGAGCAATGGTGATCATTGATTAACCCCAGGTTTGCATGTGACATCAAGTCGGTGAGAAATAGAATGTGCGCTTTTACTAGAATAAAAATGACTCATGCAGTCCATTGTACCGACAGTTGTACCTGCCTGAGGCTATTATTAGGTGCAGTCACCATGGTAGTATATGGAATGGAAAAGAGAGATATTTCGAAGAACTGCTAACTGCTTTCCCTCGAGATCTCGACTCATAACAATTTTCGTCTTGGTCGCTTTTACCAAAGTCTTAGAAATTGATCGGGGTTGACTGCGCCAACAGTTGACAGTAAGACCAACCTTATAGATCAGGCGAGGCTATTCTTGCGTCCAAGTGGGTCTCACCCGCAATCACGTCTGCCCAGGCACCGCTATATTTTGAGATTTCGAGAAACCAAACCACCCAGAGACCAAAACCCAGCGCATTCATACATCCAATCAGATGCCGACTGCTTCTATGCTCTGGTAGTATCTCTGGATTATCTCGCACGTGGCTTGGAGATAAAGTCACACACCCTCAGAACCTGTCACCATGGCCGATCATATCATCCCATCATGTCCATTCTGTCCCTTCTCAGACCAAGACGCGACCTTCGTGGAGCAGCACATCGAATACTGTCACCCAGAAGGAGGTGCCCCGCCATCGCACACTTATGATTCACCCGCGTTCGAAACCACCAGCACCAGCCCATCCCCGTCCCCATTCCAGGTAGACGAAGATTCTACAGAAAAATATGTCGAATGTCCACATGGATGTGGTGAGACTATCACGACTGCCGAACTGGCAACACATCTCGATCTACATGTTGCAGAAGGCATTGCGCTGGATGACTGCGGGGAAGTCCAGAGTAGTCCCTTTAATACAGAACTGTCCAGCGAACCCGATCTACCGTCAGACCTAGACGACACCCGGGACCTCCACGTGAGCCAGAAAGGCAGCAAAAGAGGCGCCGATCGAGACTTCACTCGCTCGAACACTTCGAAACCAGCACAAGGACGAAGTCGCAGCCCCGTCGGAAAATTGGGCCCGGATGGTGCTAAACGACTGGGGGTAAGTAACTATACAATCCATATATCCTTTTCTTTCTCTCCCTCTCTCTCTCTCTCTTCAAAAATAATCTAACAATTCATCCAGCGCTCAGAATTAGGCCCACACGCCCACGAGAAAAAAATGCCCTCATGGCTAAAGAAAATGCTGGAAAAAGGCGGCCGCACCTCCAAGCAAACCCGAATCACGCCAGACGGCAGACTAGCCCGACACACGAGCGTAGAAAACGAAACCGAAAACCTCATTCCCGTCATTGCGAAACTCTGCGAACAGGATAGTTCCTCCCAGCGCGTCTTTCTCTGCAGTCCCAAGGTTCGCCACGTCTGCAAGATGCCGCGCGAAGGCGGATTTTGCGGATATCGGAATATCCAAATGCTTGTTTCGTATATCACGAAGTCGAAGAGTCTGGGTCATGAGCATTTTCCAGACGGCGTGCCTTCGATTCTGGAATTGCAGGATTTGATTGAGCGGGCGTGGGATTTGGGGTTTAATAGTACGGGTCGGACTGAGACCGGGGGTATTAAGGGGACGAGGAAGTTTATTGGGACGCCGGAGGTTAGTATTGTTGGCTAAGTGGAAGAAAACATGCTAATATTGTGGTAGGCGCAAGCACTGTTTATGAGTCTTGATATCCCGTAAGTTTTGATCAAAAAGGACCATGAATCAACGTTAGATCAACGACTAACATGCCCGTTCAGGTGCGATGCAAGCAGTCTGAGTGAAGCGAGCAATATGCGTGCACATATGGCCTTATACCAGGATGTTGCATCCTACTTTCGATCAAATTGCTCACTAGATGACGAAAAGAAGAAGGTCTCCATGACCGATCTACCTCCAATATACTTCCAGCACCAAGGTAAGTGAAGGTCTCTACTGAGTTAACACTTAACCTACCAACTCTCCTCTGAGGCTGAGACTAAACTAATACGACCAGGCCATTCAATGACAATCATCGGATTCGAGATTCGCGATAATAACACCGCCAATCTGCTCGTCTTTGATCCTATGTTCAAAACATCGCCTGCAATGAGCCGTCTTATCGGGACGTCTGCGAAATCTGATAACCCCGCCCGTCTGTTGAAGGCGTATCGGAGGGAGACTCGGTATCTTCAGAAGTATAAGATGTTTGAACTTCTTAAGTGCGTGTTTTGACTTTATCTTTATCTTTATCCTTCTCCTTATTGACCTACGGGGTTGGGTTGTTAATGGTTTGTTGCTAATCCGCGATAGGTTACCCACTCCTCAACCTGCGCCAAATTAGGTCAGATCTCCACCTGTATGCCCTTTGGATCTCAAGCTAGAGACACCGTCATGATTGCGAGTTTTAGCATGCAAGCGATCCTTCTACTTACTTCGTTTTCGTTTTGCATATACCAAGTCATTCCACCCATAGCGACCTGCATTACGACGCCACTAGACACCACAGAAAGAAAGTTGTTTAAAATTTATACAATATAACCTACCTGCTTTTTATCCAATATAAATAGTAATACTACTAGTATTATTCAAGTTCTCCATTCCATGTACCATGCCACGCCACGGCTTCATACCTTAAGGTAGGGTCTGGCGTAGTCGATAAGATAAGCAGGACAAACCTTAATCCGAGATATTATTTCGTCGCATCCGGGGAACATTGAACATCTCAAGCAAATACTCATAACCTTTTCTTTCAATTCCTTTTTTTCCTTACACCGTCACAGAAATCATACAATCGCAAAGTATGCGCACCGCCCCGAATATAATCGTTACCGGCACCCCCGGCGTCGGCAAAACCGTTCACTGCGAGCAATTAGCGCAGGATATCGGCTTGAAACACCTCTCTGTCAACCAGGTTGCCAAAGAGCGCGATTGCTACGAGTCGTATGATGAGGAGCGTAAGAGTTGGGTTGTCGATGAGGATAAGGTATGGCTTTTCCCCTCTCTCCCTCTCCCCCTTCTTGGCCATGGTCATGGTGGTCGTGTTGCGACTTTTTTTTTCTCTCTCCACCCCCACTTTGCTGGTGGCGGGGTTTCGTGAAACAATTATGAAAGATTGAGGAAGGCAGTGGGCTAATGGTTTTTTCTTTCTTTCTTTCTTGGAATAGTTACTCGATGCTATCGAAGATGAGGTGCTTCAGGGTGGTTATCTGATTGATTGGCACGCTTGCGACATGTTTCCCAAGTCCTGGATTGATCTTGTTGTTGTTATCCGCTGTCCCGATACAACTGTGCTCTATGATCGTCTTTCTTCTCGGTAATAACCCCCGCCCCTTTCCTTTCGCTTTTCTTCCATTGCTCTCTGTGCGCTGCGCTGCGTACGATTGGCATTTATGATGGAGCTTAGGCTAACCAACCTTGATTTACAGAGGCTACCACGAAGAAAAACTCCAAGAGAACCTAGACGCCGAGATCTTCGGCGTTCTCCTCGAAGAAGCCCGCGAATCCTACGACGAAGAGATCGTGGTGGAATTGAACAGTGAGAAGGATGGCGATGTCGAGAGCAATTGCGGCCGTATCTCGGATTGGGTCGATTCTTGGAAGAAACAACATGACGAGGGGAAGGAGGCGGAGTAGGGGTTAATGTGGATGTGGATGCTACTGCATACATACATACATCGGTGATTTGTGTGGTGGAGTTCGTTTCTTCTTAAATTTGGATCTTGTTTCTTCGTCTTCGTCTATGATCATTTCGATTTTTCGCTTTGGTCTTTCGATTGGTCTTTCTATATACCCATACCAATATCATACCAAATGCCCATACTCATACTCATTCTCATTCTAATTCTCATCATAATCGTGCTGTTCCCTTACTGCTGGCCCTCTGCCAACCACTTCTGGAACTTAACCAGAGCCTTGTACCGGTGCGAGATCTTGTTCTGCTTTGTATTTTAGCATGACTTGTCTCGGAAGATTGGGGGATCAACTGCCAAGTTCTCTCTTTTTCTTCACTTACCTTAGCTTCCTTGTCCATCTCCGCATATGTCTGGCCTTCGTATTCGAAAATTGGATCCCAACCTTAAACTTCCGTTAGTACTATCCTATATTCAAGAAAGACTGACAAGCATCCATGCATTGGGAATGGGGGATGGACTCACCAAAATTAGTTGGGCCACGAGGACGAACGATTTTACCCTGTATATACCATTAGGAATGAAATCAGAAATGAAAATGATCCAAGAAAAATGAAAAGTCATAGCAATTTCCACACTCACAACAGTCCGACCCTGGAAAATAATAGGCTCCTCTCCAGGTCCGCGGCAGAAAGCAAAAGTGCAGACAGCCTCAGCACCACGGTCCTCAAAGCCATCAAGCATTTTGTTCAGACCTTCATGACCGAGGGACTCCATGAAAGATTTACTTTGCAGAAACGGAAATATTAGTATTAAATCACTCATCTCAATTCAACTCGAAGGTACAAGAGCAACGGGATTTACTCACATATACGGACCCGGCAAGCCCTTAAGAGCATGGAATTCCAAAGCCGTATCCTCAGTCAAAGCGGGCCCATTGATCTAGACCAAAAGCACGAATTAGTCTGGTTTTTTCTTTTTTTCTTTATATCCCGCAGATAACTATATTCGGGGCCAGGGGAGGGCAGGGGAGGGGGTTAATTACCGCTTCAGCTGCGCGCTTCGCCTTTTCTTTAGCGATTTCCTCGATCGTGCCTTGGATCTCGGGAACGTCCACTTCTTGGTTATCGACTTCGATCACGCTGCCGAGGATAGCGCGGACCTCGACCAGCTTGTTCTTGTTGCCGGTGATGAAGTTGACCTTTGTTAGAGTCATGATGGGCTGTTGTGTTGGGTATGGTGAAGGAAAGAGTAGGGTTTGAGTTTGAGTTGCGGCGGGATGGGATGCTCCCCACTCCGCCGCTTGATTTTGGCTTCCCCGCGACGTGGACACCGCTCGCCGGCTGCGCTGGTCATGTAAATAACTACAATTCTAACAAAATCAAATACGAAGTTTCAGGTTCATGGAGAAAGATAGGGAAAGAAGAAAATCATAATTCGCATAACAAGCAGCATCATATGCATCTCTATGTATCAATTGAAAAATCAAACCAGGGTCCTGGTCCACCCTAGGTCCTGAGGGTGGTCCCTGGGTGTAGATAGTAGGTCGTGGTGAGATGTTCACAGGTCATAATCCGTAGCTCACAAAGGAAAATTCAACTCTAATGTACAACTAAATCACTCCTCCAACACCCCGTTCTCTATCTCCAGTTTCTCCTGCTGCGCCATAGCCTGGGCCGAGACAATCTCGGCCAATCGCTTCAATCGCGGGGTTTGGAGCCCTGCGTGAATAATCGAGTCAGTAATGGGTTCGCGGTTGGGGGTGTTTTGGTCAACATACAGGATGGTGTGTAAGTCTCCAGGGCCGTAATGACTCTGGGCTCAGCGATCTCGTAAGGACCGCTATCCTCCATATCGACCGGAGTCAAGAGAAGCACATCACCCTTCTCTGTAACACGGGAGGCGACCGCCTTCATGATTTCGCCGTTGATGGGCTGTTCGTAGTCCGCGACGAGATACTGGTTCAGGAGCTTCTGGATTTGGTTGGGCGACAGCCTAGAAGGAATTGTCAGTACGATTCTCAAAAATAAGCATGAGGATGGGGCGAGGTGTGGTATGCTTACATCCAGCAAATATCTTGAATGATCTCAATATCATTCAAGGTAGCCTTCTTCAGCTGAAGAAGCTTGGTTGCTTGCTGTTAGAATGGTCAGTATATGATTCTTGAACGTCACGAAGGTAAGTAAGGGTAAGGGGAGGGTCCTACCATCAAGTGCTCTAGCTGCAGCGTTCCCAGCGGCATGTCATGGCTCTTGCACCACTCCTCAATTCGGGTGATGTTGTAGTTGATTTGCAAGCCACGCTTCCATGACAGGAAGTTGCGGCGCATGAGTAGGTCGTTAAATGCAGTCACGCCAACCAGGCGCAATAGCTCGGTCATGGTCTGTGTGACGATAGTGTCCTCCAGGTAAAACGCCTTCATCGCCCGGTAGACACCGTTCAGCAGGCTGAGGAGGTTGTCCATGCTGTAGGCGGGGTTGCTGTTGGAGGGCAGCAACTTTCCAAGGAAGCGGTTCGTTTCGCTCGTCACAAAGCCAGGGAGGGACTGCGACTCAATAATGGCCGGAACAATCATCTTGTACAGCTTCTTCTTCAACACCTTCATCCAAGTGTGGTAGATGTTGAACTCCAAGCTCTCCAGATCGTGCTTAACGATCTCCAACAGACGATCGTACTCGTAGTTGTCGGTCTTCTGGGCTTCATACCAATCCTCAGCCAAGAAGACGAAAGATAGCATCTCGTGGACGTTCGAGAGCCAGAAGGCGCCGGGGTTGACCGCATCCTCTCCTTCGTGTTGCATGACCTCCTGTTGGATGGACTGCATCACATTGGCTAAGAAGCGCTCGGATTCCTTAACGAACCCGTTGTTCCACATCTCCGACGTAACGAGGTTGATCAAGTAGGCAGGGAAGAGAACCTCCTTCTCTGTCGGGGGCGGGTTTGAGCTTGGGAGAGGGATCTTGAGATTGCGGATCAAGCCCATTGCGACCTCCTCGTTGAGGTCTTCCTCTTCGGACAACAAGTTCTCGAGCTCTACCTCGACTGAATCCAGACCAGTTGAGGTGGCAGCGGCGTTGCGAGCAGCACCAGGACCGGTGACAGCCATCGAGACAGGTCGTGGGTTGTACGCTCCACTGAACCGATCTGAACCAACCTTCTCCGCGCCAGCGCTCCGCCTCTGCGGCTTGGGCTTCTTCGATGATACAAGGTTGATCAAACCGGTGGCAGGAGGAGGGGCGGCAATGCCATGTGCCGCATCGCCATTGACGCCGTTGACAGGCATTGTTCGCTTGGCAACGTCCAGCTCCTCTTCGAGCTGGGAAACACGGACACGGAGACCAGTTTTCTCCTCCTCGTGCTCTGCATTGACCAGCTTGAGGCTGTCTAGCTTCTCCTGTGTCTCGCGAAGCTCTGTGCGGGCATCGTCCCACTCACGCTGGAGGCGATTGGTGTTTTCCAGGTTCTCGGTGTAGGCGGCCTGCAACTTAGCGATCTCCGTTTCCAACCGAACAATGTCTTGATCAGCCTGGTTTTTTTCTGACAAAAGACTCTTTTTGTCAACCTCCCCTGATTTACTTGCCTCCCGGAATTCCTCCAACTGCTTATCACGGATCTGCAGCTTCTGAATCAAGGTCTTGTTCGTTTTGTCCAAATCCCTGCTCTTCGATTCCAATTCTGCGTTGCTTGAAAGCAATTTCGCGACTTGCTTATTGAGGTTGACGGTGATCAGCGTGAGATCGCGTGTATCTTCGCGCATCTTCTTGTAATCCTTTCTGGCCTGTTTACCTCGCCAAAGGGACTGGGCAACAACAACCTTCTGGCGGTACTCTCGCCACGCCCGCAATTGGCGCCAAGAGCGGAAAGAACGCTGGATCACCTTAGCAGCATTGCCATTGATGGAGTCCATAATGTTGCGACGGCAGAGGAAACCCTTAGCAACGGCTTCGAACATAATAAAGTTCTTCCGGACCTGGTTGTACCATTTGCGGTCCTTGGAACCACGCCAGACCCTCTGGATATCGGTCGCAGCCTTGGTCCGGCGGATCTCCTGGGCCCGCTGTCTTGCGAGGAACCCACGAACCAAAGACTGGGTGTAAAGGATAGATTCGCGAGCTTCGAGGTAGCGGCGGCGGTAGTACTTGCATCGCAGATTCTTTTGGATCATAATCGCACACTCATTCAGTCGGGATGTACGCAGGTTCTCCAGGAACGCTAGCATACCAGCCCGGAAGAAAATCTTGGTCAAACCCAGCTGGTACTTGTCGTCCTTCTTGGAAGTGGCATCGCCCAGTGCTTTCTGCAGGATAGCATGGCACATGTCGCGGATCTCAGACGTCCATTGGGAGGAATGGCAAAGCATGTAGTAGCGGATCGCGAACTCTTCATACGTCCAGCGAGTAGGGTAGCCAGCAGTACTAATTCTGACCGTTTCCAGAACACCACATGCTCTCAACTGACTCAAGACCATTGGGCCCTCGAACTTCCAGGCCTCCTTGGCCTCGTTGGGCTTGATACAGCGGATGTAGTGTACCTCGGTGGAGTTGATAGTACCCATGAGTTCAATCAAGGACGACTTGAAAATTCCTCCTAGCGTGGGTTTGCGGTTGACAGCAACGCCGATACGGCGGCCAGGGGCGGCTGCGACGGGCTTGGAAGGAGTGGATGACGAGTCCTTCTCCCGAACGGAGGTAGCTGTTTCAATGATTTCCTTGATGAAATCATTCGCAGAGTTACGCAACACCGCCATGTGCTCATCCGGGACGGTATCACGATTCTTCTCCAGGAAACCGTCGGATTCATAGGTCACATCAACTGCGTAATGGCAGACGGTGAACGCAGATTTACCAAATCGAGGCTTCTTGTAGAACTTCTCCTTGTCGGCTGCAAAGTTGTGGTGTAGCTTCGTGACAAACTGTTCATCAGATCCCATGGGAAGGCGGGATTCTTCGTCCAAAAGAGCCAAGATTCCAAGCTTGCCCTCAATCAAATTGATACAGGGTTGGTTGTCGGAGAAGTCAATAAAAGTCCAATCAATTTCTTCCCGAACGTATTCCTCCTGTTCAAGCTTGAACACGTGCTGGTTAAACTCCTGCTGAAGCTTCTCGTTTGCGTAGTTGATGCAAAACTGTTCGAACGAGTTCTTGGCGAAGTGTTCAAAACCGTAGATATCCAAAACACCAATGAAAGTCACCACATTGTTGATAACCTCTTCAGTTGCGAGGCCGCGGTTGATCTTGTCCACCAGCCAATCGAAGAGGCTCGAATATATGAACTTGGCAACGGAGTCTCTAACCACTATTGCCTGTTGCTGGGTAAGGTTGGAGGTAATCTTCTCACCACGGGTGATAAGTTGCTTCTTGACAATCCATTTCGCGAACTCATTGACATCAATGCCCAGCATTTCACAAGCTCGGACGAGAGCAGGCTCTGAAGCAGACAGCTGCGAGTCGGTTCGGGTCGCAGTGATCTTCACGTTACCCAGGTGCAAAAGGGCTGCCAGCACACGGAAGATCTCAGTTTGGTTCTCGGCCGGAACACCAATTGTGGCCAGGGATTTCCTAGTCGCATCAAACTCGGCCTTGTCATCGACACCCTCGATGACGGGGGTGCCACCCTGGTTGAGGTATTCGAACTCTTCCACGGGCAAGAGACCCAGCTCCTGCCTCTCCTCATCGGATGCACCAGCCACAAGCTGATAGAAGATGTGGTAGTTGCGCTCCTTCAAAGGCTGGAATACCAGCCTCGATCTCTCCAACAGGTAGGTCCTGATCTTCGCACCAATGATGTTCGTCTTATCATCAAACATAATCTCGATGTATTTACCGAATCGGGAGGAGTTGTCGTTACGGGTCGTCTTAGCGTTACCGAACGCTTCCATGACTGGGTTGGTGGCCAGAATTTGCTCTTCTGTCGCACTGATCGCACCAGCTGAGCTGGAGCCGTATTTGCCGGGCTTCTCGGCAGACTCGCGAGTCGCAAAGTAACGCATGATGTATTTGGCGCTCACGGTTTTACCGGCACCGGATTCACCAGAGACCACGATTGTTTGGTTCTTTCCATCCCGGAGCATGTCACTGCAGTCACATGTAAGCCTAAGTAGTTCGAGAAGAAATATTGCGAGGGTGGTGCTTCCTTACGCGAAAGCTTCTTCGGCGATTGCGAACAGGTGAGGTGCCTGCGAGGCACGTTGCTTCCCGGCATAAACCTGCACCATTTGTGGTACATACAACGAATCCACTCTGGCGAATGGATTCGTCGCAATCAGAACGATACCACTGTATGTGTAAATCTCCTTCTGTGCGTATCGGAGCTTGATGGCCTGGAGGACTGCGGGGGTGTCAGTTGGTGATTCAAAGACAACATTTTCCGACGAAACAAACCGGCAGGCTCGTTCAAATGCGACAAGCTTGTTAGATCCTCGCTCGCTTCGAGCATCGCAGGGTTCATGAGCGGGGGGGAGGTTTGGATTGTTGTCGACCTGGAGTTCGGCCTGTGTTGTGTCCACTGTTTTCGTCTATTCCGTAACAAACGACCAGTCAGCTCATGGTCAACAATGCTCATGGTCAACATCAAGAGCAGGGGGAAGCCACCCTCGCGATGTTGGTAACGCACCTCTCCATTCTCCAGCTCGAAAATCAGCTGCACCTTATCTCCATCCTCAAGCTTCTCCTTGACCTCAGAGGCAAGCCAGCCCTCCGTGGGGTCCGGCTGCCAGGCCCTCGTTCCGACCTCATAGATATGCGCCATGGCTTCCACGTCGAGTGGTGTTGGTATCGGATGCAATCAAAACAAAAAGAGAGGGTGGAAGGAGGTGGGAGGTGGTTGGGGGAAGGATGCGAATAAGTCTAAGTGAATCGGGGTGGGTATTGTATCGGGGAAACCGGGGGCGACCAAAAAGGGTAAATCAATCACGGAGAAGTCCAAAGACAAGGAGTCTCGCGGGAACCCCTCATCGGCTCATTGTCCGACTAAATGAAAATGAAACAAGGAAATGAAGTAGACGTTAAGGTGATGGGGGAGATGTAAAAATCACCCTTGACAGCTGGCCATTTAGCGAGTGGAAGCCCCTGAAGGGAGCTTCGGGACTAACTGGGGGGTTGCCGCGCCACACCCCCACAGTGTCACCGCCTTACACTACACGCATGTACTCCGTACATGCGTATACTTATGTATACTCCGTGTATACACCTTATACAAGTCTACCAGTATTTGTATGTATAATATATATATATATCATTATTATCTAATAGTTTCTACCGTGTTTATTCGAGATTCTAGAGCCCTACCACGTTCTATCACCTGGCCAACCCAGTAGCTGCAGGTGGATTACTCACTGATTATGCCGATTGATTGAGAGATATTAGGTAGACAGGGAACAGATCACGCAGTGCAAGGGAGATAAAGGCATCAGTGGGGAGAAAAAAAAGGAAACATAGCAATAACATCAATCACGAAGTCCATGAAGCATTCAGCGTCAGTATCAGCATCAGCATCGAGCATCGCCGCGGGGCTGCTTTTCTTTTTGTCATTTCTAGTTTTGCTTGCACTCGGCCGCCTCCTTCTTGGGCTTAGAAGTGCCATCCTAGATATCAAAGTTAGCTGTGATCTCAAGAAGCGTCTTCTCACCAGTTACCAGTAATACATACCTCGTCATCTGAGTCGTCCTCCACGGAAACGGATCCACGCTCGTCCTCATCATCTTCATCATCTTCATCCTCATCCTCATCATCCTCGTCATCGAACTCCTCGGGGTCCATGTCCTCGCCCATCTCCTCGAATTGAAGAGCCTCACCGGTGAACCAGTCAATGGCGCGGGGGATCAGCTTCTCCTTAATGTCCTCTCCCAGCTGGTAGTCCAGCTCGAGGCGCTCTTCGATGTCGCTGGCGACGGACGCGTCATCGTCCTCGTCCTCGTCGGTGGGGGGGTTGAGGTGGGGAAAAGAAGTTGAAGAAAGATTCAGTGGGCACGCTAATCTTGACAACGCGGGTCTGCTTGGTGTCTGTGAGGTGGGGCAAGTGGTTAGCTTCAGTCTGGAACATAGAAGAATAGTTCCCCAGTCATATCAGGCAGAAGAAAGTGCACAAAGTTCAACATACTCTTGTTACGCTGCTTCTTGCTCTCCAGGCGGAGAGTCAGGTCCTTCTCCTCCTTCCAGTCAATCTTAGAGCCCTCGGCGTGGTCATAAATGAAGTCACCACCGTATCCGCTCTCATCCTTGTAGTAGTAGGTCTTGGTGATGGTCTTGTTGGTGAAGAACTCGTTCTCGGAGAACTCGAAAATCAGGCGGAATCCGGGGCAGTCGAGGTACTCCATGCGAATGTCGGTGAGATGCTTAAGGGCCTCCTCATCGCGGTCGGTGATCATCTCGGCGAGTGAGACCTGGTTCTTCATGGCAGACAACCAGAACTCGGGGATACCAGCAGCAGGGGACTCGGACTCATCCTCCTGTTCCTTCTTCTCAGACTCCTTGGTCTCATCTTCCTCGTCCTCCTCCTCATCTTCCTTGCCCTTCTCGACTTCCTTCTCGGTAGGCTCGACGCTACCGTTGATGATTGTGGAACGGCGCTCGTACAGGGGGGTGAACTTGGCGAAGTACTTCTTCTCGAGCTCGAGGACCTCCTTTTGGAACTGAGCCTCGAGCTCGGAGTGCTCCTTTTGGATACCCTTCAGACCAGCGACACGGCGGCGGACAACAGGGGGGAGAGATTCGATATAACCGGATGAACGGCCAACGAGTTGGCCCAGCTTACCCTGAATCATGGAGACCAGAGCTGGGTTACGGGCAAACAGGGAGGCGGCAGCCGCGGTGTCCAGGGTCTCTGTAGAAACTAGCGGTCAGAAAAACGACGCGGGGGTGAGCGGGGGAGGGGGCAGATGAAGATAAACACTCACCTTCCTTGATGCTGGACACGCCGGGCTGTTGAGCGTGAGATGAGATGGGGGCATTGTTAGCCGGTGTGTTTTGCGGGGTCCTATTTTTTTTTTCTTCGGGTCAGTGTTTTCCTAAGGTGATAAGCGGGTCGGAGGGGAAAGGTGATAGAGAAAATCCTTACGGTGCGACCGGGAAGTCCGCCTTCTTATTCCTGATGGGTTCAGACATAGTGAACGATGGTGAAGGGGGGGGGGGTGTGAGAGAGGGAGGGGAGAGGGAAAGGGAAAGGGGGGGGGGGGATGGATGAGAGGGGAAGAGTTTGATACGCCCTTATGAGTCTGGAAGGGCAAAAGGGCAAAGAGATCCTAATGTGGTGGGAATCCTTAGCGCCGGTGCCCGGAGGGGCTTGGCGGGAACGCGGTCTTGGTTGAGCACCTGCAAAACTCCTCCCAACAAGATTTACCATACACCTTTTTACCCTTTACCTTACCCCCTCTTTTGATTATCAATTCACTTACTTTTGCTACTTGCCTATTAACAAATAAATCCGAGTCAATCTATATGTATCTTCATTTTTTAGTACTCTCGAGGCTAAACGCCAACGCCACCCGGTTGTAGGCTAGCAAAGAGGGTCTGGTTCCATCGATTTGCACCAGTGGCCAAAATACTCGTCACCACGTTAAATTTAGAAACACCCGTCTAGAGAAGGTAGTATTCTTTGCATGATCAGTTCAAAGTAGAATATGTCGAAATTGCTTAGGATATCTTGAGTCTTGATTGGATCGGGGATATAGATCCAATAGTTTTAGCAGATGGAGACTGCACTAAGCTATTTTAGAATATTGAGGACCTACATAGTAGAGGGTAGATGGTACGAAGATTGAATATATATCTACCGTACTGTACCGTGACCTGTACTAGTAACACTATAAGGGACTCGGAGGCAGCGAGTATTTCTAAAATCGAGGAATCAATTCTATATGGTATGATTTAAAATTAGCACCAATAGCATCTAGTCACTACTGAATGATTACTACTACTGTTATCCCCCCCAATCCTTGGCAGATCGATCGGCGTGTCTGACATCCTCCGCTTAGTTTCACAGTCGGGGCTGAGGCGGGAACCCTGCAACTGCCCACTTATCTCCACGTGACCGGATATCAAGTGAGTTCGGCGATCGCCCCTCGCGACAAGCCCAGCTCTCTGCGGTAAGACTCCTCCCTATATTGCTTCTTCGCTATACTGGGGGTCATGAGTTCAATGGAGGCTTCCTTTACCTAATAATCACCTCCTTTCAACCCACTGTCAGACCCTTGACCACCCCCACCCAGTGGATCAAATCCTTCACCCCGAATTGAAGATCTGGGATCTAACCCCAGACCCTTCCTCACTATGGGCAGTCGACCGGATTCCCCCCCCGGATATCGGTCCCATGGATTTATCCATGCGACGACCGAGTCTCCGGCGTGACTCGCTGCGCAGCAGGTATCTGATCCGTTCAGCTATATCCATGCTATAACCCTCACTAATAAACTCATAGCATGAGTGTGATATCGGATGTGGAGATGGCTCGGAACGAGGTACGTTCAAGCTGTGGTCCCTAGCAATTGCTGAGCTCCATTGACCCGCGATTCCAATGACATAGGTGTTCGATGGTCCCATCTCGGAAAGCATTCCGTCTAGTGTTGTCTCTTTCATGCACCGTCGAAACCGCGCCGACTCGAACGTGAGCTTCACATATTTCCAGGACGAGGAAGATTTTGCCGAATGGTCCAACGAAGATGCAATCGACGAGGGTAGTGATATCGAAGAGTCATCCATGCATGGCGTTGAAGAGCCCGATCTCGAGTCTCACCGAGGATCTTTCGTCTCCAAGAGATTGTCTCGGGACTCGGCTGAGCACCCGCTCCTGTCGCGTATACTATCCGCGAGCTCATATGGTCGAGACCGACGCTCGGGCAGCAGACTCAACCAAAAAGTATATATCACGTCGGAAGACTTGACAGCGGTTTTTGCGGGATTCTGCACCAGCAAGGCTGGCTTCGCTCTCTATATCGCTTTGTGCATACTGACTGGTGGTCTTGCGTATTTGTTGTTGCGCTGGTTCCCACGATGGCGGGTCAGGATGATAGGAAAGGCTGCACCCTTGGCAAAATGCGAGTGGATTGCAATTGAAGTACGGCATTATCAACACTTACCCTTTCATTGGCCGGGTTCACTTTGACTGACACACAACAGGATCAATGGAACCAATTTACCGTTCATAATATAGACAGCGAATCCTACGGACGTCCGCTATCCACGGTCTTCATGAATAACTCGGGCCTTGTTTACGATGAAGACCTTGATCCTACGATTGTATCCCTGCGATACGTGGATTATAGATATCTTCGATTCTTCTATCATCCTATCGAAGACAAATTCTCCTTGATCAATGGCTGGAAAGATCACTCCTGGACCAGCGCGAAGGCTATGCGAGGCGGCCTAGATGCAGATGAGCGTGACAGCAGGGAACAGATCTTTGGAAAGAACAACATCAATATTCAGCAGAAGAATGTTCCACAGCTACTGATGGATGAGGTGAGCAGAATCCACCTCCAGAACCGGCGGGAATGCCTACTGACATCTATAGGCATTTCATCCGTTCTATATGTTCCAAGTGGCTAGTCTACTACTTTGGTCGATGGACGAGTATTACTATTATGCTGTCTGTATTTTCCTCATCTCCGTGTTCAGTATTGCAACTACTGTGTTGGAGACGAGATCGGTAAGTTTCAGCCATATCGGGCTTTGATCTGGATGTTAATTGTCTTCAGACCATGAAGCGACTGAGAGAGATCTCCCTTTTTGAATGCGACCTTCGTGTGTTAAGAAACGGATTTTGTGAGTTACCTATCTGCCAGGCATTTTGCTATTAGCATATCCACTGACCCCCACAGGGCGCTCGGTGTCTTCCCAGGATCTCGTCCCCGGCGACGTTTTTGAATTTTCCGATCCTTCTCTCAGCTTGGTCCCGTGTGATTGCATTCTGCTATCCGGAGACACCATCGTGAACGAGAGCATGTTGACTGGTCTGTACACATACTGCGAATTATTTTCGAACAATATACTGATGCAGTGACAGGCGAATCCGTCCCCGTGTCCAAGGTCCCATTCACCGATGAAGCTCTAGGCTATCTGGACCTCAGCGCCCCCTCCGTGGACCCCCATATCGCCAAACACTTTCTTTTCAGCGGCACTAAAATTATCAGAGCCAGACGACCGCAGAACGTGGACGATGATGAAGCCGTTGCGCTGGCTGTCGTTGCAAGGACTGGATTTGCGACTACAAAGGGCGCATTGGTTCGCTCGATGCTTTTCCCTAAGCCAGATGGCTTCAAGTTCTACCGCGATTCTTTCCGTTATATTGCCGTCATGGGGATCGTCGCGCTGATCGGTTTCATTGCCTCATTCATAAACTTTATCCGACTCGGTCTTGCCTGGCACCTTATCGTTGTCCGAGCACTCGATCTCATCACTATCGTCGTCCCACCAGCTTTGCCAGCGACTCTTACTATTGGTACGAATTTTGCACTATCACGGCTGAAGAAACAGAACATCTTTTGTATTAGTCCCCAGAAAGTCAACGTGGGCGGAAAGCTAGATATTGTCTGTTTTGACAAAACTGGCACCCTCACCGAAGACGGCTTGGATGTTCTGGGTGGAAGAACCGTCGGCGGCAATCACAAATTCTCCGAGCTACTCTCTGAAACAACTGCTGGTGTTTTTCTCACCTCATCATCCGAAAACTCCGAATATGATCTTGAGAAGCAGCAAAAGATGATTTACACCATGGCGACCTGCCATTCTCTGAGAGTTGTGGATGATGAACTGCTTGGTGACCCACTTGATGTCAAGATGTTCCAGTTTACTGGTTGGTCATACGAAGAGGGTGGCAGTAACTCTTCAGAGCAGACCGGCGCCCACTTTGACACCATTAGCCCTTCTGTTGCGCGGCCGCCTACAACCCACGTGGGCCAAATTCAGCCTCATGGTCCGAATGTAAGTTTCCTATCAGATCAAGTCTGAACTTTCATTGATTTGTCCTGTTACAGATTCCCGTCGAGCTTGGAGTTCTCCGCAGTTTCGAGTTCGCCTCTCATCTTCGCCGTGCCAGTGTTGTCGTAAGACAATTTGGAGACAATGGGGTGAATTTCTTTGTGAAGGGTGCCCCAGAGAGTATTGGGGACATCTGTGTACCCGAATCTCTCCCATCCAATTACGATGAACTTTTGAACCATTACACCCATAAAGGTTATCGAGTCATTGCCTGCGCCACTAAATACGAGCGCAAATTGAGCTGGATGAAGGTCCAAAAGTTGTCTCGGGCTGATGTTGAGAGTAACCTTGAGTTTGTTGGATTCATTATTTTCGAGAATAAGCTGAAGCCTACGACTGCTCAAGTCATCTCGGAGCTGAACCAGGCTGGCATTCGCAATGCCATGTGCACGGGCGATAATATTCTAACTGCCATCAGTGTGGCCCGGGAGTGTAAGATGATTGGCGCGAATGAACAGTGCTTCATTCCGCATCTTATTGAAAGTGAGCTTTTGGAACTTCGACCATACCGAATTGTACTAATCAAAGTTGACAGATCCTGGCCTTGGTGGCAAAACATCTGTAATCTGGGAGAGTGTCGACGACCCGGATGCTAGATTGGATCCTAGAACACTTTTGGTAGGGTTTTCTTCCTTTATTTTATCAAATGCCGCTGCTAACCGAATACAAGCCTTTGGAAAATTCAAATTCAAACGATGTATCTATCCCCGGAAATGGGCTCCAACAACGAAAATACTGCCTCGCTGTGACTGGTGATGTATTCCGGTGGATGATCGATTACGGAAATGAAGATACACTGAGGAGGGTAAGTTTGGACTCTCACGCCTTGCGGTATTAGTTGCTGATTGTCATTTTCGCCTTAGATCTTGGTCAGCGGGAAGGTTTTTGCTCGAATGTCGCCCGACGAGAAGCATGAACTTGTTGAAAAGCTCCAGTCAATTGACTACTGCTGTGGTTTCTGTGGAGATGGTGCCAACGACTGTGGTGCTTTGAAGGCCGCAGATGTGGGTATTTCGCTTTCGGACGCAGAAGCATCCGTTGCCGCCCCCTTTACTAGCCGGCAATTCGATATTTCCTGCGTGCCAAAGTTGATTCGGTATGTGAACTGCTTTCCAATGACTCGAAGACCAAATTAACCTTTTCAATAGTGAGGGTCGAGCTGCTCTGGTGACGAGCTTCTGTTGTTTCAAATTCATGAGTCTTTATTCGGCTATTCAATTCTCATCCGTCAGCTTCCTTTATACCTCTGGCTCGAATCTTGGTGATTTCCAGGTATGTTGAGAACTGATACGACACTACATGAGTTGGCAAAGAATCAGCTGACCAAATCATACAGTTTTTGTTTATCGATCTGGCTCTCATTATGCCCATAGCGATCTTTAGTAAGTGACACAGCGCCTCGCAAATCGGAATCATATTACTAACTTCATCCAGTGGGCTGGACTGGGCCTTATCCAACTCTTTCACGGAAGAGACCGACTGCTGATCTCGTGTCACGAAAGATCCTGACGCCTTTGCTTGGACAAATTTCCCTTGTGGTGTTGTCCCAGCTCATCGTCTTTGTAACCGTCCAGAGACAGTCCTGGTATTTAACCTCTCTTCATGAGTTACTAAGTGCGATTACTAACTATTGTATAGGTATCTACCTCCTCAGCTAGACTTGGAGAAGAGCAACATTGTGAATTCACAGAACACATCGCTGTTCTTGTTTTCCTGCTTCCAGTACATTCTCACTAGCATTGTCATGAGTGTTGGCCCACCATTCCGCCAATCAATGACAATGAATGGTAAGCAAAACTCCCTCCCGCTGAAGGAATTACCTCGCTGACCTTTCATAGCCCCATACTTATGCACGATTATTATCGACGTTCTGATTGGCTGCTACATGCTCTTCCGCCCATCTGAGTGGGTAGCCGACGTGATGCAGCTGACCTATATGTCGGATGGATTCAGAGGCTGGTTGGTGGTCCTGGCACTCAGTATGTTCTTGGTGGCTTGGTCCGCGGAGAGCATTGTCTTCCCTCGGCTTGCCCGCATGCTCGGCCATGTCCGCGCACGGGTGCAGCCCGGCTTCCACAAGAAGCGCCGCCAGTACAAAGTCCTTCTGGAGGAGATGCGACTGTACAATCTCTAGATATACATGACAGCCTTGTATTTATCTAGATCTAAAATAGACCTCTGTACAAAAAAACGAGAATATAGAAGGGTTTTTTCGGGTTTGCGCTCTGATACGATCGCATTGTTCATCTAGAAATGGTATAATACATTTCAACTTCCCGGACTCGGTCCTATACCCCGCTAATGGCGAAGGATTTCTCTCAAACGATAAAAAAAACAGGTGGTATGAAGCACTCCGGTGGCTCCGCGGTTGATTTGAGTTCAATTGCGTTGGGGCCGTCGGTCAAATTTCAGGGTTGGGTACACAGTCTTGACGAGAGTCATCTAGTGATCCCAAGGGTGCTTCCAGCCCATGAGGACAGCGCCGTCCTTCTTCGCGCGGTACATCAGCTAGAGAAGTGAGATCGGGTTAGCAGAATTCCGGGTCGGAGAAGGAACAGTGAGTCGTACGAAGAACCACATGCTGGCGCCCAATGCCGTGGCAGTGAAACGATACAGCGGTCGGACCGGGTGGATGTGAATGGGGTGGGAGGATTTGCCAGCCATGACTGAGTTCAATTGCATTAGTGAGTTTGTGTCGAATATCCAAGGGCTTGAATGAAGTAACACTCACTGTCGGTGGCGATGCTTGCTTCACGAGAGGCAGATGCTGTCGTCGGAATCGGAGGAGGACGGCGGGTTGAAGTTCAGAGGTTCTGCCACGTGACCGGTGACGGCACGCCGCTTTTTCGAGTTGCGGCCCTTGCCAGTCGCACGCCAACTCGAGGGCGTCTTGGGCATTTTCACTGATCTCTCTTTGTATCAAAGATAATTGCACCCGTGTTTGATTTCCATTCACTACGAGAGTTCCCAGCCCCCCCCCCTCAAACCGGCCGTTGAGTGGTCTCCGCCTAGCTCAGCTCCCTCATAACCATAGGACGGTATCGGCGATGCGAAATCCCGCCGCATGCTGTACTTCTTTCCTCTTCAAGTTCCTCTTGACCCGTGACTCTTACTTTGATCCTTCCTTCCTTCCTCAGTATCCCGACCTCAATACTTGACTCTCACGCGGAACCTGAGACCGAATTCCTCCGACGCAAACCGCCGCCTTACATTTCGCGTATCGGATACCTTGAATGTCCATCGATAACACTCGAAAAAGGAAATACTTGGACTGAACTCCTACACCGAGCAGCGAGCCGTGATACCCTACCCTCGACGTTACGGACGCGGACAGAGCCAACAAAATGGCCGCCGGATCGCTGGAGAGGGCCAGCAATGGCCACCCGCGATTCCCTGGTTGTGGCAGCATCCGTGACTTTGAATTCCTCGGCAAGCTTGGAGAAGGAACCTTTGGGTAGGTATCTGCAGTCATTTTGACTTCACATTAGCTTACCGATTGTTCAGCGAGGTTTACAAGGCACGGGCTAAGAAGGACAATTCGCTCGTCGCGCTCAAGAAGATCCTCATGCATCACGAGAAGGAAGGCGTGAGTTTCCATTCATCTGAAGATTCGTTTGAAGACTAACCACTTCCACTCCCGTTTCAAGTTTCCCATCACTGCGATTCGAGAGATCAAGCTGTTGAAAGCTTTATCCCACAAGAATATCCTGCAACTCAATGAAATGGCTGTTGAACGGAGCAAGGGTGAGCATCATTACTTGCGTTATGGCTTGACCGAAGCTCTTTTGACACTCTTTTAGGCGAGGGACGCAAAAAGCCCAGCATGTACATGGTTATGCCGTACCTGGAACACGATCTCGCTGGACTTTTGGAGAACCCAGCTGTTCAGTTCACAGAGCCCCAGATCAAATGCTACCTGATGCAGCTGCTTGAGGGTCTACGATATCTGCACGCGGTATGATTCCCCGACCTCTTCTTTGGAATATTCATCTCTGACCTCTTTGTAGAACAACATCCTGCACCGAGATATGAAAGGTGTGTAATTATCCAAATTGACACCCGCGACTTTGGCTAATATGGCATGAATAGCTGCCAATTTACTCATTAGCAACGGGGGTATACTTCAAATAGCCGATTTTGGATTGGCTCGGCCATATGATGAGCCCCCCTCCGCTACCTGGAAAGGGCGGCGGGGAGGCGAAGAGAGAATACACTGCACTAGTTGTCACAAGATGGTACCGACCTCCAGAACTGCTGCTCTCGCTGCGGCGGTACACAACTGCCATCGACCTGTGGGGAGTTGGGTAAGCAATTCGACCCCGTTCTGTATATTCTGTTGCTGATCAGAATAGTTGTGTCTTCGGTGAGATGTTCAAAGGAAAGCCGATCCTCTCCGGAAGCAGCGATCTCAACCAGGCCCAGCTGATTTTCAGCCTGGTGGGAACTCCCAATGATGAAAATATGCCCGGCTGGCGCGACCTACCGGGCTGCGAGGGCGTGAAAAACTTCGGCAACAAACGCGGAAACCTCGCCGAGTCCTTCAAAGAGTATGTTGATGTTCCCTTTCACTTCCGATGAGATGCACTTCTCTAATTTCTATCAGACTTAACCCCGTTGCCGTTTCGTTGCTCGGCGAGCTTCTCAAGCTTGACTGGAGAAAACGAATTAACGCCATCGACGCTCTCAAACATCCTTACTTTACTACACCCCCTCTACCCTTACATCCCGGCGAAATCCCCACATTCGCCGACTCACACGAACTCGATCGCAAAAAGTTCAGAGAACAACGCGCCCCGGGACCTCCAGCACCTCCCGTTGGCTCTGCCGATACGTCCTCCAATGGAGGCTGGGCCAGCTCTGGCTCTCGACCAAATTCACAGAACCCCCGGATCCCGGGTGCAGCCCGAGGAAGGCCCAATGCACCCGGAGGACCGGGCCAATACCGACGCGGCCCATTCCCACACTCACAAAGAACGAACGGCCTTCCGCCGCGCCCTCCCACTTCCTCTAATCGACCCTATGAAGGAGGTGGACGGGACGATCAGCGGCGTGAACGGGACCGGGACCGATTCAACAACCAAGGACAAGGAGATCGTCCTGGCGCAAGATACCCAACCAGTAATCACGACTCCTATGTACCGAGCTATGGAAATCCCGCGGATCGTCCGCGAGATGGTAGCGAGTATGGCGGCAATCGGCGTGATTATCGCCGGGAGCCGCCACGGCGGAGAAGTAGAAGTCCCAATTTTCGGGACTCGAGTCGATGATCGGCCCCATGGCCAAATATGATACAGGGCAGCGTGCCCATAACGATGTACTTCTACATGATTCTAGCCGGTCTTGGTCTTTCTATGTAGCCAAAATAATACCTGGAATTTTTAGAATTCTGTTACTAGATAAAGTAGCACTTGCTATTCTACCACCACGAAAGATTTGCTTAATTCTTGAATATCCCATCAAACCCCCATCAAACCCCATTTCTCGCAATGTTCAGTCCGTTGACTGGTCCATTGAATTGAAACCCTTTGCCCGTATTGTTACTCTGAGACCCACTCCCAGTGTTCACATGCATAGAACCAGACCCTGAATTGTGGAATTCATGAGAAACCTTTGGCAACGAGGAAGGTATCATATTGACCTGTCGCAATGCTTCCCCCAGTTCTTCAATTTGCGAGCTAATCTCGTTGTCTTTCGCAAAGAGTGGACTCCTTGTCAGTTCAATCGCATTTTGAAGGATGTCTCTCATCAGAATCTCCAATCCGATGCCTTGCGCAACCCTTGGATACTGCTGCACCGCATCAGAGCTGTCAATGACACCCTGGAAGATATCGTCCAGTCTCGTCACTTTCTTATTGCACTGTACTAAGATTCGGCCCACTTCATCGGTAGATTCTTCATCCTGAGCAGACCAATTTTTAACGTGATTCTTGCATGATGCAAAAACAGCTTGGACTAGTGGTATATGAGCGGCTGTGTTGCTGAAGACAGGAGGGAGATTCTTGGTGGGATTTTCATGAGTCTCTTCAGTCTTTGAAAGTGTGTGTATTGCATCACTGAGAGAGTTTCTTATTTGAGTGCGATTGGGTGACGACATGGCGTCGGCAAGTATAATGGTAGTGCGTATTATGTGCAGGATAGCCCCGGTACAGAGGTTCAATTTGCAATGAAAAGTAATGTAGCTGGATGCTCAATTGTGTACTTTTTGAAAATATAGCACAGGCAAGTAAGACACCAGTTCGATGCGTAAGTCCTGGATGCACGGGGATTTTGTAGATCCTCAGCATGGTATTTGGTTTAATTAGCACACTTGAGCGAGATTTAGACGCCGATCTAAAACTGCCAGCATTTTAGAAACTAGGCAAAACCAAGAACCCCTGTCGTCAAAAGTACTACTATCTCAATCATCCCCATTTCAATTCAACCTAACAACCCCCTCTTTCTCTCTGTCCAAAATTGTCAGAATTTATCATACCCCCTCCACGACAGCTGTATTCTCAGCACTGGCAATAAATATAGCCCAATGATGATATATGGGTCTTGATTTAAGTTGCATACTGTTTGAGTCAGTGTGATTTTAGCGCTGGAAGGAGAAGCACTGATGCTGCGATTTCGCCCCCAACTGAAGCCGGAATTAGCGCTGTGATTCAATTGCATATCTTGAAACACATACTCCATGGCTGTGCAGGCTATGAGTATCGTTGGTCGACCGAATTTCGTCTTCCGGGGACTCCAAGATCCCCGCTTCCAGATACTTGTTGAGCTGAAATCCCGCCAACTTGATTTGACATGTCACGATTTATATGATGCAGAGATTCAAGTCTTTTACGAAGAGGATAAACCGACGCTCTCCGACTGATGCGGTCGAAAATTGCCAGATTTCACCCGATTCGTCAATGCAACCAGGAACCGCCACGGTAGTGGCGCAAGATAAATCATCTGAATCAACATTCCCAGATGGGGTTGAGATTTTATATGACTGTCCCCAGGCGGAACTTGATATCTGCTTTCTTCACGGGTTGACTGGAGACCGACGGAAGACATGGACGCCAAATGGGCAGGAGGAGCCTTGGACGAAAACATTGCTGCCGGCCTTTATCAGCAAAGCCCGAATTTTAACATACGGGTATGACGCATATGCATTGCGAAAATCTGTCGCTTCAAATAACCGAGTAATCGACCATGCTACAAACCTTTTGCATGACCTGACGACTGATAGGGCGTCTTGCAACGCCACATCAAGACCTATAATATTCGTGGCTCATAGCCTCGGCGGCCTGGTGTGCAAAAAGGCACTTCTTTTATCTCGAAATAATCCTGAATCCCACCTCCAGGACATATTCAATTCGACAAAAGGTGTCATTTTCATGGGCACGCCCCATGATGGGTCTTGGATGGCTAGTTGGATGGATATACCCGCCACGGCTTTGGGATTTGTCAAGTCTAGCAACAAATCATTGCTTGATGTCCTGGAAACCAAGAATCAACTTCTTGAATCTCTCCGGATTGAATTTCTGGACATGGTACGGGAGTTGCGAGAAGGCGGTCGAGGTTTTGAAGTGACTTGTTTTTTCGAAGAGCTTCCTTTGCCTGCATTTGGAAAGGTGGTACCCAAAGAGTCGGCAGTTCTGTATGGATATAACTCAATCAGTATTCATGCAAATCACAGTGAAATGGTGAAATTTGAATCTTCTCAAGCAACTGGGTTCAAAAGATTGCTGGGGGAGCTTCAGAGATGGAGTTCACAACTGAGGTATGGTGCAAAAGGAGTTATATCACCCGGAGTCAGCATGATTTCTAACTATCGAATGCAGTACTACGAGTCTGTCTCCAACCTCGAAGTCTTCGTCTTTGCCAGAAGAAGATATATCCAAAACCATGTTTAAAAATTCTGGAGAGGGAACAACAAACGTCAACTCAGGCCCTGGTACTCAGAATAATAACAGTGGCTCTGGGTATCAGTTTAACGGCACGATCAACGACCTCTCGCTGTCCTAGCTACGTTTGCCTATTAGAAACAACCAGCTCTTGAATTTTACTAGTTATACGATTGATATACTCACTGCCATTTTTGTATCTCTAATCAGTAGCGCTGCGCTAATCGATGCCTTCAACTAATCCTCTTTATCGCGGGTTAGTTAGGCAAATCACCCAAGTCATTCAATAGTTTGAATAGGCCTTCTTAGTGGTTAATCTTTATGTTTCTCATTGATATCTAGAGTACGGAGTAGCAGGATCAAATGAGGATCGGCAAGGCTAAAACAGGAGGGGTTAGTAAAACTAGTACGGAGTAGTAGTATGTACATTGTTTGCAAAAGTGGGGGGGACTTATACACCAAGAATACTACCATCACAAATGAGGCGCTAACTGTAACACCCTAGTAGGATGAACTCACTTATTCACCATAGTCAGCTCAACCCATTTCTCGCATCTCTGGTAGTCTCACTCGCCCTGGACTAAAATAATTTCACCCCGCATCGTCGCAACTTCATTCACTATCCACCTCACACTCATATTCAACCTTATCAATGATAGTACCTTGAGTTAAACAAAAGGGTAGACAGTGCGTATTTCGGAACCAAATGACTCAACTCGAAAGTCGTCTACTTGTCTCCAATGAAGGTGATGGGTCACTATTTTCCAATACTGGCCCTGGCTCTCAGAACAACAACACTGGTGACGGAACACAATATAATATCGGTAAATATTACTTTATTGGAGCATAAAATAGTATGGAACTATTAACAAAAAACAGTCAATCAATATTTCCCCCAACTTCAGCAAAGGGAAGGTGGGATTCCCTCGAGCAGATAATACACTGCAATAATTCCCCATCTTGTTAATCGAGCGCTAACTTGTGATAGGCTTGGAGGAATTGGACTTCAGTACGTCTCACCCTGGTCGTGGTTTCGCATATTAGTTCTCATCAAAATTATAGGGATCCTCAACTCATTGGCTTTCGAAGGAATGAGTAGTCGACACGCAAACATTAGAAGAAGACATAAAGACACATGTCAGTGGGTACTTGGTTTGGAGAAATACCGCTCATGGATGTCAAATACTTCCGGTCTACTATGGATCAAGGGCAAACCAGGCACTGGGAAATCTACGTTGATGGCCTTTTTGCACGAGCAGCTCAACTATTTACGTCCAGAGAGTCATGGCATTTACCTCAACTTTTTCTTCTATGCCAGGGGCAAAGATTTACAACACACACAGCTTGGAATGTTCAGATCCCTGCTTTACCATCTATTTAACCGTGATGAGAGTATACGCAGAATTGTTCGCGAGGTCTATAGGCAGAGTGTTGGGCTTGATGGGGGGCCTGGATATGGAGGGGAATTGTCCCAATCGCAACTGGAAGAAGCATTCCAGAAAGCTGTTCTTGCTTCGGCTTCCGTGCAGCAGGTGGTTATCTTTGTCGATGCGTTGGACGAGGCTGGAGCCACATCAGCTTTAGAGTTGGCAACTTACTTTCATGAACTGAATGCAAACGCGGAGAAAGAAAAGCTCAAGCTCAAAATTTGCATCTCATGTCGGCACTATCCAGTTCCGAGCACTCGGCCTGCTGTGGAGATCACAGTCGAAAATTACAATCATGGAGATATCACCAATTACTTGCAGGACCATCTATCTACGAGCCCAGAAATCCGTGGCCAGCAGCTGGCGGATAAATTGATCGAACAAGCCGGCAATATGTTCCAATGGGCCTGTATCATTTTGCCATTCGTTCAGCAAAAGCTTGCAGAGGGAGACTCGCCTGAAGTCGTTTTCGACTGGCTGAAAGAAGTTCCAACCCCGCGAGAAGACATGAATGACACATATCAATACATTTTGGACCATGTCATAGCGGATTGGAATTGGGCTCAGTCCTTTCTACTTTTTCAGTGGGTGTATCTAGCCGAACGACCTCTGACTCTGCTCGAAATTCGGTACGCCCTGACAGTTTCTAACGCACGGGCGACACATGCCAGAAAGGGATACACTGGCTTGGAATATGCCCTCAAAGCAGAAGATTTTGACTTGAAGATCAAAGCTCTTTCTGGCGGCCTAGCTGAGATCGTATCAGTTGAAGACAACCGACAGATTGTACAGGTCATTCATCAATCTGTTAACGACTTTTTGGGTGAAAAGGGACTGCCTTGGCTGGCTGCTCGTGTCAGAGGCAGACCCTTATTTGCCAAAGACGATACGATCATTCTTGAATGCCAGGCAACACTCTATCGATCATGCTTGGACTATCTCACCATTGAGCTGTTAAAAGGATTGGAAGTACGCGAGTTTGAAGATGACAGGGCAGAACAACTGTGGATGAAAGAAGAGAAAGAGGAAGTCCTTCAAGGTCGACCATTTATCCACTACGCAGTCACCTATCTTTTTGTCCATGCTGGAAAAGCCCAGAGTTTGCGTACCAACAATCTAGAGGATGACTTGCGAGAGCTCGAACGCATATTTGACCTCTGGTTCAGGATTTATTACACGATTGATACTTCCAAATGTCCCCCAAAGGATTCAAAGCTCATCCACATAGCAGCCGCCGTCAACATGAATGATATAATAGAAGTTCTTCTCACTTCGAGGGCAGAAAGTGCTGCAGAGACGGATTCTCATGGCAGCACTCTCCTTCATATCGCAGCTCAACACGGCCATATGGAACTGGCTAGATCATTGAAATTGAGGGACTTCAGCTGTATGGCAAAGAACAATCGTGACGAAACACCACTGATTTTGGCCTTACGGTATGACAACTTGGAGATCGCTCGATGGCTTTTGGACGAAATGAAGGATTCCAAAGCAGCCAGTGAGATTGAAATTGCCAGTGAGATTGACATTGCATTGCAAGAAGCCTCTTACAAGCACCAGCGGGACATGGTCTGGCTACTCAAAGCTACCGGTGCCAACGTCAATTTCCAGGGAGGTAAATATGGCTCTGCTCTCCAGGCTGCTGCATCCTCAGGGAGCGCCGATGTTGTGAAGACCTTATTACAGGCTAAAGCCAACGTCAATGCAAAGGGGGGTAAATTCAACACAGCTCTCCAGGCTGCTGCATTTTGCGCGGGTCCTGACCTTGTGAGAATTCTTTTGGATGCTGGTGCCAAGATTAACTTATGTGGAGGTAAATACGGCACTGCGCTACAGGCGGCTGCACGGGCACGAGAGATTGAGACCGTGGAGCTCCTACTACAGTTTGGTGCCGATGTAAATCAACGGGGCGGTAAATATGAGACCGCTCTACAAGCCGCCGCATCTACGGGGAGTGACATAACTGTTGAGTGCTTAGTAGACGCTGGCGCCAACGTCAATTTGAAGGGAGGCGAATATGGGTCAGCTCTCCAGGCTGCCGCAGTTTGGGGGCGTATTGAAGTTTTGAAGATACTGCTGGAAGCCGGTGCCGATGTTAACGCAGGTGGGAAAGATAAAGATCCGGCTCTACAAAATGCTGCATCGATGGGTAAGCTTGATTTGGTGAAGCTCCTACTGCAATTTGGTGCCGATGTCAACCAAAGGGGCGGAGAGTACGAAACTGCTCTACAGGCTGGGGCATACAAAGGGAACATCGCTATCGTGAAGTGTCTAATAGACGCCAAAGCTAATGTCAGGCTGAAGGGAGGCAGATATGGGACAGCTCTCCAGGCTGCCGCCTCTCGTGGGAATGCTGAAATTGTGACGATGATACTTAACGCTGATGAGACTGTCAATGTCAATGCCCATGGAGGTATGTATGGAAGTGCGCTACATGCTGCTGTTGCGCGTGGGAGTCCTGATACCGTGAAGATCCTCATCGAGGCTGGAGCCAATGTTCATGCTCACGTTGGTTTTAAGACCACTCCGCTGGAAGTTGCCTGTCATTCCAGAAGACCTGATATAATGAAGATCCTATTGGAAGCCGACTCCAATGTCACTGCAAACAAAGAGAGATATTCTCTAGCTCTACATCTCGCTTTGGAGAACGGACTTGAAGAAGAGGCAAAGATATTGGAAAATGCTGGTGTATCTAGATTCTAGGGATTGGAAACTTTAAACAATCTACTGAGGACAAAGCCCAGAGCCTCCCATAGCACAGGCTTAGCCAGTCCACACCACTATATCTACTTCCTTTGAGCTCAGAAGATAGTTTCTCAATCCTACAAACTCATGCAATCTTGATTTTCGGCGGTGCGGCACCCCTATTCCTAGGCAGAATCCCGTCAACTACGGCATTTTCAAAATAATCCGCTGAAAGGATCAAGATCCAAAAAACGACTCAGCCAAAAAGCGACTCTGAGGCGGATCGAACGCCTGATCTCCCGCTTGCCAATCATTTCCCCAAAAGGCAATTTTAGGAGGCGGACGCTTTACCCCTAAGCTACAGAGCCAATCAGCATCGACTTGAATCACGTGCTATTTAGCAGTCAGATTCAGTATCTCTTTAGTATAATCCTAGAAGTGCTTATACAGCCTAGACTCCTAGTACACTTACTATACTTAACTTACTTATCCTATATGTAGCTCTTACTACCTATATAGTAACCAAAATTATATAACTAGATTCCTCTCGTATAATAGTATATCCCAAACTAAATAGTCTTCCATAAAGCCCTGTCTTCTCTCACTAAATGTCAGGCTGCCTGGTTCACGTGACCGTATATAATCCCGATTGGGTCGGGACTTCGGCTTCGCTTTTCGACTCCGTCTCTCGACGAGGAAGCAAATGGTCCTTCCGCACGGGCAGAACCCCCAAGTTGCGGACTCGCACAGCACGGGCTCATGGCTGGATACTAATAAAGCTGTTGACTCTGATCCCAGCACTACCACCATCGACGGGAAACGCAGAGTAAGTTCCGCTCAGCTTGATCTCCGCCCTCCGCCCTTCGCTCCACGTCGGGGACGGCTTAAAATGCCCAAGAAATATAATATGGTTACTAATTCTATTTCTCTCTTTATAGGGCCAGAACTATTCCCCCATCCTCGGAGATGACTTGATATCAATACCTCGCAAACAACCACGAAAACCGCGCAACGATGCCGCTACCGGTGCCTCTGCGGCCGGTGTTCGCGCCCTCAGCGCCCAGTTTGTCGCCTTTTACTTCCGAGCTCCGATAAAGGCTTTCTTTCGGGCGAGAGTGGATTATATGGCGCTTGCGCGGGCTGTGAATCCGCGGGTTGCGGATGGTAAATGGTCGATTCATACGACGACGCCTGGGTTGTTGATTCATGCGGTTAAAACGTATGGGTGGCAGTTTATTCCCAATCAAGTTTTGCCTCCTCTTATGGCGAATGCAGGGTGAGTAAAAAGTCTTACAGCAGGAAGTAGTGGTGTTTCTTTCTGTTTGTTCCAGGGAGCCAAATTCTAATACTTTGCCCGAGTCAATAGTGTCGGTGCCGTCCTCTACACATCCTATCTCCAAGTCCTAGGATCCCTCCATGAACCCGTCCGACAAGGCGCCAAACGCGTTTGGCCTCCAGCCCCGCCTTCCTCAACCTTTGCCGCCGGATTCACAGCCGGCACCATTCAATCGATCGTAGCCGCGCCTCTAGACGCACTCCAAGTCCGAATGCAAACCAGTGATCTCCTGGAAGGCCAATACCGAAGCATGTGGCACTACGGCCACCACAAGCTCAAGCAAATCGGGCTTGGAGGAATATTCGCAGGATGGAGCCTCTCATTCTTACGAGACTCATTCGGTTACGCGGTGTTTTTCTCCACATTCGAATACGTCAAGTCACAATCCTACTACTCATTCGTGACATGGTACTACGGAGCCCTGCACCCGGAACACATCGAAAGTATACCCTTTTCCGAATCCCGATCTGCCAGTGACCGGGGTGTCCCCGTGATCAAACCGCACTACGCACTGGAACCGGGATTCCTCTTACTAGCCGGCGTGACGGCCTCAGTCGCACAGCAGGTCATTCAGCACCCGCTCGGGGTAATTCAGGACCTGCATCTGGGCCGATTGGAGTATTTGGATCATCAGGCTAGTCTGGACCCGTCCCGGCGGCAGATGATGCGGCTCTATTACCACGCGTATCAGGAGACGCATAAACGGTGTGCGCGGAAGGCTGCACGTGCGGGTGGATGGCGGGTGTGGCTTTTCCGTGGGTTTTTTTCTTACGGCGATTCGGCAGGTTCCTAGTACGAGTGCCGGGTTGATTATTTTTGAATTGGTGAGGAGGCGGTATGCGAGTTTGGATGATGCGGTGCATATTCGGAGTGATGGGTATGATATTCTCTTGAACTGAGGGGGGGGGGATGTTTGCTATGTATTGTTTGGATAGAGGATTTGTACCTAGTGGTTTGCATTGAAGATACCCTATAGATATTGCTGGAATGGATTAGTTAGTTATGTGGCCCTGGGGCGCAGGACTATAGTATAGTTTACTATAGTATTGCACCGCCTGTTCTATGAAGTAAGGGTAGTAATACCGCCCATTTCGACAACATAGTATACAGAGTACAGAGTAGGTAATTATAATCTCCAGAGTCTACGTTCGTAGCTGGTCCCAAGTGGATATCCCCACAATTCCCCTTGTGGATCGCCGGATCTGACAGTGTGGCTAAAACAGTCCCCCCGTATTTCCCCTGCGGCTGCCTCATGAATTCAACTTCTTTCCTTCGTCTTCTTCTTCTACTTCTTCTTCTCTTCCTCCTTCTCCTCGTATATACCTGGACCTTGTCAAATACACCCTTTCTCTGTACATTACGCACCCACTTCTCATCTTGGTCCCTCCAACTCATCACCTCCGCCCCTATTTGCTCCGCTCGTCCATGTCCACCTGACCATCCACTTTAGCCCTGTCATCACATCCAACCAGAACTCCACTCCGTCATACTACGTCGATCGTGCTGTGTGACTCTCTCTAGGGCCCCTTTCCCTTGTGGTGACCCTGCCGCCTGCGTGGCGCTCCCGAGTTGGAACTTGAGCTTACCCCAGAGAGGGAGGTCGTGGCAAGGCAACCTTTTTTTTGGGTTTCTATCCCCTGCCTCGGTGAGATCGGCTTAGGAGGAAAGGATCAGATTTACGGATAGAGGTTCTCGATCATCAGAGGGTTTTAGCCCTGCAATACCGCCAACATTCCTTCTCCAATATCCCCCGCCATTCCCCTCCGCTCTCTCCCTCATTCCCCCTCCATTACCGCATTAGAAGCAGAATCCGCCAGTGAAAAAGGAAGCCGTCGTTCATCATCCGATCTCTCCGTCTGGTCAGATACCGGCGATCTCGCCGAGCAACTTGCTCACGAGGATCCGCTAGATCCTCGCAAGTCCGTGGATCGTGAGCTTCTGGTTTGGGGTCATCGTGGTCGGAACCAACCGAAGCGGGTCCACTTTCCCTCACATTCACAGCTTGACGACGATCAACATCAACATCCCCACTCCACCTCCCACTTCAACCTTGAAAAGATCCCCATTCCGAATCCCCCACCTCGACAAATCTCCCGTATTGAACGGGTTCTCGCCGCCATCATGTCTCCCCGCAACGGGCGAGCTGCCTCAATCCATGGCCTGGTCGGGAAGCCGTTACTGTGAGTGTTCGACCTCGGTCTCGGTGTTGCATAAACTGACCAGCTTGTAGCTACTTCACCAGTGTCTTCGTATCCCTTGGCGTCTTGTATGTACCACTGATCCGCATCCTCTCTGCTTTTGTGCTCACCAGTGCTGACTACCCCCGCAGTCTATTCGGCTATGATCAAGGTGTTATGAGTGGAATCATCACGTCCGTATTTTGTCCCCTCCCTACGCGCATACCCCAGCCTACTCTACTCCAACGCGACCCGACCGCTCCGTGTATACCGAAATACTAACTGTAATGTAATGCAGAGGGGAGCACTTCCGAGATTACTTCGATCAGCCCTCCCCAGCCACCATCGGAACCGCGGTCGCCATCCTCGAGATCGGAGCCTTTATATCTTCCCTGTTAGTGGGGCGCGTTGGGGATTTGATCGGCCGGAGGAGGACCATCCTCTACGGCTCGATGGTATTCTTTGTCGGTGGCGCCATTCAGAGTGCTGCGACGGGCATGGCTATGATGATGGTGGGAAGAATTATCGCTGGTTTGGGCGTTGGTGCCCTGTCGACCATCGTGCCGGTCTACCAGTCTGAAATTTCGGTATGGAGTGAAGAATCCGTTCCATCCCATCGTGACGGCGATTGTGCCTGTATACTGACTTCATTCGTGTTCGCTTAGCCTCCGCATAATCGTGGCCAATTGGCCTGCATTGAATTCACGGGTAACATTGCTGGATATGCGACTAGTGTTTGGGTAGACTACGGCTGTAGTTTTATCGATAATGATTATTCATGGCGTCTCCCGCTTCTTGTTCAGTGCGTTATGGGCGCACTACTTGGTTTTGGAAGTTTGGTCATTTGCGAATCCCCTCGGTAAGTTGAAGTTCATCGGAACTGCCAAAGTACTATCCGTGGTGTTTCGTTCACCTTGCTGATTCCTTTCAGATGGCTCTTAGATTTCGATCACGACGAGGAAGGCATGGTAGTCATTGCAAATTTATACGGCGGGGGAGACATCCACAGCGACAAAGCACGCCAAGAATACCGAGAAATCAAAATGAACGTCCTGATCCAACGACAAGAAGGCGAGCGCTCCTACTCCGACATGTTCCGCCGCTACTGGAAACGAGTCTTAATCGCCATGTCCGCGCAAGCAATGGCCCAATTGAACGGAATAAACGTGATATCCTACTACGCCCCGCTCGTCTTCGAGTCCGCCGGCTGGACTGGCCGTTCAGCAATCCTGATGACCGGCATCAACGGCATTTCCTATCTCCTTTCCACGATCCCGCCATGGTACCTAGTTGACAATTGGGGTCGCCGACCTATCCTACTCTGCGGCGCAGTGGCAATGGTCCTCTCGCTCTCCAGCATCTCATACTTCATCTACCTCAATATTGACGCCACGCCTGTTCTGACTGTCATATTCGTCATGATCTACAATGCTGCCTTTGGCGCTTCCTGGGGCCCAATTCCCTGGCTTTACCCTCCGGAGATTCTGCCTCTCAGCATTCGTGCCAAGGGTGCTAGTCTGAGTACGGCCAGTAATTGGGCCTTTAATTGGCTTGTTGGAGAAGTCACCCCCGTTCTTCAGGGCGCTATTAAATGGCGCCTCTATTTAGTTCATGCTTTTTTCTGCGCTTGCAGTTTCGTACTCGGTAAGAAAATTCCCCATAACCGCAATCCGGCTTTTGCTTTGCTTTTTCTTTTGCTGACTCCACAAAAAAGTGTACTTCTTATACCCCGAAACAAGCGGCGTCCGCCTAGAAGACATGGACGTCCTATTCGGCGACGCAACAACCGCCATGCCCACGCCCGCAACGGAAGGCGAGCGAGGCTCACTCCTAGGCGCAGGCGCCGGATCACCAGTCCCATCTCTCGATATTCGAAGACCGTATGGCCAATTTGGTGCGGAGAGCGCGATTCCTGGTCTTGATATTGATCCTCCGTCATTCGATGGGCCTGGGCCCGGACCTAGTAATAACAAGGCTAGTTCACCGGGCGTGGGTCGGGGTGAAGGCTTTGGAGGCTGGATTTCGAAGATGGTTAAGCGGTCGAGGAGTGGGAGTAGTGCTAGTCAGAGTCAGTATAGACAATTAGGGCAAGCGGAGGATGGGGATGGTCGATGAACATGAACATGAACATTATTGTGAGCGTTGACGTGGACGTGGACGAACCATTCAACGAACATTGCTGTTCTTTTCATTTCATTTCTCCTTTACTTCCGTCGTCATATCTGATATACCTATGTCTGCCTGCTCATCATTGGATCCACACTAGGAAAGTACCCACACCCTTCCTGTCTGCTCTGCTCTAGTCTGCTTTTCGGCTTTCTTATTTTGCATTCGCTGCCCGTTCCGTTTCCGTTTCCGTTTCCCTTCCCTCCTTGGACCGAATGGAATGGAATGGAGTGGTGCCTTCAACTTGAAGGTTTTGATTCATCTATCTGTATGATTTTTATCTTGCGAACGCTGTATATCCAATTGTTCAACTCTGTGCTTGGCATTGTACTCTTTTCTATTCTATTTCATTCTTATTCTGGGGTCCTCGTCTGTCTATTTATCAAACCCCCGAGTCTCTACTTGTCTGTCCTGAAATGCGGTGTTTTCTTTTTTCCCTTACTGCTTCAAGTTGTTTATACTGGCTTCGGTTGAGCTGTATGCTTCAAGGTCACGGTTGCTGGTTGAAGTTTCCGTCTAGAAATACGGTGAGTCGGTTCATCTGTTATTTTCTATTTATAGATGGGACTTGGATATTTAAATTTTCAGGTTGACATGTAAATAGATCCTCTCCAGGACTTTGTATACTATGACTCGGACTTCCGGAATATACAATGAACCATCTTCAATGACAACCGTGACTGTAACCGGTAATAACTATGTATATGCCTACATTTATATCTGTTCTACTTCCGCGAAAGAGAAAAATAGAATAAGATACACATTATGTAAAACCAATTCTCAGAACTCTTTTTGATTCTTTAAAAAAAAATGTGCTTTTCATTTTTGATTTTATTTCAGGACCTCGTTGAAAGTGATCCTATCCTGTGCGGGACTTCGTTAAAAATGGAAAAAGCCCCATTCAATATTTTCATATCAATGGGTTCGGTTCCAACGTGTTTAGTGTAGTTGATTACAGCAGAGCATGAACAAAGCATGAACAAAGAAAAGAGATGAAATGAGCATTGCGGCTCGAATGAAAAAAACTTGAATATCTAGTACAAGATGCGGGTTTGGATGCGGGCTGTTTGTGATTATTAGTATATGTACAGAACTGAGGTGTCCCATCCCAGGGTGGAATGGAAGGGAAAGGGTTAACTTACAAGGAAGGCTCTCGAGGCTGGTGTATAGGTCCTTAATTTGGGTTGTGTTGACGTTGCTGATATCAGCCATCAGGTAGGCGACCTATAATAACTTGCGTTAGAGATTTCTTTTGGGGAGGGAGATTTCGCTCGGAGAAAGTTAAGGATACTCACATCACCTCTGCTATCAGTCATCTGCTTATCAACATTGTGATCGCCAATAATCTCATTGACCTTACGCAGGACACCAGGAATATTCTGATGAATATAGATAACACGCGCATGATCCGGCTCATCCATCGTCAAAGAACGAAGCGCAACCTCAGGCAAATTGACCGCACCGAGGGTAGTACCCTCATTTACATATCGGGTCAGAGCCTGCGCCACCTCAACGCCAATAGCACTCTGCGCCTCCTCAGTAGACCCGCCAATGTGGGGGCTCAGAATGAGGTTCTTCAACGAGCGCAGATCAGCGCCCCAGCTGTTAAGCTCGCTGTTGAAGTAATCGCCATTACCGGCGGGCTCGTTGGGATAAACGTCCAATGCGGCACCGGCGATTTTACCACTGCGCATGGCGTCAATGAGGGCCGGGATATCGACGACTGTACCACGGCTGGCGTTGATGAGATAGGAGCCCTTCTTCATTTGTTCGAATTGCTTAGCTCCAATCATGCCCTTTGTTTCGGGGAGTTCGGGGACGTGGCAGGATACGAAATCCGCTTCGGAAAGGAATTCTTCCATAGTACCGATTTGGCGGGCACTACCCAGCGCCATCAGGTTGACGACGTCGTAGAAGATGACGGATAGACCCATTGACTCGGCCAGAACGGAGAGTTGGGCGCCAATGTGTCCGTATCCGATAATTCCGAGCGTCTTGCCGCGAATCTCCCAGCAGCCGTTGCTGACTTTGTTCCAGGTTCCGGCGTGCATTTCGTTGGAGCGGTCGCCGAGTTGGCGGGCTAGGACGATAATTTCGGCAATGACTAGCTCGGCGACACTGCGGGAGTTGCTGAAGGGGGAGTTGAAGACTGCGATGCCGTGGTCGGCGGCATATTGGAGGTCGACTTGGTTTGTGCCGATGCAGAAGCAGCCGATTACGATGAGGTTTTTGGCTTCTTTGAGGACGCGGGCGGAGAGCTTGGTTTTGGAGCGGATGCCGATGACGTGGACGTCACTGGAGTTGGATTAGTATGGGAATTTGCATTTGGAGAGGTCTCTCTGTCTCTGTGTCTCTCCCCTCCAGCGTGCGCTGGAAGCATTGTATGAGCATGAGACTAGGACGTACCGGATCTTCTCAATCAGCTGATCCTCAGACAGCGAAGACTTGAGGAATTCAACCTGGTATCCCTGTTGTGACAGGATGTCACGGCCAGTCTGGTTGACATTCTCCAGCAGCAGGACCTTGATGTCCTCAGTGGCGAATGGCTTCAGGTGCTTCGCATTGGGTAGAGGAATTGTGCGGGTGAGTGCTGAGCCGTGGCTGGAGGGGGAGTGGAAGGAAGCATTGGGGGAGGTCGAGAAGTACTGAGCCTGAGCGGCCAGTTCGTCCTTACGAGGACGAATGTCTTGAGCGGAGGTCATTGTGTGTGTGTGTGTGTATGAACCAGGAGTGGTGGATTGGGGAGGAGAATGGAGAAAAGAGGAGAGAATGATGTGATGTGATGTTCTTTCTCTCCCAAGTGCGAGGCTTGTATGAATCACAGTTGAATTAGATAAGCCCAAACTGTCAGATCTCCGGAATCGGCGAGAGAAAATATCAGAAAAAAAAAGCACGCAAGCGGACTGGAGTCAATTGACTTTTGTTTTAATTTAAGTATTTGTCACTTTCGATTCCCCTCCCACACTATTTATCCTTTCGCTTGCCCTTCCACTGAGTCACTTCTATAACTGTGACTCACGAGTACCTTTGGGTAAAAAAGAGAGGGGCATCGCGGGGCATTTCTTTTTTTTTCGGCTTTTGCTTTTTGCTTTTTGCTTTTTTTCTGCCAAAAGTTCCGGGATTTGCACGCCAATAATTCACCGCCCAAACTCGGCAAGCCGGAGTGGGGCGAGATCGGCGATGTACGTAGTCTTATACTTAATAGTAGTGTTATAGTTATAGTTATAGCATACTTATGTTTATGGTTATGGTTATGGATATGGATATGGATGTAGTAGGATTGTCGTGAAATTCACTGTTTTACGGCTGCCTAGCTCCGCATTATATGGTATTTAACAGTTCGCTCGTTTTGATTGTATGGTTAGAAAGCAATCCTCTCTCTCTCTCTCCGATTTAAACCTGAAGATCCTTCATCTTCTTAGCCGCCTCATCAGCAGCTCCAGCCTTCGCTTGCTGCTTGGCCTTAACACGCGCAGAGGTAGTATCCTTAGGCAACTCCTTAGTGTAAGGCAAGAACTCCGGCTGTCCGGGAATATACTTGCGCAGAACCTCAGGAACCACAATACCATCTTCCCTCTGGTAGTTCTCCAGAACACAGCAAAGAGTACGCTCAGTGGCGCAGAGAGTAGCATTCAGCGCGTGCACGTAGGTCTTCTTCAGATCCGTGGCCTTCTTCTGACCGAATCGGATCTCCAGTGCCCGGGACTGGTAGTCCAGGCAGTTGGAGCAGGAGACGAGCTCCTTGTATTCCTTCTGGAAGGGGAACCACGCTTCCAGATCGTACTTCTTGGCCGCGGCGTTGTTCAGCGCGCCGGAGACGATCGAGACAACTTGGTATGGTAGACCCAGGGACTTGTAGAATTCCTCCGAGGTGTTCATCATATCGTCGAAGGCCTTCCATGAGTCTTCGGGCTTGGTCAGGACGAATTGTTCGATCTTCTCGAACTGGTGGACTCGGAAGATACCCCATGCGTCCTTGCCGTGCGCACCGGCTTCCTTGCGGTAGCATGTGCTGTAACCGGCGTACCTGAAAGGGAGTTGGCGTTAGTATCATTCATTCACAATTCGTGCTGTATTGGAGAAACCTACTTGATAGGCAGATCCTTCTCCTGCAACCACTCGCCGTCGTGCAGAGCAGAAAGCGGTTGCTCCGAGGTAGCAATGAGGTACTTATCCGTAGAGCTATCCTCACCCTCGGTAACCTTGTACAACTCCTCATCGAACTGCTCCAGCTGGGCAGTCTTGGCCATGAGGTCCTTGAGCATGAACTGCGGGGGTTGGTTGGGCGTGTAGCCCTTGTTGAACAGGAACTCCAATCCATAGTTGACCAGAGCCAGGTTCAGGAAGAGACCATAGCCGGTCAGACAGTATCCACGGTGTCCGACGATCTTCACGCCGCGCTCGGGGTCGTAGCCGTCCAGGCGGGTTAGGACTTCGTGGTGGGAGAGGCAATCGGGTCGGTCCATGGCTGCGTCTTCGGGCTTCCAGGTCTTGACGATTGGGTTGTCGTCCTAGAGCGTGCCAGCGGTTAGCCTTGGCCGTTCTGAATGTTTTACAATCTGCAAATCTGCAAGTGCAATAATTTCTTACCTCAGTCTGGCTAACGGGAACCGAATCGTGGACGTAGTTTCCGATGGTGCGGATCTTGCGGTCGCGCTCGTTCTCAACCGCGATAGCCTTGTCCTCGGCCTCCTTCTTACTCTTGTCCATAATTGTCTTCTCGGCAATCAGGTCGCTGGCATCCTCCTTGTTCTATTCGGGGCGATATGAGTGAGTATGCTGCAGATGTGGCACGAGAGGTATACAGGTTGGGCGGGTCTACCTTCTTCTTCATGCCAATCTGCTTAAGAAGGGCGTTCATTTGGGATCCGATTTGGGTGACTCCATAGCGAACTGTCTGATGTTAGCCCTGACTCTCGTTATAGGTGTCAATGAAGTGTGCCCATACCCTTGCGAGCCTCCTCGTACAGCGCAATGACTTCGTCAACTACCTCCTCAGGCGCACCACGTCGGCGCTGGCTCTCCTTGATCTTCTTAGGATCGCCACCGCGCTCGGTAATGAAATCGTTAAGGTCGAGCATGGCGAATACCAAACTTCTCGTGTGCAAAAACTGATCTGGTGAGTCAAGGCCGGAGACGTCAATTGTGGAGGGGTAAAATGGAAAAGTGCGCGGCGGGGCATTACTTAAGCCGCCGGGGAAGTAAAACAATACTACTAGTACTAACAGTACTCGTACTAGCGACGTGGTTTCATTTTGAAACATTTGAAACAGAGATCGGTTCGTCTAAAAAAGGAGATCCCTGGTGACCATTGAAGGGGCCATTTGGCCTATTTCATTATTCTATGCACGCTGCGATACCAAATACAGAATCCCTAGCCAGACAAAAACAACCTCATGATTCATGCAACCGATCCCAATGTTCCATCAAGCCAAGAAAAAAGAAGAAGAAGAAGAGTAGAAGAGTAGAAAAAGCGAATGAAAGAGAGCAATAAGTAGAAAAGTGCGAGCGATGCTACCCGACTCGATCTCGGGAGTTCAGTGGAGCGGAGCGGAGCATTCGATACACTTACGGACACAGTTCCTACATAATCATATTAGTATGGAATGTTCTCACAGGCAATTATATTATTGTCGTAGGGCAGGATCAACGAATCCAATCTCAAATCCTCCCCTGAATATAACAAATCCAACGTACCGGGAAAAAAGTAATAAAGTCAAGCGATTGCGGCAGCACCTCTCACATCACCGCACACTTGTTGTTACCAGCCGGCTGTCCGGGGTTCTGAGACTTCTCAATCTCCCCAATCATCAGCTCAAAGGCCTTGGAAACATTGAAGTCAAGGAAAGCACTGGCTTCAGTGAAAGCACATTTAACCTCCTCTGCTAATTGGCGACCCTCTTCGAGAGAAACTTGTCGCAGCTCTGTCTTCAGGTCACTCTTATTACCGACGACCACTAGGGGTACTTCGTCCGCTCCCTGGAAATCGTCAGAGTCAGCGACATTCATTATTCCATTCCATCCAGTCCAGCATTGACATTGGCTGTCTAGGAGATGGGGATTGTGCAATGCAAACCCACCAAATGATTCAAAATCTTATCCCGAATTGTCTTCACCATCTCAAATGACTGCCGCGAGGTAACAGAGTACACGATAATATACCCATGAATACCAATGAAGTGCTTCGAGTTCAGGATGCTATACTCATCCTGTACGTAACGATAATCATAATGGGTCAGCGACGAGACCGACGCAGGGGCCCCACGGGAGGGGAAGTAAGGGTAAGGACATACCTGTCCGGCGGTATCGACGATCTCAGTCGCATAATCCTGCCCATTGTATTTGATGATTCGGCTGAATGTGTTCTCAATTGTGGGGTAGTAGCTTTCGACGAAGTGGTGCTCGACGAAGCGGACTGTGAGGGAGGATTTGCCTAAACCAACCCGAAAACGACGTCAGTATGCCAGATAACACAGCACTCCAAACCACCACACCACACCACGCCAATGAGGGCAAAGCAAAGCAAAGCAAAGCAGAGCAAAGGCTTGTTAAGACTGAACGAAGGGAGTTCATACCGACGGAACGACTGCCGACAATTGCGATCTTCCTCTGTTTCGGCGCAGCGGGCATCTTGTCGGTTGGTTTTGCGGGTGCGGGATCAAGGGGGCGATGTTATGGGGGGAGGATAATATGAGGCAGAGAAGTCGGTGAATTGAAGACCGGAAGACAGGTCGCTGGAGGAGGTGGACACAGCGTTGCTCACGGGTGGCAAAGTTCCAAATGATTGGGAAAGCATGAGCTTGGAGGGTGCAAACGCTGCAAACAGTTTCGTCGATCGATCGGGTCCAGCCCTGGTTACGAGTAAGATGTACATTCCAAGTATCGGAGATGTACTCCGCATACTAGGGGTACCTTTGTTCGTAAATTCAAATATCATTCTTCGGTAATTGAACATAGGTATGCATCACAAAAAAGGGTATCAATCATGGTAAATTCAAAAAAAGAAAACAAGAAAAAAAATGATCTTGCCCCAACCCAACGCCATCCGCCTCCGCAAAATCCGGGGGTCCCCATAATACCAAAATACCAAAACCACCATCAAAACCAAAACCACAAAAATGTACAAAGTTACATCCGGGGTACCATGCAACATCGCATGCATGATTACCCCTCAATAAACTGTATTTGGCCAACAAGGTCTTGGAGCCGCCCGAGGAATCCACCTGTCTCGCTGCTGTCCTGCATGGGGTGCAGCTCCTGCTCGATCTTTTGGTGATACTGCATGAACTCGTCCACCGTCGACATCACCACTGAAAGATCCTTGGGTTGCAAGATTTCCTTGACTTGGAGCCGCACTCCACGGTCTAAACAGAGAGAAAGAAGGAGAACGGCAAGATAACCTACCGCTACATTATGGTGGACTTCCGGAACGGAATCGGCCTGGAATTTTGTTAGTTAGAATTATCATGGTCAAGAAGAGAGGGAGTGTACATACCTGTGCAGTTGATTCCACATGTTCTAGAAACAGGTGGACGAGTTGATCGAGGATCGATTGAGAATCTCGAGACGTATTGAGGAACATAATGCGAGACTTTTCACTCTGTTCAGTCAAATTGATGAGAGCGCCCAGCGTCAATATCACCGTGTCCAGGGAACTGATTCCCTCTGGCTGGGAAAGAGTGACTCCATTTAATTCATTAAATTTGGACGTCACGATTTCAGCCAGCGCTTCAATCATAGGAGATGTTGCATAGTGATCGCACAGATCCGCGCTGCTATTCGTCACGTTCAAAATTACCCGGATGTAGAGGTTCTGAAGCTCCCGGCCGACCTCATCCGAGTCGTTTGGCACCTGGAGCAGGCTATGAAGCGCGGGAAGTGACTTCAAGGCATCGCAGTACTCGTCCCGGAGAAGACTGCTCGAAGTCGTATGTGTTTCAAGGAGGACCAGCCCCAAAACGAGTACCTGCGATCTTCCTTTCCCTATAGGTTGTTTGCTCTCTGGAGTGCATTCAGACAACAAAAGATCGACCAATTGTCTCAATAATCCTGTAGAAAGACCAGAGGGGGTTTCGCCTTTCTCTTTGAATGCGGAAATAGTCACTCTGAGGCAGAAGAGGGCCAAAAGACAAGGCGAAAATTCCGAACCGTCGACATCAGCAAATAATTTCGACTGAATTTTCGGTGCAATGTCTTGTACAATCCCTTGGGTCACTTTGGACAAATTATTCTCTCGGGCGCGTGCCACGACGGATACATCCTTCTGCACAGAAAGGAGAAGGGGCGCTGTTTCCAACAATTTTGGCCACGCAGCGGTTGCAATGATGTATGGCAGAGATCGACCAGCGCAACTCAGGCCAAAGGCAGAGAATGCAAGCGTAGCAGAGACCAAATCCAAATCTCTGGACAAACAATCCACAATTCTCTTGTCAAATCCACACTCCGCAAATTGCCGTGCCTGTTTGGGGTCTAGCAATTTGCCACATATCTGAGCCAACGCACCGCATCGGCCTGACACGGAGATCTGCGCATCTTCAATGTCCTCAAAGATTGACTCGATGGCACTTCGGTAGCGAGCATTTCCTCCGGCTTGTCTGAGCTCATGGATGCTTCGAACAGCCCCGTCATCATTCGTGACATCGTCTATTTCGTATAGACGAGCACGGGGAAGAGCCTCAGTCAATCCTTTGGGGCTGAACAGATCATCTCCTTCTATGCCAGCGGAAATATCGCCGGATAGATTGAGGTCGTCCAGGAAAGAACGCTGTCGAGCATACGTAACTTTCCCACCTAAGAAATGCGGAGACGGTGCGGTGGTGGGTTCTGGTGCAAGAAGATCACGTTGACTATTGCTGAGTGACTCAGCGCCAGTATCCCTGGGTCTAATTGGGCTTTGGGAGGCAACAGGGGAAGATAGTTGGCTGTCGGTAAAACCATTCGATGATGTCCGGTCGATTGATCTTTCTCTTGTTCCCAATGCATCGACTAACCTCCTCCTCCCCGGTGTTGTGTTTCCAATCGTCATATTTGTGGATTTCTGTGGACGCGAAGATATGGGCGAAGATATGGGCGAGAGCGACTTGGCACTGGCTTCAAGTTCGGGCTCTTTGTATTGTGGGCTTCCCTTGGCTGGCACCTGTTTCTGTAGCTCATCTTCCGACGATGAGACGTATTTCTGAGATCTTGAGCTTCTGCTGAACTTCGAGGGAGTCGGAGTCTTGGGCTTTTTAGGACTCGGTTGCTGGGTCTCAATGTCCCGCTTTTGTCCCTGGACCCTTTTTCGATCCTGCGGGGTTACCCTCGCCCGAGCTGGAGTAACTTGAGTATGAGTCTCCGGTATTTTTGAACTCAGAATGCTGTCCCCATTTTGCTTATCGTCTTCACTGGCTATTAAATCCGAGATTTGAAGTGTACTGATGCTGCTTTTCGGAGCACCACCCCGTCGTCGCTTCCGCTGTAGGATTAGATTGGCATTTTCGTCGTCAGAAGATGGAATATCGTAAACATTATCATCCGTAGCTTTTTGCGATCCTGCGGCTGCGGCTGCTTTGGTCGTCCCAGGGGTTCTTGGTCGTTTGTCGGCATTCGCATTCTCATAGCCGGAAATCCCGATCTTAGAAGAACGAGAGGCTAGAGTTCTCCTTGCAGGAGCAGGACTTGGGGCTGATTCATTCCCAGATATATTCTTCGATATCGACCGTCTCGACGAAGAGCCGTAGGTCACCTGCTTGCTGTTTCGGGGACGCGACGGATCCATTGTCGCGTTTCAAGACTGAACCTCTTAAACACGGTACATTTCATGCGCGCCAAAGGGAGGCGCGAGAAAACAATTGGGTTTTGAAAGAATTCGCAGATTCACAGATCGGAAAGATCGATCAGAGGAGCTTGAAGAGCTATCGTGTGCGCCACAGACATGCCGATTTCAGCATGGGGTTTCGTTTCAAGCGGAGATGGAGATGGGGGGGGGGGAAGTGTCGAGGGACCGTGCGGGATTTATTGTGCAATTCGGACTCGAGAGATCACGTCGCGGAAGACTTAATTGTCTGGTAAAGAGGATTCGATGGGAGATCCGAGTTCAAAGAGAGCAAGAGCAAGAGCAAATAGCAAGGTTGTCTGGTAGCCCCCGCGGATGCAGGAGTTGGAGAAGAGTCAAATGCGAATGCGACGGCAGGCGCAGGCGCAAAAGCAGAAGCAGAAGTGCGGAGTCCGACGGGAGGTCACTCGGTCCACGAGATACGCGATAAGAGAAAAAACCCTCCCCGCTTTCAGCTTCCTGTCTTCTATTTTACCTGGCGGGGTGATAACTCTTTGACAACTTCTTTCAGACCTCAACTCACTCAACATCATGGCTAGCAAAGCACAGGTCCCTTCTCCTGCCCAGGGTGTTGGTCCCATCTACCGCCCTGATGGCGAGAAGCCCACCGCAACCGTCTCCAAAGAGGTTTCCTACGATAATGTCCACGTGCTCCCGCAAACACCTCAGTTGATTGCTCTTCTGACGTGAGAATACCTTCCAACAAGATGAAAAGATCTCCTTGGAATGCTCTATCTCTAACAAAATAAATAGTATGATCCGAGATGGGCGTACCGCCCGTGCGGACTTCATCTTCTACTCCAACCGCATTATTCGCCTTTTGGTGGAAGAAGGCTTGAACCACCTGCCCGTAGTCGAGCAATCGATCCAAACCCCCGTTGGACGGGACTACCTAGGTGTCAAGTTTGAGGGAAAGATTTGCGGAGTGTCCATCATGAGAGCTGGAGAAGCTATGGAGCAAGGACTGAGGGACTGCTGCCGGTCAGTTCGGATCGGCAAGATCTTGATCCAAAGAGATGAGGAGACCTGCATGCCCAAGCTTTTCTATGACAAGCTTCCTGAAGATATTGCTGACCGATGGGTTCTTCTCCTTGACCCTATGTTCGCCACTGGTAGGTTCAATTTATGAATCATGTCATATCAATGGCATGGCCTCTCTCTTTGCTTCTGACCGCCCTACTGACACTATACAAAGGTGGATCCGCGACCTTGGCGGTGGAAGTGCTGAAGGAGAGGGGAGTCCCTGAGCATCGCATTCTGTTTTTGAATTTGATTGCTAGCCCCTCTGGCGTTGCCGAATTTGCGGAACGATTCCCCAAGTTGAGGGTCGTCACCGCGTTCATTGACCAAGGGCTGGATGAGAAGAAGTATACACGCCGCCTTACCCAATTATTTCATAGATCTAACGATACTAACGAAACTCACAGATACATCGTCCCTGGACTTGGAGATTTTGGCGACCGTTATTATACGCTGTAGAGCCAAACTTCTCGTCCAAGACATGGCATTGTAAGTTGAGGCTTGACGCATACGCTGCCCGGCTCCTCAGGCCTAAATATAGTATATAGTATCATGGGTACCCCAAGCATATAGCTTGGGACATCGTTGACGATGTTCACCTTCACTTCAATTCCAACTACTTCCAAGAAATTATTTGATTGCCAATGTCCCAAGTCCAACCGTAAATCCGTACAGTATATTGTTGATAAAAAGAGAAAATGTTGATTGCGTTTGAGTTTCGAAAGCAGAGCGCATCCGTGGACAAGAGTGATTGAGATCGAAACGAATTGATGGATGCGCCGGAAATAACCTTCATCGAATCGGTACCAGAACCATGCGCCGTTCGCCCCCTCCCTCCCTTTTTTAATTAAATCTCGAATATGATCAGTAATCGTCTTCATCGGCCTCCGCTAGTGCCGGCGCACCCTGTTTGCTGCTTGCCAGCTGCGAGCTCGTAGCGCCATCGTATTGGTTGGCGCTTTCCTTGGCCACAGCATCGCACGCGTCGACCCAGTCGGAATAAACGTCAACTCCAGCGGAGAGATCTAGCAGATTTGTGAGTAAATGCGCATAGTCGCCGGGGGGATTTCCAATTTCCACGTACAGTTGATGCCGGTCTGGAACTTCTGCCCGCAAACTTTGCAAGATAGATCGCCAAGACCCAGCTTCTTGTCTAGCTTGACAACGACCGAGTTTTCATGGTTGCAGAAGAGACAAGCGAATGTGGTGGCAAGAGGTTCCCGCTGGTCTCTGTTAGCTGGGATGGGGAAAGTGAAACGGATACGGGTAGAGGTCGTGTTCGTACCTTTCGCGGCCCTTGGGGTTTACTGGACGACTTGCGCTTTCCCTGTAGGATAGATGGTTAGGATGGACTGCGTGGAATGGACTCGGCGACATCCGACATACCATGCTCTAGGATGACAAAGTGAGTGTTCGCGATGGAGAGTTGGGAGTTGTGAGGGGTTGGCGCCGGTGCGGAGTACCAGCTATCGGAGATCCATTCTTCCGCGCCGTCCCCGTTCTCCAGCCAAGACTCAGGCACTAAGGCGGCTAGGAGGGTCGAAAGTCGTAAGTACTGGCTCAGCAATGGAATTGGAATTCATGATTGAGAAGGATACGAGTATACAGAATAAAATCAGATAATTCCGAGTTATCTAAACAGTACTGTTAATTTTCAACTGGAAATACAATATGGTTACCATTTACTAGTACGTAGATACATAGATAGAACTTCCCTTTAATCGCTATAAGACACAAGATCACCACCGCACTCCAAAAAAAAAAAAAACAGCCAAAGCAAAATCGACAGTGAGGTCAGTGATACTACTCGTAGTACTCCTACTCGCATCAGTAAGATCAGTCATCCTATAAAATAACCCACTCTGATTGGCTCTCCTCCGAACGGTAAATTTGTGAGTGTGTGTCACGTGCCGCTGACCTCAGCAGTAGGGCCTCGCTTAGCGAGTTTTCTGTGGGTTGGAAATTGGAAACCCTCCCTAGCCGTGCAGCGTGAATCTCGAAACCTTTGAGCGCCGTGGAGCGATACCTTTGTCTATCTTTCAACTAACACACAGATAGACCGATTCGCAATGGCTGTTGGAAAGTACGTCGCCCAACTCTTTCGATCCCCTTTACTGGCCCTATCCTCGTCTTCGCGTCCTCGTCGCCATCTCGAATTGATCGACTAACCCACTGGTCTTTAGGAACAAGCGCCTTAGCAAGGGTAAGAAGGGTATCAAGAAGCGCACTGTCGACCCCTTCACCCGCAAGGACGAGTACTCCGTCAAGGTGAGTTCCCTACATTTCTCAATCGCTTGCAAAGCGAATATTTAATTGGATTTCGAAATACTAATAATTCCACCCAGGCCCCCTCCACCTTCCAGACCCGCGAGTAGGACACCCCTCCTTTTTTTCTCCCTTGACTATCGATGACCATGGAACAATCGATCCGTTACAACGAACAACAGATGCTAACGAAAACCAAAGTGTCGGCAAGACCCTTGTCAACCGCACCAGCGGTCTGAAGAACGCCAACGACTCCCTCAAGGGCCGTATCTTCGAGGTCTCCCTCGCCGACCTGCAGAACGATGAGGACCACTCCTTCCGCAAGGTCAAGCTCCGCGTCGACGAGATCCAGGGCAAGAACTGCCTGACCAACTTCCACGGTCTGGACTTCACCACCGACAAGCTGCGCTCCCTCGTCCGCAAGTGGCAGTCTCTCATTGAGGCCAACGTCACCGTGAAGACCACTGACGACTACCTCATCCGTCTGTTCGCCATTGCCTTCACCAAGCGTCGCCCCAACCAGATTAAGAAGACCACCTACGCTCGCTCTTCTCAAATCCGGGCCATCCGCAAGAAGATGACCGAGATCATCCAGCGCGAGGCCACCAGCTGCACCCTGTCTCAGCTCACCCACAAGCTCATCCCCGAGGTTATTGGCCGTGAGATCGAGAAGTCCACCCAGGGCATCTACCCCCTGCAGAATGTACGTTCTATCTCTGGTGGAAGTTCTGTTTATCAGTCCTCTTCAGCCGACTAATTTTTCTGTTTCTTTCTTTCAGGTCCACATTCGCAAGGTTAAGCTGCTCAAGCAGCCCAAGTTCGACCTGGGCGCCCTCCTGTCCCTCCACGGCGAGTCGGCCACTGATGACAAGGGCCAGAAGGTCGAGCGGGAGTTCAAGGAGACTGTTCTGGAGGCCGTTTAAATGGCGAGACACAATTGGGGTGGTGTTTCTTTACGTGATGTCAGTTAGGTCAATCATGACATTTATTGTCTTCTCAGGATACTAGGAAAACAAAAAAGTTCACGACATGTATGGCACATTTCACATCATCAGGCTGAGACTGGTGTAGTTCAACCGGTTCTCCAAGGCGGGATCAACGTCATAAGATAAATCTGCTACTGCCATCCTCGTAGTCTCGCTCATGTGGTCAGTCTTGGTAGCCCTGGAGTATAGCCAGCGATGGCTTGGAACCATCCAAGGTTTTTTTTTGAAATCTGAACGACAATCCACGTAGTACCATCCATCTACTCTGCTATCTTGCAAAGTGGATTGTCTATGTCCGCATCATTGTAAACTACATGGCTTAGCATAGCTGGTATATGTGCTATGTTGCGTCCTGATATATTTGTGTGCTTTTTCTGGGACTAGGGCCACATCGAAGTACCTTCAACACCGGCGATCAAATATATCGTGTGCAAAGGATAGTACACATTTTGTTCTCAAAATTTAAAACTCAAAATTTAAAATTTAAAAACAGTTTCATCACTCAGCCTCAAAGTACATACACATTGTGTACCTACGTCAGCGTAGAGCACTGCGTGAGAACCGGAAAACTGCGCTAGCCCCAAAGAGGCAAAACTGAGCACGGGGGGCTGCTGGGACCGACTCCGCCAAAACGCGTTTTCGCGCGTTCCTCAGGCTAAATCCAACCTTCTCCCTTTCACCTCCCCCATCTCTCATCTCACTCCTACCCCCCCCCATCGGCAACCGAATCCTTCCTCGCATGCCACCCTAATCTCTGATTAGCCTTTCGCCTCACCCACCGCGCAAGTCTCGCAGCTTTCCGCAAGCTTTGCCTTGCACCAGATCGCCAACATGGCCGACAAGGTTGCGATTGACAAGAAGACTTTCTTCAACCACTTGTCCAACTTCTATGCGTCATGGAAGGCTGACAAGCGGTCTGGAAACACCCTGTTCGGTGGTGCAGACTCAATCGTCATTCTTATGGGAAAGACCAACTCGAATGAGAGCTCATTTCAGAAGAACAACGCCATGCACGTATGTCATTCATTCACCCACTCCTCTCTGGTGGCCCGGCGCTCTTGATGTTCTTCCTGCTAACATACTATCTTTGTTATCAAAGTTCTGGCTCCTCGGATACGAATTTCCCGCTACCCTCTTTGTCTTCACCACCGAGGCCGTACACGTTGTCACTACCGCAAAGAAAGGTGCGTCCTGCCAATTTCGCTCTTCCTCTCAGAATACTGATACTAACGCGGTGGGAATATAGCCGAGCTTTTGGAGCCGTTGAAGGGTGGCAAGATTCCCGTCGAGATTTTGGTGACTACCAAGGAACCCGAGACTAAGACAAAGGCATTCGAGAAGTGTCTGAGTGTCATCAAAGAAGCAGGAGTATGTCATTTGCCCAAGTTGGAAGATGTTCTTTACTAATACCCGAAACAGAAAAAAGTAGGCACTCTTCCGAAAGATACGACCACCGGACCCTTCGCCGATGAATGGAAAAACGCTTTCAAGGATGTCCAGAAGGATGTGGAGGAAGTCGACATTACCCCCGCGCTTTCATCCGCCTTCGCCATCAAGGACCCCGAAGAGCTGGTTTCCATCCGCAATGCTTCCAGGGCCTGCAGTGGTCTGATGTCGGAGTACTTCGTCGATGAAATGTCTCGTCTCCTTGATGAGGAAAAGCAAATGACACACAAGGCTATTGCCGCAAAGGTGGATGGGAAAATTGACGATGCGAAGTTCTTCAATAAGCTTGCGCGTCTGCCGGCCGAGTTCGATGCCGAGCAGATCGACTGGGCTTATGGACCTGTGGTCCAGAGTGGTGGTTCCTACGACTTGAAGCTGACAGCTACATCCGATGGCAACAACCTTAAGCCTGGCATTATTCTTTCCAGCTTCGGAATTCGGTATAAAACCTATAACTCGCTCATCGGGCGCACTTATTTGGTGGACCCGAGCAAGTCTCAAGAAGCAAACTACTCATTGCTGCTCAATGTTCACGATGCTGTGATGAAGGAGATCCGTGACGGGGTTGTGGCCAAGGAGCTATACAACAAGGCGCTCAGCGTAGTCAAATCGAAGAAGCCTGAGCTCGAGAACCACTTGACAAAGAATGTTGGTGCCGGAATCGGTATTGAGTTGCGCGACTCAAACATGGTTCTCAATGCTAAGAACAACCGCCCTCTCAAGAACGGAATGACGCTCTGTATCAGCATCGGGTTCACAGATCTGAAGGATGAAGCCAAGGGCAAAGGAAACTACTCTATGGTCATTACCGACACAGTCCGAGTAGGAGAGAGTGGTCCCCACATTTTCACCAAGGATGCCGGCGTCGATATGGACTCTGTCTCCTTCTACTTCGGAGACGAAGAGGAGCCGGAGCAGCCCAAGAAGGAGAAGGAGTTAAAATCGAGTACCGTGAATAGCCGAAACGTTACCCGCACGAAGCTCCGTGCTGAACGTCCCAGTCAGAGCAACGAGGGTGCCGAAGCCCGCCGTCGTGAGCATCAAAAAGAGTTGGCTTCCAAGAAGACCAAGGAAGGTCTTGATCGATTTACAGGCACCACCGGAGATGATAATGGTGTGGCGCAGAAGAAGTTCAAGCGCTTCGAGTCTTACAAGCGTGATAACCAGCTGCCTGCTAAGGTCAAGGACCTCACAATCTATGTCGACCACAAAGCCTCGACTGTCATTGTGCCAATTATGGGAAGGCCTGTGCCGTTCCACATCAACACCATCAAGAACGCTAGCAAGAGTGACGAGGGCGAATACGCCTATTTGCGTATCAACTTCCTCTCGCCGGGTCAAGGTGTTGGCAGAAAGGATGACCAACCGTTCGAAGATCCATCGGCTCATTTCGTCCGCAACCTAACATTGCGGTCCAAGCACAATGATCGCATGGCGCAAGTTGCACAGGACATCACCGAGCTTCGAAAGAATGCCCTGCGACGGGAGCAGGAAAAGAAAGAGATGGAGGACGTGGTTGAGCAAGACAAGCTCGTTGAAATCAGAAGTAAGTTTCATTCATATTCGACATCACCCGCAATATCACATATACTAACCTATCTTTCTAGACCGCCGTCCCGTCAAACTGCCTGACGTCTTCCTCCGTCCCCCGCTGGACGGAAAGCGTGTTCCTGGCGAAGTCGAGATCCACCAAAATGGTCTCCGCTACCTCTCACCTTTCCGCAATGAGCATGTCGATGTGCTCTTCAGCAATATCAAGCATCTTTTCTTCCAGCCGTGTGACCATGAACTGATCGTCTTGATCCACGTGCACCTCAAAACACCCATCATGATTGGAAAGCGAAAGACGCGCGATGTTCAGTTCTACCGCGAAGCTACCGAGATGCAGTTCGATGAGACGGGAAATCGCCGCCGCAAGAACCGCTACGGCGATGAGGAGGAATTCGAAGCCGAGCAGGAAGAGAGACGCCGAAGGGCTGCCCTGAACCGCGAGTTCAAGGCTTTTACTGAGAAGGTCTCGGATTCCGGCAAGGATGAGGGTGTTGATGTTGATATTCCGTTCCGTGAAATTGGTTTCACTGGTGTGCCCAACCGCTCCAATGTCCTGATCCAGCCTACTACGGATACTCTTGTTCAGCTCACTGAGCCTCCTTTCATGGTCATCACTCTCAATGAGATTGAAATTGCCCATCTAGAGCGCGTGCAGGTATGTTTCCCGGGTTTCTTTCCCCCGCTATCTATATAAAACCCTTGCTAACATGCCCTTTTTTTTTTCTTTCTCTAGTTCGGGCTCAAAAACTTCGACATGGTCTTTGTCTTCAAGGACTTCCACCGCCCACCGGTGCACATCAACACCATCCCCGTCGAAGCGCTGGAAGGTGTCAAGGACTGGCTCGACTCCGTCGACATCGCATACACAGAGGGTCCACTGAACCTGAACTGGTCGACCATCATGAAGACGGTCGTCAGCGACCCGTACGGTTTCTTCGCCGACGGAGGTTGGTCATTCTTGGCCGCTGAGTCCGACTCCGAGGGCTCTGGTGACGAAGAAGAATCCGCATTTGAATTATCCGAGGATGAGATGGGCGAATCGAGTTCCGAGGGGGACAGCGAGGGGTATGATGATGATGCTAGCGCTGATGCTAGTGAAGATGAGGAAGAGCTCAGCGGCGAGGAATCTGGCGAGGACTGGGATGAACTTGAGAAGAAGGCTAAGCGTGCGGATAAGGAGACTGTTATGGAAGATGAGGGTGCTGGTAAGAAGCGCAAGCGGTAAATGCAGTTCTTCAATGGGGTGGTTAATTCAATTACGTTGTTTCTCTCTCTCCTGTCCAGGATTTCTTTGTTCTTTCACACGGGGAGAGGCCTATGGAGGACAAAGAGTAGAGGGCGAAGGGAAGGGAAGGCTTCTTTCTTTACTTGGTATTTACCAAGTTATGTATTTTTTTTTGGAGAAACCGGAGTGTTTTCTATGAATTTATCTGATTTGATTTGATTTGATTTAAAATGAACCATGTGCCACTTGGGCACACAATGTAAGAATGTAGATGTAGATATAGATGTAGATGATAACCCCAGCCCTAACTCTATAACAAGAAAGAAAAATCCCAACGAGGAAAGCCCAGTCAACTCCACGAGTAAAGTTTAGGATCACTGTACTCAAGTTATATCTTGGAAGCCCTCATTTCCCTCTCCTCATACTCCCCCACATACTCCTCATCCTCCGGATCTGACCACCAGTAAAACTCTCATAACAAACATCACTCGAATAATCCATAAAGTCATGAACCAAATCCTCCCCAGGAAGATCAGGACAACTATCCCTTCTAGCAGGACACCCTCCCGTAGGCGAAGACTGCTGCGGCGTATCATCAATATAATCCCCGGGATTCGACTCATCGCAACTCTCGCCCTGAAAAGTATGCAGTAGGCCATTCCAGTGTCCGATTTCATGAATCGCTGTTCCGCCTCGGTTATATAGGTCCAGAGTTCCGCCTGGCATTGTTTGCGCTAGGACGTTGCAGCCGTCTTTGACGTAGGCACTACGCGGGCTGTTGGCGTTTATGCTGGGGTCTGGGAGGGTGCAGAAGCCTAGGACGCTGGCGGAGAGATCGTCAGAGGCTGAGTTGGCTCTGGATGAGGTGCGGCCTGATTGGCCTGGTGCGGCTTCGAGGTTTGTTTGGAAATATACGTTGAGCGTTTTGTAGGTTCCTTTTCGTAGGGCGGTTTTCATGCCGATGTCGTCGGTGTCGTGGGCCCAGGCGTCGTTTACGTGTCGAGTTATTCCTGCTAAGCGGTATCTGATGCCGGCGTCTTGGTATGAGGATTGGAGGATTGAGAGCTGGCAATGATTGGTCTTTGGTTAGTACTGACTGAACTGTGACTGACTGTATGATCTTCGACCACCTTCCCCCTTGCTCGAGCCCTAGCAGGCAAGGTACAAGGAGGAGAGCAAGAGCAAGAGCAAGAGCAAGAGCAAGAGCAAAAAGTAAGTAACTAACCTGGCTATTAATCATATCATCAGAAACCTGACCCGCCTCAGCCTTACTACTGATAATATGAAACCAAGTCTCAATCTCAATAGGCCCATTTCGAGCTTCGGAGTCAGTGGTGTTTGAATTTGACTCGTCGACTCGGACATTATGCACTGCGTCAAGGAAAGCTGGATCTGGATGCTCGGTGCCGCAGATACCGCGTTTCTGCTGAGAGGCTAAGGGGGAGCAGTGCGTCTGCAGGAATAGTAGGTTCAGGGCTGTGAGGAGAAGAACCACGGGAGCAAATGAGTGTCGGACCATGGTGTTGGTGTTGGAGGGGCTCCTGTCGTGATCTGATCTTCAAGTTGTCGTGATCGTTTTCCCACTGGGTTGTTGCCGGTGTTATTATTCCCCCGTCACACACGCTGAAAGAATAGATGGAGGCCGGACATCCCTACGCATTCTCTATATGACCGGACCTTGCCACGGTGCTAGTGCCAGGCTAGGCTAGCGAGAAAGCTGGCTGGCTGCTGCTCCGATGGATGCCATGAGCTTGGCCGGGGAATGCGGCGTCATCAGTGTGGAATGCATGCTGCAGGCAAGGGGGGGGGAGCGGGAAAAATAAGGGTTGATGGTGGGAACGTGTCTATCATTGACGCATTGGGGGATTCCTCGGCAGTCTTGATGAGGTCATTTTGGGGAGGGGGGAAATGCTGCTTGTTGTGACAAATGTTGGATTGGATAGATACATAGATATAAACGCAAACTCCTTGATAAAAAAATAAACATAAACACCTGATCCGGGACGGGAATGGTCCACTTAATTTATTCACAGACCCAATTGCATTTGCATACTGGAGAGGAAACCTCAGGGAGGGAAGGAGCCAAGATAGAAGATAAAATGAGAAGACTTCTGCTTTTTTTGGAAGATTTTTGTGAGGATTAGTTCTGTTGGTTTGGTCCAGTTCGGTCCAGTTCGGTCCAGCTTTTTTTTATCGTCTAGGGTGCACCTCGATCATCTCGTCCGGTGGTCGTTGCGGTGCTGGGCTGATCGGTTGTATCCCAGGTTAAGTAGGTGTGATCACCCAGTTTCCTATGGAGACAATATAATTAGCACGAGGGTTCAAGTCAAGTGGTCTCCATTCGGAATAGTCATACCTAGGCCGAACCAAATAAGCAATCGTGAACAAAGCCCCCAGAAGCACACACACTCCTCCCACAACAACATAAGCAATTCCCATGAAAGGATTCTTCCCGCCAATAACGGTGCGCGTCGAGAGAAGAATCGCCTTCGTTCCGGAGTACTCGGTCACATTGAATCCTAGAATCATCGTTAGCAGATTATCCCGAACTAGAAAACTTCCAACCATTCCATTTCACCCTGGCAAACATACGATCTGTAATATCCAATTGATAAGTCCCCTTCTCCATAGCAGTATCATCATTCCTGCGCGACAACTTGCTAAAAGAAGGTAACCCCGCCGTCCTCATCCAAACCATGAAATCCTCATTCTCATGTAAGTTCGGAATACCATCCTTCTCATAATTTTGATCGGCCCAATTCGGCGGCGCGACGACGTCGTACTGGCTGTATTTGGTCTGCTTATACAACTCCTTATCACTCGACCAAGCGATTCCCTTCTTCGTCATGCTGTACGTAGTAGTCGAAGACTGGTCTCCGGACAGGAGCTTGGGTTCCGAAATACTATCGTTGAACATCGAGTTCGCAATTAATCCACATGGGTAAATTGCTTTCTGGGTCTTGTCGTCGACGGCAAGCGGGGAACAGGTGCTGCCCTTAATGCTGGAGTTGGACACCGCTGTGCCCTTCAATTGGTCCAGGGAGAGCGATTGCACGTAGCGTCGGTGGTTTTGGTAGAAGTTCGTCAGGCGGTAGTACATGAAGACGGGCGGGCCCATTGATTCGGGGATTTCGAACATCAGGGAGCAGGTTGTAGTGCCGTTGTCTTTTGAGACGGATTTTTTCCATGACGGTGTTGTGTTTGGCTTCGATTTGAAGGTGTAGGATACCTGGTGCGGTATACTTTGCCATGTTGAAGGGGCTTGCGCTCCGCAGTCGGTGTAGTCGAGTACGAGCTCTTGAACCTATGATTTGACACAAAAACGTCAGCGACACGCGCGGCGAAACGGGAGGAGGCGGGAAACGATGTCGAGTGACACGCGCGCGCGCGGCGAAATGGGGCTTTGGGGAGGGTCGGATAGCATACCTGGGAACTGGCCCAGATCAGAACACCACCGATGGGCGCGAAGAGAACGCCGACAATGAAGAATAAGGGTAAGACACTTTTGGGTGTCAGGATCGGTCTAGGTCGAGGTCAGTACATCCAGGGGTTCTTGCAAGAAGGATATCCAGGATAAGCCGGAAGTGACGGGCTTACTGCCAGGCCTTCAATCGCTGCTGTCGGAAAGCAGTATCTAACGTGTCTGTCAGTCTCATCCAACAATAGTCATGAGAGAATCATTTCGTTCCAAGAAGCACTCGACGGTGCGGAGGGAGACGGATGGGGGACGGGTGGGTGGATGCGCACTGGCTGGTCTGCGGGACTTGGGCTTCTTGTCTGCTTCGGCAGCGCGGGTGCGCTCATTTTCATCGACCGACTCGGGCCGAGTCACATCATCCTGCGACATGGCGACGGTGTTACGCGTGGGGAGCGATGCGATGTCGATGGCGATGGCGTGGCGATGGGGAACTTGAAGGCGGAACGGAACGTATGTACGAAGGGACAAGGAAAAAGGCGGCCGGGGCGGACAAGAGATACGCTGGTAGACCAATCAAAACATCGGATGGTCCCCACAGCCTACAACAGACAGAGTGTACTAGATGACGTAGGCTTATTTTTAGAACACAGCCTCATTGAAATTGGAATAGAATAGAATAAACTACTAGTAGTTATTACTAGTTATTACAAGTGGTTGTTGTGATATTGACTACAGTCGGATTACTGTATTTGTTGAACTTCGGGAGCGGATGTGCTTCATGTATGTATAATGTCATTGCAAACAAACGAATCGTATCTGGTCAGGGTATCATATCATCCCGAGTACTGAAACTGGTGCCAAAGAAAATCCCTTTCAAAAGGGCGTGCAAGAACCAATCAATGTAAGAAAAAGTCACATAAACACCGCATGTTGTCCCAAGCCGGCCATTCTAGATGGGGGATACAAAAATAAAACAAGACATGTGCGTGGGCACAACAAATCCAAGAACGCCTTAGCCAATATCCAATCCAAGGGGAAATCCATGCAGCAAAGGCAAGAGCAACGCAACGCAACGTATCGCATGCAAGCAAGCAAGCATGGGGCGAGTGGGGGAATGAGCCCCAAAAAAAATGAATGTGTCGTAATGCATCATTGGCAAAATGGTAGCCGAAAAAAAGGAATAAAAATAATAATAAAAGGTTGAGGGGAGGGAGAGAGAAAAGAATGAGAATTCAGCGACGAAACCCCAAAGTGATCGGAGGTGAATGGACCTGTCTTCCCATAGTTGAGGATGGGAAGATAGTACTCCGCAGAGGGAGGAGGAGAAAATAGTAGATCAGGGCTGGAGTCAATGACAATTAATAATCGTTCGGTCCGAGAGGCAAGGACGGTCAGTTTACTGGATCTGGAAACATCCATAGTCTGTCTGGTCTGGTCCGGGTTGGACTCTTTGGTCGGCGAGATGCCGAATCTTGCGGTGAATCCGGAGACGGAGAGGGGGAGGGGAGTGGGAAGGTGGAAGTGTCGCGATACATCAAGCGACGGGGGGAGGTGAGATGGGGTAGGAGAGGGATGGCAGGATGGCACTCTAGGCCAGTCATTTGCGAAATCCCTCGACGATGTGAATCGAGATGTTCTTTATCTCAAATATTCACGGAAAAGATCCGGTCGGAACCAACCAACCCGATCATAGGCGGTCCATAACTTGCTGGCTTTATTGACGTCAATTTTGCAGGCCTGCTGGGCATCTGTTTTGCGAAACTCCTTGCCTACACTCAAGGCGCGGACACGAGCCTCGAAGATGCGACGCTTGCTACACAGATATGTGGCACAAGACAATCTCAGGGTGGAGGCTAGATTGAGCTCGGCGGGACTGAGCAGATGTCGGTCCGGGTCATTGCTCAAATCCAGCATTTGCCCCTTCCAGTCAGCCTTGAGCGCTTTCGTATTACCCGCCAGGATCTCCATGGGAGGCGAGAAGTCCTGCAGGGCATTGAAATCCGTGTCATCCCGGTTGGTACCGATGGATCCACGTGGCTTGGCATTGGCTGGCAGAGGGGAGGATTGGTAGTCAAATGAATCCAGGGCTTGCTGCTTGGGGGTAGATTTGGGAGTACGGCGCACTCGGGTTCGGGGCGCACGCTGAGCTGGGGTGAGACCACCCCCGACTTGACGATGCTTATCCGATCTGTGATTCTTCGCGGGAGCGGGGGCAATCTTCTTCAATCGGGCATCCAGGTCGGCTGGGCGAGTGCGATTCATCAAGACCAACTGGCGTTCCAGCGTCTCTCGTTCCTCGCGGGCCCAGGCGGCCGGGTTACGATTGTAGTGAGTTGAGACGACCGGCACACATGATAGGGCGAGGAGATATTCTTCTCTGGTGGGTTTATTCCTCTTGTTCTCAAACCTGGCCATATGCGAGATGATATGTTGATCCACCAAGGCAGCCGCAGCAGGGGGTGCAATGGGACCGAAGAGGGGCTGTTCCTGTTCCTGTTCCTGTTCTTCCACGCCAGTGACCGAGTCATGACGAGGAGGGAAGAGAACAGGATCGCGAGTGGAAGCAACATCACGATCAATTTGATCGGCGGTATGCGATCGTGCACGCTTCTTGGTGGCTGTATAAGGCGTGACGGGTGGCGACGGGAGATCCATCTCGGACTGTGTGCGCTTGCGATCAGCTGAGATGGGAGGTAATTTAATATCGAGCGATGGGGAAGAGTGAAAGGTCTCCATTGGCTTTGACTCGGGGGGGAGACATTAGGCTCGATACTGGTAGACGATGCATCATGGTTGGGTGTTTGCCTGGATATTGCGACCCAAAGGTCATTTCCAGGGTGGGTGGGGTGTGTATGTGGGGATAAATTGGGTAATTGGGTAATTGGGTAGAATTGGGATCTGGGAGATGGAAGAATTGCAGTAATTGCAGGAATTGCAAAAGTTGCAAGAATTGGGAGATGATGAAGATGGAGAGAGGGGAAGGGGAAGGGGGGGAAAAGGGAATTGATGGGTTAAATGATGAAAGGAAGTCAATGGAATAGGCAGCGGTAGAGTGGAAGAGTGGAAGAGGGCGGCAGGGGGGATTTGTCAGGCAGTGGCGACGGGGTTAGTGAGTCAAAGCCGAGAGAGAAAAGGGAAAAGGGAAGAGAGGAAAGGGAAGAGGGGGACTAGAACTAGCATGGTCTGACTGGCGCCTATTTAAGGATGAGTCAATCAGGTCAGAGTCATGGTACGAGTAATATTGTATCAAGTTATTAAGACTCACCTTTCGAGCAGCAGTACAACCACATGACAACCTTCATGCGGGCACGTCGCTCATTCGTTCATGGGTGGATGCCCGGGTGTTGCACTAAGCCTCTTTTGGTCTATCCAGGCGATCCCAAGAGGCGGAGTCCCACCAATAATGGTCGAGGATTCCAGGGAGGGTAGCGTGATCGGGCGATCGTGGTCTGAGATCATAGATCATGAGAGCATTGATTTCAATTGAAGAATGGGGATGTCATCATACAAAAAAGCAGGTCCAGAGTAGAGAGGGTATAGATGATATGGTATCTACAGTCGCTGTAGCATTGTGTTTATAGAGTATACTGACCTAGGTACTATACGTATACCACAGTACCGGTGGTATACTGCCCCGTGCGATGTATCCTTATCTAAACCGCCAAGCTGATGTGCACGGCTCCCGAGGCTAACTGCGCCATTGGGGCCCAATCTCACTCGTCTCACTCGAAATCACCCTATCGCATCCGTTGCACCTTTCAGATGACCCCTGGCTTGATCATCCTGACAAGGCCAATTCCTGTCCAGAGTACAGAGTAGGGGAGGCCTCCTGTAGACTTTCTCCGACCGTATCAGTTCATGTGAAACAGCTCTGGACCACTCTGCTCCAGACCCACTGACGAATCAATACTGTGTACAGTACGCGGCGCGTACGAGTACTGCGCACTGTATGTAGATGATTTGATCAGTGGACCCGATGACATCAACCCGCTCGAAACGCCCAGGCACTCCACATTTATACATAGCATCAAAATTGCTGAACCTTCCGAGAAATATTACCCCTGCACCATAAGTTAGCCTGGTCGCTATCTATGTGATCTTATGTCGTACGTCCCATCCATCACGTAGTTTAAATTACAACAGAAAGCCTAGAAAACAATGCCTTCTCAGAAGTATCCACTATTCCAAGATATGCGATTTTGCCCCATTATCTAAGCGTTACGGTAGCCAAAAAAATCCTCAATGTTTTTCAATTCATCTCCACTCACACAAAATCAGCACAGGCAAAAAGTGAAACTTCGCCACCAGGAATTGGAAAGATAAACTAGAATTCATCTTGATTGCCTCTTACACGGCGGCACCGCGGACCGGAGCCGTGGATAACCGCGATTAGCCCTCTCATACTGGGACTACAAGGGCCAGCCCATAAAGATACCACATATTGGGGATGACCCGAGCTGGGATACTGGACTGGTTAGCGCATAGGCATATGGGTACATAGTATATAACTACTCATTAAGGCACTTTTGAGGTATTGGTGCCTAAGGCATCAAAGTCGGAATCACAAAATCATACTTGGATGAGGATGTGAAATGCAGGTCCTACAAACCGGAATCGACGGTGACCTTTAGCTTATATGTTTATATTACAGCCGAACGTGATAGCCAACGACGCAATCGCGGGTTTGATTGTGAAGACTGGTCCAGAGTCACTACCTCGGGCATGTTGCCATCCCTTCCTCATCTATAGATAGCTTCGCTCTCTCGCATTGTGTCATCCTCTAGCAAGCACATATGAGAACAGTGATTCAAGGGTAATTAACCTAGCCTCTACCTTCTAGCTCTTACGAATGCAACCTAGGGGCAAAAGTACATTTGAATAATTGCTAGCATAATGTTACTGATTGGCCCCTCTTTCAATAAATAAATAGCGAGTAGGTGGATTGTGAAGAGCTCGGGTACGACGAAGATCAAGATACGAATAATACAAACAGGCAATCTACAATAGCATACAATGAAAGTAATAGGCTTAGAGAAGAAAAAAGAGGGGGCAAGAACTACGACATAGGCTTTGACATTTGTACGCAAGGTAGACTGTCCTAATTCTCTCATAATTGAAATCATGATATAAATTTCCCAGGGCCATTGCTACTCATGCTAGCCGGCCACTTGGGTACATTAGCGCATTCACATGACTCGTCAAACTTGACCCCCAAGACCCTGAGGCTGAATATTTCCCAGGATGATACATCCCCTCAGCTACTTATATCGACTGAGCCCAGCTGTGCCATCTTCGCACCCACTCGTTAGATCTCATTTGGTCTAGATAACTACCCAAAGGTACGAAAGCGGATATATCCCTAATAATACCATCAACATCTCGAAGTCAAGGACTACGTATAATTTCTAGCGTGGCTGAAGTTCTGGGAACGGTTTCCGCCGTTATTGCAATCGCAGAAGCTATGTTTCTTCGGAACTTCATGAGCTTTACACAGCGATGAGGGATGCGCCACCGAGAGATTAGCTCGGAGTGCCAATCGGGTGGGGGAGATAACCCGCGGTACTTCTTTATTATTTATTCGATTAAGAACTTCCGTGACTGGATTATGAGGGTCCACAATGCGATAAGAGATGCAGGAATAACAATCAATGGACTATCGACCGAGATGGCCACGGATTTCAGCCAAACAGAGGCATCGGTGAGCATCTTCAAAAACAAAAGCACTTCTTTGATGGTTCATAACATTAACATTACAAATTGTCAAGCCTAACGACTCCTGGGTTGCCACTATGGTTTCCGGGATTCCTGGTATATTCAGTAGAGGATTTGAGGATTTGCTACGTTCTTGACACAGATAGGGAAGAATGCAGCGGAGCTTTCTGATAAAGCGTCCAAAGTGGCTAAGGAGGCCGCGGCCGCAAAAGATACCCCAAGGCCAGCGACGCCGTTCTTGATGTTAGTGGAATGGCAGGAGTTGCAGGTGGCACGACCACCATAGGGAACGGCGTTGCAAATGGTTTACTATCCTCCGCAACAGACGTGTATGACCCCTCTCTCACACACCCATCTTGCAAGGGATGGTTCTAATATACTCTATAGTATTCAAACCGAGATCAATGTAATGGGCGACCTCCAATTTGTAATCACCAGCGGAACTAAAATGCTTCAAAATGCCGTACTCTCATTTGGTAGAGAAGCTATCACCGGTGCGGTAAACGACCCAGACAATAAGAGTTGGTATTCGAACAGCCGAACAGGCGCAATTGTGTCCTTGCGAGATGGACTCTTTGCTACTCCGGCCCCCGCGGAGTCAAATATAACTTGACTACTGCTATGATGCAAGCATATTATGCCGCTGCCGTCTCGGCAATTTGGATAGAGCAGGAAGTTTTCATTGCTAAGCTATCTTCTGGTTTGTATGATAATTGGGATGACACCGTCTGTGGCCTTTTCAAACAAAGACCAGATCAAATAATACCTGACGAAACATCATTATTCGGTGATGGAGATACAGACTATTTCGTTAAGAGGACGAGCGCAACTCCAACTGACGGGAGTGGCTATCTACCGGTCAAAGGCGCCGAGAATACAGTCTTGGGGAAATATGGGTTGTATATTTTGACTGTAGTCAAATCCGCTGAGTGGACTCAAGCAAATGTTGGCTTTGGTTCTGAATGGACTGCCGGTTGGGTTTCAGAGACTCTTCTCAATCAAGGTGATATCAACGTCTCAATTTATATGAGTATCCCGGTTTTGGATCTAGTTCAATTCAGAGGCAATAGCGACGTTTGGTCAGACAGTCGCTACACAGGAGGACATTGCAATTCAGAAGTACGTGCCAAGCTTGTTTCCTGCATCAAACTTTCTTTGCTGTCTTCTATCCCTCTCTGTCTATCGTTCTCTCTCTAATGACGTTTATTTTTTTTCTAGTGTCAGCTACAGTGGATCGTTGACCATGTTGGTTACTTACAAAGCACCGCGATCAATAGCAAGGTTCAGAGATGGCCGTATAAAAGCTTCTATCCTTCGGACTCGGAATGAGCTAGCGGTCTATACAATAGGGATTGCTAGTACGGAATCTGTACTATAGCCTATGATAGATAGTCTCAGAAATACTGTTGAATTCAGGAAGGAATGGCAATCCTTCAGAGAACTTATACCGCACTATCCTGTCCTTGCGGAATCCAAGTAGAAGAGTGTGACGCCAGGTTAAATCAAATGGATGGACGATAGGTAGATCCTACGCATAATGTCTTCAAAGGGTTACTTTAGGTGACAAAGTTTCCATTTTCGATCGTAGAGGCCAAATTTTTCTCCAATTGTTGCTTCCGCTCCTCATACTATCATCTAAAAACTTGTTCATAAATCTATCCCATGGGAACCGGGTTGTTTTTAAGGAGGCTTGGGTTTGGTTCTTGACTTATTCTCGATTGCTACGTTATGTTTGCCTGAATGCGTGAGTGGATTATACAGGAAGAAAGCCAGCTAAGTATAAAAATTATGTTCCTTCACTCAGGTACGTATAGTATGTAAAATATAACTATTATAATATTTCTTAAGTCAGATTGAATAATCTTATAGGGTATAGCGCTAAAATTATCGTAGTACTATCTACAGTAAAAATTAATTTAATAAGCTGTTGAAGGAGCCAATGAAGTAAGAATGGAATAATAAGTTCTAATGAGCTTTTAAGTCAGAGAAACTTTCTCAAGAAAATTATAAAATAATAGGTAAGTAAAGGGTAAAAAACTCGATTACTAAGAGTCGTTTAAGCTAACCGACTAGGCATCATTGAAAGGGACTTATAATAAGAAGTCGTAGAAAGAAATAACGATTAATTCAGAATTAGTAAACAGAATTATAGAAAAAAAAAATGAATATAGTCAACTGCTCGAGCTAGAAAACAACATTGTTGAGAAATGGTAATCCTTAATGTCTTTCAACGATCAACTTCAACTTCTAGCATCAATTCTCTCAGATTCTTCCATTTGCCACGCTCTCCAATGACTGCCTGGGATTAACTCTGCAATTTCTTCAACGATTCTTAGATAAAATTGTACCTTCAATGGTAGCCTCATTTCCTTCAACTCTCTTTAACGATTACGATAAACCAAATCCTGAAACGATTTTTAAACTAACCCCCTTCACCTACTTCCTATATCAAAAATTTTAACGACTTTCTGACACTAATCCACTGTCAATTAGGAAGAGAACGGAAAAATGTAAGCCGAACACGCCCGTATATAAGAAGAAAGTATCGAGAAGCTCGGCGAGCTAGTCCCGATGGATGAACCAGAACATGCATATATTAACATTGAAAACGAGGAGCGTCTCAGCACACTTGTTGTTTCTCGGCTTGTGCCCTGAAACGAACGAAGTGAGCGAAAGGGGCTTAATCGACGCACATTAACATAGCGCGAGACGTGGAATTAAGAAGAATATAGAGTGTCTTGCCACGCACTTTTCTTATTGCTTCGCTCCCGCTGCTTCCCCACCCTGCTGGTGCCGTTTTGTTGCCTTCCTCGCCTTAGGTCAGGGCCATAGAGTTATTTCTGCAGATATATGCAAGATACTGCTCTTCTATTGCTTCATTCTCTGCACGTTTAATGCTCATCTACGAAGACGGCTATTGCATTATTGCCACTGTTCTGCGTGGTGGGTCTATTTTCATTTGCTCTCTTTGTACTCCGTAGTTGTGCTTCACATTTCTATATCATGACCGGTATTTGCCTCCGATCCTATCATTTTTACATAATGCTCACCGTGCGTTCTTGTAATTGTTGTGGTTGCTGAGTGTGTTTACCGTTAAGTATTCAGCCTCCGAAGTGTCCTGCTTGTCGTCTGCCTGCTTCACGCCCCATTACTAACAGTTGTCCCTGCTTGTGCTGCCAAGTTCCAATTCCTTCTGGAGCCCTGAATCCTCTTTGCGTGAACACCTCTATATTGCCAAAGCGACCTCGTTTACTGGCGTGGCATCGCTTACTGCTCCGGTTGCAACTCTCGAAGGCTACCGACTATGCTTCCTGCCGTCGACTTCTTTCTGTATACTCCACATCTTTTAATCCGTTTGTTAATTCTTTTCAGTTACCGTATGCTTCACAGCAAAAAAAGACAAAGACTCAACTTGCCGTTAGTAGAACCCCCGCTAGCCCGTGTGGGTAGCTCCTGTGGTAAGAGCGCCTACACTACTGAAATACGACGAGTATTGGCCAATGACCCCATTCTTCTATCGTTCAAATACGGCCTTGATAGCTGTGGATGGTCTGACGAGGGCCAGAACATATACTCACTCTGCTATACTGCTCTTCTCCAAGGGTCCGTTTCGAAGCTCTCTATAAGGAACAAAATCAATGTTACTCTGTGTCAGCATTATCCCGACCTTCTCAAAGACCTCACGCTTACAGAAGAATACCTTATCGCTAAGTCCTATTCTGTGGGTGTGATTTTGAAGCTACGCCCGCCCCTGAGACTAAAAAGCTATGAATCCTGACTTAGAACACGCTAGTCTAATTTGAGTCCCTCCTTGTAGATCCCTATAGGGCTGCAATGGTATTCGCTGGTAAAAGAAATGATTTATTGCTCTATTGTCGTACTGAGGGGTAGGAACTTTTCGAATACAATCAGATTAACGAAGAGTCTTGCCAGATTGTTGGATTTCCCTCTGTAACGAACCTAGGTTGTTACCATTGTCGGTGCCTTACACATAGCATCCGCTTAGGCATCCGCGCCTAGTTATGTACATATATCTAGTAATTTTCGTCTCTTTTTCCCCTTCTTCCTCAAGCTGTTACTTTCGTCGAACCGCTACTACTATCTTGCCAGATATCGCTACGTTGTATCCTGATTTCTGTGAGTATCTGGGCATTCTCACACCAAGAGGATAAATCATTGTTACCGGGAGACCAGGCAAAAGCATCCATGTACAACAACTTCATGTATAATAAACAGGTAACTATTGTTTTAATCTGTCATCTAAATTACAAATCTATTCTAGGAACTTGAGAATTAACACCTAAACATATTCTGATTGGCGTGATTTACATTAGGACTTATTGAAGTGGAAGAGTATAGGGGTAAATCTGTTTTCAACTATTACTGTATATCCTGTGTCACAGAGCCTTCTAGTAGCAAAAGACTAATAAGCTCCTCTGGATACCCAATTTAGTTATCTATTTTACTTTCAGTAGCTCTATATCATCAAATATAATATAATCTACGAGTATGTACTCAGTAGCCATCACTCACTCTATTTTTGGATGTCAAACAACCGCGCTTAGTAGCCATTGGGTACTTATTCGAACGGTGAATTGTCAGAACAACAGGAACGAAACACCCATCATACGCATCATCTTGAGCCGAGTCAACGTATAAATCTATATGGGCGCTCTTCCCGGGAATTTTACGAGTCGTTGCCTATTCCACATAATTCCCCACGTCGTAACTTGCTGGTCGCTGGATTCCTCAGCCCTTCTGACAGCAGCATTAAAGTTCCCAATGAGATTGCTTGGGATATGGTCTGCACGTGGTAAGGGACGCGTGTTCTGTACAACCTTACAGGCAACTCCGCTACCAATGGCGCATACCTCGCGACCAAATTACCCTCTATTGCAGGAGTGCAAATACCAGATACCTCGGAAGTAATAGCTAGCGAATCTACCCTTTCGCTTCTATCTGGCTCCGTTTGCACCGACTTTGAAGAACCTATTAGAATGGATAGACATAAGTCTTACCCAAAAGTTCTACAAAGCAGTGAGAAGGTATTGGATTTCTGTTGAAATGCTCTGGCCCATCAGAATACAGAGCTTTCTGAACGCCAGAGCATTTGATAAAGCATTCCAGCGCACCTGGGAAATGTAGGCTCACCAGACCCGCGTCAGATAAAACTGACATTATCGAAGTGGTTTATTATATGTGGGGCTTTCCTAGACGGAGAGCGTTCCATGTTTCTAGCTTGCTATGTTGGCTGGAAGGTTTAGGTAAAGATGTGCTCGGCTGTCATATTGATGATAACGAGACAGGAATCGGCTTCTAGGGATTTTTGCAGCAAAGGTTTTGACCGCCTCATATTACCAGTTTTCTTTTGTGGATAAGGAACTCATCCAGATGGAGTGTCAAGCAGCTGTGCTTCGTGCAACGTTTAGGGCTCATTGGCATGTAGGAAGAGATTCAGGACAATGACAGTGACAGTTCGTATGCTGACAACTGGGCTCCTACAATCATCGCGGAAAACGACATTAAGAATTCGTTCGTTCATACATACTGGGGAAGAAATGAGTTTGACCTCGCAATGCGAAGAGTACAGGTATAAACGATAGGCAATGGATGCAAGAGCAAACTCTCCACCCAATTAACACGTAGCAAACTGTATGGTTGGCAGAAGCCTCCCCACATTCCAACGGTATAGCTCTTTCCAAAAACAGGGGACCTTTTGCTTCAAAATTAAAAGTCATACTTCAGATAGTGAAGAATGAAAGGTCCCGTTTCTCATCATTTCACATTCTCGAACCAACAATTTTATGCTAATTTCAAAAGAAGAGACTATGTTTTATTTATTATTAGTCTAGTTTTAAACCAGAAAGACACATGGAGAGAAGAAATTAACTGCACATGATGTGCCTCAGACCCAACGTGAGTTTGCAATTTATTCAAGAGGCTTTCTATATTAGAGGATATGTTAGAACACTGCGAGGAAACGGGGAGACACATTATTTCTAAGTTTCTGATCTAGACATACACATACTAAGCCTTCTTGGTGTATTCAGGGTAGCATCCGGCACTCCAGAGCCACCAATAAGATAAGATGTCTTAAAGAATATTAGCGGAGACTTTATTTGTGGCGTCAAGGGGTTAGAGCCATCCCTTAATCTTCCGGGTGGGAAAGCTTCGCGCTCACATTCCTTTCCCATAATGTATGCACCTTTCCTACCCTAGTAACTTAATCATTAAAGCATCTAGACCGATGGCCAAATAATTATAGCCTAGGACCAAACTATGTACCACGAGCAGGCTATATAAGGACTCACCCTCATCTACAAGAAATCTATCTCATAAAGACAAAAAGCACTCTGAGACCCACACATACTATCCTACGTACTCCCAACTTCAACAAAATACCACTCAAGATGCAATTCTCTTTCCTCACCCTTTTGACTGTTTGTGCCCATGTCACTGCGCTTCCTGGATTGCTTGAACAAAATGGCAAATGTGACCAGGCAGCTTGCGAGCGCTTCGCGCATGAGTCGGGCTGGCCGAACCAGATCTCTACGTAAGTGTTCACAAGCAATTACTTATGTATCCAAGATTCGTGTTTGCTAAAGACTCCCAGCTCTTGGTGTACATCAACCGCTACGGCTACTGTCACGTCTACGGACACCATTTACACTACGGACGCCATTTACACTACGGACACCATTTACACTACGGACATCAGTTACACCACTGACACCATTTACACTACGGATACCATCACTTTCACCACTACCTGCACTGAGACAGCTACCCCGACCGGGGCATGGGGTTCGCATGGGAGTGGGAAATGGTAATTTGATGTTTTGGTTTCCTGTGCGAATCTCTAATCGCTTGTGAAGTAATACATCTAGGGGTGAGATGAAGATTCAAATACTTTGTAGCAGTTGAAATGTACTACAATAGTCTAGAATTGACACCGGATGTCTATCCGAATATGAAAGTTGTTGTAGTCAAGAACATTCACTACTGACTCAGACCGAGCACCTCTATGTCCCGGATATCTGTAATACCGTCCTGTAATCACCTCACGATACACTCCTTTGGCAATGCCAAAACAGCAGGCTTAGGCTCGCATTGATCGTATTCCAATCGTCTTCATTTCTGTATACGTGAACTCAGGCCTAATTAATCCATTCTATACCCCGCTGATCACGACAGCCTATAGATCTATGTCTCTATCAATTGGGTCCATATTATCTAGATCTTCTACTTCCCGCCGGACCCAGTCTTCAATAGCGGGAATATAGTATTGTACGATGGTAAGAGCGTTAAGATAGGGTGGAGATATGCTCGGTGAGGTATGTTGTTCGCCTTGCTCCTATTGTCAACTATCTGCCTGAAGTTGCTCCTGAATTGATTTCTTGATATCGGAAATAAAACTCTCAGAATCAATAACGCACTATTGTTCCTCCCACCACGGGTACGAGGCAAGAGTTAAAGCGCTTCGATGGGGGGGATTCTGACATAAGTGAAAAGGTGAGTGGATAGGTACCCTCCTCATACTTGACGGATGGACTCACTTTGCTCCTTAATATACCGTATCGTAAAGAGATACATAGAATAATTTATCGCCAGATGGTGCAATCATGCGGCTATGGTCTTCAGATAGCTGATTATTTATCTTTATTTCAAACTTATACATAGCCCGACGTTGGAACTTGACAGACGCGGAGTGCATCTTTGTGACGAAGTCGTTGAAGTCGCTGGTTGAAAGACATTATTAAAGAGAAAACACCTTTCGATGGTTGACTGACTCAGTAATAATTAGTTTCAAGGCTTCTCTATCCTATCAGTTCAACCATCTCTTTTCATAGATTCAACAGTTAGCTCGAATCAATTTCGGCCGCCTTTCTAACGACACCTTTCAATGTTGTTTCCAACCAATTCAGTAGATGATTTGCCGTGAAAAGAGAGGGTGGTGAAAAGAGAGGGTGGTGAAAAGAGCGGGTTGTGAAGAAGGGAAAGGGGTGTATATGAAAACCACCCGACTTCTTCTTTCCTGACTCGTACTCGAGCCCAGACACTGGTCTTATATTACTAGTCGAAGTGGTATCGCCCTAAGAAGAAGACAGGAAACCCCTGAGCTTGCATACGGTCTGGAATCATATTGTACGAGATGCGGTGAGGCGGTAGTGAACCAGTGGCGTAGGTAGACCTGTGCAAACCTATGGGTATGCCCAAACCACCCATAACCCGCCCATAGGCATCGCCATAACCCACTATAACCCGGACGATGACGACAGAGGCAATAGAGGCAGCAGAGGCATCAGGACCTGCATGGGGCCAATACAGGCTCGCGCGCTCCTCAGATGTGTTGTTGCTCATGGTAGCTAGTTTAACGTGATATGACACCTCACGGTCCACTCGAATAGAATAGACGGAGCAACGTACAACCAACCTTCAAAGCCATTGCCTCTTGATGTATGATCCGACATGTTGTAAGCTGTCTGAAGCCACACATGACTCATATGTCACCCGAGACCGGATCGCATCTTCGGACGCCTAGAAGGGGGAAGTGACCTGCGACAAAATACGGAAAAAAACCACTAACTAGAGTCCCACTACACCTATTGCGAATTGCCCCTTTTAGATATTCTGCCATTTACTCCTCTAAGCTCACCGCTCTGCTCTCACTCCAACCCACTTTATCACCTACTTCACCCACGTAGAGTAGTATCTTCTTCGTTGATTGAAGTAATTGAAGCTCATACCAAAGATAAAAACCCAACCATCGTAGGGCAAAGGGTTTAGAGAATAAGGGTTTTTAATGTCGCCGGTAGTAGGTCAAATACCTTCCAGATCAACGTCTTGATTAAGTGCTAAGTAGACCAAAGTAAGGCACATGAAGAGCTAGTGGACTGGCTAGATTGAGACGCCCACTACGAAGAGTTGATATATTGGCAAGTACAAGAAGAGATAGCTAGCATAGGAGGATATGGTGGAAACAAGTGCGTGGAAGTGGGTTACTAGGTCGAAGAAAGGGCGGAATGAGAGGTCTTTTAAGTGAAAATGAGTGCTATTCTTGAATCAGGCAACTTTGGAGGTTTCGGGGAACATACGATATCATTGAAGTTACGGATTTCACTTCATTAGGATATTAATCATGGTAGCTGAATTATGCTATTAACGTATAGTAACCATCGATAGCTACCAATAATCCCGCCTCCCTGCGGCCCCGCCACCCTTTACTTATGGGAGTCTGGCAATTCAATCTGATATGTATACTTATTAGACTCCAATGCTCGGACTCCAAAATCAGACACGCCTCTGCGTACTGCGTCAAGGACAATTCGCTCGAGCCGATCACTCGCTCGTGCCCCCAGTGTTCTCATCAACCGGTTCGTACTCCTTCTCAAAGGTGTGGCTGGGCGATCTACTATTTACGGCCTTCTCCTCATCCGTAGGCGGGTGTGGCGTCTCGTCCGTGGGCGCAAACTTGGACCGCGCCCGGATTGCGGCGCCGTACTTATAAAAAACGAAAGGAATGGGCATCATCAGTATGCCCACGCCTCCGATTAGCGAGCCAGCCCCTCCCACGCCGAGCGCGTCGAACATGTACTGCGTGAAGAGTGGGGACGCCGCGGCGCAGCCGGACCGCAAAACCGTATTTGCTGCCACGGCAGATGCGGCGTACATCAGGTACGAGTCAATGATATAATTGATGAAGACGACGAAGATGAGCAGGATTGACGTTGCGAGGAAGGTGCCTGCCACAGTTGGCACGGCCCAGTGGACTGAGTTGTATTCCGCCGTCCAAGCGAACCAAAATATCGTCACGGCGAACATAACCCCGCCAACCATCGCTCCAGGAAGGCGATCTTCTGGGACCGATTTGCGGTCGCTAGTGTACTTTTCCTGGTTTATTTGGTTATTGATGAACAGCACTAGGCCGCCTGAGACACGCGCCGATGACTGTGCCGATCAGTGGCAGCTCACCGACGCCGGCGTTCCAGCCACGCTTCTGCTGGAAGACGATAGGGTAGATGCCGAAAAGCATATACAGCAGAGTATAGACGACGGCATAGTATATAGCGACGAAGAAGCTGATTGGGTCGAAGAGAAGTCTCCAAGGCCTGGTCAAGGCGACTTTGAAGATACCTCCCAGGGAGCGATCCGATGCCTCGACTGGAGCTTTTACGCTCTCCTTACCGGGCAATTTGCGTAGGCGGCGGGCTTTATTACGCAGGACCATCATGGGAAGGGTCTCCGGAAGAGTGATCAGCAGAAGCTCGGTGGCACCCGCCATCCAGAGGAGGACGTAGAAGGTCCAACGCCACGTCTCCTTGAGTTGGAGGAATCCACTGACCACGGGACCAAGCGCGGGTCCCACGAATGTCATTGTGGCAAACAAGATCATGGCGTTGCCTCGCTCGACGGGCCCCCATATATCTGCGAGGATGCCAGGTGCATTCGTCAGGGCAGCACTGACGGCCGTGCCAGTCAAGAAACGACCGATCAAGAGTCCGGCGAAATTAGGCGTAAAGGCGCAGAGGAAGCCAAAGGCAAGGTATAAGGTGAAGGAGATATAAAAGATCCAGCGACGGCCATAGAACTCGGATAAAGGCGCCCAGAAGAACGGACCAGCGCAGTAGCCTAGGAGGAAGAGGGTGGTGACGAGGCCAGCGACTTCGACAGAAACGTGGAGGTCATCGCTGACACCCTGGAAAGAGCCGGACGGGGCAGAAGATGAGAATGTGGCATTCATGACGAGGGAGACGGCGATAGTGGTGATGTAGCACTTGCGTCCATACGAGTAGTTCTTTGGGTTCTCGGGGTCGTTCGGTGCAAACTCGAGGTGGCCATCCTTGTCAAAGAAAAGCTCCTCGTCCAACTCTACGACGGACGTCGAGGTGGAATCTCTGAAGTTGCGTCTGATGAAGTTCATTGCTCTTGTTGTTTGTTGAAAGAGGTGACAGTCGCAGTCTCGACGAGGGCTATAAAGGGGCTCGCTGCCGAAAGGTATACCTTGCTAAGTCACATCCATGACGATTGATCATCTGCTGGGTGATGACGTGGTACTGGTGCAGATTTAAATCGAGTCTATAGCGACTATTTCTAATCGAAGGTTCCAATCCAACAGGTCCAAGGTCGTATACATAAGCATTCCGGAAAACATATTACCGCATTTGGTAATTCTGCCATCCTCGGTCCGGGGCCGATGTGGGGCCGAGGTCCGAATGCGGTAATTTCTGGGCTCAGTTCCGGAACACTCTATACAGCGCTGGACCCATGCATTGGCTTCCCATTACCAACAAGATTAATTCCGCTGCTGACGAACTCATAGCGTGTTCATAAAATCCGACCGTTTTGCCTCATGACTATAAGGTTGGCTCATGCCGCCGTGGCCTCTCTCATATTTCACTCAACTTTTCGAACCCTAAGCAGAGCATCAGCATCATCCCATCTCGCCAGTCTCACAATGGCATCTCCAATCGTCACAATGAGCTTTACCGAGGCGACTCAGAAGCGTCGCACCATCCGCGCCCTCGATTCAAAGACGACGGTTCCCGACAGCACCATAGTTAAGCTAGCCTCGGCCGCCATCCTCACCGTCCCATCTGCTTTTGACAACCAGTCGGCCCGGTTGACGGTCGTGTTCGGAGACGACCACAAGAAACTCTGGTCAATCACTGCAGATGCACTGCTGGCGAAGATTGGCGAGGAGCGCTGGAACGGGGGCACCAAGGACCGCATCGCCAACTTTGCCAACGCCTACGGAACTATCCTGTTCTGGGACGACCAATCATGCGCGACCGCGATGAAAGAGAACGCCCCCGACATCTATAAGGATAAGACAGACGAGTGGGTGCAGCAGAGCAACGGCATGCACCAGTACTACCTGTGGACCGCCCTCGAGGCCCTGGGGCTGGGGGTCAACCTGCAGCACTACAACCCTCTCATCGATGCCCAGGTGCAGAAGACGTGGAGTGTCCCGTCGAACTGGAAGCTAAAAGCACAAATGGTCTTCGGCGTTCCAAAGGATGGTAGCGCGCCAGGAGAAAAGCCACAGAAGCTTTCCTTGGAGCAAAGACTGCAGGTATTTGGGGCAGTTGATCAAACGGTGCCTAACTAGTTGGGTCAGATTATTATTGGAATGAATCATTGCGAATGGTAATCCAAATTATACTACCGAATATCATTCATTCTCTTCTCAATTTGCCAATAAGACCTCATGTTCCTAGGATCATACCCAGCATCGGGACCCTTTAGAAAGGTTCCAGGCACAACATTGATTTCTCCCAGAGATAGTAAGGCTCGCAGAGGACCTGTAGGCTACAGCTCTAGGGACGAGATATCCGGTAGACCTCGCCACCACTGGTGGGTGAACCTCCTATCCCTCGCATATCATACTCCAAATGGAGGATGGGTGGGACCGGTAGGGCCGGGCCCCGTGCGGCCAAGTGGAGACCGGGAGGGAAGGTCGCGGAACCGGCCGAGGTACCCGCCGTGGCGGCCTGATATGCCAAGACCCATTACCACTATGGGTTCCACTGAATACGGGGAAGCCGCCCCTCTTTGCTTCCATGCACTACGTCTTGTGTCTAAAGCCAGCCATAGTGGTAGTTAATATAGATTTGCCATTCCCTGAGTTACATCCATCGCTATGTTTACGTGTGACCCTCGCATGGAATAGGACCGCCTACCGCTTAGAGACGGACGACCGAAAATCAAAGATGGTCCTTGAATTCTCACCCCGCTGAAATGTGAAAAATGGCAGTTGAAGATCACTCCGTCGGCGAGCGAATAAATTAATCTAGTATAGTGACAAAATCATCCTCTATGAATGGCCATAAATAGGATGTACCGAAGAAAAGTGATTTGCGATGAAGAACCATTCCTGCCGCCTCCATTGGTCCGACTGGGTGATACATGTCAGGCAAAACCTTCAGGTGGATTGACGGTGCCAGGTGCATTCAAGCCGGTTCAGTCAGAAACAGTATGAGTACATTCTTCTGTCCGCAAATGATCTGCCAGTATTAAGCATATTAGATTTTAAAGCCCATGACTTTCTGAATCGTTGAACCGAGTAAATACACCGGAAGATTGGGAAAATACAACTAATCAAATGTAGATCGACATGCCAAATGCTATATGATTTGCTTTTGCAGGTTGTAACGGGCTACTTTAGTGACGTCCACTTTTAAGCTGCCAGGTGTAGTACACATTATTACTCCGAACGACGATCCACCGAGGCTCCAGACCCGATGAGGGAAGGGCTTAGTCAGCATACTCGTGGGTGGGTTCCAAACGTTCGTGGCGCCTGGAACGGTTTCGGCGAGGCTTATCGTAAACACGAGAAGACCATGGCATCATACATCCACCCTGCAGGATCGCTGCTGCAGGGCCCCCAATTTCTGCAAGTATAATACCTCCAAGGTTCCTTCAAGTGTCCACCAGGAACCCCCTCTCTCCTCACGGAGACCGATGAGCATCGCGGTCAACGTATAGAGCGCAACAGAGCCTCCATGTTTCACAGATTCTCTGCCGCGCCTGCAAAGGCACGCAGCCAGAACAAAGGTTCCGGATCAGCTCGCGCCAGCAACAAGAACAACAAGAAGATTAGTGGCACAGACTCTAACCCCAGCGCCGAGCAAACAGTTCATCCGCTGGCCAAGCGGCAAAGGGCCGCCAGAGCCTGTCACCGCTGCCGCCTGCATCGCATCAAGTGTGACGAGCAGAAGCCTTGCGCACAATGCGTCAGCATCAAGGCAAAATGCATCGTTTCCTACGCCCCTCCTCGCTCTCAGACCAACAACAACGACAACGATCACACGAGAGGTGTGTCGTCATCAGTCTTTCCTCCAAGATCGCCCTCGCGCTCGCCTTTACGCACAGCATGTCGCGACAACAGCGCAAGCACCAGCAGCCCCACCGCCAATACCAGTCCGAACAGCCCATATGTTCCTGCCTCTCGCGTGAGCATGAGCCAGGATAGCTCATGGGCGACAAGAACTCCACCGGATAATGTCCCCAAGGAATGTTTCAATCTTGCGCATGTCCAGGGCTTCTTTGCCAGCGGGCAGCCAGTCTTCTCACATACCTCAGCCCTAGGCGGCTGCCTCTTTCCTCAGCTCCCGCATCCCACCGTCCCCTCGGGGGAACGTCCTCTCGCGTCGAACGCGCTGCTTAAGAACCAATGGAGCTACTATCTACGGCTTTTTTGGGACGACTGCCATCCGCTGCTGCAGATAATAAGCAAGACAGAGTTCGCCGAACTCGATGCCCTGCCACCACCGACTATGTTTGATGAGTATTCGGCCAGGACCGCCCTAGTCGATTCCATGATCGCTCTGGGCATACAGCATAGCCGTGCCACTGGCCTTGACGGGCGGATATTGGGCCTCCAGCAGCCACCATCCCGGCAGTACTACCACGCAGCGCCTTCGCCGGAAGCCACCTGGCCCGGCTTTGAATACTTCCATCGCTGTCGTGAGTGCATGAGAACAAACACAGATGTGACATTGGAAGTCCTACGATGCCATGCTCTCATGGTCCTCTACCTTATAAAGGGCAATGCTTTCCGCGACGCATACAACCTGCTCGGCATCACTGTCCGCAAGGCCTACATCGCCAAACTCCACCGACCACCACCGAGCCATCTGCCCGAGGTCGGAAAGACTGCTCGCATGCAACTGTGGTGGATGGTCTTCTCCCTGGATCTCCAGTGCTCGCTGCAGCTCGACATGCCCCCCGCCAGCCAGAAAAGCCTTGTTAAATGTCCCTTCCCTGCCGAGGACGCCCTCGCCCGCTACTTCTCCTCCCCCAGTTATCGCGAAGACACGAATGCTTACACCTATTCCACACGTTTGGTCAACCTCGCCGTTATTGTGACTGATATTGGCGCGTGCGTCTCGACCGCGGACCTCGTCGATGACGCTGGCAATAGCCCGGCCGCTCTCGAAGGTCACGCCCGCAATCTCGCGTCCGCGCTCCAAAACCTCGAGGTCTGGCGCAACCAGCTACCTTCAGAGCTGCTGCTGAGCCAGTCTGGGAACGGCTCTGGCAATACTGAGATGCTTGACTTTAATCGCGTCCTGGCCCTGCCCGGCTGGTTGCGGCGGCAAGCGGTGCTTTTGGAACTCCATTATCACAACTTATTTACCCTGATCCAGCGTCCCTTCATACGTCTCCGCTACGCCCACTCTAACGATGCTAGCGGCATAATTTTGCCACCCTCTTCTCAGCAGCCCCACGTGGAGCAGCACATTGCCAGCGCCCTACACCACGCAACCATAACCGTCGACACGGTCTTCGCTATCTGCTCCATCTCTGACGTCCTTTATGGCTGGTCAGAGGTCCTGCAGCCGCTCTGGAATGCGACGCTGACAATTATGGCTTATGTCTCTGTTGACTCGCTGAGCTCCGTGGTACCACGGGCGCTCGACTCCCTCACACGCGCCCAGGCCGTTTTCGAGTTCTTCTCCCCAACCTGCCCGACCGCTCTCTCCGCAAAGGGCATTGTTCAGTCGCTCGCCAACAGTTTGCAGAACATGATGACGCAGGGCTCGTGCGCAGTTGCCAACGGCGAACAAATGGGCTGGGACCTCTTCGCGTCGCTGCTCGAAAAGGAGCAGCAGACGTCCTCAGCCGGCCTTGAGAGCGCCCCCTCACCCAACGACCTCTATGGCAGCGTGCTCTTTTCACCCTTCATGCCTTCAACTTTGCAAATCAACACCCCCGACTATAACTCGGCGACCATGCAATTTGGCGACTCTTGAGGCTAGTTCTTGGGCGCGTATCCACCACCACGCCACCGCCTCTTGAAGGACTCAATTGAGGCAAGAAGCGAACATTATCATTCTGGGCGCTCATGGTACGGAAAAGTTTATTGCAACAGTACGAAGGATTGCAACTGCGAATGCTTGCCGCTCCCGAAAGGTTGCGACGACGGGATGATACGAATTACGATGGGCCTACGCAGGTCAAACGATTATAAATAAACACAGAAAGCTAGAATTAACAAATCACTTAGAATAAAGACTGCTGCGCACACGCGCTCAAGTTAATGAACGAATGAACGAATGAATGGTTGTATTGCATTGCATTGGACGAATATCACTCTTACGACACCGCCAGTGCTCGGATGGCGACTCACAACCCTACATCCCGGTGCCGCTGCCATCCGGACAGTACGCTGCCGGGATTGCGGGCCACTTGTCTACGCCGTCGAGCATTGCCATGGCCATGCCACCCGCGAAATGAGGCTGGATGTGGCAATGCAGGATGAAGGCGCCAGGGTTCATGCTCTGGTAGCGAATCACGATCCAGGTTGGCATGCCCGGCGCTACGTGCGTGGGTCAGCCAGCTTGTCTACACACGCGACCGGTGCGCTTCAGGGGAAGAATATTAAAGACTCAGAAGGGAGACTCACAAACGGCACTTGATACGAAGCTGTCGCGAAATGGGGGGTTGTCGAGGTTGAAGGACTCGGGCTGCGCCTGCATAGCCTCCTTGACGGAGGTGTAATTGAAGTCACCTGTACCGCTGCCGATTATGAAGAACTTGTTGCTATGCTTGTGGAACGAATGTGGCGGCTGCGTGGGGTTCTGGCTACCGGGATCAGTCAGGACGATAATGTCCACCCAAGTTCCATTGAGGTTGCGGATTGTGAGATTGGAGTTGAGAGCTGCGGTGCTGTTGGGATCAAAGAGGAGGGGATAGCCGTCCGTTATGGACATTGGGTAGGAGATGTTTCCCTGGTCTTCGGTCAGCTTGCGCTTCTCAGATTACGAGAAGGGAGGGGGAAGGGGAATTGGACTTGCGCTCAGGGTCCAGTTCCAGGCGGCGCCATCACGGCCGGCCTTGTATATGTGCGTCGCATCTACGTCCTACGCCGGCTTTATAGCGGGATATGGTGCGAGAGAGCTCATGTCAAGGGTGACGACTGAGCTATTGGTCGCGCTGCCAGCCTGGTTGAAGAGTGCGTGCGAGTCTGGCGCGATGGTGTCAATCTTGCCGCTCGGAGCGTACCAAAGCAGGGCCGTGGCGAAAGGATTTGGTTGCCTCCCACATTGGAGAAGCGCATGGTATAGGCGTCGTAGCTGGGCTTGTCCTTGAGTCTGACGAGGACCGAGTAACGCTGCGCGCTAAATATGAGCATCCCGTCGACGCGCTGCGGTTGCACAAACTGGCCGTCTGCGGCGTAGATCCACATGTCATGGTCGTCGATGGAGACTATCGGGGTCTGCACGGAGGCACCGAGGATGAAGTTGAAGCTGACCCAACGGTCGGTGTTGCTGACATAGAAGACGGACGGGGTGGTGTTGGTGGCCTCGCACGAGTACGCCAGCGCGGGTGGCAGTGCACTCAGGTTGAATTGGAACTTGCCCTCAATCTCGGCAATTCCAGGAGGCGAGCAGCCTTGCGCGGTGATGTTTCTTAGGATTCGCTAATTTCTATTGCTTATTTATACCCTAATTTACTGCCCTATCGTTACCGTTAATAAGGTTAATAAAGAAGAATATACTATTTCAATAGGATTAAGACTGCTAAGATATATTTAATAAACTAAAGAACCTATTTATCAATACCCTAATACTAGTATACTTTAAAGAAAAAAAGAAAACTGTTATTAATAGGCATCGCCAGAACCCACTATAACCTGGACCCAACCCAACCCAACCCAACCCAAAATGGGTTTTGGGTCAAATACCATAACCCATCTATAACCTATTTAGGAACACAGTGGGTACCTATTTTAGTCTTAAATTCTAAATATATAATAATTAATACTATATATATATATATATATATAGGATCCTAGTATCTAGATTCTTCTAGAAGAAAAGAGATAAATTAAGTATTAAAATATACTATGTTAAAATTATAAATAAATTATGTAAAAATAGGTTAAAATAGGTACCTATTGGGTTTTAGGTTGGGTTGGGTTATAGCCCCTATGACCCAAAACCCAGTGGGTTAGGTTTTGGGTCAGTATCTCTAACCCAAAATAGGTTATGGCGATACCTACCACCTTGGGCCATAAGTTTGAAGACACCGCCTAATCGGGTAATTCTGCCATTTCACCACTCTACATTCAAATATATATATTGCATGCAATATGCAATATTATTGCACCAAAATTTGCTATAATATAGAATAATCAATTACAAAGTATATCACAGAATTTCAATTGCTAAAACCGAGTATAGTAGCCACGTGCCTTACGAGTCTCGCTTATACGCTGAGGCATCGATCTAATTATACTATCAATTTTATTTTGATCTAGCGCATCCCAGGCCTCAGATATACACTCCCTAAATAGCTTCCAATCTGCCTCAGATGTACCACAATGTAGTAGATTAGGATAGAGCTCATATAATTTACGTTTGAGCATACGCCATACGGGTTCAATAGGGTTGAGATCTGGCGAGCGTGGCGGCCATTCCATAACATGTATACCATGACGTTCAAACCATCGCTGAGCAACATAGGAGCGGTGGATTTTTGCGTTATCTTGCTGAAATATAGTTCCAGGCTCATAGTGTTCAATAAACTCTTCTTCAAGTGCTTTTAGGTAGGATTTCGTTGTATAACCACCTCCGCGACCTCGCTGTCCTTCTGAAAAGTCACGCTCCATAATAACAAGTTTTGTACGCCCTCCGAGCCATATTCCAGCCCAAACCATTTGACAAATATCCTTCACATGAGCCTTAACTTGCACCATTCCCTGCCGGTAAGCTTCTCCTCTAAGCCGGGTAACGTATTGGCCGTTTAAATTAGGGATACGTTGAACGCTGCATTCGTCGGAAAATATAAAGCTTTGTAGTTGGGAATTGTAGCGTTCAGCCCTCCAATTTCGGCAAAATCGGACTCGTTTGCGGGCGTTCTCCCTCGAAATTGGGATACAACGTCTTGCTCGATAGCGCTGGAGGAATTTTGAACGTAGAAATCGCTTGATTGCTGATCGAGATGGATGGCTGGGTATACGGGCGCTCAGCTCACTAAGGCTTAGCCAAGGCTCACGACGTGCAAGTAAACAAGTGTATTTAATAGTAGAGTACCTATAGACTCTAGGGGCACCTGAACGAGGCAGTGATTTAAGCGTTTGATGCTCTCGGAATCGTTTGATTGTAGAGTATATTGTTGAGCGTGCGACGTTGAACTCAGTAGCCATTTTAGTAGGCGATACACCACATTCATGAGCGTATATAATAGCTGCGCGGGCCTCAGATGAAAGCTCACCCCCTGGCCTTCGATTGCCACTTATTTCAGTGCCAAACCGACGCATATTGGTGGTGTAGGGGGTAGTTGAAGAAGATGGGTGGGGGGTGACGCGAAAATCGCGCTAAAAAAATAGCGCGATGTCTTCAAACTTCTGGACCGCCTTTGTAGTTATTAAGATAGATATAACTAGATAGGCTATAGGTATAGTACTCTTATAATATTAATAAGACAGAAGATTAGCCCCCTATACATATATATTATAGAAGTTATTACTAGCCAAAGTAAACTATAAGATATATAATAAGGAGTTACTTACTATTAGGCATCGCCATAGCCTATTTTGGGTTAGAGATGCTGACCCAAAACCTAATTTAACCCAAAACCCAATAGGTTAAACCCAATAACCTAATTAGGCATCGCCAGAACCCACTATAACCCGGACCCAACCCAACCCAAAATAGGTTTTGGGTTATGGGTGATAACCCAAAACCCAATTAGGAACCCAGTAGGTTCCTATTTTAGTGTAAACAAGGCAAACATACTAAGCTTTTAAATATAGTATATATTAGTACTGTTTTTAGGCCTTATATATAGGTATTTTAAGTTTTTTATTCAATATTATTATTATTCAATATCTAATATCAATCAATCAATTCTTCAATTACCCAGTACCGAAGCTCGCTAAGTTTAAAGCTGCTATACTGGGGCGCCAACTGGCCAGCAGTCGGACAAAGTGGTTCCAGACCACGGCAGGGTTGGCTAGGGAGCCTAAGGCTCTTCCTGCCCGGAAACTCAGGCACTAATCTACTACAATATAGAAGGGAAGACCTACGTGGCAGAACTGTAAAATTATATAACATAAGGAAAAGCGGTAGGGACTGTATAAGACGCTGTTAGGTAACCAAAATATCAAAACGTTACCTAACCAGCCTGAATAACAGATAAAACAAACAGTATAAATAAAAGATACTGCAATACCTCTGTAGCCGTACTATCTCCAATACCAGTATCTACTTCTATAATAAGGCTTCTTAGCTACTATACATCTGCTGCTTATCAGGCCACTACTAGCTTACTTTATTACTGACTTATCTTAGTTTACTTTTAACTCTCTCTCAACTTACCTAAGTATACTCCCAGCTAGGCATCGCCATAACCCATTTTGGGTTGGAGATGCTGACCCAAAACCCAATAACCCAGTGGGTTCCTATTTCAACCTATTTTGGCATAATTTATTCATAAATTTTATGTAGTGTATTTCAATACTTGATTTATATCTTTTTTTCTGGAAGGATTTAAATACTAAGATTTTATATAGATATATATATAGTATTAATTATTGTATATTTAAAGTTTAGGACTAAAATATACAGTAATGAAAGAGTTATTAGAAAAATAAGACTTTTTGTAAAGATATATATATTACCTAGTAGGGTATACCACTATCTTTACTATAGAGCTCTGTAATTTATTTTATTTTTAAATACACTACTTTTTAGCCTTTTAATATAATATATATATATATTAGATATAGAATAATAATAATATTAAATAAAAAAACTTAAAATACCTATATATAAGGCCTAAAAACAGCACTAATATATACTGTATTTAAAAGCTTAGTATATTTGCCTTGTTTACACTAAAATAGGAACCCACTGGGTTCCCAATTGGGTTTTGGGTTATCACCCATAACCCAAAACCTATTTTGGGTTGGGTTGGGTCCGGGTTATAGTGGGTTCTGGCGATGCCTACTCCCAGCTTATTTATTCTCCTAATCTGCTTCCTGCTTTATAGCTCCCTTAAATTACTAAGGCCTATATTACTAGCTTACTGTATCTGTATACTATTATAGTTATACTATATTACCTTTTCCTATTATACTAGCTGACTAATTCTACAGTATTCTAGGTATTTAAGTCTCCTTCTTCTCTCTAAACTACCTCTGTCCTTTGTCTCCTTCCTCTGACTAATTGCTATAATTATCCTGTATTATACTTATAAGTCTCCTTAAGGTAGTACTATAGTATACCTAGTACCTATATACTATATCTCTGTATTATAATTATAGTAGTCCTACTGTCCTATAAAAGTATAAGACTGTTAAGGTCTTACTAGGCTTAGGGGAATATAGATAAAAGAGGAATAATTATAGATAGCTGATTACTGAGTAATCAATAAGATTAAGGATCTGATTGCTTGATTATAGATGATTCTGATTGCTGTGTTGATTTTTGTATTATCTTCTGATTGTGTTATTTATAATATCTGGTTAAGAGGGTCTTATTTATATCTAATAGTATTTTTATAATAGGACCTTATTTATTTTACTACCTATACCTCTCTAATTTAGAGAGTAGGTTTAGGCGATTAGAACTATTTTAGTATAGGTTTAGGCGACCTCGGGGTTCTAGGATTATTTACCTAAAATAGGTAAAGTTATCCTTGGTTATAGTATATTTATCTTTAGTTATACCTTAACTAGATCTTAACTAGATCTTAGTTAGAGTATTATAGGATAATATTCATACGATCGTAACAAATTGGCCATGGCGATTGCAACAAATTAGCCATGGCGATCGTAACAAATTGGCCATGGCGATCGTAACAAATTGGCGATGGGGATTGCACCAATTTGGCTATGGCGATTGCAACAAATTGGCCATGGCGATCGTAACAAATTGGCCATGGGGATTGCACTAATTTGGCCATGGCGATCGTAACAAACTGGCCATAGCGATCGTAACAAATTGGCGATGGGGATTGCACCAATTTGGCCATGGCGATCGTAACAAACTGGCCATCGCGATCGTAAGCTTATCTTTCAGCTGAATCCTAAGGTACCTACTGCCTATAGTAATACAATGATGATACTACGCTAAGAAATACATTAAAACTTTTATATTTATGCTAAGTTATGCTTAGGACACCTTCCTAAATAGGCAGGTCACAGGCCTGCGGGGCTTTTTTAGCGGCCCGCGGGCCGCTAGTCACGGGCTACGGGCTTCCTTAGCGGCCCGCAGCCCGGGCCGCAGGCTACTAAAAAAGCCCGGCCCGGGCTTTGGCAAGGTCTAATCATAAACAACACCCATTAATTAACTAGATATAGCGATTTTTATATAAATTTATCCTATGGCTAACTTACCTACACCCACTATATATAGGCAGAGCTCTCTTTGCTGCTTAGTCTGCATGAGTAGGTAATTTACCCTGTGTATAGTATCTATAGTAGGTGCTCTTACTAGCAAATCTAACTATATAACTAGCTGTAGGACATCTTCGACAGTTAAACCCTCTTTACAGAGTATTTGCTTAGTTGACTAATTGTGTTTCTTTACTACTTTCTTATTCGCTATATATAGGGCTGTATTTTCTTACGCTAATATTATAGTGTTATATAGCGCTATACAGTGGCCTTTAATAATCAAGTCTAGTACATTTTTTGATAGACCCAGAGAGTTTTTAACTGCTGTTTAAGTAGATTTTTAAGTATTAAGATTTGCTTCTATAGCTGAATTATAGTTCTAGGTATTTTTGGTATAAACTGGCTAGATCTGCTATTTAGCTAGCAGTTTAGTGGTATAGGTGTTTATAGAGATATACCAAGCTTTAAAATTACTCTTTCTATATTAATTAGTACTAGATTACTAGCTATAAATAGACCTTGCCAAAGCCCGTGGGGGTCAAAAAAAGCATGACCCCCACGGGCTTTTTTTCTGAGCTAGAGGCCCGCGGGCTTTGGTATTTTACCAGTATTTACCATTATATGTATGGATTACTAAGCATAATACACGTTACATACGGCCCGGGCTTTGGCAAGGTCTAGCTATAAAGCTATTTTGAATAATAGCTGGCTGTTAGAAGGTCTCTTATCATATACGTTGATACGTTGATAGTTATCTAAGAAATTAAACTTATTAATATAGTTATATACTGTATATATAAGATTACTTGAAAGCAACTATATATACGCTTAAGCACTATAAAGCACCCTATATTAAGTAGTTATAGTAGATATAATAATATAAAGGTATACAGAGAGGAATAATATCGCTTTATATACAGATTTAGTTAAATTAGGGTATAAGGTAGCTACTATAGCTATCAAGTATTAATAGCTAAAACTGACTATAAACATATAAATTCATTAATAGAATAAAGAGCTTTTATAGCCAATATAGGCTGATTTTGTCAGTAGTCTAGCTATTATTTAAGGGCTCAAACTGCCAGCCTTTTGGTAGGTTATCAAACCAACCTATAATAGTAATCTTATCCTTAAAGATTATATATAGCAGTAGTAAATAGTATCTATATAGATTGTTTCAGAAGCAGTAACCTATTTATGATTTCCTGGCTGTAGAATAGATTAATGACTATAGTATTCTGCTTGTATAACTACCTTCTAGGCCAAAATAAGACCTATTATAAATCCTATCTTAGAGTTATAGATATCCTCTACTTATTAGTCTATAGAAATCTATTACTATTCTTCTCTCTAACTATAAATAGTTTAGCTAATAATCTAAAGTTAGAGCTAAACTAAATTTAAAATAATACTACTATCTCTATAGATTAGAAAAAACTAGAAAAAACTATTAATACATCACAGGATTCAAAGTATACAATACCCCAGACTCTTAAGGCTGATTTATAGACAAACCTCCTTTAAGTTACCTATATATTGATATCCACCCGAGCCCTAATATATTTAAGATCCTATAAATATTCAGGATTCTTAATCTTCTTAAGAATTAGTCTCTATATTAACTATCTAATCTGATCTCTACCGTCCAATATCCTTACCTAGTTATAGGTCTCTAGCCTAATAACTTAGTAATTATTATAATTCTGATTTTTCTCTCTTAACTACCTAAGGATTAAAGATAGTATCCTTTATATATTAAAACCCTATATTCTCCTATAGTAGTATATAATCTAAAGTTACTATACCCTCTTTACCTACTATTTAACCTAAGATTAAATTAGCCCTAGATCAGTATAAAACCCCTATAGAACCTAAGCCAGATCAGATATTAATATATAGAGCTATTATATATAATACTA